ATTTAATTATTTTTATTAACAACTATCAACTATTAACCAACTTTCAAATATTAATTTTCAATTATGATTCAACTATTAACTATTAATTATGATTCAACTATTAACGATGATTCAACTATTAGCTATTAACTAAGATTTCCAATTCTACTCAAGGAATTTAGTTTTTTCATATAAAATAATCATCACTTTACCTTCATCTTATTTGTTTTTTCCAACATTTTCAAAACTTGATAGTTTGAATCCTTGCTTGTTTGATAATTTTCAAAACTTAATAGTTGATAGTTCAGATATCTCTTCAATACTTGATAGCTGCGTAAAATTAAATATTAGAATTAAAAAAATTTTTTTATTACCTTTAGTGTCACGCACTGTTCATAACTTAAATCAGTAAATCCAAACATTAGTACAATCGAAACATTTCCTTCACGAACACTTAAGTCTTTTCTTGTTGTGCATTTACAATAACTATAATTCAAATATTAACTAAGATTTTCAACTTTCAACTATTAACTATCAATATCATTTCAACTATTAACTCGATTTTTAGCTATTAACTATTAACTCAATTTTCAGCTATTAATTATAATTTAACTATTAACTAAGAAAAACACTATTACCTTTTGTGTATAAACATGTTCATAACTTGTATCAGTAAATCGAAACATTAATTCAATCCAAACATTGCCTTCACGAACTCGTCTTTTCTCGGTGTTCATTTACAAAAAAATGGCTCAATAGTATTTATCTTAAATTATAAAATATATAAGGTTTTTTTAAATAAATCGACCTGTTAGATTGTAACAATCTCTAAATAACTCAATTCTAAATCTAAATCTTATTTCAACTCTAATACTAATCTCTATCATCTATTACTTCTCTATACACTACATTCATAACTTTTCTCTCGTTATTAGTTTCTAATAACCTAATTCTTAATGAATTCCAAGATCTAACCCTCGAGAGGGCCACATACAATTGACCGTGACTAAACACGTCTTTGGTCAAATCTATTCCTAATCTTTCTAATGTCTGCCCTTGGGCCTTATTCACCGTCATAGCAAAGGCCAACACCAATGGGAATTGGTGCCTATGCAAATCAAATGGGTACTCTTCATCACAACACAAAGTGATGCGTGGGATATACACCATTTGTCACGCTCTATCTCCAGTCAAAAGTCTACAAACTATCAAGTTTGGTCTCATTTCTTCGACCAACATTCTAGTTCCATTACACAAACCATTTTCTATATTCAAATTTCTAATCAGCATGACTATAGCATACTTCTTTAATCTTAACTCATGTAAGGGAAACCCATTTGGGCTTAATGAGTTCAAATACTCGTCTAAATACTCGTCTAATACTTGCTTCTCTTCGTTCTCAGCTTTGTCTATGCTCTTGTACAACGTTTCGTTGCCAGGAAGCATAATCAAAACTCTATTATTCAAATCTCTCACGTCGACATTTTTCGGCGCGACAATAGCCATATTTGCCATCTTATTCCAGTCATTATCTATAATCACATTTCCAAAAATCTCTTCAGCTAAGTCACCGTTACTAATAACATCCAGTGGTAATACCAACTGGTCAGTATCAATATTCCGTTTTCCGGAACCAATTTCTAATAAGTCCTTAGCAAATCTTTTTTCAGTTTCTAAAGCTCTCATATTCTTAGTCAACTTGAACTTCCTTACAGAAGCCCAATATTGACTTCTTTTTACTGTCAAATCACAAATCTCGGCTCTAGTGGCATGCTTCTGGATTGGCAAAGTCTGACGAAAATCGCCTGCCATCAGCATAATTTTGCCACCAAATTCTATACTATTATTCATAATCTCTTTCAATTTCAAATCTATAGTTGATAATGCTCTTTTATGAATCATTGGTGCCTCATCACAAATGAACATATCAACATTTTTCAATTCTTCCCATGCTCTTGAGCTTGGGCCTATTTTCGAATTGCTCATATCTAAATTCAAACCAAATCTATTATGCAATGTTCTACCTCCTGGTAAAAGCGTTGCCGCAATACCAGTATAGGCCATATTACTAATTCTCTTATTCATTCCTCTAATCAAATGGACAAGTGTACAAAGTACAAATGTCTTTCCTGATCCACCTGGTCCACTGAGAAAATAGAAAGCCATTTTCCCATCTGGATTGGAGATCCTATTCAAAATCTCATCTACTATTTCTCTTTGCTCGTCGTTTAGTAGCTCGTAGCTACGACGACCTATATCTAATTCTTCAGCAGCATTAAATTGCTCTTCAATACTATTAACTTGGTCTAAATCTAAACAATCCAGGTGGTTAATACCATCTAGTTGTTTCATAGTAGGAAAATCAGCAATTGATTTACCTGCCTCCAATATTCTTTTTACTATATCTATAAACGCTTTTCTATATGCAAGTTCAATACTAAGATTTTTTGCAAAATCCTCTGACAAAGCATCCTTGAACAAAGCCCAAAGTTCTTCGGGTTTTGCAGGATTGCAATGCACTAAAATCAAGGCAAATAACTCTCTCAATTTCCAAGGCATTTCGAAGTTGTTAGCTTCTTCTAATGCCTTCTTCCACTCATCATCATCTCTAATCAAACCTCTGGCTAAACATGCTTCCGCGAAGGTTGCACATTTTCTAATATTCAATATCAAATTATCTAATCTTTTTACAGTTCTCAAATCTTCATAGCTTGTAGCTCCTTTCACATTCAACAACAACAGCCGTAAGTGATAGCGTTCGGTTTCGGCTGGCGAAACCTTGACCATCCGACCAATTGTGTTGAAATGTGTCTTTCTCTCATTCCAAATTCCTTTTCTAAACACAAACTTCTCGGGAATCTCGTGATAAAAAAGATTCCGAGCTAGAGCACTATTCTTATTCAATTCAAAATATCCAATCAATTCAGAGTCATTTTCAATCTTTTCTCTAATCTCTTGCTCAGTCATATTCTCGTCGAAATAACACACGTGTTCACCGTCCAGATGGACAGGCAAAGTTGTGATGCTATGACTACGATCATATGTCTCAAATTCTAAAATTCTCCACACGGCCTCCTGCGGACAGACGTACCGTGCGTCTATAAATTCTTTAATCTCGTCACAATCATTTTTCTCTTCATAATTCATTGTAGCTCTATCTGGTAACTTGTGAACATATTTATGCAAATATTTCACAGAGGTCACACTGTTCACTTTCTCCACATTAATGTGGCAATTAAACATCTTTAACAAATAAGGGTTGTGTGGAACAACCCATCTATTATCAAGTTCATATCTCTTTCCTGCTGCAGATATTTCAACAGTTCTTCCATCTTTAGGTCTCGCATATAATGCTAAACCATTATCTAATACTAAAGTCTCTTGTTGAAAGGGTTTGGGATAACCCTTTGAACAACTTTTTATCTTTTTTCCATTCACTATTTTCTCTTCCATGCATGGGCAATTTGGATTCAAATCACCACATGGTCCATGGATCATAAACTTTTTGACTAATTCAAACAATTCATTATCTTTGTCTTTGTCAGGTAGTCTAGCACTAATTCCTCTATTCTCAACATCTTGAGAACTTGTTACTTTATCAAGCAAAGTCAAAAGCAAATGGATGTGCGGTAGTCCCCGTCCTTGGTTCTCTACCGGATACATCCAACAAATATCTCTGCCAAAAATTTTGGCCTTAGTTATCTCTTTCATCAATGCTTTAACTTTTAGATAGAATACTCTATCTACTATATCAGGTCTATCTGAAGGCACTTGTCCTTCATACAAATTCTCTTTAATCTCCTCCCATTGCGAATTGCAAGTCATTGTGACGAAAAGATCCGGTTTCCCGAACTTTCGCACTAATGACATTGCATCCTGGAAGTGCTTTTCTATATATCTCGGCGAGTTGGTCACCGTCGGAGGCAAAATAACTTTACGCCCCAACGGCTTTCCAGTTTCTCTCGCCCTTTTTTCTAAGTAACTGTCAACGTTCTTATAGGCATCAGCCAAGATCGTTTTCTGGTTACCTCTAATCCATCTCATTCTATCACTTTCAATCTTGACATATTCATCAACACAATACTGTTGAAAGAGTTTTCCCCCATAAAGAATGGGGTTAAACTCATTCCTAACTCCAATACTATAACTAACATACTGAAGTCTAGTCACTCTTCTAATACTATTTTTTGTCTAATATCTGGATGCCACCCTAACGTACCACGCGGAAAAAACAGCGGGTATGTCATGGGTGATACTAACTGGTTAGTATTATCCAGAATTCTAAGTTCTTTTCCTTTTTCTCGTACTACAATCTTAGCATTAGGCATTTCGCCATCTGCTCCAGGCACATAAACTGCTGCTACTTCATTAGCTCTTGGTACATTGTACCCTAATCTCCTGTCTAAGTTGGTTTTTGTATCAAACAAAAGACTAACCTCGACAGGAGGTCTATTTTCAAGTCTAGATCTTTCTTTTTCTTCATCCTCTTCATCCTTCATCATCCTGTATGCTTGCGCAAACGGGTTGATGTCTTTTATCAATTCATAAACATTTTTTAACAAACTCTGATTTATGACAGGGTTTGCTCTATTCATTGCACTAAGCGCTTGTTCTGTATCAACAATAAAGACTTGCCCATAAGCAGGCTCGTCTCCATCATCTGGATTCAATGCTAAGTTCAATTTATGATAAATCTGACCACATATGCGAAAGCAATATGGGCCTCTATTACTTGGATATCTATATCTAAGCGGATTCATGGAAGCCATGGAAACGCTACTATTCAAATTTCTAATACAATCAAAAAAGTTCTTGTATCTTGTATCAATTCTCAAAAACAAATTTTTCAGTAAAACTGGAAAATTGCTTTCTGGTATCAAATTCAAATTCACTTTACCATGATGGCAACAATTATTAAAGGAATTTCCTTTATTTCCAATCTTCTCTTCCGGAAAATGCAGTGCACCACAGTGGGTACACTCAACATTCATCCTTCCGAGTCTATTCACAATCACATTTCGATGATCACCGGCTGCGAACAACCGGATCTCATCTCTAAGTCTATTTCTATATCTATTTCTATATCTAATTCTTTCTTGTTCCAATCGTTGTTCATTTTCCTCTTCATCTTCATTTTCTCTTCTAATTCTCTTTCTAATCATATCTTGTTCCAATCGTTGTTCAGTTTCTTTTTCATCTTCATTTTCTCTTCTAATTCTCTGTCTAATCATTTGTTGTTCCAATCGTTGTTCAGTTTCTTCTTCATCTTCATTTTCTCTTCTGATTTTCTGCCTAATCGTCTGTTGTTCTAAACGTTCCATTCTTCGTTGTTGTGATTCATTTTCACGATTCTTTCTTTTGCGTTCTCTATCTTTATCAAGTCTTTGATTTCTTCTTTCCAGATTTTCTCTTTGCATATCATCAAAATTATTTTGAGCATTGTTTTGACTGGTTGAAGGGATATCGTCAATATCATCCAATACAATTCTTATATTGCCTCTCATTTTTATTTAATAAGACTAAAATTTAAAAATAAATCAACTATTAATTATTAACTATCAACTATTAACTCATCAACTGATAACCAAGATTTTCAACTTTGAATGTCAGCTATTAACTGTTAATCATCAACTTAATTTTTAACTATTAACTATTTTACTATATACTTTTTATATATTTTTTACTATATACTATAACTTTTTTACTATATATATATATACTACTGTTAGTTAATAATTAATAGTAAAAGAACTTTTTTACTACATATACTACAACTTTTAGTTAATAGTTAATAGTAAAAGAAATTTTTTACTATATATACTACAGCTGTTAGTTAATAGTAAAAGAACTTTACTATATATACTACAACTGTTAGTTAATAGTTAATAGTAAAAGAACTTTTTTACTATATACTACAACTGTTATACTACAACTGTTAGTCACTCTAGTACTATCAACTATTTAGTGTCACACAATGTCAAACTTTAGGACTATCAACTATTTAGCATCACACTATGTCAACCTTGCTAGTACTATCAATTATAAGCTATTTAGTATCGCACAATGTCAAACTCTAGTATTCTACTTTAGTACTCTACTTAGTACTACTCTACTTTAATAGTTAATAGTAAAATAACGTTTTTACTATATATACTACAATTGTTAGTTAATAGTTAATAGTAAAGGAACTTTTTACTATATATACTACAACTGTTATTTAATAGTTAATAGTAAAAGAACTTTTTTACTATATATACTACAACTGATATACTACAACTGTTAGTCACTCTAGTACTCTCAACTATTTAGTGTCACACAATGTCAAACTCTAGGACTATAAGCTATTTAGCATCACACTATGTCAACCTTGCTAGTACTATCAATTATAAGCTATTTAGTATCATACAATGTCAAACTCTAGTACTCTCAACTATTTAGAGTCACACTGTCAAACTCTAGGGCTATCAACTATTTAGCATCACACTATTCAACCTTGCTAGTACTATAAATTATAAGCTATTTAGTATCAGAAAATGTCAGAATCTAGTACTATCAATTAGTTAGTATCACACACTGCCAAACTATCTAGTACTACCAAATATCTAGTATCACACAATGTCAAACGCTAGTCAAAGTCAGCTATTTGGTATCACATAATTGGTATCACACTGTGTCGACATTGCTAGTACTATGAATTATCAGCTATTTAGTATCACAAAATGTCAAACTCTAGTATTATCAATCATCACACAATGCCAAACTACTTAGTACTACCAACTATCTAGTTCACACAATGTCAAACGCTAGTTAAAGTCAACTATTTGGTATCACAATATCAAACAATCTACTACTAAAAACTTTTGTATTACACTGGCAAACTCAAAAACTAAGACCTACCTAAAATTATGTAAAAAAACAAAACTCACAATAAAGCCACCGGCTAGACACTCGCTTTGAAATAGAAGATCAGCACCGAAAACAACCTGTTGGACAATCAATTTGTTTAAATAAATGATTTTTTTGATTTTGAATCTAAAAACAATTTTTAAATAAAACAAATTTTAACAAATAAAAAAACAAAACAATCAAACCACATCTTAAATACAATTAACAAACAAAAAAACAAAAAAAAATTGCCAAAAAAATAAAAAAAAAATAAAAAATTCAACAAAAAAAAAAAGAAAAACAAATTCTAAAAAATTCACATTCTTTCTTTACTTCTCTAAACACACACTATTTTTCATTTTGGGATATTTTGTCATTTTCAATTAAAAAATAAACACAACGCCAAACACAGCAAAATTCAAAGCTGCGGACAAACAAACAGACAAAGCATTCTAAAATTTAATATAGGATTATTTTCTGTTTTGTTTAAGTGCTATTAAATGACTAAAAACGAAAAGCAGATTTTATCAAATGACGAAAGATATCGAAACTATACCCCCCCCCCCACCGTTAAGTTTTTCTATGTATAAATAAACATTTGTGAAAGAAAAAAGTGTAAGTAAAACTGAGATTTACGTAAAATTTGTGATAACGCTTAAAAAGCTCCCCTACCCACTGGTCAATTAATTTTAAAAAGATTTGTTGACCCTATCTGAATAAGAGGGCGCTTTGATTTTTTTCATCATTTTTTTCCTACCTTAATATATAAATAATGGTCAGTCTTTTCTTCCTCGTTCGATTCCACTCTTTTTACCTGTGGCATATTCAAATGAAAGGACAGACAAAACATGGACGGATTCAAAGAGGAAGAAAAGACTGACCACGGACGGACTCGGACAGACAAAACACGGACGGACACAGACAGACAAAACACGGACGGACAGACAAAACACAGACAGACAAAACACAGACGGACAACAAACACGGACGGACAGAAACACGGACGAACACAGACAGACAAACACGGACGAACACAGACAGACAAAACTCGGACGGACACAGACAGACAAAACACGGACGGACTCGGACAGACAAACACGGACGGACACAGACAGACAAAACACGGACGGACTCGAACAGAAAACACTCGTGTTATGTCTGTCCGTGTGTGTGCGCTTTGTCTGTCCTCTCATTTGAATATGCCACAGGTAAAACGAGTGGAATCGAACGAGGAAGAAAAGACTGACCATTATTTATAATTTGATGTAGAAAAAAAATGATGAAAAAATCAAAGCGCCCTCTTATTCAGATAGGGCCGATTTGTTTAGAGTTTATTTAAAGTACATTAGAAGTAAGTAGAGTTACCCAAAACACCCTCTTACCTCTACCAGAAAACACAAACTTCTTTTTCAATTCCAACCCCGATCTGAAGAATTTAGTCAAAAGAACCCCCCCCCCCCCAATCCTAATCCCTTTATTTACAGCTTTAATTAATTTAAACATTAATTACCAAAAAATTAGCAAAAGGTGCAAAATCTTCAATTTCCATTCTCAAATGTGGAATAAGTGTTGGGGGAAATTTAAATAAAAATCCAAAAAATAAAAATAATAAATTGCTTAGAATTAATCCAGAAATTAACAAAATTAAAATTGAACGTCTATATCCATTTGAAATTAAATAGAAAATTGGAAGAAATAAAAATAAAATAAATTGAGCTTCTAATGATATTAAATGGCCAAAATTTAAACACTAAAAATTAAAATATTAATTTAAAAATAAAATTTGTTTTGACTAAAAAATGTGAGGGCGCTGTTTAAACATTAACTCTCATTTCGTGTATACAATTTCAACGTCATCCGGTATTTAAAACCGAGGCCGACATATAATTTTCAGTTAAAGTTAAGGGATGGTTTTACTTTATTTTTATCAAATATTTAACGATGGATGCTAAAAATAAAAAATAAACTCTAATAACTAAACTGTCTCTCTCGTACTTTTAATAATTCTCCCAAATTTTAAGAAAGTTTATTTTCTGAACAAAAATTGTCCAAAAAATTTGATAAAAAAGGACTGAGAAATTAATTTTTAAAAAATATTTATTTATCTTTCCTCAACTTTATATTTAATTAATAAACTTACAGTATGAGAATATCCCAACAAATTTTGTATCTTAAAAATTAAAAAAATTTTATTTTTAAAAAAAATTTTACAAAAAATATATTTTCTGGCCAATTATTTGAACATCTTTTTGCAATATCAGTTCTAGACCACATTGGCCCTTCACCCAAATGGGCAAATACAAAAGCCATTGAAAGCGTTATTAATGCATATATTGGCCAGATTCTTTTTAAAATAGGTAAATTAATTTTTATAAAAATATATTGTCGTTGGATGTAACGAGGAATTTAAGGGTTTCTTTAATCAGTTCCTACATCCAGTGGATACATCCAAAGTTTAAAAAAAGTATATTAAATAGAAGTGTGCTTTTTATTGGGGGTTTCTTATAAGGGAGGTTTTGATGATAATTATCCAAATTTATCCTCCACCCTTTTGTTTCTCTTCTGTTCACCAACCTAAGAAATCTTCTCCAAACAATTTGAATTAGTGAACGTTTAGGACATCGTTTACTTTCATTTACCGCTAACTGAAATAAATCTAAAGCTAAAAGAGTGTCCGCTAATAAAGTTGGGTTTAAGGCAATTTGTGCCGGCCATTTTTCCAATAAAGCATAATGATGGCCAGTATTTTCTTTGAAATAATTTTTAAAAAATAAATTAATTTTAAATTACCCAAATAAGGAAGGACAAGTACTTGAGATTGGCCTAAAACCAATAAAGAGGCAGCAATAACCTTTAAATAAAAAGTGTCAGTTGTGTCTATTTGGTGTAGTTGGTAAAGGCTAAGATAATTAATTTTTGAGGGAGGGGGTTCGAGTCCGTTTGGGGAGAAGTAGTTTTTTTGAACAATTTTACTTAACAAAAATATATTTTTTTTAATTTAAAAAATTTCAAAAAAAATTTTTTTACTTGAATTCCATGAATTGATTGAAAACGTTGATTGTCTTTTGGTTGTGTTGTCCTAAGAGAATGCCTTAAATGTATTTGAAGACAAAAAGCGTCAAATATCGGAGGAAATTGTAAATGATGAAACCAACGAAAGGCAGAAACAAACAACAAAAGAGACAACCAAAGAAGCAAAATTCCAACCAAAATAATACCGACAAGGGGCCATTGCCCTGGTGGTTGACAATTTACTTGGATTGGGTGATGCTCGGCAACATCTATGGAGGAAAATATGTACAGCTAACCTCTGTTTCGTTTAGTGTGTGTTTTTTAAAATGTGATTGGCTATGGTTGGGGGGTTGCCCACATTATGCTTTATTAATAGTACATCTACTTTTAGTTCACAACTAAATTTAGTGTAATGTATAATTTTGTTTTCATCCCCAAGAACACTTAAAACTGAATTATTTTAAGGAGACATTTCTGTTTCCTCTTTTCTCTTATATGTAATTTTTGATATTAAAAAAATTAGAAACATTCAACAAGTCCCTGAGTTTCTTCTGTTGAACAATTTGCAGGTAAACAAATTCCAAGCACAACTTCTAATGGATCTGTTCCCTTTTCAGGACATTGTTCAGGTCGAATAACCGCTCCAGGTACGTGGAATTCAAGTAAGCAATAACGGCCGTTGAACAAACCTTGACTGTAAAGAAAAAATTTTAATTACTTTTCTTGAAATTTAATTTAATAAGAACCCCCTTCCACTTGAATGCAACAAAATAACAATTTTTCTTGCTGTGTACCGGGGCTGGATTTTCTTCCGCTTCCGCATAATTTCGCTTTTTTAACCCTTCCGCCTTCCGCCTGCCGTTTTTTAAAATGGAAAATTCTCCAGTCCTGTTATATACGTTCCTCAGAACCTCTCTCCTATCCTAAATTACCTTACAAATTCCTTCTTTTTTCAGACAATCTAACAATAAATATCCAAAAACAAAAAAAAAGATTTCAGAGAAAGAAATTCCCAAAAATAGGGAATATTCAAAAGAGGTAAACTTAGACAATCAACACCATTAGAGGACAACATTTTTTGTTTTATTATTTTTAATGTCTTTTAAATTCGATTCCAAAAATTATTTATTGATCTTCTGGAATGGTCCGATTAATCTTGTTTTTCTCCCACAACCATTGCCTCCTCTCTCCCCAATGAAAACCCCCATTATTCCCAACATACTTTTTAAGCCTTTGACACTGTTCATAATCTCCTAGCCAATGATAATTTCCATCACTAATTCCCGACGGCATTTTCCCAACAGAATCTACCCAAGTCATAATCCATTTATTAACATTGTAAAGACGTTCATTTTCTTTTCGACATTTAACACATTGTTCTTTATTTTCTTGTCCAGGGCATTCCTCAGCCTTTAAGGAAGCTACAAAGCCCGTTAATGAACAGAATAAATGGGCGACTTCTGAACGGCATTCTGGTGATATTGTGGATAACCTTAATAGCTACAGTTACGTTTATGTATACATTATACATATTCCTCTCATTTATGTACCCTCTCAGATAAAATTATCTCTTCTAACGAGAAGTTGAATTTTTTAAATTTTTTTAAAGCAAAAATAACCTAGATCCATTTTGACAAAGCCACTCAATTGTTTCCGACGTTCTAATTAATTTTTGAATGGATGGCACACGAAATTGATCCAACGGTTTAGGCCTAGCGGGGATATGTAAAGGACATAGAAGACAACAATAGGAATTGCTTGGTATATACAACAAAAGAAAGGCAAATAAAAATAGTCTTCTTGAAATAATTTTAATTAAGTTATTAACTCAAAACAAGATCGAAAAATAAAAGAGAGATCACATAAACATTGAAAATCTATGGGAAGGGGAATGCTTATTTGAGAAGGGAAAAAGGGGAGTGAATAAAAGGGGAAAATAAAGGGGGGGGGGTTCTCTCTGGAACAAAACAAAATTTAGGGAAGGAACGGTGTGGGGGAAGTTAATATCCTGCAATTATTTTGTTACAAATTTTCGAGAAACAAAAGAGAAAAAAGGCAAAGAACAAAGAAAGTAACCACCTCTTTTCGATCTTGTCAAAACAAAAATTAATTAATTAATTTACCTAATATTTAACTGTTCTTCAAAAAGTTGCATTATTTTAAATTAATTAAAACGTTGTTAAAAAGCCTAGAGCATACACAGGTGCAAATTTCAAGTCGATAAATGGAAGCAAAGAAGGGGGGAATTGAATGGAGTGAGTGATTGGTAGGAGGATTGAATGCTAAAAATGTTCTCGATTTTCTCATTTATTTTTATTACTTTTCTTTTTTTCATCTGGGTCCAATAAAAATTTTTTTCTTTTTTAATTGATAATGACAGGGACACAATCTCTCCTTTTGAAAATAAATAAGGGGAGGAAGGAGGGGGGGGGGGGGGAAGGAAAGATGAACTCATTAATTTATCTTTTATTTTTCTGTCCTTTCTAGTAGTCATATTTTACCTTTTCTTTGTTTTTATAAATTTTATTTTTATTAGAAAAGCGATAAAATGTGATAAATTAAAAGAGAATTTCTAATTAATTTAAAATAAAGAAACATGCTTAAATTTAAGGACAATTCACAGAAAAAGACAATTAACCGACAAAAGTCGATTTATCCGAAAAATTTGGGTGTGTCGATGTTTTTTGGAACGGACTTTATTAGTAATAAATATGTAGCTCTAAGTTTGTTACAGACAAATATTGCTATAAAATAAACCCTTGGGACTGAAATAATCATAATTAAAAATGTATCGGAGGTATCGCTTAAGTTGCTTCATTATCCAATAAATAACCAAATTTTCATGAACGTATCTTAAATAAAGAGGGGCTATACTTAGTTAGTATTGAGAGTATCTTTTAAAGAGGTCAGAGTGTATTAATTTCAATTGAATGATATTTTTTAGGTGAATTGTCAACTTTAAAATGACGGGAATTGAAAATAATGTGACAGTAACTCTACAATTGATAAATTCTGCAAATAAATGAATGCTAAATCAAAAAAACTAAAATTGAATTGTGTATAATAAACTTACATTAAATAATGTATTTTTGTCAGAAATTTTTTTAAAAAGAACACTTACTTAATATTTATAAATTTCTTTATCTATTTTTATTTATCGATAAAAATATTTTTTTAAATTTATGAGTAATACAATTAACATTCGTCAGAAGAAACAGCTAATTTAAAGAAATTATCTCCTTTTCTAGGAAAATAAATACATTTTTGTTAATTGTCGGTTAAAGCAATTGTCCATTGTGCAAATGTCATTTAACCGATTAAACATTTAAACTTGAAAATATTTGGCATTATGTTTCTAATTTTTGATATTGAATGTCGGGGTACAGCCCAAAACAACGCGGGCCAAAACTACGCGACCGAAACTACGCGACCGAAACTACGCAGGCCAAAACTACGCAAGCCCAAAACTACGCACGCCCATAACTACGCAAAACTAACTACGTAGTATATTTACATAATTGAATATTAAACAGTTCATCTAAATTATTAGATATATAAATATTCATCAAATTTATCAAATATAAAGTATTTTTACAAAAAAATTTTCAATAAGATGTGACCAAGCTTAATAAGCAGAAAATATTAAAAGACTATTTGAAAAAAACAATTTTTTATTAATTCTTTAACCTTATACCAACTAGTTTGTAGTAGTAGTACATACTAACTAGTAATAGTCCTAGTAGTCTCATTATACTGAACTAACTAGTACTAGTCTCCTTATACTGAACTGTCAACCCATAGATAAGGGAGGGGTGATTAAAAGTAATGGAATTAGATCAAATTTAAAATATTCGCTATAAATATTGCGCTTTTAGGCGCACAGTTTTACACACATTAAAAATTTTGTCGTGCGTAGTTATGGGCGTGCGTAGTTTTGGGCTTGCGTAGTTTTGGCCTGCGTAGTTTCGGTCGCGTAGTTTCGGTCGCGTAGTTTTGGCCCGCGTTGTTTTGGGCGTGTCCCTGAATGTCGCTGTTTGAGTGCCAACGATTAATCGTTAAGTCATTAATCTTATCAGCTTTTAAGCTAATCCGATCATTATAAAAAAAGTTACAGACGAAAAACTGATTTTTCCTGCCTTTGACGTCGTTTATCAGCGATAATTTTTTGTAGAATGAACAGATCTGATTAGTCCAATTATGAAAAAAGATGCAGAACCCCGAAACCTATCAAATCATATATAAAAATTTCTATAATTTTGATCAAACAAAAAGACACTGAGGCGTCCCCTTCACCAATTTTTCTATTTTTTCGCTAATTATCAGCTGTCTATTTAATTATTTACTAAATTAAATTTGTTTTTTTTAAGATTTGGACATTTTATCTATACAAATTAAATGAATTATTTATAAATAATGCGCTTTACAAGGAAATGTTTTTCTTCAATTTTTGGCACTGCAATATGTAATAAATTAGAGCAATATAGTCAATATAGACCTTCTTCCCTGACTATTCAACAAGTTTAGTTTTTAATTTTAAAAAATATTTTTTTATTTGAAAGTATCTCGATTTTGGACTACATGGGACAGCAAAAACGTCTTTTTCTTTTCTAAAAACAGAGCTTTTGGTTCGTCTCGCCAACATTATGAAGGTAAAAAAACTTCTTTCACTCTCATATTTGTTCTTATTTGGGGAGTATTTCAATTTTTGGGTAAAATTTCGGTATACGACACAGACGCCGATTAAGTCGAATGATATGTCATTCGAAAGAGCTCGTCGAGTTGAGTCGAATGCTGAAAAAATTTTCGCGCGGACTCATAGAGGGGCTGAGATATAGGCCCCCGAAAATCAAAAAACCAAAGGGGGGACCAAGCACTTTTTTTTGGGGTGAAAAATTCGAAAATGCAAATTATACCTCATTCGAAAGAGCTCGTCGAGCTGAGTCGAATGACACCAAAATCAACGAAATCCGACTTGATTGGACAAAGTTATGATCTTTTATTTTAGCTCCTTACCTATGGCGTCTGAGGAGATTTTTGCTGCTACGGAGGCCCCAAATACGTCCAGAGCAAGGGAGATAGGCATAGGTTTTTGTTACGAGCCCAGACCCAGCGCCCGTAGACTCCCCGCGAGGCGCGTGCCGCAAAACCCCGCGCGAAGCGCGGGGTTTTGCACAAGCGCCTCGCCGACGCCCCATAGGTTTAGGTTTTAGTTTTTCTATCGTAACTTTGTCCAAACTTGTACAATCACGATGATTTTGATGTCATTCGACTCAGCTCGAGGAGCTCTTTCGAATGAGCTATTATTTGCATATTCGAATTTTTTACCCCAAAAAAGTGCCTGGTCCCCCCTATGGTTTTTCGATTTTCGGGGGCCTATATCTCAGCCCCTGTATGAGTCCGCACGAAAATTTTTTCACCATTCGACTCAACTCGACGGGCTCTTTCCCAATTTTTGTTAGTTGAATGGGATATGTTGTTCTCCGACGGGAGAACAAAATTCCCCGACGGGAGGGGCAGGCACATAGCCACTATTCCTTCCCTGACTGTGTGCAGGGAAGACTGGAAATTTCTGTGAACTTTTACTGTCAAAATTTAAAATTTTTCTTGAGAAAATTTTTAAAGATAAATTTCGGGGACATGCCCAAGTACAAAACGAACAAGAACAATTTAACTTTTTTACATCTTTTTTTATAGGAGATTGAATTGCTTCCCCCATCGTTGCTTAACACTTCGAGGTTTTAGAACCCCAAAATATTCAAATTATTTTTCAAACTTTTTCAGTGCTCGTCAAGTGTCAGAATGGTACAGGAGATCCTTTCAGGAATTGCTTTGTTTTGAAAGTTCAAAAGGGGACGATCAGGATATATTTAAGTGTGAAGCGATCTCCTAATAACGGGGTACTACAATTATTGTTGCAGATTCAACGATCAGCTCCAAGTCATTTTGAAACGACACAGCAATGTTGTGCAGGTTTGTTTAAATGCCAAAAATATATTTTCGGACCTGAGGGGTTTTTACTAACTTTTTTAGTCTGACAAGACAAGTGACAAAATTCTTGCCAGAATTTCTTATAAAATTCACTTTTCGATTAAGATTTTTATTAAAATTTCTCTTCCTTTTGGGGTTTCCATTTGAAATTCTGGCAATTGTCCTAATCAGCTTATTTTTGAAAATTACCCCCAAGTTTTCCAAAAAAAGTTTATTACCTTTTTTCCAATCAAAAAGACAATGGCAGAGGGTTTAATAGAACTAAAATCATCTGGTGGTGTAGACATTGGAAGTGAACAAAGCATTCAATATTTCCTTGATCGCTTCTATTTGAATCGAATCTCCATTCGAATGCTTCAATATCAACATTTGGTTGTTTTTGGCTCAGTTTTACCAGAATCTCCTAACCATGTTGGATGTATAGATCCAGTTTGTGATGTAACTTCCGTTGTTCAAGATGCCTATGAAAATGCTCGATTTCTCTGTGATCGTTATTATTTGAATGCACCACAATTGGAATTGGATTGTTTAAACGCCCTTTCGCCGGGTAAAAAATTGTCTGTAGTAATTGTGCCGTCACATCTTTACCACATTATGTTTGAATTATTTAAGGTTTGTTATATTTAATGAAGAGGTTTTTCTTTAATTTTTTATATTAGCTATAGGAAAATTTAAAACATAGGAAAAATTAAAAAATTGCTTACTACAATATGTATTGTGCCTTGGGCGTTGAATTTCTCAGCGAATAAATAAAAGAAAGTAGTGAAAGCGAAATCGGAGAGTGGGGGAAATAATAGGGGGATGGCAATTTCTTTATGATTTTTTATCAATATTTTTACCTCTGAAATTTTTTTTAATTTTTAAAGAATGCAATGCGTGCAACGGTGGAACACGTTGGAATGGATGAGGATTTACCTCCTATAAAAGTTAGAGTAGTGCGAGGTAATGAAGATCTCTCAATAAAGGTTTTTAAAATGGAATTTTCTAAAAAAAGGTTTTTATATTTTAAAGTTAAGCGATAAAGGTGGTGGAGTCCCTAGAAGTATTATAAGTCGATTATTCGATTATATGTATAGCACAGCACCACCCCCTCCAAGAGATGGAAGTCAAGCACCTCTTGTATGTTTTTTTTACTTTTAAAAAATATTTTAATTTTTTAGGCTGGTTATGGGTATGGATTGCCTTTGTCTAGGCTTTATGCACGATATTTTCATGGAGATATGTTTCTCGTTTCGATGGAAGGATATGGAACTGACGGTTTTTTACTTAAAACATTATAAATAACAAGGGAGAAAATATTAATATAGGAATTCAGAAAACAAATTTTTTGAGGAGAATTGAGAAAATGACTTTCATTCGTGTTTTGTCGTAGGTTAAAGCCACCACTCGATCGAAACTTATGGAATTTTTTAGTCCCGGTTTCTGCTAAATTCTTGGGATCTGTGGAACTAATTATCATTCTAATCTTTTGGCTTCGTCCTTCTGTTTACTTTTCCATTTTTAGCTTGTGTCTATCTAAAAGCAGTTTCTGTAGAAGCACAAGAAGTACTTCCCATCTTTTCGGCATCTTCTAAACAGCAATTGACACGTGGACCTTTAATTGGTGATTGGACGGGTACAACACATCACCATTTTGGGCCTAGACTATAAAAAAAGTAATAAAAATTCAATCCTCTTTTTTGAATAATCTAAATTCCTTCCCCTTTAATTTTTTTGGTGCTACTTTAAATTTGTAATAATAATTTTCTGACTGTAATTATAATTGATATTTTTTATTTAGAGACTTAAAAATGTTTAGAAAATTTTAAGATTTACTATTAGTCAGAAAATGACTACATCCTCTTAAGTATTAAATTAGAAAAAAGCCCCGGACTCTGGTCAAAATTTGTATTTTTTGGTTTTGTCCTAGTAAAAATCTATTCATTGTATTTAATAGTCCCCAATTTTCGATATTAACACTGGAACTTTAAGTGGATAAATAAAATAAGTTAGAAGATAGGACAGATTTTGTTAGATTTTATTCTTCATTAACCTAAAATTTCAGATTATAACCACAACAAAGTTCCAACGCTTCTATATAATTTAAACGTTTTTATTGTAGATACTCTTGTTTAATTAACTCAAATATAGTAATTTTTATTAAAATATTTAATGAATAAAATTTCAAATATTTTAATAATATTTTTAAATAAATTTTTTTGAATGGGATGAAGTTCCCTAAACTATTTTTTGCAATTAAAATAATTATAAGATAACACAAGTAAATAATTAGTAAGAACTTTTTAACAAATTATTTTCTTTAACCTTTTTTTAGTTAAAAAGGAAATTATCATTCCAGTATACCCTACCCCTCATATCCATTTTGGGGTACAGCCCAAGTAGGCGCGCGGCCATAACGGCGCAAAGCGATAACTTGCTCCAAGATTTCCGAATCTCACCAAATTTAGTATTAAACGATTCCTCTCATCGAGCTAAAGGTATTGGTACCAAATTGATAAAAGACAAATTTTCCAGAAGTTATGGCCGCGCCCTACTTGGGCGTGTCCCCCATTTTCACCATTTTTAATTTGTCGCTATTTAAATTAAATGACAAAATATCCCACCCAATAATTTAATGAGTAATTTTAGGAAATTTTTTAATTTTTTTAGCTAATTGTTCTTTTTAATTTTATTTGTTTTAGATTGTAATTATTTACTAATTGTAATTAGACTTCAAAAAAAGAAATTATAAAATGGTTAATTAATTTAATTTTATTATTTATTTTATATTTATTATTTCAAGGGAGCAACTACATCTTCGCAATTAGAAAAGGACCTTGGGGCAGATCAGGCTTTAGCTAATGAACATTTTTATGGACTTGTTAATGTTTGTTTTTTCTTTAGTTTATTTTTAGCATTTCTCATTTATATTAAACCCTTTAATTTTTACGTGAGCTGTAGTTATCTGTGGGGATTTTCTTGAAAATATTTGTGTATAGACAAATTTAACGATAGATCCTTTTCGATAAAATTATAGACTCTGGTCTTCAACAAATTTTCAAGAGAGAATTTTAGAAATTTACTTCCCACACCTTATTCATTTGATTGCCTCGGCAAAATTTTCTAGCAGTATACTAACACTAAAATTACTTTTCCTCTACCTCTTTGTAAAATTCTTTTAACCTTGTTTCGAAACACAGTTAGACCTGTTCTGTTAATAAGGACAGTAATGATATTAATTAAATATAAAATTAAGTATTTATTGCGCTTATTAAAAGTTAATATTTTTTAGTTTGGCAATACCTGCTATGCAAATTCCGTCATCCAAGCTTTATATTTCTGCAAGCCTTTTCGTGAAAAGATTTTAGCTTATAGACAATCCCATAAAAAATCAGGTTAATTTTTTAAAATTATTTTTATTAAAATATTTTTTAAGGAATTCAAAAAGAGAATTTACTTACTTGTTTAGCCGACCTTTTCTCTAACATTTCTAGTCAAAAGAGACGAGTTGGAACAATTGCCCCAAAAAGATTTGTGACAAAATTGAAACGAGAAAATGGTTTTTTTTACTTTTTTGTGTAACCTCTTCACCTTATTTTCCTTCGTTTTATCTCTGAAAACTAAATAGTCAAAAGCGATTAATTTGAGTAGTTCCCGGAGCTGGTTCAAAATTTCCAATTTTCAACTATTTTTTTAGTTTCAAAAAAGCTTTGGTTGTTCCACAGATAGCAAGGGGGTATAGTCAAAAGCGAGCTTTGGTTGTTCCACAGATTGGTTGTTCCCCCTGAAATGCGATCCTTATTTTGTCCTTACAGGTCATGCTTATTTATGACAATTTCGTTTTCCGTGAAGATTTCAAACCGTCGAGCCGAGCTTTGAAATCCTTATTATTCACACAACTTTTCACGAAAAGCAAAAAGATTAATTAATCCGTTTTGAGCAATTTATAGTAGTCAGATAAAACAGTTAGAAAATAAGGTAGAAGAATTAAAAATGACCCCATAAAGTTTAAAAATTTCAAAAAATTCTTTAATTACAGAATTATTTGACAATTTTATGCAACAAGACGCCCACGAATTTTTTAATTTTTTGTTAAATGCAATATCTGAAGTTTTGGCAGAAGAAAAAAGGAAAGAGCACACAAATGGAAATATCAGTAGCAGAACTGCTAATGGACTAACAAAACGATCAAATTTAGTAACGGCAAATGTTCATGATTACTCTGCTAGGTTTTTTCTTTAAAAATATTTTTTAAATTTAATTTTTAGAAGCACAGATGGTGTCAGACAAGACTTGACTTGGATCCATGAAATCTTTCAAGGGACACTTACAAATGAGACTAGATGTTTAAATTGTGAGACAGTTAGTAGTAAAGATGAAGATTTTCTTGATTTGAGTGTTGATATTGAACAGGTTTTTTTTAATTTTTTAATTATATTTTTATTGATAAGTAAGCAAAATTAATTTTATTTTGTTGGTACTATCTGAAATTGGTTGACGTTTCCCACGATACTTTAAAAAATTTGAGCTTTACCGACGAAAATTTTTACCAATTCATTTATTAAAAGTTTTATTATTACTGACATAAAATTTTAATTAAATTAGTAATTTTTTTAAATTTAGGATGTTTCTATTAGTAATTGTTTGCGCAATTTTTCTAATATGGAAACCCTTTGCGGTGATCAAAAATATTTATGTGAAACTTGTGGAAGCAAACAGGTTAATTTTTGAAAGTAAATTCTTAATTTAAAATTAATTTTAAGGAAGCCCAAAAACGAATGCGAATAGGAAAATTACCAAAATTGTTGGCATTGCATTTGAAACGATTTAAATATGTTGAGACTTTGAATAGACACACAAAGCTTTCTTATAGAGTTCTTTTTCCTATGGAGCTTAGATTACCTAATGTTGTAAGTTTTTTTAATTAAAATTAATTTTGATTTTTTAAGTCGGATCTCTTTATTAAATAACCCAATATTAGATACACTATGCTTTTAATGTTTTTTTTTTAATTTGGGTGGCCATTGGGTAAGGGAGATGTCTAAGCGATATTTTTTATTTAAAATAACCTCATTATAAAAACTAGGAGGATTCAGTCATTACAATAATACCAAACTTCGAGGGCCCATAACTATCCAAAAATAGCCCCTTGCCAAAAATAGTGGCAACTTGGCGACTGAATGATATCAAAAAATACGAAATTAGTTCCTTTATAAACGATAGATACCTTTTATTTAAACTATCCCTCATAAAACATGTCTTTTTTACTTTCGAGAAGATATCTAAAAATGGGGTTTTATATTTATTTTAAAGAAAAGCACCAATGGCGATGCTGATAAAATTTTTGATTTGGTTGCTGTTGTTGTTCATTGTGGTTCAACTCCAAATCGAGGACATTATATAACTTTGGTTAAATCTCATTATTATTGGTTACTTTTTGACGACGACATTGTTGATGTAAATTTTTTTTTTTAAATATTTAAATAAATATTTTTACAATTTCTTAATTGTTGGATCATATAATAATTTGTTTATTAAAAGAAATTTGTTAAAATAATTTTCTGAGATGGTTATTTTAATCTGAATTTTTTAAAATCAAAAAGATTAAACCCTCCTTAAACTCTTTATTTTTTTTAGAAATTAGAAGAATCTTCTATTGAAGATTTTTTTGGATTAGCTGAATCAAATGTACAAAAGAATTCAGAATCTGCATATATTCTCTTTTATCAACAAAGAAATGAGACTTAAATTAATTTTAAAAAATTCTAACCGCTCATTTGTTTTTTGTTTATTAAAAAATTAATTATATATTTTTAGGCCCTCGAAAGAAATTTATATATATTTAATATATGTTTATTATTAGTTTATGTAAATATATTATTTAATTATTTTTTCTTAAATTAATTAAAATTGAAAGTAATTAAATAACAAAAAAATATATTTTTTTATCAAAAAAGCCCAAAACGGTCAAAACCCATTTATCTAGCTCTATTATGACCGAAAAAATGTCTTATAATGGCGAAAACATTAAACAGCCAAATGTTGGATGGTTTTTCTCAAGAAAATATATTACTGAAAACGATGCTTATTTATTTGATAAACAAATAGCTACAATTTGTGCAAATTATGGAAAGATTGGATTTTCTTTTATTACTTACCCAATTGGGGGTATTTATCGGTATAATTGTCAAATAAATAAAAATAGAAATGCTCGGCCTATTCACCTTCCAGGTTTTTTTTGAAAACAATTATTTTATAATGTTATTTGTTAGATTTGCAAATGGGGATTCAATTTTGGCAAAAATATGTTAATTGTGCATTGTCTAGTTGGATTGTAGGTTTTTTAATAAATTTTTTTAATTGGGAAGGAATTTTGTTTTCATTTTTGTCTGTTATAATTATTTGGTAACCACAATGTTTGTACTTATCGGTTAATCCTTTTTATCTACATTTAAGGAAGAGAATGCGTTGATCTGAAGTAAAAACTTCAGGGGATGACCGATAAGTTTTTGGAGTTCTCCGCGCCTATCATAAAAATTTAATTTTAAAAGGCTTGGGGATAATTGATTTCCTTTTAGGATCCAGATTCTCCAGATGAATGGATTGCTGATTTTTCTGCACAAGAATTTAAAAAAGTTTTTTTTCTAAAAATTTTTTTGTAACAAAAATAATTTAGGAAATGGATTATGCTAGATATTTAGGAGTTAATAATGTTTTGATTGAATTGAAACACTCAGAATCTCCAAAATTGGCAAAATTAATTAACAATTTTTTGGATTCTTCTAATTGTGAATTGAGGTTATTCTTTCTTTTAATTTTTTTTAAAATTTTTATTTAAAAGTTTTTGGATTCTTCTCCCAACAAACTCTTATCTTTTTAAAAATGAAGATTGTTGGCTTGTTTGGAGAAATTTTCGAACACTTTGTAATAATTGTAACCATTTATTTGTTGGGTTGGCTTTTACTGAGGATTTGGGGGATGAATTTGCATCTTATAAACAAATACAGAGGTGGAAAGCTGAACCGGTAAAAAATATTTTTTTCGGTATTTTAAAACGAGTGTGAAAACGACTTTGAAAAACAGTTGATTATTTTTGAGGAATCCCCTAGGTTCTTCTCTGCTATAGGACGTCTTTTTCGCTTATCCGCTCATTTTTTCCTTTTTCAGTAAATATAATTAACAAACAAAATTAAAATAATAATTGTTTTAATCTAATTTTTAAGCTTTCTTTTATTCGAATTGACTACTCACTTTTTGTTCGAGGAAATGGATCAGAATTAAAACTTACAGAGTAAATTTAATTTTAAAAATTTAAATAAAATTAATTTAAAGTGTCCATTCAAAATTGCTCAAAAATTTATTTTTAAATAATCAATGTCAACATTTACTTTTATCTTCACTTAATTATGATGAATTAAATGAATTAGTTTTTGAAGAAATGTTAAATGGATCTCTTGATTGTATAAAAGAAAATAATTGTAAAAGAGTAATCGAAGAAGAATTTTTGGATGAATATATGGATGTTTTGCAGGTTTAATTTTTATTCGATGCGATCTTTAATGAAAAATACGAACTGGTACTCATGTTACGCGGTTACTACAACGACATCAGTGTCGAATGCTTTTTCGAGTGTCAAGTATTATGTGTCCCTATCGAAATAAGATAATACATGATATCCCTTGCTCAGTCAGCACTCGCCACGGGTGTCACTTTTTGTTTAAGGAATCTTTAATACGATTTCCCTTGGAAAATATTGAGGAAACCGAACGTGGTAGAAGGATTCCAATTCAATATTCTCTTTTTCAGATTCCCCTTCAACCATTATCTAATAGCCTCGATTCTTCTGTTTATAATACTTTTGAACAAGACAAACCAAAATATTTGCAATACCAAAAAGCAATCAAAACTGCATTAGAAGACCTTTTATTACAAAATTTTGAAAATATTATTTTAATTATTTTGGGTGCTGGAAGAGGGCCTTTAGTTAATGCTTCTCTTTCAGCTATAGCTGAAGCTAGAAAAACTTTTAAATATCAAAAAGAATTTTCTGTTAAAATTTATGCTGTCGAGAAAAATCCAAATGCTATAATTTCTTTACAATATTGCAATGAGGAAAGGTAATTAATTAAATTGTTTTTATGATAAGTTTAGGGGAGGAATGATGGAGAGTACATTTAATTAAGAAAAATTCTTTTATTTTTATTAAGTGGAAATTTAATGTTTTCTTTGTGGAACTGTCTAAATTTTTGAAAAAAAATTATTTTTGTTATAGTTTCTCCTAAACAAAACCCCCTAAACATTTCCATGTTCATTCACAGCAATCCTTGTCCTTTCCTATTTTTCGTTTATTTTGTTCTCTGTTTGTTGGACCTTCGGGAATCTGGATATACAGGCGGGTTTTTTTATCCGCTCCAAAATTATTCAATTAACCACTTGCTCTGGAACAGTCTACTCTTTTTCTATTTTTTACTATTTTAGATGGAAGAATTCTGTTTCCATAATTCAGAGTGATATGCGTTCCCTAACTTTATTTTTAGAATCAAAAGAAATTGAAAAACCAGATATTGTTAGTTTACTTAATATTTTAAATTTAAAGTTAAAAATAAATTTAAAAAAGATTATTAGTGAATTATTGGGATCTTTTGGAGATAATGAACTTTGCCCTGAATGTTTGGATGGAGTTAATAATATTTTGAAAGAAAATACAATTTGTATACCTTCTTCGTATAGAAATTTTTTGAGTGAGGGATTTTTTTTATTTTGAATATTTTTTTTGTAGCACCAATTCAATCTTTACGTTTATATCAAAATATTAGAGATTTGAAAAGTAACAATAAATGTAATCGAGTTAACGAAATGCAAGTTTATTTTATTAAAATATTAATTTGGGTTCCTTAACGATTTTTTAGCTTGAAACATTTGATCCATCCAGTTACTAGTTGATTAAAGTTGGATGACCCTAGTTGTACCCCCAACTCTTTTCCTCTTTTTTTGTTTAAATGAGAAATTATTGTAATAATTCCTTTAAAATATTTATTTTTTCAGAAAAGAATGTTCAGAATTATCAGATCATTTGTATGTTGTTTGTTTAGGTCAATTCTGTTATTTAGACAAAACAAAACATTGTTTTGAATTTTTACATCCAAATTTAACAAATTCTTCAAATTTTCGAGAAGCTTCTTTAAATTTTAGAATTCCAAAAAATTCAGAGGTTTTGACTGAAAAATTATTAAAAAAAATTTTTTTTTAGTTAATGGGATTTGCGGCTCATTTTGAAGTTGTTTTGTATAAAAATATTATTTTAAGTACTCATCCAGAAAGGCACACAGAAAATCTTTTTTCTTGGTAAATAAAATATTTAATTTTTTAATCATTAATTATTCCCCTCTTTGTGAAAAAAATAATGGCACAAGAAAGAGAAGGAATTGGCAAATATGAGGGGAGGGATTGACTTTTTAAGAATTATTTTTTAACAAAATGGGGACCCCTGTTTGCTATTTTCATTAAATTAAATTCTACCATTATTTGAAATTTTTTTTGGTATTCTAAACTGTTTATGTACATCCCGATCTGCCGCAACCAACTTCAAGAACTGAATCGAATAACAAAGCGTCTGAAATTCAATAATTTTGAACATAAAGCCTTGTGATGAAGTTGGCTCGCGGTGAAGGGGTGTAGTGAAATGGAGGAGAAGATTAATATTAAAATTTAATTTTTTAAAAGGTTTCCCGGTCTCTTTCCTCTTCGCAAACTCTTATTTTGTGCAAATGAGTGTAATATTTTATTTAATATAAAAAGAAAATTTGATAAAGAAAAAGTTTGGTATGAATGGTTTATTGAATATGAGGTAAATTAAATTTTATTATTTTAAAAATTGTTTTTTAATAGGAAAATGGGGAATTAATTAAAAGTGAATTGCAAAATGAAAATGGGGAAAGTCAATCAATGAATTTGTCTTAACAATTATTTTTTTATAAAATTTTATGATACTTTTAACAATTATGCTTTTTTTTGATTTCTAATACTTAAAAATGTATGAAGATTGGAATTAAATAAAATTTAATTTATTTACCAATTAATTTAGAAAATAAAGCAAATACACAAACTTGTATTAAAAATCAAAGCTTTACATTGCCTTTAAGTTTAAATAATGACTTCTAAAATTGAATGTACGGTCCCTAATCAAATCGACAGGTATCGAATCCAAGAATCTAGAAGCCATAGAAAATTCACTCACTGAGATTTAAGTCCTACCCGGATCCCTTTAATCTTTACCATCTTCAAGCAAACATTACGAGAACTTTTTTTAGCTTCTGTGTGGTCATAGCTAGGTTAAAATCTTAACTCAGAATAATTAAAAGAAAATAAATCAGAATTTGTCACTCTAGCAAACTCCATTAATTCCTCCCAATTACCACAAGCTAGAAGAAAAAAGTATGTAAAAATTGTTGTTGTTAATATTTTTTTAATTTAAGTTATTAGAAAATGAAGATTGGAATTAAATAAAATTTAATTTATTTACCAATTAATTTAGAAAATAAAGCAAATACACAAACTTGTATTAAAAATCAAAGCTTTACATTGCCTTTAAGTTTAAATAATGACTTCTAAAATTGAATGTACGGTCCCTGACCAAATCGACAGGTATCGAATCCAAAAATCTAGAAGCCATAGAAAATTCACTCACTGAGATTTAAGTCCTACCCGGATCCCTTTAATCTTTACCATCTTCAAGCAAACATTACGAGAACTTTTTTTAGCTTCTGTGTGGTCATAGCTAGGTTAAAATCTTAACTCAGAATAATTAAAAGAAAATAAATCAGAATTTGTCACTCTAGCAAACTCCATTAATTCCTCCCAATTACCACAAGCTAGAAGAAAAAAGTATGTAACAATTTTTTACTTTATTTAAACCCATAATTCTATTTACATATATTTAAGTAACGTAACAATTTAAAAACAATTTTTGTTTATTAATCCAAACAGATAATTTTTCAACAGATTCACTAACCGATAATTTCAATTCATTTATGTGTAATAACTTAAATTAAAAAAATATTAACAACAACAACCCCCCCCCCCCTTCCTCCACTTACCAAAAGTTGAATAGCAGAAACAAAGTTTTGACTAATATTTGATGTTCCATTGAATGTTGAAAGTTGTTTTGTTTGAATAAAAAGCCAATTTACTTTAAAAAAAATTTTGAAAAAAATAAAAAAAAATTATTTACAAATTCGTTCAAGTTCTGAATCTTTTGAGATAGACATAATTGCTGCAGATGCTAAAGCTTTAATTGAATAAGCAGGAATATAGAGAAGTAATGTTAACTAAAAAAAGAAGAAAAAGTTAAAAAAATTATTCTTTAATTTTTACCAAATTAGGCAAAAATGGCTGCAAAGAATAGTGAAAATCATCATTTAAACTTGAAATATGAGGTCGAAGATGAGTTAAAGTAATAAGCAAAGGAAATGCAAGAAATAAATGTTTACATCCAAATTGAGGAATTTTGTTATTTTTTTCATCAAGTCCATCAGATATATAAGACATTTGTGAAAGGAAAAATTCATACAAAGATGGATATCTTTTTAAAAAATTAAATCAAGTTAAATTTAAAGTACACTTGGGAGTCTTGGGAGTAGAGACATTGGTCTTATAAAGAGAGGTACCTTTGAGAGCTCGGTCCCCATTATGGTTTTACGATTTTCAAGTGACAAATCTCGATCCTTAGGTACCGGATTAACTCCGACCACCCCTAGTTCGATTCAGTTTCTGAACATTTTTGAATATGTTTTTTCTATTGTTTTAATTACTGGTAGTTCCCAAATTAAAAAGTATTTAGTATTGGGGGTATCTCTTATAGCAAAGTCTGGCTCTTTAAAAAACAAAGTTAGTTATTCCATTCCTCTACCTTTTAAAAAATTCATTTGATGTTTGTTTACATCGGGTTTCAATGTGTAAAGTTCGTCTTTCTACTGATGGTGTTCCAAAAATACGTTTAATAAGAGCAGCAAAAAGTTGAGTGTGTGCATTTCTAACCTGCCAAATTTCTGAAGATGATCCATTAATTGTAAGACGGAATGCGCATTCAATATGAGGAAGAACAAGCTCTGCAAATTTTGAATGCATGAAAAGAAGGCGGAGAACGTTAATGCAATGGATTCTGAAGGGAGGAAAAATGATTAAAGTATTAATACCCTCGGATACACCCCAATATAAGATGCGCTCCAAGTGTGTATTTTATAGGGATGTTGCGGAGTGAGAAAAAAGTCGAGTCAGGTTTAGGGCAATCCGTGACATCCCTGGCATCTTATAATGAGATCTCTGACCTCCTTACTCTAATTCAGAATTTTGACGTTCACTGCAAGCCAAAAGCTGCCTCATTGTTTGATGAAATAAACCATGTTCATCATTCAAATCATTTATTGGAGCATTTTCTAAAAGTGAGGCGATTAAATGAGGCAATCCAGCACTTCTCCTTGTAACACAAAGTTTTTGACTGTCTTTAAATAAAAAAAATTAAACTAAAAATGTAAAGAAATTTGGAAAAAAAATCGAGTGTATCTAATTATTGAGGGTATCTGTTAGGTAGGTTTTCCTGTCCAGTTGCCTCCTTATGAGGTGTAATTAGGGTTGGCGATACCTGGGAAAGCTTCTGATATCCGAAACTGAATTAAAAATTCCCGGATACCTGGACTGTTTTCGGTTCAGAATACCTGGTATAGCAAACCCTAGTATCTACTATTGAGTGTATATAAAATTGAGGACAGCCTATATTTTATAAAAATTATGTAACATACCATCCTTCCCAGTTAATGCATCCAAAATTTGTTTTAACCATTGCCTTGGACTATAAGGAAAAAGTGTTGTTTTATCGTAGCCTTCAATTTGAGATTCCTCATCACAGAGTGCCCAAAGGCGAGGACATACAACAGTAGTAAATTCATTAGAAGCAGCTTCAAAAGCCCCACGGTGTCTACATTCTGTCAATTTTTGCCAAAAATAAAAAGCAATTTGGGAAAGAAAAAAATTAAAATCATTTTTTGAGAAACGTGAAGAAAAAATTGGTGAAGTTAAGTATTGAATGAAAATATATGAAATAATTCCGCTAATTGATTTGTGTGCACGAAAACAAGTTCTTGATAGTTGTTGAGCATAAATATTGTAATCTGAAATAATAAAACATGAAATTTTTTAGTCCGAAAAATACACAGAAACTTAGCAAGGAACCAAAATGAATTTTTTTTATTGATGTGGGGGGTTTCGTTCTTTATTTATTTTCTCTATAGAATTAAAAATTGTTTGTCCGCAACGGACTCGAACCTTCAACCCTTTAGGAACACGCCCTTGGAGAAGCTGCTCTGAAAAGGGTGGTAGTTTCATTTTGGTTAATCGAAACAAACCAAAAAATCTTTGTTTGAAACTGACAACCCTAATTGTAAATAATAGAATAATTAAACACCTTTTACACATAGAGAAGCATCATCCATGCTAGGCATAAATCCCTCAGGAGATAATGAATAAACAACGGGAGAGATGATTTTATCAACATCAAGGCATAATGAATAAATTCTTTTTATCAATAATAAATCTTTAAAATAAAATTGAATTAAAATTAAATTTTAATTATAAAAACCATTATCCAAAATTCCAAACTTGACAAATGGAAGGGAGACGTGTAAAGCATTAATCAAAGCATGTAATTGAGGTGGATCCAAAAATCCTTCCAAAAAATAATTTTCTTTCCCTTTACTTGTCTGTGTTACATTAGAACAACTATTTTCAGACAAAGTTAATAAAGTCTCGATAAAATTAATTTGGGATTTAAGCTCCATTCGAGGAAGAATAAATTGGAGCCTGTTAAAGAAATTTAAAAATTAATAGATTAGAAAATACCAAAAGGTGGAGGAACAAAATGATGTGTCTTCCTCCCCAATCTCTAGAGGAGGGATAGGAAGAGCTGGAGACCCGTCTTCTCTCAAAAAATAATGAAAAAAAAAGAAATGCATGGAGAAGAATGATTTTAAAAAATACAATTTTATCGAATATGATTTTTTAATTAAAATTTATAAATTTTACATAGTCTTTCAAAACCTTTCCCCCTTAGGTAAGCTCTTAAAAAATACTTGAGAAATAATTAAATTACCTATATTTAATTGCTTGTTGGTGTCGAGGCATGTTAGGTCTCACACTTAAAAATAACCACTCTTCGTCAGAAATTTGTGAATAAAAATTTTGTTGAAGCCAACCAATAGTCTCAAAATGATTTAACAAATTCAAGGCAATTTTCTAAAAATTATCGAAATTTTAAACGTTAAAAACTTTATTTTTAAACCTGACAAGCTTCAAATTGATCATCTAATGAATAAAATAATTTTTGTTGTTCCTCCTTTCCAATCCAATGTTTTAAATCCAAAAATGTTGAAAATGGATCTGATTCAAAAGAAATAGAGGGATTGAAAATAAGCGAAATAAGAGTTAAAGCTGATATTCTTGTAGCAAAAGGAGTGCTATTTTCTTCATCATTTTCTTCTTCTCCTTCATAATCATCATCAATCTCATTCTCTTCAGTGTTTTCATCTTTGATTCCTAAAATAAAATCAAACTCTCTCAAAATAATATACACTTCAATTTAAGTATGTTTTTCATTTGGTTGGTTACTGTGGGAGAAATATAGAAATAATTATTCCGTAATTTAAGGTATTAATTTAGGGCTCGGAAGTAATTAAAAAAAGTTACAAACAAAATTTAATATTTAAATTTCTCACCATTTGTTAAACTAAATTCGGAAAGTTCATCCCCAACATTTATTTCTATATTCGAATCCAAAGTTAAACTTTCCACTAATTTTTTATGCCAATCAGGATCAGCTATAAAAATAAATAAATAAAATTAATTTTTTTAAATTGATTATATAAACAAACATATAAATTCAAAAGCAAGTTTACAAAGCCAAAACAAAAACTCTTTGTAAATTTTAAGTTGAATATTAGCTTCAGAATTATTTTGTAGCAATTTTAGTAAAGATTTGGAGTGTTCCCTAATACGCGAAATAAGCTAAAAATAAAAAAAATTTTTGGAAAATAATTTTTAGATACCTTTCCCAATTGACAAAAAATTGCCTGACGTTTAGCCGGCGTTTTTAAATCCATAGCACCAGAAACCAAAAATTTCTTTGCCAACTCAATTTCTAATAAAAAATAATTAAAAAAATTTTTTTTTAATCCCCAAACTTGCCTGTTTGAGAAACTGGCTGGGAGCCCTTTGGATGAGAACAGAGCAATGACCAAGCAGCTAAACGTGTCTGCATAAACCAAAAATTTTGAAAAAAAAATTTTAACGCCAAAAAATAACCTCAAAATCTTTATCCATTAATGCATCAAACATTTCCTTGTCTGCTTGTTCTTCGCCAACATGCCTTACCGATAATTCTTTCCAGTCAATAGTCTGACCATTTTGAATTTCATATAAGTGAACAATTGCCAAGCGAAGTAAAACACAAAGTGCACGTTTTGAGTGAGCAGAAGAACGTGAAAAATCTGGAAAGTATCCTCGTATAGAATTAGTTAAACAATCAAAACCACACTTTCAGATACCCCCCCCCCCCACTTGTAGCTTAAAAAATACCCTTTATTGGAGCCGTCGTTTTGGCGGTTACACACAACCCGGGGAGGCTACAATTTTAGATACTCAATCCGTGAATGAAAACGATCCAATAATGAGGGGTACTTTATATCGGGAGCGACGCTTGGGTCTCCTTCATCAGTGAAAAAATAAATCTTGAGTGTATCCAAAAGTGAGTTTTGATTGTATAAAGAACCCCACCAATAAACATTGAAAATTCATCAAAAAACCAATTCCTCGTCTCCGGAGAGCGTAATAATTTAGGGAGCAATTTATTCTCCATTGACTGCCGAGATCGGGGCTGAAATAACTTTTTCAAGAATAAAAATAATTAAAAAACGTGAATATCCTCGTTAATAAAAAGAATTTTTATCCAATTTAAATGCAAATCCAAACGAGCTTTTAGCCTTTCCTTTTCCTCAGATTTAATTGGCGTAATAAGTGAAGCACAAATATCGTCTACTATTAAATTACAAATCTAAAAAGTTTTTTAAATTATATTTGAACCTCCTCACTTTTTAGGTACTACATCCTAGCAGTTTACAAAAGTTTATCTTATGATGAGTGTACCTTAAGGAAGTATCGTCAACAAAACTTAAATAAATGTACTTTTAAGGTAAATCTAGTACCTACAAGTGAAGTTAGAAGCAAAATAATTTTTTTAAAAAACCTGAACAGTTGGAGGCTCATTCCTCATTTGTTTATAGATTTTAATTAAAAAATCGTCAGAAAATATTTGTTGTCTCAAGTCAGGATGTAGTTTAAGTAAACAATTCTAGAAAAATAAAAATTTATTTTTAAAGATTAGAGAAAGAAAAAAAGAATCGGAAAGGAAGAAAATTCAACAGGAATACTTCTTCAATTTCTCAATTCTCTTTTAATAAATTTTTAAATAAAAAAATACCAATAACATAGCTCGTTGTTTGGTAAAAGAATAATTTTTTGAATTATCAGATTCTCCAACAACTCTGTGACCAAAATTTAATAAAAAATCACAAAAAGGTATAGAAATTCTTTTTGAACATAAAATTTGTTTTGTGGGATTAACAACATCTTTAAAGTATATAAAAATTGAAAAAAAATTTGAAAAAGAAAACCTTTACAACAACAAAAATTCCTATGAATTTCCAAAAGATTTTGAAGAATTGAAATAGCTTGAAAATTAATTGCATCACAAAAGGGAAAATCCAAAATGTAAAAACAAAAATCCACAAGCTGATGAAAATGATGGGAAGGCAATGAAATAGAAAATTCACTTAAAAATTTTGATAAAGTCAAACATTTTTAGATACACCCAATACCTCAATTTTAAATTTCCCTCTTTACTTTCATTCCCCTCTTTAATAAAAAATGAGAGGAAACAAATCCTAAAAATACCAAACTTTAAAGGCCCATATCTGTCCGAAAATGGCTCCGTAGCCAGAAATGGCAATAGATTATTGACTATGCACCAGAAAATACAAAATTTATACTTAAAGTTCGGGGGGGGGGGGGGGGGGAGGGGTCCCTTGTAACATTTGAACATAAATTTATCCAGCTTTTAAGTTCTATCCCATAATGAGGTCCATTTAGTATATTTCAACAATTTAAATTTAAAAAATAACCACAAAATTGCTGAGAATCTGCAGAGTATTTTTGAACATTTAATTAAATTAAAAGTATCATTGGACCTCTGGCAAACTTCATTTAAAATTAATTTCAAGCAATGACCAACCAAAAAACCTGAAAATAAAATTAAAAAAGTTCTCCTTAAATTTTAATATTTTACCTTTTTCCAGATGTTCCTCAATATTACAACAAGGTTCTAACCATTTTAAATCGGCTCGTAAAGAAAGAAAGTTCAAATCATTAACAGAATTCACGGCAGAACAATCCATTTAATTGATTTTATTACAATGAGGAATTATATGGAAAATAAAAATTTAAAAAAATTAACTGATAAAATATAAAATTTTATTAAAAAAATTAAAAAACTTTCCAAGACAATCAAAATGAAATTATAATCTACTATATAATTTAAATATAATATTTATCACATTTAAAAAATTAGAAATATTTAAACAATTTAAGGTAAAAAAAGATATAAAATTCTAAAATTTTCAAAGCATCTATTAGAGATTGGCATGGAGCGGGTCCCAAAAGGATTTTTCGGGATTCCGCCTCAAAATTCAGATTTTTTCACTTTCCCAGATTAATCAAACGGGATTCTATTTTGTTCAAAATTTTTAAACCAACCCCGTTTCGAATCCAAGGACTGCAATTTTACCTACCTCCATATCTCTAATATCAATAGATATTAAAAAATTGTGATATCAACTCTATGCCAAGCATTATGTAAAAGTCCACGTACATTCCAAATTCCACAAGCATCTTCTGGTTGTGTGTTGTAACCTCTATCTGTTGCTTTACAAATTAATTCAAAATGTCCATTCTCTTTTGCTTTCTCTGGAATTGGCATTTCCAATCTCCAAAGCGTCCAAGCCCACATATGTTCAAAATCTTGACCTTCAGCTTGTTTCAATTCAGCACATTTCCAGTTTTTTCCACCATCAGCTGATACTTCAACTCTAATAATTCCTTAAAATATTTAATTAAATATTAGCAAAAAATTCGTTAAAAGTTAAATTTAAATTTAGAAGAAAAAGTTCTCCTTTTCTCATTCAATTTTCATTTTCCTATTTGTCATTGGAATCGAAAAATTGTTATTTAACGCTTAAAAGAAAATTTTGACAGATATATCTCCCAGGACATGTTCTAGCTAATATGAGCCAGACATTTAATCATTTTATTTATGTGATCGGAGGATTTGTTAAATCTTTTTGCCTAATTTATTTAAATGAAAAATTAAAACGTCTTTTCATTTTTACACACAAATCCATTCTTTTTGATTAAATTTAAAGAAGAAACAGAAATTAGTAGAAATCTCAAAATTTGAAAATTTAACAAAAAAAACCTCTTCCTCCTCCACTCCATGCATACCCTTCAACCACAATATTTTCGGTTTCTTTAGAAATTTTTGTATTTGGAGTAGGAACACAAATAGCACTTTGAACAGGATATTCCTTAAATATTTTAATATTCGTTAAAAATTAAAAAAAACCTGAATAGAAGGAACAGAATCAAAAGGTAAAGGATCGCCAATATTTATATTCGAAGGCATTGCCTAAAAATTAAAAGAAAAATTTAAAAATTAATTTCTTAAAAACTTTATAATCTTTCCTTTGCCAATGACTTGTACTCTCTTCCTCACTTGTTTTGATACAAGTTAACCATTTGACTTGACGGGCACCAACAATTCCAGGGGCAATTATTCTAAGAGGATATCCATGATCACGAGGTAGCGGTTCACCGTTCATTTCGTAAGCTAAAATTTTTCGGATAAAAAATATTCACATAAATATACATACTAAATGTAAAAGGAAGCAAAGCAAGAGAAGATATAGACCCTAGGATTCGAACCTGGCTGGTCACAGCTCAAATAAAGAACTACCGCACTGAATATACAAGTGGTGCTTGTTATAAGACCAACCAATTATTTCAAATAACTATTAAACTAACCAATTAATACTTCTGGACTCATTGCTTTATCAAAAGGAATAGACGCTCCATATTTATTGCCTAAAATTAAATTTTAAGAAAAAACCTTAAAATTATAAATAACCAGTCATGTCCATATCAGCACCCTCAAATTGAACATGTTTTATTTCTTTATTGTTTGGGTTAATTCCAGCACTAATTAAAACATCCTAAAAAACTTTAACAATTTCTTTAAATAATTTCAAAGTTCATTTATCCAATTAATAACCGGTGGAAAGGCTCGAAAATATATAAACGGAATAGGAAAATATCAGAATTAAGTATACTCGTTAAAACTCAGATAGTGAAAGTAAATTTACTTCCACCAGAGCTATTTCGAAACAAAAAATACCGAAAAATTGAAATCGAAAGTTAAAAACCTCAAAAATTGAAATTTCAAAACAGCTCCTAATTCCACTAACCCCCCCCCATTTCCCTTAAAAATTTAAAAAACAAACCCTCAATCGACAACCAGTCCATTCAGCATTTGAAATTGCCGTTCCTGTCCACATCAATCCTTGAACTTTTTTAAATTCATTCATATCATTACGTCGATTCCCTGCACTAAAATTAAAACAAAAATTTCTTTTAAAAATATTTTTGAAAAACCATTGAATTGTTGATGTTATTTTAACTGGCTCATATTTATTTTTCAAATCATTAACAGATAAATTAATTCCTCTTTTAATTCCAAGGCCATTAACTTCTAAAAAATGTTTTTTTTCATCCAACTAAATTAAAATAGAATAATTATCCCAAAAATTCATCCAAATTTAATACATTAGGAACAGGCATATGATTACGAACAAAGAAAAGATCATTCGGAGTCTTAAAATTGTCAACAAGCAATTGAGATGGAATTTCTGCATTGAAAGGTTTTTGAGAATTAATTAAGAGTGCTGGATGTCGTGGAGGGTCAATTCCAAAAGGATCATTGGGTAAAGGCTAAAATATAAAAATGTTTTACTTTGAATTTAAAAGCTATGAAAAGTTAATCAAACTTTTTAGAATTTTGAAAATATAATCAAAGGTGTGGTTTAACAAAACGTCACCACTGGACCAGAGTCAAAATTATAATATTTTAAATTAAACAATCCTGACAAAAAAGATTGAATTAAACAAACTTTTCCCAATTCAGAATCCTTCAATTCATCTTTAGATAAACTCCCAATCCTCAATTCTTCAAGTAATTCCAAAACTTCCTCAGTTTTGTGTTGGGCATAAATTAGCCAATAAGGCTCCTACAAATTTAATTGTTTTAAAAAAAATTAAAAAGGATTACAATTGAATTTCCTGCAGCCAAAAGTATTTTATCCCCTCCAGGATGGGACTGGATAAAGTCAGTAATGTCATAAACACCCTTTAAAGAAACAAAAAAATTAATTTAAAAATTAAAAAAAACTTGTTTGTAAGTAACCCAAATTCGATTAGCATCTTTTCCGTGTTGTTTAACCTCCTCAAAAGTAAATATTGGCAAATCTCTCCTTTCTGGAGGTTTAAGATTTTCTTTTAAATTTTCTTTCAAAAGACACTTTTTGAAGAGAAAATAATCATTAAAATTAAATATTCCAAAAATTCCTCCTCCAAAAGCAGCAAATACAAAATAGTAATTATTAAATTTTGACCTTTGATGATATTTTATGTTGAAATAATCAAAATTTGAAGTATTTTTATTTGTTATTCGAGTAGAATAAGATTGATCTAAAGAAATGATTTTTTAAAGAAATCTTTTTTTAAATTTTCGGCTTTGTGAGGCCCAATATTTTATTTCCTCGCTATTTTCAGGCTAAGGAGCTGGGACTTGTCCAAAATAAATGTAGAGGTCAAATAAGTATATATCTCCGGGTTAAAAATATTAAATTCATTTTTGGTGATTTATTTAGTTTCAAGATTTTTTTTAAAGGAGAATATGAAAAATTAGGATTCAAAGAAACTTCCGAATATATGAAAGCGAACCGAAAAATAATTTGACTCCTCAGTTCGTTTCCGAATTTACAACAAACAGTTAAAAAATTAAAACACAAATAGACTCCTCCCAATTAATTTTATATTAAAAAATCCATTCTTACTTTTGTAATTCCGAAGTTTCCCTCTATTTTGACAATAATTGATTAAAAATGTAATAAAGTTCTTCTGTTGTTTTTTAAATAAAGAATTCATTTTTAAAATAACTGAAAATATTTTTAAGGATTTTAAAAATAAATTTAAAAATATTCAATCAAATAAATAATAAATAATAAGTAAGGCTGTGATTTATAGGCAAATGCCTATTTTTTCTGCAAGCTTGGGATGATGTAATACGTTCAAAAAACGTGTTTTTAGCTTGGTCCGATAAGTCTAGCATGACTTTTAATTTGCCTATTTCTGCCTATTTTTGAATTTTTGTGCCTTTCTGCCTATTTTGAAATTTTTGGTACTATTTTTGCCTTTTTTAGCGATTTTTTCGAAATTTTGCCTAAAAATCAGTGCAAAATCTAAAAAATCAGTCCCAAATTTAAAAAAATAGGTGCCAAGTCCCATTATTGATTTTTAGTTCGATAAATTGTTTATTTTTACTCTGTTGGACATTTTGAACTGGGACGATTTGGTATTGGGACGTTTTGGGGTGCGGCGTTTTGTGTGTTGGGCGAGATTTCCATTTTGTCGATTATCGACATTTTAAAAAAATTTACTCCATTTTTTTCAAAAAATGATTCAAAATGACGAATAAATGGTAAAATTGTTTAAAAAATAGTTTTTAATTTAAAAAATGACGATTAAATGGTTATTTTTTCTGTTTTTATCTCCATTTTATGGTCTAATAACCTTTTTTGCATGCCTATTTTTGTGCCTTTTTCGGCTTTTTGGTGCCTATTTTAGGCGCCTATTTCACTGATTTTACTTGCCTAACTATCACAGCCTTAATAATAAGACAAAAAATATTAAAAAAAATTTTTTTTTTATTTTATTTATACAAAATTCAATTTTTAAACATATAAAAGTCAAATATTGTCTATGAATTATTTAAAAAAAATATTTAAATATATAAGCACGCATTAATTATAATTCTTTTTTAAAAGTTTAACTTTTTATAACGTTTTATCTCGATATTTGTTTGGAAGCTTTGAAAGGTCCGATTTGGCATATTTCTTTATAATGACTAGGCCTGAAAATATGTATAATTTTTGGAAAGTATCTTGAATGGAAGAAACTGCTTTTCTCATTACTTGAAATTTAAATTACAAATACTTGGGTTCAGAAAATTATAACGTTATTTTTTACGAACAGTGGAAACAAAAAATAAAAAACCCATCCAGATAAACCTATCCACTTTCAATTAAGAAAGATCATTAACAAAAAAACTAACCCAAAGTAACAGAATTTCCAATAAAAATAATTGCAAACATAATAGCCAAAACAATTACTTGCCATTCACGAGAACAATCTTTATGTAAATAAATGTCAAAAAGTCTGTAGGAACAATAGCCTTGGAAAGCCTTCAAAAAATTTTTTTTGAAAATTATTTAAAAAAATAAAAAAAACAAACATATCCAACAATTAAAAAAGGTAGAAGGAAAGTCTAAAAATATTTTTAAAAAATTATTCAAAAAAATTTTTTTTATAAATTACCAATCCTTTAAACATCCAACTACTAAATCCTAAAAATATAAATTTAAAAAATAATTATTTTATTAAAACCTTCTAAAGTTACATCCATACAGTGACGTTGTCCCAAAGCATCTAAAATTTTGGGACAATATATTTAAGAAATTAAGAAAATTTAATTTAAGAAAATTTAAGATTGGAAAAATAAGTTTTTATTAATCAAGATGTATTTTATATTTTTTCAGTTGAATGAGAAAACAAAAAAGCCTATTTCCTTTTTAATTGAAAAAATACAAATCACAAAAAGGATAAAATCTAAATTAAAAAAAATAAAATTCCTTAAAATAATCTAATTATCCATCCATCCATCCATCCATCCCTCCCCCCCCCCTCCCCTCTCATTATAATTTAATATATAAACTTACGTAATCGTCGCAAACAGCCAGTCTGGTATTTATATCTAGAAAAAATATTTTTAATATTTATTATAAATTGTATAATAGGGAACAAGCAAAAGCGAAATTTTGATTTTGAATGTCATATTTACAATTTTTAAAAAAATTAAAAAAAACAAACTGAATTATTTGGACAGAGCCAATATAACAAACAAAATAAATAAAAACATGTCTAAATTGATCATAACAATCTCCATCTCTCCAAGTTAAAGTAATTCCACAAAGTACACAAGAAATGTAATGATGCAAAACCTTTTTAAAAAATAATTTTAAAATTTAGATATTTAAAAATAGAAACTTACCCACCAACCTTTAATACGAGATCCATTTAGACGAAGAATTGATTCACGGATGGTCTAAAAAAATAAATTTAAAATAAAAAGAATATTTAAGGGAGCATTAATTTAATAAATATGTAACATCCAAATTATTTCAAAAGGTTAAATAATTTTTGAATTTGTTTTACATTTATTTTTGCGGATATTCTGATAATAGCGACCAATTAAAAAAAAAATGAAATTTCATAGGAAAATTGTACCAGAATATAATTCTCAATTAAATAATCACAAAAAATTTAAAAAATATCAACTAACTAAAGTGCAATAATACCAAACAAGGAGAAAATTACAGAGTGCATCAATTATCCTAAACGGCGGCAGAATATAAGCCAAAACAAAAATGGCAAGAATCTAAAATTTTAAATACAATTTTAAATTTAGTTTAAAAAAATTTACCACAAAAGTAACAGATAATTTGAAAGATTCGTATTCCTTTTTGTATTTGTACCTTTCATCAGAATTTAAAAGAGAAATGTTTAAATTGCTGCCAAGGATAGTTGAAAGGTAGAAACTAAAATTAAAAATTTTTTTTTGTTTTGGTAATTTTAAAAATAATTTTTTTAAATAACTGAACAAAAAAATTAATTATACAAAAAATTAAAAAAATTGAACAGAACTTCCGTGTTAAATATTTTTACTTTCAGAAGAGATTCAGAATTGGATATCGAAAACGGACGTTATATTTTTATTACAAACAGACAATGTAAATATATCAAATAAACTTAAAAATACCCATTCTCCCGTATCGGAAGTTCCCTCTGCATTTCAGCTAATTTTGAAGTAAATTGGTCGATACTCGCCCTCTTTTCAGTCAAAATTTTTTTCTCCTCTTCATTCAAATTAGATTCTTGTAAACTAAATTAAATAACCATTTTTAAAATAAAAATAACAAAAAAACCTTTTAAAGTCTTTCCGCAGTTGCTTAAAAAGATAGGAAAGATGTTTTTGATTTTTGACGCAATTTTCTTGGCTTTGAGTCATTTGCTTATAAAGTCGAAGATATTCTAATTGTTCTTGCTAAAAAACGAAAAAAAAATCATCATATTTATCAGATCAAGTCAATTTTGTATGTTTTTATCCAAATCGATGAGCATCGATGGATAGTATAAAACAATCTCTCTAGACATTTTTACGTTAACTAGCTTACTTCCAATAATTTTTCGAAAATGCTCATATCAGTCAAATTAAGAAAATAATTTGACCGTCTCGACTACGAAAAATGTCCGCAAAAATATAATCAAAAATTAAGCTATTTAAAAAACAAACCTCAGCCTTTTCAAAATCAGAAATAAAAGTCCCATAATCCTTGTTAAATTCCTCCATTAATATATCAATTTAATTAGATAAAATGCAAAAAATCTGTCCGAGATTAATAAAACCTTTATTAAAAAATCAAAAAAAGTATTTATAAAATAAAAAATTTTACAAAATTAATAAAACAAAATTCTTTTAAAATTATATTTATTAAATTTAAGTTTTTTAAACATTCTTGAGGTTAAAGGCTATTTCTGGGATGAGAATTATATATTGGAAAAAATTACAAAATCGATGTTTAATTAATATCGAAAAATTTTTTAAAGTTGAAAAAATATAGAATAAGGCAAGACAGGACAATTTACTTTCAAAAAAAAAAAGAAAATTTTCTTCAGAAAACGTTGGAATATTACTTACAATTAGAATTTAAAAAAATTTTAAAAATATTTCGAAAATCAATTTGTTTTAAATTTTCAACCTATCTCCGAAAATTCATTCCAAAAATTTTTTCTGTAAATTGTCCTACTATCGAATAATAATTAAATTAAATATTATTTTGTGTCCTAATTTTGAGCATTTAAAAATTAAAAAAATCCCCTTTTCTTTCCTTTTTCTAAATTATTGTTTCCTTTTCTTCAGGAAATGATTTTTTAGAAATAATTCTGTCAAAATCTTCATGTTGTGGATATATCCCTGTACCAAAAGGTTTATTATAACGGTCAATAAACTGCTCCAGAGAACCATTATTCTTAAAAATATTTTTGAAAAAATTAAAAATAAATAAAAAAAACATACTCCAACATTTTTATAAATTTTGCTAGATGGAGGTATCATTAATTTTCTGGCTTCAGGAATTTGTAATGGATAAAGTTCAGCCCTGTGAATAGCTAATGCTGGACCCCAATCATCAGCTGGACACAAAAGTTCACGAATTCGCTAAAAATTGATTACAAAAAATATTAAAATAAATAAGATGCAAAAATGTATGAAAAGAAGTAAAAATTGAAAAATATTTAAGTAGAAATTGAACCTTACGATTTCTCGCGAAGCGCTTACGTTCGCTCACTTTATCGTTATAGATCCAACACCCAAACCTATGCGTTTTTAATACTAGGTAATTAGATGTACTTCTACATTTCATAAAAATGCATAAAATCTAATCGGTAAAATTTAAAAAAAGACGGTTAAAAATTTAAAAAAATTAAGAGCAAATATAAAGTTTAAGAAATCCAAACAGTATGCATGACATTAAAAATCCCATTTAAATTTTCTCAAATTAGAAAAACCTGAGAAAAAGATCCACTACTTTGTATAAAATAAAAGAAAATTGTTGTAAATATAATAAATACTGGAGATAAAGAAATTGTCCAACCAAGAATTATTGACCATTGAGGAAAAACAAAAAAGTTATATTCAATTGAATAATTATTAGTCCAAATCAATGAAAGAAGTAACTTTAAAAGAAAAATTTTCTCAAATTTAAAAATTATTTTACCAATAATATAAAGGGACAAATAAATTTCCAAAGAATTTTCCAAGCCAAATAAAATGGAGGGTAAAATCCAATCTAAAAATAAAAATTATTTTAAATCCAAGAAATTTTTGTGATAGATTTTTGCGGTCAATTTACACAAAATATCTTAAGAAATAATTGAATTTATATATAAAAACCCTAATTAAATAAAGAATTGAAAAAATAGGGAATATACAATTATTAAATAATCAAGTACAAAATCTAATTCAAATTTTTTAACTAGATTTTCAATTAATGTGTCAATTTAATATGTTTAACCTGCCCAAAAAAAGTATTTTCGAAGGAATTTTTTTTGGGTATTTGAATGATAATTTGTCGAAAATTGCCCACAAAAAAGTCGTCCGTAAAAGATATTCAAAAAACCCTAACCATCCATTTAACATTATCCAAAAAATTGTCAACACCTTTAAAAAATAATTTACAATATTTTTTATAAAAATTTAAAAGAAAAACCATAAATCCAACAAACAGTCATAACTTCAAAAAATCCAATAATAATTAAAGGCCAGGTAACACCAAAATGTTCAAATAAAATAATCCAATAAATACCTGCCTAAATAAATTAACGAAAAATGATTTTAAAATATTAAAGAAAAATTACGGCAGAACAAAGTGGAATACCCAAAACGAAAAAAGTAAAAATTGTAAATGTAAGCACATGTCTGTGACTTCGCCTAGAAAATTAATTTATAACAATATTCCTAATTAATATTTGATTTTTTGAAGCCTCTGGGTTTTGAAGCCTCTGATGTAGAATGAAAAAAGTATTTATTTGTTTGGTTAAGCCATTATTTTTTAGATACACTTCCGAAATTGTGCGAAAGTTTATGTAAAAGACAGGGATCGAACCTGAAACATTCTAATGTAATGTTATTGCAAATCGTCTCGTTAACCACATTTAAGTGTGCTGTACCAAATGATTCTCCGGGAGTAATGACACCCTACATCCTCCGACCTTTTTTATTTACCTATAAAAATTTTTAAATATAAGAATACCTTAAACGTTCAGGAAACAAATCACAAATTGAAGAGACCTTTATAATAAAGTTTAAAAAATTAAACTAAAAATTCCTACTATTGTCTCAACAACAAATAACTAAAAAATAGAAAAATATAAACAAAATAAATTAAAAAAAAACCTCTGTATTAAAAATAACTAAAGCAACCATTGTAAAAAAGAAAAGAGAATAAATTTGAGCAACAGGGACTTTAGAAAGAGTATCCGAGAAAAAAACAAAAATCATTTGAAGACCTTCTTGAAGTTGAAATTTAGTTAGTTCAATATCCCTTTCATGACAAACAAAGCCAACAGCAGCGAATAATAGAGAAGACATTAAAATAGAAGCGAGAAAGTCGAATAAACTGATTAGCTTAAAAATTGACATTTTATTTAAGAAAAATAAATCATTAAAAGGAACATCGCTTTAATTTTAAATGTAGGCGTGGGAACTTTTAGTTTTAAATTTAAAATCTATTTCTTATTTAATGAACCCGATTTTACGCATAATTTTAATTTCACGATTTTATGCACTGTTAATTACGTAAACCATCGATTTTAGGTACAATTTTTTAAATATCTTTAGACAATTGGTGGAGGTTAATAAACGACAGCCAGAACTTAAATAAACACCTTAATTACACCTAAAAAATTTTTCAGCCCTAAGGGTGTAAGCCAGACCGAACAATCAAAAAATTTACAAAATTACCCAAATATCAGCAAACACATTATTGTGAAATTTATTATAACTAGACAAAGTAATTAACCCTCCAGTGCATGTTGAAAGTGAATAAAACACTTGAATAGCGGCATTAGCCCAAACTCTTAAATCTCTAATAATTTCAATATTTGGCTTCATAAAAAACAAAAATCCATTGAAAGAGCCAGGAAGCGTGAAGAAACGAATGAGTAGAACAATCAGAATTATATAAGGGAATAAAACGGTGACATAAACTGCCTGATAAAGAAAACTTAAAAATAAAATTTCTAAATTTAAAAAAACCTTTCCACTTGTTTTTATTCCCTTAAAAGAACATAAAAAGACAAATAACCAGGCAACGAGTAAACAACTGAAAAAAAAGAATTCAATTAAAATTTTAAAGCTATTTAGAGAAAAATTACAAAAATATTTAAAAACAAATAAAATTACTAACATAGCCAATTGCCAATTAATCGTTTCAAAATCAAGAATTCCCGAAGAGATCATCAAAACTTGATTGCTTAAAAATTGAAATTTAAGAAAATACAAAAAAATTTTTAACTGAAAATATTCAATTCCCGTCATAGTTTTGTTATTTGAATCCAAAACAAGAATTGAATTATTGTTGCCAGGATCAATATTATTAAAATCAACACAAGTTCCATTAGAAAGAAAAGAACCATTTAAATGTTGACAAGCATTAATTGACCCTTTATTCCAAACAGAACAATCTTTAAAAGAAAAAATTAACTTTAAAAAATTATAAAAATACTTTCACTATTCCATTCATTTCCACATGTTGTCCAAGGTAAAGAGAATTTAAGCGAATTAATCATATAATATAATGCCCAGGCAGTAATTAAATTGTAATAAATAGCAATTAATGTAGAGACAAAAAGCATAGAAATTCCAATACCTAAAAAAGGATAAAATAATTGGAAAGAATGTGTCCTGGAAAAATTGCCAGAAAATTAAGGAGACTCAAAACCCTGATATATGATTTCAAGAAAATTTGAAAATTTTCGATATCGAACCATGAAAGAATTATGGTAAAGTAAAAATGAGCGCCCTCAAAATTTTTTTGCCGGATCCTTTAAATCAAGGTGTGAATTCAAAACCAGGGCAATCCATACGAAAATATGAATCAATAAGTCAAGTAATAAAAACCTTTAAAAAGAGGTGCCAATTTCCAAACAGAAGCTGGTCCCAAACTGACAAATTGCCCCAGTGAAATCTCCTAAAATTATGTAAAATGTTTTAAACATAAAATGTTAAATAACCATAAAAAGAATTGGAAGAGCACCAACAAAAAATAAAATTGTGTAAGGAATTAAATAAGCGATACTAACATAAATTAAAAGATGTTTTTTAAATAAAAGAAAAAATACCCTCCATTAATTCCAAAATAATAAGGAAAACGCCATAAATTTCCTAATGCAAAAGTATAACCAAAAATTGAGAATAAATAATCCAATTTTAAAGACCAATTTCCTCTAATTCTATTTTCATCACCAGATCCACCAGTCTCCTCAAAAGGATATTCTATGCCAAAATCTGTCTCTTCATAATTCATTTCCCCTAATTTTTAAAGAAATATGTTTGGGGAGTGAGAAATGAAAAAATCGATAAAAGACACTAATCGAAAGTCAAAAAACGAGATGAAATTCATAAAACATCGAAATACGCAAAGGAAAAAGGAGAAGTCAACTTGGGCTCACCCAAGAACTTGAGCGCCCAGGAGGTCAAAGCCCAAATGGCAAATTACCCAAAAGGTCAAATACAAATTTTGGGTGGATAACGGCGACGCATGCTCAAGAGGGACACGGACACTATGGCGCGGGCCACTATGGCGCGACCACTATGGCGCGACCACAATGGCGCAGGCCACTATGGCGCAAGCCCACTATGGCGCGACCACTATGGCGCAAGCCCAATATCCCACAAATCTTTATCTAAAAGCGGATTAATTTATTGGGATCAGCCCAGAAGGTAAAAATCAGAAGATCAAGACCCAGAAGGTTAGGTCAAATTACCAATCGAATACAAATTCTTGATGGAAAAAGAGTTTGTTCATATTAAGACGGATTTGGGCGGATTAAGACTGATTTGTCGGGATTAGGGGGGATGAAGGGATATATGACGGAAATAAACTCGTGCAACTGTCGGACAATGCAAAAGAACACATATATAATCAGACTCATAACAATGCCAGACTTTTGCGGACCTTATTTTTAATTTAAAGCCTTGCGCCATAGTGGGCTTGCGCCATAGTGGTCGCGCCATAGTGGTCGCGCCATAGTGGCCCGCGCCATAGTGGGCCGTACCCTGCTCAAGAATATGTTTGTTGCACGAGTATTTCTCGTTCTGTCCCTTGATCCCAACAAATCCGCCCAAATCCGTTGATATCCTCCTTAATACCCACAGTCTTAATATGCATAAATCCTTCCTTATCCACCCAAAAGTTGTATTTGACCTTTTGGGTAATGACCATCTGGGTTTTGACCTTTTGGGTTGATTCCTTAAAGTTAAGATGAAAAAGTTGGCCGAATCACAGCTTCCAATCGCTTAGAAATGATCAGATATTAGTGATTGAAGGACCTAAACAAAAAAAGAATATTCAAAAAGATACTAATGTAAGTTAGCTAAAGACATTCAAATTTCAAACTTGAGCATAAAAAATTACTCGAAAAAAGACACAATTTATAATAAAAACAAACAAAGAACAATTTTTAATTAAATCTATATTTTCTAGAGGAATTCAACCTATCCTCCTTTTTCAAAATTTTATTTAACAAATCTATTCTCTATTGCTTGGCCAGTTCCTCTGCCTTTTTGTGGACATCTTCTATATCTCCCTGCATATAAAATGCCACCTCCGGGATGTGGTCCATCTCTCCTAAAGATTTGTTTTAATTAAAATAAATAAATCTAAAAACCTCTCAAAATCTTTTCAAATCCATCAATAGTCTGTTCAAGACTGACGAATTTACCCTTATGTCCAGTAAAGACTTCGGCAACTTGGAAGGGCTGCGAAAGATAACGTTGAATCTTTCGAGCACGCGAGACAGTCAATTTATCGTCTTCGGAAAGTTCATCCATTCCAAGGATGGCAATAATGTCCTGAAGCGATTTGTAGTCTTGCAGAATCTTCTGAACACCACGAGCAACATCTAATAAAAGAAAATTCAAACTATTCAAATAATTAAAATTTAACCATAGTGACGATTTCCAACAATATTAGGATCCATAATTCGAGAAGTAGAGTCCAACGGGTCAACAGCAGGATAAATTCCCAATTCAGCAATACCACGAGAAAGTACTGTTGTAGCATCCAAGTGAGCAAAAGTTGTTGCAGGTGCAGGGTCAGTCAAGTCATCAGCGGGGACATAAATAGCTTGCACAGAAGTAATTGAACCCTTTTTGGTTGTTGTAATTCGCTCCTGCATACTCCCCATGTCGGTAGCCAAAGTAGGTTGATAACCGACAGCAGACGGAATACGTCCAAGCAAAGCCGAGACCTCAGAACCAGCTTGAGTGAATCGGAAAATATTGTCGATGAAAAGCAACACGTCTTGTCCCTCCTTGTCACGGAAATACTCGGCAACAGTCAAACCAGTTAAACAGACACGAGCGCGAGCACCTTAAGAAAAAAAGTAATTAAGCCCTTAAGTTCAGAGTTGAATAAGAAAACCTGGAGGTTCGTTCATTTGTCCATATACAAGCGACACCTTCGAATTATTTCCCTTCAAATCAATAACACCACCCTCGATCATTTCGTGATAAAGATCGTTTCCCTCACGAGTTCTCTCCCCAACACCAGCAAAGACAGAAAATCCACCATGAGCCTTAGCAACGTTGTTAATCAGTTCCATAATAAGCACAGTTTTGCCGACACCAGCACCACCAAAAAGACCTAAATATTTAAAAATTAAAATATAAAAAATGAAAAATCCAAATTAAACCAATTTTTCCTCCTTTGGAATAAGGAGCAAGAAGATCAACAACTTTAATGCCTGTCACTAAAATCTCCTGCTCAACGTTCATTTCCACAAATTCGGGAGCCTCAGCGTGAATTGGAGCAAAGTTCTTTGCCGCAATCGGACCTCGCTCATCGATTGGTTCACCAATAACATTCATAATACGACCAAGAGTTTCAGGTCCAACAGGAATCTTAATAGGATCACCAGTATCGATAACTTCTTGCCCTCGAATGAGTCCTTCTGTACCGTCCATAGCAATGGTACGAACAACATTGTCACCTTAAAAAGTTTGAGTAATTAATTTAAAAACTCGAAAATACCCAAATGCTGTGAAACTTCTAAAATTAATTTCGATCCTTTTCGACCCTGAACTTCCAAAGAATTCAAAATTGGTGGCAACCCTTCATCAAATTGAACGTCCACAACAGCACCAATTACAGCCACAATTCGTCCTTTCGATCCTTTAGTAGTCTGTGTTGGAGTTGCTGGTTTTTCAGCAGTTGCAGCAGCCGCTAAGTTACTTGCTGAAGAATTAAGAGGCCTAACGATGCCGCAGTGATGATTCCGAGCTTAGAATAAATTTTTAGTAAATTTGGATAAAAAGAATGTTTAAAAACCTGCTAAAATCGTATTTGTAGATCGGTGACTAATATACCGAAGTTTGCTTGCGATCCTTGCAAAAGTCCGCGAAGCCATTAATGCTCAAAATAAATATTGGGTAAACAAACAATTAAACTAAAAAATCGTTAATACTAAATTACAATTATTCGGAACAAATTAAGATAAAAATTTTATAAATTTAAAGCATTTTTCTATTGCAAATCTACTTAAAAATTCTTACAAAAATGAACTGATCAAGAAAATTTTAGCTCATCGAGTTACAGTAAGAATTGATAGAAAAAAATCCAGAATTTCGTTGCGGAATTATTTGAAAGGAGTTTTTAAATTTATGTCTACTTGAGTATTGATTTGAGTTTCAAATTTCATCTCCTCGTCGGCAAAATCATGTTTTTTTAATCCCTTAAATAAAAAAGTGCAGGATTTTCGACTAAATCCGCACTTACATTAGACTGGGTCCATCCCATTACGCATTCTTAAACACTTAACTTTCTTAACATTTTTAGATTTTGTTATGACATCAACATCTGTGGAAGACGAAAATGAAAGATTATTTCAGCTTTATCCTCTTCATTATTTAATTTTTAATAATGACATTGAAGCATTAAAATCAAAATTAGAAATATCAGAAGATATAAAAGAATATATTAATAAATTAGATATTCATGGACGGACTCCTTTAATGCTTGCAACAATGCTTGGACATATTGAATGTGCAGAATTACTTTTAGACAATGGAGCAGAGGCAAATACACAAAATAAGCGTATAAATTTGATAAGAAAATTTTTAATAATTAAAATAAATTTTTCAGAAATGTGGAATTTGTCACACGAAGCAATTTTGTTAAAAAATGTTAATTTTCTTCAGAAAATTCTTGCTGCTCGTGATTATGAACGGTATCTTGAAACTAGTCGAATTTTGAAGCAAATACGTAATAGTTTTAAGGCAAGAGGTTTTTTAAATTTTTAGTAATGGATAATTCAATTTTGTCATTTCTTATTTTTGGTTACTTTTGGATTGCTTTTTATTTAGTTTTGAAAGCTAGAGCTAGGATCTTTGATAACTTTCTGTGGCTTTTTGATTTGAAATTTTTAAAATTCAACGAAACCCATATGTATAGACTAAAAAGACCAGTAAATTAACGAATGGTCAAAGATTCTTCTGCTTAAGGCCCTGTAACCATACATTATTAGCAAATCTAAGTTACCATGATAAAGGGCCACAAATTTTCAATTTTCTTTAGACGATTAATAAATTTTTATTTTTAAAGGATTCCTCTGACTTTTATGTTGAGATGTAAGTCTCTAATTTATATTTTTGTGAAAATTAGTCCTATTAAGGACGTGGGAGTTCGCTTCATGGCTTCCTTTTGTTAAGAATATGTGTCCTTCTGACACTTATAAAGTAAATTTTTTTAAATAATTTTTATTTTAAAATTTTTCTTTCGCAGATTTACAAACACGGGAATAGCATTAGAATAGATGCAAATCTTCTCGAAATATCAAATGATCAAATTCTAAATAAAACAAGAGGAAATCAATCTTTCATTTTTCGATTTGGAGATTCTGAATCTGCTGAAATATTATTTATTGACAGAGACGAGAAAACAGTAAAAAATTTTTAATTAAAAAATTGGGACATGAACTGTTTTGCTATGTTTTTTCTATATTGTTTGTCTGTTAGATGGGTCAACCATCTATACAAGAAAAATAAGCATAGTTTATATACAAGCAAGTTGCATTACTTTTGGATTGTGATTATTTACTGGGTGGATTTCTGTACTAATTTGAGTTTCCATTTTTTATTACGATTAGCAAATCTTTTTTATAAAATCATATGTTTTCCTTTTACTGTAAAAAGTGCAGTTTTCAAACAAAACATTAAAATAATGGCAGGCCGAAACTGGCGGACCCGACGAATTTCTCAAAACATTGCTCATTCGAAAGAACTCGACGAGCTGAGTCGAATGACATTAAAATCATCGTGATTGTACAAGCTTGGACAAAGTTACGATAGAAAAACAAAAACCTAAACCTATGGTCCGCAAAAGTCGGTCCGCAAGTTTCACACTACCAAAATAAGAACATACCAATCCATATAAGTTCCTTAAAATATCAATATTTTAGGCTTATTCGCAAAATTTCGATTTGTCTTCTTTGCCAAAAATTGATAAATTTATTTCCTCGACTGCTGCCGTAGAAGAAAAATTAAAATCTCCAATAACTGTAACTTATGTTGATGTCGATAATATTGGCTTTGAACCTTCTAAAAAGAATTCTCGTTTATTTTCTTGGATTGGTTCTAGTGATAAAGAGGAAGAAGTTGAAGGTTATACTTGTCGAGTTTTTTCTGCTTCTAATGTTGAGGTTGTTACAAAAACATGTTTTTGTCATTTATCAGAAGAGGAGAAGGAATTATCGATGAAAGAGGTTTGCGTAAAAATTTATTTGTTTTATTAATCCCGATTTATCGCATCCCGGTCTACCGCAGTGATTATAGCTTTTGTTTTTAGAGTCGGATCTAAACAATTTTGTTAACTCTCATCGAGCATAAAAATTATAAAAATAGCTCCAATCTAGAATTTTGTGTTTATTTATAAGCGTTTCACTAGGCTCTGTGAATATATGGATTTGTTAAAAAATTTCTATTGAACTCTTACCTGTCATTTTAATCCGTTTTATTTTTAAAGAATCCAAACAAATCAGTTGCCCTTCTATTAAGCCTTTTTGAAAAACGTAAAGTTGATGTAAATGGAAGTTTAAACCAAACTGATGTTTACAATGGATTAAATGTTGTTGAGTATCTAACAAAACCTTCAGAAAATGGAAAGGCAAATATTGGTTTCTTTTAAATTTTTAATTTTTCAAAAATAATTTTAAAGGAATATCTAGAGATGAACATTTTAAATCAAATTCATTTAATGCAAGCTTATGGCTTTCAGAAAGTTTTCCTTTAAATTTGAGAGAACAAATATTTAATGTTATTGATTTGGTTTCTTTTTTTTAATTAATTTTAAAAAGTTTGGGTAAAAGTCAAGATTGTGGACTTCCCTTTTTCTTGTTTTTCATCTTTCACAAAATTCTCTATTTGCCGTATTACCAAATTAAACGAAGTTTATTTACATAATGGTCAGGCTTTTTTCCTTAATATTACTAAATTTCCTTTACTTCTCAATTTCCATATTTTGTATTTATTTTTTAGTTGGCTGTTCGTAATGCAAAATTTTTGCGTTTGAAACGATTTATTGAACTACAAATGCCTGCTGGATTTCCTATTAGAATTAAAATTCCTGTAAGTTTTTTTTTTAAATAAATTATTTTTAATTATAAACAAATGAAAAAGTGTTTATGGTTATTTTTTCCGAAATTTCATTCCTTTCCCGGAGACACGCGGGGACATATGTATTAGGATATCAAGCCTTTGACTTTTACTTTACCATCCGAGCTGTAATTTTTTGGTCATTTTTCCTTTTCCATATTTATCTTTTTGTTTTTTCCTACTTTTTTTTAAAATTTTTTCTTTAGATTTTTCACTTGATTAACGCTCAAATCACTTTTCACAATATCAATGAACCAGAAACTGAAGATATCGATCAATCAGCTAATGAGGACGATTGTCCAGAATTCCGACTAAAGGACTCACTTTTCCAAATTCCTGACGGTTATCAGATATACAAAATGGCTGGAAATATGCTTTTTAATAGATTTGATGAAATTGAATATGTTAGGCATGGTCAAGATTTTGGATGTGAGTTTTTTGGGAGAGAATTTTTATTTAGGGATGATGGGTGTATTCTTCTAGAATTAAATGACTAAAAATCCATTTAGTGACCAAAAAAACGGAAACCCCGTTATCGTTAGAAAATAATGTGAACAAACTTATTTTTAATATTTTCCGAAATGTCAGGTCTAAAACAAGCCCATTACTTGGTGTCCCCTCAAGATCCAAGTCACTCTCACAAGTGACAGGCCGAAAGTGTGTTTTGTCGCCTTCGTAAATACTGAATTCATTCACTTTTTTATTTTCTAGCGAGAGATGTATGGACTAGGGACATTGAAGATGGAGACGAATATTATTGTTTAATTGAACGCTTTATTGATGGAGAATCCTCTAAAACTCCTACCTATGAACGTCATTTACAACAAGCTATTGAGGAAAGTTTGGAAGCAACTAGGCAATATAATCGACCTCAATTATCTGAAGTTGGTGGGCAACAAAGTAGTGCTCATGAAATTAATGAGGAAGAGGTAAAAAATATTTTTTAATTTGGATTTGGATATTGTTGGGAATTTTGGATTTGGATTCAGGCGAAAAGTCTAGTCTTGTGAGCAATGATTAGATTCACAGATTCCATTCCTGTTTGATAGCTAAACTTTAACGCTTGCTCAATTTCTTTTAATTTTTATTTTTTTAAAGATTGATACAGAATTACTCAATGCTTTAAAACTTTCTAAAGAAGAAGAAGAATTAAGAGCAAAGCAATTAGAGGAAGAAGAAGAGCAATATAAAGAAGCATTGGAACGTTCAATGCTTGATAAATAGATAAATTAATAAAAAAATATTTTTATATATAAAATGTACGAAATGGAAATTTTTGACCTAAAAAATGTGTAACTTGAAGGAAAAAATATTTTTTAATACATACATAGTTATACTTTTTTTCCTTTAAAGTTACACATTTGACGATATACTAATACACATAATTTATGATTTGAAATCCCAAAGCTTTTAAATAAAATTTATTAAATTTACTTTTTGTTTTGAAGTTTTAGTTTTAAATCAATTTACTTTTTTAACTTTATTCTATTCTTTAAGATTTCTTTTTAAAAATTAGATGGAGACTGTTGTTAATTCAGGCCAATTTCGAAATCCTCCTGGTACGACTCGTGAGGTATTTTCTTAAATTTATTTTGGGGTAATATTTGAAAAGGTTCCCGTGAGTAAAGCCAAGTTCCCGAGAAAAGCATCTTAATTGTAGTAGCTTTGTTGAGTTTGTTACTTAAGACATGAATTTCTCATTTCACCCATAAATGGTTATCAATAGCTTTTCATTCTCCATTAGACAACTGAAAAAAAATCTTTTTCTTTTATTAAGCAAATTTAAATATGTATATTTTATTTTTCAATTAGGAATGGAATAAATGGAACAAATTATCCTTCAATGAAATGGATGGAACGTTTTGTATACAACAATGGATTCAACAATGCATTTTTGCCGATTTTAGAGATGTTGATTTAATTTTGGATTGTCCATCTGGTGTGGATGAAGGTGTTTGGAAATATGAACATTTACGTCAATTTTGTTCTGATTTGAATGGATTGGCTGTTCTTTTACAGGTTCTCTCTTAATAAAAAATTTTTTTAAATAAATTTTAAGGATGAATGTACACCAGAAACTTGTAATCAAATGACTGCTACAGATCAATGGATTTTTCTTTGTGCTGCTCATAAAAATCCAAAAGAGGTTCTAACTTTAAAATTTATTTTTGGGGTTTTCTTTTGCTTTTTTATTCTACTTTTAATCCCACACTCAAATTAGAGTAATTTACTCATTTTGTTTTTCTCATTTAAAAAATCTAAAAGTTGACTGAAAAATTTGGTGCTTAAGTTATGTTTCTGGAACAATTGACAAAGTATTGTACTTACACTTTTTTAGGAGTTTTACCTTAATTCCTTAAATCTGACATGAGCATTTGGGCTATATTTTTTGATGGAACGGTCGTTTAAGATCATTTTTTAATTTAAATGTTACAATCCTTGTCGAATTTCTTGAGTGTGGAACGATTGGACTTTTTTTAAATTCTAAAATTACAAAAATTTTAAGTGTTCTGCAATTGATTATACTCGACATACACTGGATGGGGCTGCTGCTCTTTTAAACAGCAATCGTTATTTTCCAAGTAGAATTACCATAAAAGAGTCTTCAATAGCAAAAATTGGATCAGTCTGTCGCAGAATTTATCGTATATTTTCTCACGCTTATTTTCATCATCGGGCATTGTTTGACTTATTTGAGGTTTTTTTAATTTAAAAAAATTTTTTTAATAATTTTTTTTCTTAAGGAAGAAACTTTTCTTTGTAAACGATTTACTAAATTTGTTTTGAAATATCAATTGATGGCTAATGACAATTTAATTGTTCCGATTTCATAATTAAATTAATTTGAAGGAAAAATGAAGAAGAAGAGGAATTTTTTGGTTTTTTACAATTTAAGTCTAATACTTTTAAATTTTTAATTTATGTACGCAGTGGGTTTGGCACTTGTTTTGATTTAATTTTAAAATCTAAACTAAATTTGTGTCAAATCAGGAATACGTTACTTTTGCCTTCCAAACTCTAAAATACGGAGGGCCTAATTACAGAATGAATTTAAGTTTGACAATAGATCTACCGAAATATTTTTTTAGAATTTTTTGGTAAATTTTTCACAGAAATTTAGCCTTTTTCATAAGGTTGTACCCCGAATCCTGCGGGCACGTTTTTCGGGGAGCGTTGGAGTATGACTGACAATAAATTGTGAGTGTTATTCTGTCAGTCATCCTCCAACGCTCCCCGAAAAACGAGCCCTCAGGATTCGGAAAACGAGCCCTAAAAAAACGAGCCCTCAGGAAGGCTTATTGCCAAACTCTTTTGGGCATAAATTAATTAATAGTTAATTGTAGCTATTATCATTAATCTTTACTTTTTAATGTTAAATAAAAATATCTCATTTACTATATATTTGTAACCTTAATTTTTTGAAGTTTTTTTGTAAAGTAAAAATATATTGTGTTCCTTATTTTTTTTTTAATTTAAAAATATATTTATTTTTGAAAATATTTTTCTATATTTAATTCTTTTTTCTCAATTTACTTACGGGTGAGGGAGTTGTCTAATTTTAAGTATACACTTTCCGGTAGATACCGAGAGGTAGGCGCAATCTCCAAAGCGCAACGCAAGGCCAAAATTTAACACAATGCGCCCGCCCTCATTATAAAATATAAAATTTTTTGACATAAAAGGTGTATCTTATAAATAGACCAGGCTGTAATTAAAATTTTAATATATCAATGCTCAATAATTCAATGAGAACTAATTTAAAAGAAGAAGAACAATTATTAGAAGAAACAGCATTAAATTGGTTTAAAAGATTAAATTTTGATGGATTACTTTTTCAAACGGGACATAAATTGTTTGATGATTTAAAAATGATTTCGAGCGGAGAAATTGTTGAAATTGTTGGCTGTGATGCTTCGGGGAAAATGCAAGTATTTTTTTATTTTAAATTTAATTTTGAAAATAATTCAAGCTGGGAATGACTTTAATTGCTGAATTATTATTGTCAGAATCGAAGAGGGATAGACAAGTGATTGTTATTGATTTTAATGGATCTTTTCGTATTGGAAGGTTGGAAAGAATTTTGATGCATAAAATGTGAGGTTATTTTCAAAAAAAAACGTAATTTTGCTAAAATATAGTTAAACTTACTACATTTCGTAAATATGTATCGAATGTTGCTCATTTAGCTCCGCTGCCAATTAAATTTCTATAAAACTGTTGGGTATGTGCTTAGTATAAAAGGCTACGGCTTTAGCCATTCGGGAGTTAGTGTCTGTTAGTGTTATTCTTAGTCTTATTCTAGTGCTCCACATATTCGGCTTCGACCATATTCCTATTGTTCGCTACTATTGTATTTAGTCTTGTAGATAAAGCACAGTTTGTTAGTCTGTCTTATCTTGTTATTCTTGTTAGTACGTAGACATAGAAGTCACGTACATAACAGTGGCGCGGTCGACAGGATTCGAACAATCGCAGTTGTATTCGGACAGTTTTATTCGAATAGTCGTATTCGGATATTCATTCTGTATTCAGTAATTCGATATTCAGCAATTCTACATTCAGTATTCAAGTATTCAATTCAAGATGGAAGATGTAGAGTTTGTGAAGATTTCCAAGGCTCAGACGGAGCATATTAGTAAGCAGTTTATTCTATTATTCAAAGGATTGTGCGAGATCAATCCTAAATTCGGAGATTCAAACGGAGAGTCAGCGGAATTGTATGATAAATTAGAATCGCTATTCGAAGAAGTCAAGATTCTAGCATTCACTGCAGCTATTCCGGAAGAAATGAAAGATATTAGAGAGCTTAGTCGTAAATTTGTGGAGCGTTATTCGAGACCAGACAAGTGTAGTCTGATGATTCTATTAGAGGAATGCTGCAGATATGCAGAAAAGAAGGATGAGGACAAAACGTTCGACAGTCATTCAAAGGTCAAGATAGAACCTGACAATTATGTGAATAATGTTAGTAGAGTCGAACATATTCCGAGTAGCGAATTCGGAAATTCAAGAAATAATTCAAGGCAACGAAAAGGCCAATTCAAGATTCGAGATTCACGTCAGTGTTACAATTGTGGCATGATTGGACATATTAGTAGAGACTGCCGGAAACCAAAGATAAGGTTGAGCCAAGGCAAAGGTCCAGAAGTCAATCATGTGAAAGTAGATTCTAGTTATTCGAGACCACATTGTCTGACGGTAGAAATTCCGGAGTTGATAGATTCTAGTCAAAATAGTCGTAGCAGTATTATTCAAGGCAGAAAGCCAAAAATTCGGAAAAGTAATAAAAGTCAGAATAGTCAAAATTCGAAAATGGCAAAATATTCGAGAAATTCGAATTATTCGAAAGATTCTAATGATTCGAGGAAGTCAAAGTGTTCAAATAATTCGCGAGATTCTATTCAATTCAGAGAAGACATGAAAGTCTTTGTATGGAACAAAAACAGAAATGGCAAAACAGTCTGGTTGCCAGGGACAATTCTTAGTAAATTCGGAGATGATTATAAAGTCGAAGTCCCTTGGCTGAAAACCGTAGTCAGTAGAGAAAAATGGCAGTTAAGAAAGCCAAATTCGATTCATTCAAAGGGAAGTTATTCAGATTCTACAGATTCGAGGGCCAGTCTAAGAACTAGAGAAAGTTCAATTCGGAGTCAAATTCGTGAAAATTCCAGGCACAATTCGAAGAGCGCAGCAGAGACGAAGCAGGATTTGCGCGCTGGCACAGAGGCCAAAGAAGAAAAGAAGTCCTGGGTGCATAAGATGATTTGGGGAAAATAAATGTGATAATATTGTGTAAATTTTTTTTTGTTTTTGTTTGTTTGTTTTCCCCCACTTGTTTTTTTTGTTTTGTAATTTTGGCCCTTTGTATGTATTTTTTTCTGTTGGAGTAAGTATTCGAGCACACCCATGACAGATTCAGAGATAATTCATTCTTTTTAAAGGAGGGAGATGTTGGGTATGTGCTTAGTATAAAAGGCTACGGCTTTAGCCATTCGGGAGTTAGTGTCTGTTAGTGTTATTCTTAGTCTTATTCTAGTGCTCCACATATTCGGCTTCGACCATATTCCTATTGTTCGCTACTATTGTATTTAGTCTTGTAGATAAAGCACAGTTTGTTAGTCTGTCTTATCTTGTTATTCTTGTTAGTACGTAGACATAGAAGTCACGTACATAACAAAAACGAATCTTAAATTGAGGTGTATCTAATTTTGGGGTATCTTATAGTGAGGTCTACCTTTCATAAAAAAAATCTGGGTATCGGAGTATGTTAGGTTGGGAATTGGGAGAGAGAGAGAGGTGAAGGAAGAATTCTGTCAAACATAGACTTCACTGAATAATAATATTTTAAAGGGTTTTTGTTTTCTGTAATTTAAAAATTTTCGTCTATTTTTAATTTTTTTTTGAAAAATAATTTTTAAATAATAGAAACTTTTATTATTTTTTAAGATCTTCTAATAATAATAATACCTCAACTAAATTAAATATAAATGATTTATTAAAAAGAGTAAGTTATGGAATGGCTAAATATTCTGGAGAATTAAGATCTAGATTACTTGAAATTGAGGTTTATTTTTAGTAATTTTTAATTTAAATTTTTTAAAGTTTGGATTAAAAAATTCTTCTTCTGTTCCTATTATTTTTATTAATAAAATTGGTTCTATTTTATTTGATGCTGTAGCGAAGGAAAACAATGACGGTTTTTATTTTTAAAAATTTTAATGTCAAATTATTGCTTTCCCTTTAAATTAACTCTAATTATTAAAAAATTGTCGAAAATAAATTGTGTTTCTATATTCCATTTTTCACAAAAGCTTAGATTGGGATTAAATATCTCATTTTATTACAATTAATATAGTAGTTGTAGCTTTCCGTTACATCTACTTGCGGGCGTTACTTTCGGATTGGGGTTGCCGAATAAAACTGTGTATTGTGACTTTGTAAAATTTTTTTGATGTGCTCAATCCCCGAAATCAGGGAAAGGAAAAAGTTTTTAAGGAAAGATTTTTTAATTTAATTTTTACAGGACAAATCCAAAAACAAATACTTTTAACATTAAATGAATTTTGCCTTAAATTTGGAGCAACTATAATAACAACAAATCATTTGGTTAATTGGAGGAATATTTCAAAACCTGCTTTAGGCAAAATTTGGATTAAAGGGATTTCCAAAAGAATATTTTTACAAAAAGAAAATAATTGTTTTTATGTAGAAGCTAAAATTGATGGAAAAGTATATTTATTTTTTTATTTAAATTAATTTAAAAATTTTTTTAAAGATTCATGGAAGTCGTGTTAATTATTCTTTATCTGAGGCTGGATTTATTGTTTAAATTTTGCGATATTTTTGTTATTTATATGAGACAATACAAATTCTTTTACCTTATTTATTGTTATATTTTCTTGTAATTTAAGATACCTTTTTTTAATTTGTTAAGCGATATCCCCAATTTAAGATTCAAAAATAAATTTTTTCAGACCAGGGGGTACTTTAAAATGAGTTCCGATTGTATTTGTGTTTTTAATATTTAATAAAAATTTTGAATAAAATTTTTCTTGGCATTGCCTAAAATTGTGTGTTTTGTACAATATAAATATCTAAATGGTTTTTTTTTAAATTTTTGTTAAATTTTTAAATAAATTTCAAAGAGATTCAAGAAAAATGGAAAACAACAATCATAATAATACTGGAAAAGAAGGGAATGAAGATATTGATCAATGTTTGCCAAGTCCAAACGAAAATGAAGTATCTGAAGAATCGTCTATGGAAGAGGATGGAAAAAGTGAAAGAGAAGAAGGGGAAGAAGAAGAAGGGAATGAAGAAATAAATAATTTAAATAAAATTCCAATAAATGAAAAAGCTTATTTGACACATGAAGAAGCTGTAATTAATGTTTTGGAGAAGGGAATTGCTCCAAATGATTTTTTAAAAGGTTGGAGTAATGAAGACTTGATGGGTGTTATAATTCAATTAACAAAGCATAATATAGATGATGAGGGTGTTAAACAAATTGCAAAACATTTTAAGGATACAACTCATGAAGAGGTAGTTTTTCTTAAAAAAAATTAATTTTGGGTTTGATAATTGATGTAAAATTGGGGTTTTATTGTCTGTAACCTTTTTTTTCCGTCTTTTTTTTTCTGTCCTTTTACTCAATTAGAGATAATTGGACTTGTATAGAGAATTAAGAGTTTTGTTTTTCCAACTTCTAACATAAGTTAAGGAAGATATCGTCCAAATATTCAAGTTAGACGAGGATGGGGGTAATTAACTATTATAACTGTTTCATGTTTTTTCGCGCCTATAATGACAAAAGGATGAAAAATGAAATTTTAATTTTATTAAAATTTAAAAAAATTCCTTCAAACAAAATCATGACAAAAGGAAACGAGAGGAGGAAATGGTTTTCATTAATGGTTGAAAGCTTAAGATAAGTTATAGTTCCCTGAAATTCTGAATTAATCTCTACATCGTCTCTTGGTTAAAACTACCGGTCCTTTTAGAATAGGGCTCTAGAACCGAAACTAGGATCAAAACACACCAAAACTTAATAGCCGGCTTCCATAAATGTTTTTTAATAAATTTTCATAAATTTATAATAATTTTAGTAAATTTTAAGATTGTTGATTGTATAAATCAATGCAAATCAGTTAATAAATTAGCAGAACAGGGAAGATATCGTTTAGAAGAAATGAGCAAACCAGAAGTTGAATTAATAAATAATAATCAAAATCTAAAAGTTTATTCAAATTGGGTGTCTTTAGTCGACAAAATGAAAAAAATTAGAGGTGTTGGAGATTGTTCTGGAGATGTAATTTCTATATTTTTAACTGAATGTTCTGACGAAGCTGGGACTAGCTTACCCGGAGCGCCTAATTATAAAAGAATTTATTCTTGTCTTTCACAACTTGTCAAAGGATATTCTATGAAAAATGCTAGAATGTAAATTTTTAAATTATAGGGAGGGGGAAAGATGAATTTAGAAGGAAGTGTTGGGGAAGTTAGAAGTGTCCTTAATCTAAATTCTCCACAAATTCCTCATTTTAATTATTAAATTCAAGGTTAGATGAAGCAGTAATTCTAGACATTTTTGAGAATATTGAAAAAGAAATTGATTCGAGACCGGACATAACTAGATTCCTCAGAAAAGTATTTAGAGATGCTCAATATTTGACTGAACAAGATTTTAGGTTAGATGAAATGAATGAAAATAAATTGGAAAAACTTTTTAATATTTTTAATTTTCCATTTGATAAAATCAAATTTGTTCCATAAAAATTTTGAATAAAGTAAAATTGTTTTTCTTTTAATTGTTAGATATTTAATCCTCAATCATGAGGACTCAGTTATATGATATGTATGTACTTCTACGATTATGGGCAGGCCCGTAGCCAGGGGGGTAGGCTTTGTTCGCATCCCCCCTGATTATGGGATGCCAATAAAGAAGAATCCATTCTTTTCAGCGCTTTAGGTTCCGGTACGGCGCCTGAATTGTTGGATCAACTTCCCCCGTCACCTGAACAACATCTTAACATTCCCCTCTCTTGGAACAATTTTCCACGTTGCAATTTAAATTTCAAATTGTTGGCACTCTACGGCCCCGCTCTCTAATGGAAGCACTCTAGTGGCCCGTTCCGCTTTTTCAAAAAATTTCAATAAACAGAATGCCAACTAAAACTTCGTTCAAAAAATCGTTAAAATTTTTTAGCCTTGAAATCTTTAAATTTTTTAATAATTTTGCTCTTATTTTTAGTTTTTAGCTAATTTTATTTTCTCGAAATGTCAAAAAGAGGACGTGGAGGAGCTTCTGGCGCGAAGTTTCGTATTTCTTTGGGTCTTCCAGTTGGAGCTGTTTGTTTTTTTTGAAAATATTTTGTTAACTTTTCATTTTTTAGGTAATTAATTGTGCTGACAATACTGGAGCCAAAAATCTTTTTGTTATTGCTGTTTATGGAATTCGTGGTCGACTCAATCGTATGCCTAGTGCTGCAGTTGGCGACATGTTTGTGTGTTCTGTTAAGAAAGGAAAGCCGGAGCTGAGAAAGAAAGGTTTTTGTATTTTAAATCATTAGGGACCTTAAATTCTTTGAGTAATCTGGAGAAGTTTATAATATTGTCCTAATATATAAGGTTTTCCTCTTATCACTCTCAAATATGTCCTTGGCATAATTTCTACATTAGGCGCGGTAAAGAATCGTTGTTGGGGCTTGCCAAATTGTATCGATTTTAAATAAACCAATTATTCTGAACAATCAGACCTTGACGGAAAATAGATTATTTTTGTGAGGATTAAAACTTCAACCTCATTTTGTTTATCTGCTTTACTGGTCCTCCTTTTTTATTACCCAATTTTAACTTTAAACAAAATTTAGTTCTGCAAGCTGTAGTTGTTCGACAGCGTAAACAATTTCGTCGAAAGGATGGGACTTTTATTTATTTTGAAGATAATGCTGGGGTTATAGTTAACAATAAAGGAGAAATGAAAGGTTCTGCTATAACCGGTCCAGTTGCTAAAGAATGTGCGGAACTTTGGCCGAGAATAGCTTCAAATGCTAGTTCGATTGCTTAAAAAATTGAAAGTTGAATTTGTTAATTGGATTATTTGTTAAAGAATAAAAATATTTTTTGTTATTTTTTTCTTTGAAAATATTTAAAAAAAGTTATTAACTTTAAATTTATTAGAAATTGTTAAGAAGGTGTTTAATTTTTTTGGACTTTTCTTTTTAGATTTTTTTCTCCTTGATGGCATTTTCCCCCAATTATTTGTATAGTTTAGTTTTGTTGACTGGTTTGTTTTTGAAGATTTTGTTTGTAATTACTTAATTTTAGCTTTTTCTCTATGGGCTTTTCATTTTTGGTTTATTTTGCATTTATTTGAAAATGTTCGCTTCTTTTCTCATCTTTCCGATTTTGAACGTGAAATGACTTACAGAACTGAAATGGTTTGTAATTTTTGATTAATAAATTTATCTTGAACATTTTAATGAGTTTATGCATTCACCTTCGCGGTTCCAAATTGTTATAGGCTTGACTAAAAACGATTTTTCTTTCAGTTTTTAAGGGGGACTTGATACTTTTTGAATTAATTTCCTTTATCCTACTAAAAGTCAGCAAATCACTCAAGTTATTTTATCCTAAATTTTGTACTATTTTATTACTTTATATCAACATTTAATGTAATTTTTTGGAAAATTTATTTTTTCAAAAATAATCCTAAATGATTTATGGACATTACTTGCAGACTTTTGGGGGGAAAAACGTTCTATTTATCTCAATTTTATTTTTTTTTTCATTTTAAGGGATTTTACTTTTCTTTTTACAAAACTCTCGTTTCTATGCCTTTTTCTGATGGCCTTGTTCAATTAATGAAAGACAATACAACTGAATTTGGCAATACAATAAATGCTCTACATCGATTTAATCTTTATCCAGAAGTTTGTTTTGAATTTATTTTTTTAAATTTTTTCTTTTAAAGTTAATTCTTTCTTCACTTTTTTCTGTGTTTCGAAGATTTTCAGATTATTTTGAATGGAAAACTATCGGTTGATTTTTAATTTGTGAATTTTTTAAAATTATTTTTAGTTTGTTGGAGAGTAAATAGAGGAGGTGGAATGACGCCAATTGAAAGTTGTGAAGGTTTACATTTTCTTTTCTTTTTTATATTAATTTTTAAAGTTAAAATCCTAAATTAGGCAACATTATTTAATTCATTTTACTAGCCTGTTAAAATTTAAAATAAAATCTAAAATTAAAAATCGTTAACCTTGACAAGAAGTCAATCTTTTTTTGGATGTTGCGATTCCGATTATCGAATTTTGTAAAATGGAAATAAAATTGAAACTCTAAAAAACTTTTCCAATACTAAATTCCTTACAATTAGCGGGATTACTTTTGCATTACTTTTACACCCGACTATATTATATGTATGTCGAAATTGACTTTTGTTCTGGGGTTGATCCTAAGCGACCTGTTGTCCTTGAACTTCTCATGTCAGACACACCTAGCTGATCTCTCTATATCTTGTTAAAATCAAAATTTGTCTACATTTTAAAATAATTCCCTTTTATTTTTAGGTTTAGGCAATTATCATTATTTTTATATTTATGGAGCATTTTTTGTTGCAAGTAGTGTTATTTTTTCTTTATTTATTGGTGGATTTTCTTTAAGGTATTTTTAATGAAAATATTTTTCTTTAATTTGAAAAAAATAAATTTAGTCAAAGCTTTTTTGGTGGAATTTTGGCTTCAATTTCTTTTATGTTTAATCATGGTTATTATTTATTTTAAATAAAAAAGAATTAATTTCTTTTTAGGAGAAGCAACAAGAGCACAATGGACACCTCCTTTACGAGAATCTTTTGGTTACCCAATATTTTTACTTCAAACAATTTTGACTGGTTATATTTTGAGAAAAGGAAAAATTAATTTAATTTTTGGGGGTTTACATGTTTTTCTGACAGTTGCTTTCTGTTGTTTTTGGCAGGTTTTTTCTATTGTTATTTTTTATTCATTTTAAGGTTTTTTAAAATTTTTCATCTTCCGATTTTATTGTTAATTTAGATGGACATGAATTCCGAAATAGAATTTTGGAAATTATGTTATTAAGAATGTTTTTCCTTTTTAAAAATCGAACAGTTCTGGTTCCATAGAGAGTAACATCGATTCCAAACTCTCCGTACTCACATTAGTTCCTCCAATTTTAATCTTTGTTTTGTTGCTTGGGTCCTATATTTTTTGTTTTAAAATTTTTCTTGCCCAAAATTCTTACCTGGACGTGCTCTTTCTTTTATTTTTTATCTATTTTTAAAATTAATTAATTTTTTTCAAATTTTAGTTAAGTCAATTTATAATCGGTACTCAACTTGGAACGGTTTTTTTTAAATTTTCTAAATAAATTTTTATTTAATTTTAGCTTGTTCTTCTTTTCTCTTGTGAATTAATTTCTTTTCCATTATTATTTTCTTTATGGCAATTATTTTTGGTTTGTTTCTTTACTTACTATTAGAGTTAGAAATTTGAAAATAACGGATCTGGTTTCGGGATATAGAAATTTTTTTCCGGATCATCTCGAAAATCAGGATTTTGTTAGACCTTTATTTAAAATATTTTTTTTAATTTAGTTGTCAATAAGTTTATTGTTGACTGCCAAACCGTTACACTTTATTTAGGGTATACCTCATTATAAGATTTAAATTTTTAACCATGAATGTGGGTCTGATATTGAGGGGGATTGTATTTTTAATTAATTTTTATTTTTCAGATTTCTTATTGTTTATCAATTTCTTTACTTTTTGGCAATTTATTAATTTTAAATTCCTTCTTTTCAAGTTCACTTATTTCAATTTTAATTATTTTTATTATTCACAACAAAATTTTAAATTATTTAAAATTACGTCCATTATTTATATTTTTACATTTATTTATTTATTTTTTTGCTGCAATAAGCATTAAATTGTTTTTAAATAAATTATTTGATTTGAAGGATGACAATAATGTATGTTTGTTTTTTGTTAATTTAGAGAGGAGGGGGGGGGGGTTTCAAATTTATTATTCAAAAAGAGTTTTTCATTTATTTTGAAATCCGCCATTCAAAAATGCCCATCAAATAACCCATCATCGTTAGATTGGATGGTGGCACAGTCGTTTGTGCTTCGGTATTTTAATATTCTCCAAGTTTTGGAGGCAGTCGCATTTTAACAATTTAAAAATAATTTTTAGCCTTTTTTGTTGGCCATTAAATCTCATTAATTTTAAACTAAAAATAATTTTTTCACTTCAACTTTTTCATTTTTAAAGGTTTTCGAATTGTTAAAAGCAAAATTATTTCCTAATTATGCAAATTTCCATACTCTTTTATATACTTGTGCCCCAGAATTTGATTTTTTGCAATTTGAGGTTATATTTTAAATTAATTTTAACACATACAGTTAAACCCTCATTTTTAGATACCCCTAATACTAGGTACTAGTGTTATTCACGATGCCGTATTACCGCGGTATTCTTACCGAAATACCGAAACCGATACGGCCTCAATCAAGAATACCGCGGTATTCTTGACTAGGTACACCTCTATTTAAGAGATTTTATCTTTGACTTTGAGTGGCTACTGGGTAGGATGTTGTCCAAACATAATTTAGTTTTTACTCCTAGTGTTTACTCCTAAAAATAAGGTTATTTTTTGTTTTTAAAGACAATTTCAAAATTAATTTCAACTTGGTTATTACCTTTAAACTGTTTGGTTATTTGTTTTTTGTTTGTTTTATTTTATCGTTTTGAATTGGCTAATGGAAAGTGGCTTTGGCGGTCTGATAAAATTGATAGATTTTGTCCAGAGGTTTTTTTTAATTTTATAATTTGGTTGGGCATAATTATGTTGATAGTTTTGAAGAAAATTTGAACAAAACTTCAGAATCTCCCTAATTATAATATTTTAAAGTTATTATCTCTATTAAATCCTTCGGCTAAACAAACCGATAAATTTTGAACTTACAATTTAATACATATTATGGGTATTTGTATTTCTTGGGTGTTTAGTTTTTTAAGACATCCTTAATTTTTTCTTATTTTTTTCTCCATTTCAAAACATCTTTCCATTCATTTTTCTTTTTAATTTTTAGATAGCCTATCATTCAACTCAATTATTTATTTTTATAATTTTGGCTTTACTTTTTATGCGTCTAAAATTATTTGCAACTCCCCATTTATGTCTTTATTTATCTTTATTATCTTCTAACAAAATTTGGACAAAAATAGAAACTAATTTTAAATTAATTAAATTAATTTTTGTTGGAATTATTTTGGCTGGAATGGCAAATAAAGGAATTAAGAATATTCAAAATCAATTGGAAATGAGGGGAGAATATAATAATCCTGAACAGGAAAATTTATTTATTTGGATTAATGAAAATACTTTGAAAGGTTAAAAAACTAGTTTTGAATAGTACACTCTCTTAGGGCTCCAAAAAATTGTACCTTATAATGAGTGTACATTAAATTGGAGTATTGCATGCTTATTATTAGTAGGCTCCTTCTGATCCTCTTAAATGGGGTATCGAGAATGCCCAGTTTCGCCTTTTTTTGTCTTTCACTTTTAGTTTTGTCACATCCTTTAGGTTATCTACTATTTAGTTTTTGGAGTATCTATTGTATTTTTTTGTATTTAGATTCTGTTTTTGCTGGAACTATGGCTTTAATGGCAAATTTAAAATTAAGTACTCTTCGGCCTATTGTTAATCATCCACATTATGAAAATGAAGAAATTAGGTAAAAATATTAGATAAAAATATTAAATTAATTTTATTTTTTTATAGAAGACGTACTCTTCGTGTTTATTCTCTTTATAGTAGAAAATCTGTTGAAGAAGTATTTTTAATAATTTTTTAAATTAAAAAAAGTTTTCTTTAAAAAATAGGTTTATTTTGATTTAAAGAAAATGGGTGTTCAATTTTATGTATTTCAACCACAACAATGTTTACAAAAACACCCAAAGAAAGAATGTAGTTATTTGGCTATGTGGGATTTACAAGACCCCAAAAATAGGTAAATTTTTGTTTTAAAATTTGATTTTTTAAAATATTTTAATAATTAGTTGGGCGCATTATAAGATAAGGACCTACTTGTGTGTATAATTTAATAAGTTATTTGGAATTGCGTCAAAACTTTGCGTTTTTAACACAAAAGGGGGAAATCAAAGATTTTGGAGGACTAATAGGGATATTGAGAGATTAAAAGATTTTGTGAGGATATGATGATTAGGGCGGATTATTTCTCCCAAACCATTGGGGTATTTCAGGGTCCGATTACAATTTTCAAACAAAATTTTTTTTCAGAATACGTCCATCACTCTGTCATCAGTTAATTTTTATTTTTTTTTTTTTGAAATTTTTTAAATTTTCAATAGATTATGGAATGGCATAATAAATTCTAATCAATCTCTTTTGGGTTCTTTTTTGCCAGTTTATATTTCGGAAAGTTATGTTGTTTTGAAAATTGAAAAATGAAAAGAAATCCTAAAAAAAAATTTTTTTTGAAAATATTTTTATTTTTTTATATTCTCATTAATTTTTAATTAATTAATTCTCATTCTTTTATAGTATATAAATATTTTTAATTGATTATCATAAATAGAGTAGCACAGAACTTTAGTTAAATTATAGCAGGCTAGTCGAAATACTATAATCATGACAGGAATTGTATGTGTGGGATATTTAAAAACACCCCCTCCCCGTTAAATCTCCCCCTCTCTTCCTTTAAAACGTCGATTTAATTCTCGGTCCTGATGTCTTAACGAGTTTCAACTTATTTTTAATTTTTAATCAAAAAATTTAAATCTCAAGAGATTTTATTTAAAAAAAAGAAAATTAAAAAAAAGCGACAACTTAATTAATTGACAGCCTTGAAAATATTTTCTCTTTTTTGTTTAAAAAATTCAAAAGAACAAAAGCGAAAAATGTGTTTGTGTGTTATAATTGGGCGGGACGAAAATAAATAAAAAAAGGGGGGAAAAGCTGTGAATTTTGAATAACTTTTTATTTTTTCTTTATTTTTTTCCAGCTGGTCAGTTCTCTCTTTTATTTTATTTTTTCCTCCAAATATTTAATTTTCTTTTTTTTTAATACTTTGTTTTCTCTATTTAATCCGCCGCCCACATTCGGCCAGAAATTTTATTTATTCCCAAATATTTTTTTTTAAATTTAATTTTTACATATAAACGTTCCTCCTTCTCCTCCTTTTTAAAGAAAATATTACTTTCGAATATTAAAAGAAAATATATTTATTTATTTAAATGTTTAATATTTTTAATTTATTTTTAATTGGATTTTTAATAAATATTTTTGGTAAGTAAAAATGTTTTTAATTATTTTTTGAATTTTTTTTAAATGGAAGGTGGAAGGGGGGATTTAATATATAAATATCCGAAACTGAAAATTTTTTAAAATTCGAAATAAAAATTAAAGCTGAATCTCAAAACTAAAAGAAAACTTTCACAAATTGCTAGGCAAGCCAAAAATCTCGGAAAAAGCTCTCCCAAAACTCTCTATTAAGTGTAAAAATTAGATTCTTTTAAATAAAAATAAATTTAAAATTGTTTAAATAAAAATTAAAAAAACAACTTTTAATTTTTTGAGAGAAAATCTTCTCTGTACTTTTAGTAAAATTTTAGTTATTTTCAAACCTTTTTTGATTTTTACTCTTTTAATAAATAAATAAATATAATTTAATGCACTCAAGCATTTTGTATAAAATTTTGAGAGAACTATCCAAAATATGTTTATCTCTTCTCTTCTCTCTCCAAAAATTTAATCTTCCTGAATGGCCGTCTAAAATATTTTAAAAATATCCAAAAAAGCTAAAAACTCATTTGCGGTAAGCAAATCATTTGTGAAAAGGGAAAGGGAAGGATAAAACGGTTTTAGAGGGAAATACCCCCTAGAGAGAAATATTTTGAAGGGAAAGGGGGAAGGGGGTAGGATAGCCTTTAATAATAGATATCCACTTCCTTCCTCCGTATTTTCCCCCCAAAAATCTGCAAAAATGAAAGGACCTTCTGGCAGAAAAGAAGAAGCTATAAATGCTTTAAATTGTCAGGCATTTATGCAAATAATTCAATTTTTTAGAAGAAAATAAACATTTATGGAGGTTGGAAGGAGGAAAGGAGAGAGGGAGGGAAGGGAAGGGAAGGTTTTTGAATATTTTTAATTTTTTTTTGAATTTGACAAAGCGGAAGAAATAGGAGAATTATTAAAAAAAAAGAATTTATTTTGGGCAAATTTAATTGTCTTTCAAAATTTCAAAAAAAAAATTCGGAGGGAAATTAATATCCTCTTTTTTAATGACAAAAACAAATAATAGTACACATTTACAATCATTCTTGTAAAAAAGACTAAAATAAATATAAAATCCAAAATGTAAATATTTATGTACTAAATTAATTTAAAAATGAGAGAAAGAAAGAAATAAATAAATTTTTAAATTTAAATAATAAAACAATGTCCGACTGAGGCGCTAAAAATTTGAAAAATCCAGCACCATCGTAGATCCAAGAATCCAATAATCCAACAATCCAATCCAATCCAAGAAGAAATCCACCATCAAAAAATCCAGCACCATTAGCAATAGTGTTGGGTATTGGGCCTTTGTCGGCTCCGGCCTGGAGTTTTCAAAATCTTAGCCCCGGCTCCGAATCCGCCGGAGCCGACTCCGGAGCTAGCTCCTCCGTCCAGCATTCTAATGAGGAAATGTTCCGTATATGCGGAGCCGCCAACCCTACTCACACAGTCTCAAAAGGCTTTTGTAGGATATCATAGGATTTGGAAGAATATCAGGGGATTTTTACAAGATTGAGGATAATGTGATATACATAACGGATTTGACGCGAACTGCTAGGATCTATTCCTGGTTGACTGTGGCTAACTTTTACATACCTTTCTCTCCGATTCAAATTACTTTTTAAGTAAATATCTCTTCTTCTTCATCATCATCAACAACAATTAATCATCAATTGTCAATTTCTGAATGTCTTCGTCTTGAACAAACATTTAATAATAATCAACAAAATAAAAATAAAAAATCTCAAATAATTTCAGTAATTGAAGGAATGCCTGCTTATTTTCATTGTCCCCGTTTATTTAAAGAAAATGAAGAAGAAAATAATTTAAAAGTTTTTTTCTTCTTCTGATATTTTAAAATTAATTTAGATAGCTTGGACAAGAATTAGAGATATGGCTTTACTTGCTGTTGGGGCTAGTAGTTTTACTGCTGATTTTAGATTTCAAGTATCCAAACCTCGTGACAAATATTCGGATTGGGTGCTGATTTTGAGAAGAACTGAGTTTGTACTTTATTTTTTTGTTTGTAACCCCTCCCCTCCCTCCATTTTGTGGACCTGAAATATACAAAAAATCCTTATACATAAAGATAAGGTTGGTGTCCATCCATATTAAAGCTGGCGGATCATGACAAATTTCCGGATCCGAGAGTTCCGGATATCTTGACTTTTTTTGGATCTTGATTCGCAAACCCTAATTACATCCTTTTATATTTCTCGGCACAGTCCTTTCCCAATATGTATACTGAATAAAAAGTTTGTCATCTTTTTTGAAAATTAAATTATTTTTTGTTATTTTTCAGCATAACCCCCCAAATATTGGACACCGAAATTCTCTCTATAATATCACCCCTTCCCCTATCACTTCTCCTCTTACACCGGCAAAATTCCGCTTGAGAAGTGACGAAATAGGAGGAAGATTTTTAAATTAAATAATTAAAAAGATTATTTTTTAAAGATTAGATGATAGAGGTTGCTATATTTGTGGTATTTTCTTATTTAAAAATTAATTTAAATTAATTTAAAAAAGAAATAAATACAGAGCCAAGCAGTATTGTTATTCCGATATATTTAAAAGTTATTAAATTAGGTAAAATTTAATTTTAAAATTTAAAAAATATTTTTATTTTTTTAAAAAGGTGAAGAAAAAAGAATAGAAAAACAAAAATTAATTAAAAAACAAAATAAAGGTATGTATTTAATTAAATTTAAATAAAAATTAGTAGAGAGAGAGAGAAGAATTATTAGTTTTTCTTTAGAAAAAAATATTTTTAAAAAATCCAATAAAGATTTTCAAATAAAATTTAGAAATTAGACTTGAGGAAATGCGAGATTGTTATTTTGAAAATAAGGGGGTGGGGCTCTTGTCCAGATTACGCGTCCAATAAAAAGTTTATGCGTCCAAACAACTCTTTATGCGTCTAATCATATTTTTATTCAACTATAATAATAAATACCTGATTTTGTTGTTAGACTCTCTGGGCGAGTAGAGACGCAGATTAAACGCGTGAAAATTTGCTTGGACACATAAACTTTTGATTGGATTCGTAATCTGAACAGGGGCCGAATCTTAATTCTGATAATAGAGATTTTAAAATAAAATATTGTCTAAATAAATATTTTTGGTTAATTTATTATGATTATCTGGTAATATTTTAAAGAGGGGAGGGGGAGGGTGTTTAGACGGTAGTTTAGGGAGGAAAATAAAGTTAATATTCCTGATAGTTTATTTGGTTAACTTCCCCCCTCCTCCTCCTTAACGGTGGGGAGGTAACAAAAATACTTGTTAGGAAGTTTTATTTTGTATTTAGCGGCTAAACTTTTGATAATTCTTACAAAAAATTTTTTTTTTAATTTAAAAGAATACAAAGCAAAATTAGAATCAAGAATAGAAGGTTTTTATATTTAAATTTTAAAAATTATTTTTTTAATTAAAAAAAAAAGAAGGAACAATTTTATTATTAAATTGCACAATTGAAAGAATTAAAGAAAATAATAATGAAAATTATTTTAATTTAATTAACTCTACAGAAGAAGAAGAAAATTCTTCTTTTTTCTGGCCAAATATTGTTTGGAGTAAAGATGAAAAATTGTTGGAATTGGAGGAAAATGAAAATAAAAGTAATTTTAATTAATTTGGGGAGGAGGGGGAGAGGAGGGGGAGGGTGACATTTTGTCCCATTTAAACTTAAATTTATGTTTAGTGTCTGCATTTAATTAGCGCAAACATTCCCAATCTAGGCCTCTTCGGTATGCCGGTTAAGGAGTTTGGGGATTTAGTAGAGAGCTCTTCCACTGCAACACCCAGAAAAAAACAAAAATTTCACCCCCAAAATTTAATTTAAAAATGGGGTCTATTTATGTACTAGTTATAATTAAAAATTTTAAATTTAAATTAAAAAAGAATATTCAACAAATATAAACTTTATCAACACTAACCACAATTCAGCAATATATACATTAAGAATTAAATATTTAAATTCAAAAGATAATGGAATATACAAATGTGAAGGTGACAGAATAATTAAATCAGAACAAATAATTTATTTGCCTTTATTAAATAATAATTCCTCTTTTAAAACAAAATTTAATTTTTATTTATTTTTATATTTATTTTTAATTTTATTTTTTAATTAAAAAAATATTTTTACATCCCTTTTTATTTTTGATTGCCAACTGGGTGGAGGAAGGAACTGAAGGTTTATTTAACACATACCTAACAATCCACTTTTGTACTTTTTTTAAACAGTTAGGAGGGGGGGGGGGGCTAAAATATTTTTTATAAAATAATTATAAATTCTGTGGAATTTTGGCTAAGAAATTCTAAAAAAAAAGTGAAAACAAATAGAAAATCCCCTCTAGGCATATCCACGCGTATTTAATTAATTAATATCTCCAAATGGGTCATTACATATTTTTTTATTATTAACCGGAGAGAAAATACTAAATAATTTTATGTAGAGGAGAGAACGCAACTGGAAAGCACAGCAAAAGAAAAATAGAAAGTTGTTGTCATTTTTTAAACAAAAAAATATTTTATTAATAAAAATTTATTTATTTTCATTAATTAATTAATTAAATATTTAAATGCCCTAACAATTAAAATAAAATATATTTATATGTTAGTTGTAACTTTGAAGAAAACTTTTTTCTAAAATTCTGGACATCCCTTCTGTATACTCATAAAATATTTTTGGGTTTCCCTTACTTTCCAAAATCTTCAAAATTCCTTAAATCTCCCTAGTAGAAACCTCCCTTTAATAGAAATTCATCCCGAAGAGAAGCTCATGCAAAGAGTTGAATTGAGGTTCAATGAGACCTATTAGAAAAAATAACCGCTCAGGGCCTTTATTCAACGAAATCTCGATATAACGACTCTTCCCGAAATCGAATTGAAGTCACGTTATATCGGGCGTCATTGTATATATTTAATTATACTTTTATTTTATTTTTTAGTTAAATTAAAAAATGTATTATTTTCTTTTATTTATTTTTCAATTAATTATTTTAATACAAAAATCATCAACATTCGAATATATACCAGAAAATGATTTAGCTAAAAGTTTTTTTAAATTAAATAACCAATAATTTTTTTTCAAAGTTTGTAGACCAGTTAACAGGCCAATTGATTTGTTGGTAAATTTTATAAAAATTAATTATTAAATTTAAAATTAAAAAAAGTTTTTGTTGGACGGTTCTGGTTCTGTTGGAGGAAATACTTTCCAAACACAAATGGAAATTTTAGATAAATTAATTGATATTTTGGAGATTGGGCCGGGACAGAATCAATCACAATTGGCTGTTATGCAGTGAGATTTTTTTCTTTCAATTTTATTTTCTCTGTACCAAATAAGGATCGGAAATGACGAGTTTTATAGTTTAAAAACTCGAAAAGGTATGATCGAGTACTTGATTGGTTCTGGGATATATATTAGAGATCCTTAGATCAAAAAATGGGTACAACCCAATCTACCACCGAGGCTGTAACTTCGTTCAAAATTGTCAAATCTGTGCAACTTGGTATGGTTGGATTTAGTTTGACAAGGCGCATCGAACCATACCAGGGCGCCCGGATTCGACAATTCTGAAAGATGTTATAGCCTCGACGGTAGGTTGGGCTCGCGGTAGGTTGGCCTGCTCCCACAAAAAATCGTAAGAATTTATTCTTTGTGTCTAATTATGTAATTACTCACTTGAGGATAATAAATATTTGTACATATATATTTATTTTTTAAAATCGTTTCACGTTGCTTTAGTATTCTCTTAAATTTTTAAAAATTTGATTTTTTTGTTTTAGAATTCAAATTTTTTTTAATTTATTTTTTATCCTTTAATTACTTATGTTAATTTAGATATGCCACCTACAGTTTTGTAGAATTTCCTTTCAGTGCCCACAGGGCAAGTTTTTATTTTTTTTAATTTAAATTTAATTTTCCAAAAAAAGAATAAAAGCCAATTACGCCAAGCTCTTCAAAGAATTAGACACAAATCGGGAACAACAAAAACTGGGAAAGCTTTGGAAAAAGCAATCCAATTATATAAAGACAAATCTTCTGGGGCACGTTTTGGTAATGTAGCTAAAGTTGTTGTTGTTGTTAGTGATGGAAGGAGTTTAGATGATCCCGTAATTATTTTCTTATATTAAATTAAAAAAAAGAGGGAACATTACATTTGGTTATACCTATGTAGATTTTGTTCAAGTATTTTTTTGGGGAGTGAATGAATGGTCCCGGATTGACAGGAACTGGGGGGGGGGGGGTTAACTAAAATTTAAGTTTTTAGTTTTCTGTTTTGTGGATCATTTAAATTTGTAGTTAAACTTTTCTTTTATGGCAAGGAAGCTATAGCCGAAGTTTATAAATATGTCTGTCCGTTTTAAGTTTCCGAATTCGAATCACTAATTTGACATTAAAGCTGGATCTAGAATGTTTAAATTTTTCGAGATTAATCCTGCCTGGGTCGGGTACCGGGCAGGTGGGAAACCCCTGCTAGATCCGGAAGAAGGATGATTAAAGTCTGTTTAGGGGTAATTGTTTTTTAAATCGAAGGAGAGCTTGTAGGGGAAGCAACTAAATATTATTTATGTATCACAAAATTAAAGACAAATTTTTCAATAAATTTAAAAGGTGCCTACAGCAATAAGACTACGTCAGACTGGTAAAAATGTTAAATTAATTTTAAATTTATTTTTTTCCTTTTAAAAAGGTGTATTTCTAATTTCTCTGGGTATTGGGACACACGTAAATTTGGCAGAACTTTTACAAATGAGTGGGGACTCGGAAATGGTTTTTGATGAACAAACAGAAAATAAATCTGTTGAAAGAGTTGCTTTTAAGAGATTTTTAAAAAGAAAATTATTTTTTTAAATAGTTCACAGATTTATTTAAACGTTTATCTACTGCCGAAGCTTGGTAAGTAAATATAATTGTTTTTAAATGAAAAAATAAACTCACTCGTTAGTAAACACAAGGCAAGAGTTTAAGTTTTTAATTTTTTAGTGAATTTGTACGTGGAGGTAATGGGGCAGATATTCGTTGTGGTTCTTCAGTAATTGAAGTCTTAACAACAACAAAAACAAAATTTAGAGGAATTTTTTATGTACAAGGTCATTGGTTAGAACCTGAATGTATTGGAATGATTGACGAAAATGGAGGAAATGGAACTGAATTAGGTTGGGGAAGAGAGGGAGGGGTGAGGGAGGGTGAGGGGAATGGGAGTGGAGGGGGAGGAAGGGGAGGGAGAAGGGGGGGGGGGTGAGGGGCGGGGAGCGTGCCCGCACAAAATACCGAATTCTCAAAATCGCGAATAGGCTAAAAAAGCTCAAAATCGCGAATCGGTAAAAATATCTCAAAATATGGAATCGGCCAAAAAAGCTCAAAATATGGAATCTTAAAATATCGAATCTCAAAATCGCGAATCGGCCAAAAAAGCTCAAAATACCGAATCGGCTAAAATGTCGAATTTTTTAAAAACGAAAAGGGCCGTTTGAGTGCCGCTGCAGGTCTTTTTCTGATTATTCAGGGATCTGTAACTCAGTCCAATCAGGTCGGATTTCATTGATTTTGGTATCATTCGATGCAGCTCGACGTGCTCTTTCAGATGAGCTATCATTCGGAAACTCGAAATTCGGTTCGGGATTCGAAATTCGGTTCGGGTCCGGGATTCGACTTTTTCAAAATCCGAGCTGAGATTCGTAATCAGCACATTTTTTTACCTTAGAAAAATACTTTCTCTTATTTTTAAAATTTTTTTACGAAGAAGTTGGTCACAACTTTGTTCAGACTCAACTGGCCTTTGCCGCATTGTCGATATTTTTCGATATTTTGAGCTTTTTTTGCCTATTCCATATTTTGAGATTCGATATTTTGAGATTCCATATTTTGAGCTTTTTTAGCCGATTCGCGATTTTGAGATTCCATATTTTAAGAATTCGGTATTTTGTATGGGAGCCGCGGGGAGGGTAAGGGAGGTTTAAAGTTTTTCTTTAAGTTTTACGAATTCCGTTGGGGAAATGTGGCTTAGAAAAACAATTTTCTACAAATCCAAAAGGTTATTTCTTTCGTGGTACTGCAATACTTCAATTCCATCCAAACTTTCGAACTGGAACAGACAAAATTTGGAAGGTAAAGGAAGTTTTTTGTTTGTTTGCCTCGCGTACTTTAAAAATTTAAATTGGACGTTAAAATACTTGAAAATACAAATGTTGGAATAAAAATTAAATTTTGGATTCTTAGCTATCTCCAAAAAACTTTTTGTTTAATCGAAGCCCTGTTTTAGAGTCACCAAAAAGAGGCAACCCAAAATAAATTTATTTTTTAACAGATTTTGTGTTTTTATCGAGATCACTCTTCCAATGAACCTGTGCGTAGTGAAGACTCAGAAATTGAATGGCAATTAATTAGAGACCACACACAACGTAAAGATCGTCGTCCCACTCAAATGCCCTGTAGTTATCGTTTACTTGCTGCCGAACATATGGAACAAATGTCCAGGCCACCTTGGGGGAACAATGCGGCAACTGGTGCAGCAGAGTGCCTTACAAGAACGATTCCACTAATTTTGGGACAAAATGTCATTCATAGTTGGGAATGCAATTCTGGTAATTTATAATGTCCCTTTTACAGTCACAGACTTTATTTACAAATGCCCAAAACTAGATAATGTTAATTAAGATGAGTTTTGTAAATTTTGGTTGACCTATGGGTTGGGGGAGCCTGTTTAAGGCGTATCCCTCATTTAAAATATACCTCATTATAAGCTCCAATTTTTCAGCCCCAAGAGTTTATCTTAAATGAAGTGTAATTACCGTAAATGTAATACTAGAAGCCCCATTTTCTATTAGAAGCCTTCTCAAGTAGACTCATTTACTTACATATCTAGGGCTTCCCAGAAAATTAACGATACCCCCCCCCCCCCCCCCAAACAGAACATTTACAATAGTTTTTAATTTTCTTTTTTTTCCGAAAAGATCATTTCGATGTTTACCAATCATTTTTGATCAATTCATGTTTTTTGGAACCTTCAAAGAATAATGAAATATCAACACAAATGCTGATAGACAAAAATGGGTTTTTAAAATATAAAAAAATTTTCTTTAAAAAAATCCCCCTCCCTTCCCAAATAAAGATGTTCAACAGAGCCAACATTAATAGAAACCCCCCAATATGTAAATCAATTAAAAGCTTTTGCGAGAGGAGTAGCTATAAGAGGTATTGGAAATGAAACAACTTTAAGGTTGCGTTGTAGTCTTAAATTTTGTGATAGATTAATGGGGGAATGTGAAGAAATTTTGGTAAAAAATAAAGAGAAATTTTTTGCAAAAAATTTTTTAAATTTTATAGCCACCAAAATGTGGAAAAGAGGATTTTGAAGTAACAACAACTACTCAAATAAATAGTACAAAAGAAGAAGGAGAAGAAAATAAAAATAATAACGAGAATAATAATACTGTAATTAATAAAAGGAGAAGAAGAAAACAGGTAAAATAGTAAATATGTACTAGGAACAATAAAATAGAGCCAAGTACGAGTACGAGCAAATTTAAAAATTCCAAACACTGGCCCAGAACTCGGAAGCGGAAAAATTATTTCATAATTTCATTAAGTGTGAAAATTCTTTAAAGAAATCATTAGAGGGCCAGCCAAGAAGCCAGAATTTATCACATTTAACGCCGCAGACTTAAATTTTTGAAAGTTCCGAAGCCTCAATTGTAGGTCCCCGAATTTCTGGTCCGCAAATCAGATGCGCAAAATTCGGGTCCGAAATTAATGTGAAATTGTTATTCTTTTAATGGTATTTCATTTTAATTAAATTTTTCTTTAAGTCAGGCTTCCCAGTTTTGATTAGACCGTTAAATGGTGATGGTCCTGCACCTCCTCTAGTTATGTTTACAAGTAAGTTTATTAAAAACCTCTATTTAATAACGCTTTAAAAATACGTTCGTTGAGGGGAGCTATATAAATAACCCCAACATTCAATTTAAAAGCTAAGGGTATAATCCTTAAATGGTGATGATCCCGAACCAGTAGACATGAAAAAGTGGTCTACAAGTGTTTATAGTAGGTATTAAAAATATTTTTAGAATCGTCTTCAAAAAGAAGAAGGCCCACACAAATTGACAAAAGAAATTTTATTGTAAAAGACGAATTAATTAAAAATGAAAAAGAAAAAATTGTAAAAAGCTTCGAAACAACAGTTAAAACAACTTTGTTAGAAAATAAAAAACGAAATAGTTTAGAAACAACAATAGAGACAACAACAACAACAGTAACAAAACCTTTAACTACTTCTTTATCAACATCTTTTAATGAATTAATTAAAGATAGGTGAAATTTTAAGTAAAAATGCTTGTTTGTGTTCCTTTTGCCCTACCACTAGGCTGGGAGGAACAGTTGGGAAATTTAATTTTCTAAGGGAGATTCATCAAGAAAAAAATTTTGCATTAAGTGCTTCCATCCTTTGGAACTAACTCTATAATGCCGTGTGCTTGCGTTTTGCTGAAGAAAATAGCATTGAAAAAAATAGAAAAAAAGGGCCGCGAATATAAACTAATGAGAGGATTTATAAATCCCCTCACATCAAGCACACTTTTCTCTTTAAATTTTAGCAAATCAAATATCCAAGAATTAACAACAACATTTCCACCACCTCCGCAATTAATAGAAGAAGATTCAATAATTACTAGACAAACAAAAAATGAAAATAAAAAATTTAATTATAAACGAAATGAAATAATATCAACAGAAGAAGTTACTGGAAAAGCAGATCCATTCCAAGAAGAAAATGATATTGTTCAAAATGAGGGAAATTTAATAAAAGAAGTAAAAGGAAAAAGAATGAAGGAGGAGGGAGGGAAGCTTTTTCTCCTTCATTCTTTCCTACTTTTCTCATCAGGCATAGGGAAGGGGTGTTTTCTCGGTTCCCGGAACTTAAGAAATTGTCAAAATTGGAATCATTAGGAACGCGGAACAATTCGATTTTTGGAACTGGGAAAACTCGAACGGGGATTTTTGGGATATCCGATAATTAATAAAACCATTTAAACATTATGTCAAATTCTTTAGAAATTTCAAAATTTTAGTAAAATATTTTGAAAATTAAGACAAGAAACGTTCAAAAGTTACAAGATTTTTTGACAATAAAAATAGGTAGAATTTAGGTAGAATCAGACAAAAAATATTTCTAAGCGCCCAAACACTTCCCTTAATTGGAGTACAGTCCAAAAGGGCGTGCCCCCTTAAATGTTCTTCTAAATGTTCTTTTAAATTTTTAGGAAATTAATTTGGACCCAGAATTACTAACCGGATTAAATGAAAACGAAATTATTGTAATTTCACAACAAGTAGAAATTGGAGAAACTGAAGAACAAGAAGGAGGAACTAATAATTCTCAATGTAGCAGAAAAAAGAGAACAACAACAACAACAAATATATTAAATGGGGAAGGGAAATTTTATTGAAAAAATAATTTTCTTTAAAAAAGGGGAAAATATTTCTTTTAAACCCATCAGTATTGCATAGAGTTTACATCCCCACGGGAAAAAATGAGATCTGATTATCAATTTTTTATTAAAATAGAACATTTATTAAAGGGATTTTTTGAAGAAACTAAAATAGGGGGGGGGGGCGTCCAATCTCCAGAAAAAATTTGGAACATAGGCAAAAATTATATATTCTTATAAATTATTTTTTTAAGCTTTTCCTTTATAAATTTATTATATCTATGGTATTTTGTCTAAAATAATAATTTTAAAAAATTGGGAATCGAATCAAAAATTAGGACAAATCATTAAAAAGTTGAGAATTTCCCCAAAAAAGCTATTATTTTTAAATGTTTTGTCCAAAATTTTTTTTTAATTTTACAAAATTATTAAATTAAAAAAAAAGTCAATTAAAAAGGCAAATATTTTTTAAATTTTAATTAATTAAATTAACCACATTTACATTTCTTTCTTTGTTGTTGCCTTCCCCCATTTCTGTCAACAGTTATAGCTCCACTACGCGAGTCATTTCCACCCCCAGGATTTTGAGCAATTGAACGCAATTTTGTATCCAAAACTAATTCTGTTATACATTGAAACATCTAAAAAATTATAAAAAAATAAATTTCGAAAAAATACAAAAAAAAGTAGAAAGTCCCAATGTTTTTTGTACCCAGTAACAATTCGAAATTCTTCGGCTCCAAACCCCAAGAACGCGGTAAATGGCTTCCGGTACAAGGAGATATGGTCAATCAAAGCAAATCTCGATAAGAAGTCTCACTGACTTCTGCAGACATAATAAGAGCTATCGAAATTCAATTGCACAAGAATGTGGTAAAAAGAAAATTAAGAATTTTCAGTAATTTTGTTATTCATTTCCCCCTCAAAATAATTTATATGCAACAAACCTGTTCAACATTTAAATTCTCTTTGGCTGAAGTCTCAAAATAATTAATCTAAAAATTAAAAATATCAAAATTTTTAACAATTAAAAAACCTTAATAGAATCAGCAAAACGTCTTGCATCCACTTCAGAAACGACTCTCCTTGTCGGTTCGTCCAATTTATTCCCTACTATAAATAAAAATTAAAAAATTATTTTTATGAAAAATACCAAGAATTCTTTGGACATTTTCACAATTTGTTTCAATTTCGTGAAGCCAACGTTTTACATTAGCAAAAGAGTCTTGTGTAGTTACATCATAAACAACAACAACTCCATGAGTCCCTTCAAAATAAAAATTAAAAAAAAATATTTTCAGGATAAAAAACCTCTATAATAAGTTGAAGTAATTGTTCTAAATCTTTCTTGTCCAGCTGTGTCCCAAATTTGTAATTTTACTTTGTAACCTTTTACAGTAATTGTCCGGATTTTAAAGTCAACTCCGATTGTGGTAATATAATTTGCTAAAGAAAATTAATTTTATGGAGACTAAATAAAAATGATAAGAAATCCTAGAATTGGTCAACCAAAATAGAAAATCTTTACTGAAAAATAAGAAAATGAGAATGTCCGCAAAAGTTGTCCGCAAATTATAAAAAAATTTTTTAATTCCTACCCAATTTTAAAATTTTTATAAAAGATAAATAAAAATTACCGGAAAATGTATTGTCAGAGAAACGCAATAATAAACTACTTTTGCCAACACCGCTGTCACCAATTATAAGTAACTTAATTTTTAAAAATTATTTTAATTTAAATTAAAAAAAGAAAACCTTGAATAAAAAGTCATAATCTCTCGATGGGGTTGTAGCCTGAGAATTTCTCATATAAAATAGTCTAGAAAAATACCCCTTAAAATTTGTAAGAAATGAGGAAATATAAGGAAAAATGACTCTGTTGCTCTAACGGTTAAGGACGATTCAGTATCGCCGATTCAGTCTCGCCGATTCAGTATCGCCGATTCAGTCTACGCCGATTCAGTATCCGCCGATTCAGTATTCGCCGATTCAGTATAGCCGATTCAGTATACGTGGAAAAGGGGACGATTCAGTATACGTAGAATAAAATACCCTAAAAATGGAAATTTTTGGAAAGTAACTGATTTATTTTTTCGTTTTAAGCATTTTCTTTGTTCTTTAGGTGGTCTACCATAACAATTAGCAATAACCAACAACAATTATTAACGAAAAAATAATTTTTATGGAAAATTTAGAATTTTTTTAAATTTTTTAAAATTTTTAAATTTCTTCAATTTTCTTAATATCTCAAGACGGCGAGAATTCTACAGTGAATGGCAAGGTTTCTACTACAGACACATGGTTTATTTTTTAGTTTTTTGGCTTTTTGAAATTTTTTTTATTTTCCCCATTATGTACAAGGGGGAGCTATAGCCCCAGAAGCTCCCTGGCCGTTATCGCTACGAATTTTTGCAGGCTTTTTGCGGAGATTTCTTACTTCCCAATTCCACTCCCCATTCCATTTTTTATTTTTAAAATTTTTTTTAATTTAAGACAATCCGGTCCTGGACTTGTTTTTATTTGTGTCGAGCAGCTTGCTGTTGAGGTGGTTGCCTGGTCCTCTTTAGGGCCACAAATCTAATAAGTGAAATGTAGACCTTGTTCTTATTTATTTTTTGATAAATTTTTGTTTATTTGACTCATTTTTTAAAAAATTTTTGTTCCCCGAAGAAAAAAAGTCGAGACCAAAACTTCACCCTAAGCCAGAAAACGCCTAAGAGAAGCCGAGAATTAAGACTTGGCTAGCTTTAAAGATGTTTTATAGATCGTAGAAAGTAAGAAACACGAAAAAAATCTACAAGAAAAAAGATTTTCTAGCCCAAAAATATCGTATACTGAATCGTCCCCTTTTCCACGTATACTGAATCGGCTATACTGAATCGGCGAATACTGAATCGGCGGATACTGAATCGGCGTAGACTGAATCGGCGATACTGAATCGGCGAGACTGAATCGGCGATACTGAATCGTCCCCTACCCTGCTCTAATTAGAGCTAGGAATTTTGAAAAAACCGGGACCGGGTCCGGGTAACGGGTTCTGAGAAATGGACCGGCCGGGTTCCGGGTCCGGGAAACCGGGAAAACCCGTTCCCGGTTTCAACCCGGTCTAGAAATGGGCGGGTCCCGGCCGGGAAACCGGGTTTTTTTTATTTGTTGAAATGGGGCTGTATTTTTACACATGGGGCTGTATTTTTCATCGCCTGAGGCGAAAAATTTGAGAATTTTGTAAGGCCTTAGGAGAAAAAATTCAATTGTTAGAGCTGCCGGCGAAAAAATTTTTCGAAGTTTAGATGGTAATGAAGCCAGAACTCTTAAATTTTCTGCGCACAGGCGAAAATTTTGGAAAATTCATGATTAAATTAAAATTTCTAATATTTTTTCAAGTTTAAAATATTAAAAAAATAAATTTGCAAATTTAAAATCAAAATCAAAGACTAAAATTATTTTTTTTTAAAAGAAAATTTTCTCAGCCCCATTTCCATACATGTATTCGAACCCCATCCCTATAAATTGACCAAATGAGTGAAGTCAGTCAACTTAACCACTCAACTATCGACCAATTAAAGGAAATATTGTAAATTATAAATATTCCTTTCCCTTTTCCTTCAAAAATTTAATATCGAAGTACGCAAATATACTAAATATTTTTCCCGGTTTCCCGGTGAAAAAAAAGCCGGGACCGGGTCCGGGTAACGGGTTCTGAAAAATGGACCGGCCGGGTTCCGGGTCGGGAAACCGGGAAAACCCGTCCCCGGTTTCAACCCGGTTGCTTCAAAAAAACCGGGAAAACGGACCCGGAAACCGGGAAACGGGTCCGGGTCCCGATCCCGTTCCTAGCTCTAGCTCTAATTAATTAAAAAAAACAGAACGCCAAAATTAATTATAATCTGAAAAAATTTTGAAAAAGAATTTTGAGTCTTTGGTAAATTTTAGAATTGTTTTGAAAGTTTTGCTGAATGATTCTGGAAGAACTCTTTTTAATTATTTCTTGATTAACTACTTTTATTTTTATTTTTTAAAATTTTTTTTCAGATCTTTCATAATTCTTTTAATAATATAATGGCGGCATATAATAGTTTTGTAAGAGTTCAAAAAGAATTTAAAGAAATTATTTTATGTAAAGAGGTTTATTTAATTAATTCTATTTTTAATTATACTTTCTTATATTTTAGCTTCAAGATATGGGAATTACTGTCGAGCCTGTTAATGAAAATATGAGTGAAATTATTGGAAGGATTAGAGGACCACCAGGTTATTTTTATCATCTTTTTTTCTTAACTTTGAACGTTATAGTTTACCTTTTTTTAACATCATAATTCTTTTTTTTATTTTACTGGCCATAGGAAAAAAGGGAAAATGAATAAGCACAACCATTAAGTTCAAAATTTCGTTTTTTTTGTTCATTTATATGAATCTTCTTTTTTATAAATATGAATCAATCTTTCCTTTATTTTTTTTCCAAAACTTTACACATTTTTGGAATTATTTTAGACTAAATTTCTTTCTCTTTTTTTAGATAGTCCTTACTCTGATGGGACGTTTGTTTTGGTATTTTTTAGTTTTTTTTTTAAACAAATAAATTTATTTTTAAAGGACATTCGGCTACCTAATGATTATCCATTTCAACCACCAAAAGTACATATTCTTTGTCATTTTCTTTCATTCTCTTTTATTTTTAGGTTAAATTTATTACAAGAATATGGCATCCAAATATTAGTTCTCAAACTGGTGCTATTTGTTTAGACATTCTTAAAGACCAGTGGTAAATTTATTTTTTTGATATTTTTTTTTTGTTTTTTGGGACAATTTATCGGTTCGGACTTGTTCAAGTCTTTTGACCCATTTTCTTAAATTTTCGTAATTATTTTAATTTTAAGGGCCGCTTCATTAACACTTCGAACAGGTTTTTTGTTTTTATGTGTTTATTAAGGTTGGGGTTTTCGAGTCGGGCCGAAGTTCGAGTCATTTTTTCGGGCCTCATTTTTATCGGAACGGCCTGATGAGTCTTTTTCAGGCCAAAATTCGATGCCAGACTCGATCGTTCGGACCGGACCGTGCCCCCAACCCTGGTATTTATTAAATGTTAATTTTATTTTTAAAGTTTTGCTGAGTGTTCAAAATTTGTTGGCTTCTCCTGAACCTAAAGACCCGCAAGATGCTATTGTGGCTAAGCAATATATGTCCGATATTGAACTTTACAATGTATTATTTTAAATTATTTGTGAATCTTTCCTTTCTTTTCTTGATTTTAACAAATACAGAATTGAAGGGTTAGTCCTCAGACGTGAAATTTTATTATTCATTAACGGCCAAAATTTGTTTGACTGGACTTTCGTTTTTAATTCCAAAAATTAATTAAATTATAAATAGAAATTTTAAAAATAATTTATTTAAAAATTATTATTTTTTCTCATTTTAAGAAAACTGCAAGATATTGGACACAACATTATGCTAATGCACCTGGGGAAAAGGACAAAGAAATGGTTAATTTGGTAAATAAATTGCAAGAAATGGGTGTAGCACAGGTTTTTTTAATTAAAAAAAATTTTTACAAATTCAAAAAAAAAGGATTTTTCAATTTCTTCGTTGAGCGGTCATGAATGGAATCTTTCAAAGGCAACAGAATCAATTTTTGATTAAATGGGGGGATTTTCTAAATATATAAATTAATTTACATGTGAAATTTAATTCCTGTAACAATTAAACGTTTATTTAAAAAATTCTTTTGATTTTTAATGGTTTTTTGTACATTTTTAATAATATCTCTTTAATTTTACATTTATCTGTGAGGGAAGGGAAGGGGTTCTTTCTTTAAAATGAAATTCTCTCAAAAGCTTCCCATTTCCAATTTAAGCAAACAGAGAATTTCCAATCCCCAAAATTGTAGGGAATTTTCTATTTTTGAGGATTTCTTAGGCAGAATCATTAATAAGGATGGGAATTTTAATTATTTCTTAAATTTAAGACAGTTTCTTAAAATAAATTTTTGGTTAAAAAAGCTATAATGAGGGGTTAGGTTAAACTTTTGATGGTTTTTTATTAAACTTGTAAAGCTGATATGAATAGAGAATATCACAAATATTTGTAGGAGGTTTATGAATAAAAATTGGATATTTGTTCCTATTTAAATTAAAGAATAGATTTTTAAATTTTATTTTTTAGAGAAAAAGAAATTATAATTTAAATTAGAAAAAATATAGTGAATAAATAAAATTTTAATTAATTAAAAAATGTCTTCTTCTAATCAAAATACAACACAAACAACAACAAAAGAAAACTGTAAAGAAGAAAATACCAAAAAAGTATTACGACCTTGTTGTGTTTGTAAAGAAACGAGAATGGTTAATTTTAAATAGAAAAATTGAAAAAATAATTTTTTTAAAGGTACGTGATGAATGTATAATATTAAATGGAGAAGAAAGTTGTGGAGCATTAATTGAGGCACATAAAAAATGTTTAAAAGAATATGGGTTTGAAATGTGATTACTTAGACTTTGAAAGTTTGTTTAGAAAAATGAAGGAGCCAGACCTTGTTTTTGTTTAATAAAAAATAAAATTTATATTTTGGAATAATATTTTTTATGTTTGGATGTTTAAAAATAATTTTGCAACAAAAAAAACTCGGAATATTTTTTTAAAAATTCTGTGTTTTTGTCGTTCTGCTCGTCACCAAAAATAATTTTTTGAAAACAACTCCAAAACAAAGTTTTATTACACTATTAGAGTTTTAATACACGATTTAATTAGAAATTAACAAGAATACACATATACTTATTTACATCTATATACAAACAAAAGTGTTTTATGCACATTTTTTGATTATCCTCTTTCATTTCTTTATTCACCACTTTTTACTTCTTTGAGGTAAACACACTTTTACTAGCTAAAGGTGCTTTACTAGGATAGGAAACTTTCGATTGTGATTCACTGCTACTATCTTCATCATCACTATCGTCATCTTTCGTTGTCCCTCGGGTGGATGTTGCACTAGATGATCCTTCTTTGCTGCTGCTAGCGCCGGTTAGGAACTCAAACTTTGGCAAAGCTGGCATATTTCCCAATCGAACCTAAAAAAATTTTTAACTATTAAGTGGACTGATAAGTTTTAGAGGTAAAATATTTAGATTTAAGTCTTTAGGCCATGTATCGTATCACCCTCCAAGACTAACTCAGTACCAGGACATCGGATCTATTTTACTCTCCCCTTTGACTCGGCTATAGAGCTCTTTCGAATTCATCGTACTCGACTAATTATTCTGCCCTTAATGTGTAAGATAACTTGCCTGATAGATCGTATCACCCTTTCCGTCCTTCGATTCCACTGTAGAACCGCTTCTTTCACTTCCTGTTGAGGCAGTCGCGTCTTTTTCCCTGCAAATAATTTTTTCACAAAAATTTTATCGAAAAAAATTAAAAACTCACTTTTTGGAAGACTTCTTCCCACTTCTTTTCTTCTTCCTCTTCGATTTTTTCTCACTCTTCTTATCCTTCTTACTCGACTCCGTTTCCTCCTTTTCGCTTTTGTCTCCAACCATCATTACTGGCAAAATTTGAATGTGTGGCGAATTACTGAAATTTTTAAAAAATTTCAAATTAAGATTTTTAAAACTTACGGTTTTGAATCCGTCTCCGCCGACACTGGTGTTGGAGGTGGTGGTGGAGGAGGTTCCGGAGATATTGGCGGAGGAGGAGGCGGCGGTGTTGTCTCTTGAGGAGGTGGAAGCGTCGGCTGTGGCATTGTCATCTGAGGAGGTGGTGGCTCAGGAAGCAGCTGTGGTGGAAGCGGATCAGACGGCTGTTGAATAGGATATGGCGGCGTTTGCTGAAGAACAGGATAAGGCGTCGGCTGAACAGGATACGGTGGTTGAGGCTGCTCCTTCTGTTTTTCCATCTCTTCCTTTTTACGACGAGTTGACTTCAGCATCTTCAGCAACATAAGTGACAGCATTTTGTCAACTTTATCTCTGAAAAATGGAATATTTTTTAGAATAGTTTAGAGAAACAAACTTTTTCTCAGGAGCTGGTGGAGGCGGAGGAGGTGGTGGCGGCGGCGGAGGAGGTGATGGTGCTGGTGGAGAAGGTTTCCGCCAACTCCTCCTTAGTGAAGATGAAGTCTTTGATGGCGGAGATGCTGGTGTTGGGACATATACAATTTTTGTAATTGTCCTCGGGCTCTCCACCGTTACTTCAGGCTTCTTTTCCTCTCGTTTCTTCATGCAACAACAAGCAATGCAACAATTGAAGAGAAAAATGAAAAAGAAAAGCGCAAGCACACCAATCCCTGCTAGCAAAGCCCAAACTGGCCAAAAGAAGCATTTGTTGTTGACAAATTCGTCGTAGTGATCCATAAAAGTTTCCCATTTTTCCTGTAGTCCTGAAATAAAAAAATGGACGTAAAAACGTTTAAAGATAAAAAAGACGATTAGAAAGTAGGTAAAATAACTAACCATTCATTTTTGATTTAGCAGAAGCGCGTAAAACGATGATGATTTAACAAGGGATAAAGTCAGAGGTTTTGATATAAATTACTAAGTACTTTTATAGTAAAGTGCTTTTAGTATGAATTCTAAACTGGTTAGGCATATTCTCGTCATTTTAACTTGAGATAAATTCATCTTACCTCCCATTAGCATTAAACACAAAATTTCGGCTCCATTTTTCCATTTACTGTATCTCAAATTCTGCGTAAAAATTCGTTCCAAAGTGTCCTTTTTGTTATTTCGCGATGAACTCACCACCAGGGACAGTATACCCTGCAGAAAAATTTCCAACGTTTTTTTTTTATTTTTTCAGTTTTTCAGCCCCCGTTTTTCAGGAAATGGCTACTAATACTAATAATATAATTGAATCAAATCGTCGAAGAGAAAAGTTAAAGAACGATGGATTTCTTTATGTTTTTGACAGAGTAAATGCAACAAAAACAATTAAATTTTGGAGATGTGAATTAAAAGATGAATGTAGAGGAAGAATTCATACAGATATGGAAAATAATTTTCTTAAAATAATTACTGAACATACACACGAAGCTAATATTTCAAAAGTTGAAGCATTAAAAATTGTTACTGCAGTAAGAAGACGTGCTATTGGTTATCAAGAACCTCCTGCACAAATCCGTGCTAATGTTATTACAAATTCTTGTATATCTTCGCCGGTTCTTGCACAATTGCCGAGTGCGAATAGCATCAAAAAGGTTTTTCTATGTTTATTTAAAAATTTTTATTGTTAACGACCACAAATAACTAGGAGATCTGTCAATGATCTAATAGAACCAGACGAGCCTTAATCTTAAATATTATTAAAGTTCTAGTTTTGTTTGGATCTATTGATTTTTTGATTTCCTGTTTAGAATAAGTGTAGCTACTTCAAGAACATCTCCAAAAACCTCCAGAGGAGCCGTTCTCTCATTACCTAGTATTTTGGTATGACTAAGATTTTTTACTGTCTTATTGTCAATCCTAAAATACCAGGAACGACAGAACCCAAGTTTCCGCGAAATTAAAGAAAAGGGGGTCTAAACTACTATTACCAACCGAAAATTTATTTCTTCAAATTTTCTATGTTTTTAATTTCGACCCAATATAAATTACCTATCTCATATTTTTGCAGATAATCAAACGCGCACGTAAAGAAAAAACTGAAATTCCTTCTAAACCAATAATTAAACAATCTATGAGTGAAATGATAATTGATGCTGAATATCAAGCATATCAGCAATTAGGTGCTTCTGAAGGAGATAATTTTCTTGGTGATGCTAATTTTCATCATAATGCCCAACCACAAGAATTGTTTGTTTTTTAATTTGAATTTATTTTTAAAATAAAATTTTTTTAAAGAGATCATTCATATCCAGCTACGTCAACTTCAAAAGTAACTCCAAAACGTCCAAAGAAGGAAAAACTTTCGATGAAATTTTCTATGAGTCATTGTTTCGAGGATGGTATAGCTTTTATTTAAATTGGGATTATCTAGGGAATTTTAGCTTTAAAAAACCCGTTTCACTTTTTTCATTTTTACCTGTTTTCTCTGACAACCAAAAATGAGTACTTTAAATTCAACATTCACCTTGCCCCTTTCCACACATAAAAATATACTGGGATGATAATTTCAAATACTTTAAATTTTTGTATCCTTAGAAATTTGTTGTTTAATTTGTAAACCTTTGATCTTCCGATTTTCCTATATGGAATCCCCTTGAATAGTGAGGGAATCGCAATATTTATTTTTCAATAACTGCTAAAAATTTATTTCTTTAAAAAAAATTATTGAAAAATAAAGTCTGTCACCCTTCCTCTTTTTCCTTAGATTTTTTACTTATATCAACTAAATATTTTTATATTTTTTAAGAGCCAGATTCTAAACTTTTATCAAAACGTAAAAAAGAAAAATTAGAAATTAATGGATTTATTTACATCTTCGAAAAAAACAATGCAATCGACACAATTAAATTTTGGAGATGTGAAAGGAAAAATGAATGTCGTGGAAGAATTCATACTGATCCAGACAATAATTTTATAAAAATGGTTACAGAACATACACATGAGGCTATTTCTATGGTTGAAGCTAAAAGAAATAAACAAATAAAAAATGATTCTGATGATCAATTGGAAGTTGGGGATGTGGGAGATAATTCAGAAGAGAAGAAGGTAAAAATTTTGTTTTTCTTGACACTAATTCACCTCCAAAAAATTAAAATAAAATTCCGAGCAGAATATAATTAAATGTTTTGAATAAATATTTATTAGAAATGTGAAAAAAATTTGCCTCCCAGTCCGGGAATCGAACCCGGGTCTCGCACGTGACAGGCGCGGATACTAACCACTATACTAACTGGGAACTGAAAGGGAACGAGAAAGAAACTTTTATATAGTTAATATTTTATTTTGAATTTTAATGCGACTTTGATTTTTTTTCATTTTTCTTTTTTTTTCTCATTTCTATTTTTTTTATAAAATATTTATTTTTAGTCAATTAGAAGAGTTCGTAAACGAACTAAACCGCTCCCACCTGTTCCAAGTGCTGTCGAAGAGCTTGAAATTCCAAAAGAATTTCAATTTTATATTCGAGGTGAAGGATGTGAATTCGAAAAATTTCTTCTTGCTGATTCTGGAATGTTTAAATTAGAAAATGATCAAACAAAAGAACACAGGTTTCTTTTTAAAAAATTATTTTTGAAAATATTTTTTTAGAATTTTAATATTTTCGAAAGCTTCTAATGTAACCTGGGCTAATTCAATGTATGAAGTATTTGCTGATGGTTCTTTTGCTGTTGCTGTAGTTCCTCCACCTTTTGTTCAAGTTTATGCTTTACTTACAAGGTTATCTAATTATATCTTAAGATATTTGACAGGTTGACATTAATATTTTATATTATGGTTTAAATACTAGGTTGAAGCTGTTTAGGAGACAATCTAACAATAAGCGGGGTCTGACACAACATCCTAAAAATAAATGTTTTGTTTTTCTTCCAGTTTCCCCTTTTTTGCTCAAACATAAATGATTTTACAAAATCCTTTTTAAATATCTAAAAAAATTTGTTTTAAAGGCGAGGCAAATGGATATTTCCTATTGCCTATTGTCTTCTGACGGGCAAAACTCGTGGTATTTATGAGAAAATGTTTCAAATGATTATAACTGAATGGCCTGATTTTAATCCAACATTAATGTCATTAGATTTTGATCAACCAATTATTGATGCTGTTAAAACAATTTTTCCAAATATTCGACTTAATGGATGTCTTTTCCATCTTTTTCGTAATATTCGAAAACGTCTTGCGGAGGAAGATTTAATTCAGGTTTTTAAAAACAAATTTTGTTTTTGAAATTATTGTTTTTTAAAGAAATATCGAAGTGACCCTGTTTTTGCTGAATGTGTAAGAATGTTTACTGGACTTGCTTTTGTTCCTGTTCCACATTTAACTAACGCAATTCAACATTTGAATGCTGCTATATTGCCTGAGCTAGACCAATTTATCGGATGGTATATTTTAATATTTTGTGAATAAGATGTATTATGAATTTGTATCTCTTCTTGAGTTTTATTACATTAGAATAGTTCCTTATAAAAATTCGTAAAGCTATTTCCGCATCATTTTTAATCATTTTAAAACCGATTACCAGAGTATGTTACCTAGCTTTGGTGTTGTTATGAATAGAGGAGTTACCTAGCATTGGTTTAAACTCCTCTATTCAAACCCCCATCAAAAACTCTAAATTTACCTGAATTTTTACTAGCTAACAATAAGAACCCTGTAATCCTTTAAACTATTATTAAAATTTATTTAAGGTTTTTGCTCAATTATACTGGTGTACCACTTCCTGATGGAACTTTGACTCGTGCAAAATTTCCAATAGAATTTTGGAATGTTTATGATAGACTTATTTATGATGTTGAATATATAAATGTTGAATCAGCATATCGCCGTTTACATACAATATTTAGTTGTGCAAACCCAAATATTTGGCGATTTATTGAAGTACTTCGAACTGAGCAGCGTGGAAGAGACGCTGATTTTGAACGTTCTTTAATGGGAGAAGACCCTCCACCAAAAAAGAAGAGATATATTATTACAGAAAGACGAATAATGAATTTAATTGAAAGGTTTGATCCAAGGAATATTACTGAATTTTTGAGAGGTATTGCTCAAAGTACAGTGGATCAATAATGACACAAGTTGAAATATTTTTTTAAATAAAATTCTACCTTTAACTGAACTGCGTGAACCCATGGGATAAAATGTCTTCATTCAAATATTTTCATTTTGACTTAAATTTCCTTTTTTTATTGTTTACTTGATGCTAAATGAACATCCTTCTCTCTTCTTTTTTAAATAGATTAAGCATTTTCCTATTAAACTAATAAAATTTTCTGAAGGGATTAGAACAATTAGAGGTTTCCTAAACTTTATTTAGCTTTGGATTTTTCTACTACTCTTTAAACTTTTAAAAATATTCTATTGTATACATTTACATCCAAACTTTAGTATATTATGCTTTTTAATATAAATTTATTTTTTTTTATTTGTTTTGATTAGACTTATTTACTTTTAATTTTTAATATATACACAGCTTTTTTTAAATATTTGTTAGTTCAAAAATCAAATTAAGATGAATTTAGAAAATGAAGAAGATTTAACCCTTTCGCCTGAAACATGTGCAATCCTTAATGAATTTATTGCAAAGAAAAGGTTGGAAGATGTAGATGTAAATATCAGTGAAGATTGGCAGGTTTATTAAGTTTTCTTATTAAAAGATGTTTTCCAAAAACCTGAAGGTTTTTTGGGTAACTAAATGTTTACAATTTATTTTGGGTTTGAACGAGAGATCGTTTTCAATTTTTTAAAGTTAATTTTTATTCAGCTAAGTCAATTCTGGTATGCAAATGAAACATCCATTAATATTGTCAGTGAATGCCTTGGTTCGTTAGAATTTGAAATTAAAAAAAGAATTGCCTGTATTTCATGCCCTTCTTTGATTGCACCTTTTATGGAGGCCGAGGTAATGTTTACGTTGGATATAATGAAAGCTTAACTTAAAATATATTTTAATTTTTTTAAAATTTTACAGCAATTTAAACAAGATCAGATTGAAGTTAAGTTATTTGAATACGATAAACGTTTCCAGCAAAAATATCCAACTTCATTTATTCACTATGATTACAGAAACCCTCTAAATATTGACATTCAATTTAATGAATATTTTGATTTTATTATTGCCGATCCTCCATTCCTCTCAGATGAATGTTTTATTAAAGTTGCTCAAACAATTCGAAAATTGGCAAAACCAAATTTTAAATTAATTTTTTGTACTGGAACAATTATGGAAGATTTATTAAAAAGACTTTTTAATTTGAAAAAAGCAAATAATTTTAAACCGGAACATAAAAACAATTTAGCTAATGATTTTTCAATTTTTTTAAATTATGAATCGAAAAATATTTTTTAATGAATAAAATAATTTATTAATTTCAAAAAAAAATTTTTTTGTAATTGTTTTTAATTCATTTTTTATATTTTCTTTGATTTTAATTTCGATTTTACTTTAATGTTTTTAGTTTTGCAAAAATGTATCCTGCATGTGGTCAACCTCAGTGGTCTGAATTGCTATGTTGTTTAAAATGTAAAACTGTAAGTTTGAAAATTTTATTTTATGTCGTTATTTCTGAATTTGCTTTGTACAAGTCTTGATTCTAAATTTATAGATTTTCTCTAATGATGTTCTTCCAGTCAATCTTGGTTGTGGCCATCTAATGTGTTTGAGATGCACTAAAACAAAAAATATCGTCTGTCCTCTAGATAAGGTTTAACTTTTTATGTTTTAAATTTGTGTATTTTACAAATCAAGTTTTGTTAAAACGGGTTTTAATTCTCTTTAAAATTTAGAGTTTGGTAGCCTCTTCTGCAAAATTCCATTACATAAATGGACCAATACTTTCTATCATCTCCGGTCTAAAAAGAAATGATTTTGATTGGCTAAATGACACATTAAAATCATTTAATGGCAAAAAAGGATTTACCAATCTAAATGAAATTGAAATAATTCTTTACTCGTTGGTTGAATATTTGTATAAAGTCAATTCAGAGAAAGGGGCAACAGTTTCATCTAATCGAATATCACGAACTATTCAAAGAAAATTGCTTTCGCTTCTCTGTGCAAATTTGTTGAAAGAAGAAGGAAGAGAACAAATAATCCAAACAATTCGCTCTATGAGCGAAAGAATTATTTCTGAATTAGTTTTGCATATTCAAAATAATTCAAATTTGTCTTCAAGTTTGTGGAGTGCTGTTAGATCTAGAGGTTGCCAATTTCTTGGGCCAGGTTTTTTTATTCAATTTTTTACTAAATAATATTTTTTATTTTAGGATTGCAGGAAGATGTTTTGAAGTTGGTACGTCATGCATTGTTGAATGGAGAGAAAATTGCAAGAAAAACGTAAAATTTTTATGACTAATAAAAATGATTAGAGTAATGGTTATCATCTATTATAACTGATTTGATGTCTGTCACTTCTTCAAATTTCTGGTTTTTACGTGTTGATTTGTTCTATAACGAAAATCTATGGTTGTTTTATCAAACTTATAAGACTTGTATAGATTCACTTCATTGCTTGTGATTCTCTCTTTCTTTCTCTTTCCGAACAATTCTTCCCTTTTGATATATGAATTGTTGGGAAATGTATTTGAAGAATTAATGTTTAAAATCTTTCAGACTTGTTCTTTTTGTTGTTGATACATTAATACATGAATATCCAACAATTTCCAAAACTTGTGTTGGGCATGGTGAGCAGGAAAATTTCTTTTATTTACTTTTATAAAATTTCAATAATCAAACATCCTTTTTTCCAAATTAACAAAAATTTTTTTTATTAAAGTTGTTCAACTTCTTTATCGTGCTAGTTGCTTTAATGTAATTAAAAGAGATGGTCAATCCTCTTTGATGAATCTTAAAGATCAATTTCGTGATTATGATGCATTACGTGCTGAACATGATGCTCAAATTGTTCAAATTGCAATGGAGGCAGGTTTGAGAATTTCGCCAGATCAATGGTCTTCTTTACTTTATGGTTATATTTTAATTAAATTATTTTTCGTTAAAATATTTTTTTAATTAGGCGATTCTCGACATCGAGCCCATATGCGTATGATTTTAAAAATTATTTTTCGTTTCAAAATAAATTTTTTAGAATCAATTTGTGATCGTTTAAGTCAAAATTCTTTGACTCATGCAGTTGACGAATTGCGAAAATTGGTCAGCCAACAGCCAAAAGAAAAAGAATTGTTTGATATTATAAATATTTTTGGACATTTTGATGAGTTGTCTGCGTTATTAGATATTAAAAGTTTGTTTAGATTTACAAATTATTTTTCATTGAAATCTTAACAGGTCCAGATTTTGGCAATATGGAAAAGTCACTAGGACATTTAAATTCTATTCTATTGATTTATTCTAAATTTGTTCAGAGGTTTGAATTATTATTTAGATTTGCATTCTGAAATTTTCCCACCCTTTTTTTATTACTTTGAAAGTATTCTTTGAGGTTTTAATAATCTTTAAAAAACTACAATATAAAAAATCTGACATGAACTTTTTATTTAAGCTATTTAATTGAGCGTACAAGCTCTTGGTCCTACTCAAGACTTTGTTTAAAGTTTTTTGACACTGAAGTGAAGTTTTATTTTTGTCTTTTTTAAAGGTTTTGGAAAATTTTGTATATTTTTGGGCTTAAGTTTAGGTTCATTTCTTGGTTGCAGTTTCTTTTCAATAATCTTTTTAAAATATTATTTTAGCCGAAATTTGGGACGGGAACGACGACTTGAATTGGTCAGCAATGAGAATCGGCAATATAATGGTGATAATACCGATCGTCCATTGCAAACTTTTTTGAATTTTCGTCCACCACGACTTTGGAGCCCAGCTGCATCAATTGAAGTTGATTGTCGTCCACAGCCTCCACCAATGCCAATTATGTCACAACCACCCAGTTTGGCTAATTATTTGGTTGAATCTGCTTTTGCAATGCCAATGGGATCACCTCCAAATTTTATTTCTCCACCGTTGGCACCTCCACTTAATTTATCTCCAAATGGTTTATTTCCGTTTGGGGCAATGAGATGTGGAGAAGGGAATTGTTTGGTTGGTTCTCCGCAACGGGATTCTATTGGTAATAATTTTTTTATAATTTTATAATAATAATTTTCTTTATAATTTTTTTCTATTTTTTTAAAGAAAATTTACCAGCAACATTTCTGCCTGTGTTGCCTGTTCCTCAAAAAGTATTTTTCTTTGTTTTTTGGCAATTTAAATTTTTTTAAAATTAGATTGATTCATCCGAGCCTCTACCAGTTTCTAATACGCCATTCATTTTGAACCAATCAAGCAGTCCAACATTGTACAATGGGAGTGGACCATCAATTATTGTCTTTAACGGAAATTCAAATCCAGAATACACGGTTTGAAATTATTTTTAAAAGGACCCTTTAACCCTTAAAAATTAATCCATCATTCACAAATTATTTAAAAAATTTTTTTGTCTATTTAGCTTGATAACAATCCTTCAACACAAACATTCAACAATCAAGCAGTTAACAACAATGGAACTAATGGAGGAGGAGTATTATTGTCTTCATCTCCACCAACATATCATTTGGGTTCAAATAATCTTGTTCAAGTTCCTCCTCCATCACAATTTTCTATTCCAATTCAACAACCATCATCGCTCATTCTCTACGGGTCAACTCCACCTAATCCTTCTGCATTTGGTTCACCACCTCTTTTATTTCCTCATTGGTTTTTTTGTTTAAATATTTGAAAAAAATCTTTTCAGGGTTATGCAAATGGGGACAACAATGCAAATGGGAACAACAACAAATGGAAATATTACTGGATTATTTAGTTTTAATAATAATTCTACAAATACTGCTGGAATTACTTCGGCACATTGTCAACAATTGGATGAACCTTTTGAGCTAGAAGAGGGAGGAAGCCGTAAAAGCTCTGATGAAAAATTGTAAATTTTTTTGTTTATTTTAAAGGGAAAAATAAGTAGGGAGTTATGAATTAGTTAAAATTAAGTTTTTGACAATAACCAATTTAAAAGTATTAGATTTTTCTCGAAATTAGCTAGAAATTATTTAACCTAAAATAGAGCCATATGCTGGATTAGAGACGTACTTCAGAAGTACTTAAAGAATAGTCCTTTCCTGAAATATTTCTCCACGCTGACAATGAGTTCGAGTCCCATGGTTAAGTTCACTATAATTTTAAAAAGGATGACTGGATAACCCAACAAGCTTAAAAATGTCTTGCCCGGAAATCCTATTCACAAATAAAAACTTCAGAATAAAAATCAATTTTTCTTTGTAGAAGACGTCGCTATCCATCTCGCTCAATCTCTAATACATTGGACGATGACGACAATAACGCGGAATGGTAATTCTATTTTTTAAAGAAACTTACAAAATTCGTTTTCAGACTCAACAAAATGTCTCCAATGGAAGACAATTAATCTTCAATTTCTTTTTTTCCTCTTTTTAAAACAAAATATATATCCACCTTCATATAAATATTCCTCTTTTTTATTTATCCTTTTTCTCTTATAGCTCTCTATACTTATTTATATTAGTCACACATCTTTTTACCTTTTTTTAAAAAAATAATATTATTTTATATTCGTATCGAATATTACAATTACTAAATATTTTATTCGTATCGAATAAACACAGAAATAAATAAATATTTTTTCGCTAATATTCCTTGTAATATGAAAATTATTTTTGAAAAAATATTTACTATTTTTTAACTAAAAATTTTCTTTTTTTCCAGCCATGTTGCCTTTACTGTGGCCACAAGTGTGTTAAGTCTTTCCTATCCTTCTTCAACAACATTTTCTCCTTCAAATTCTCAATTAAATTCTTCTCAACAACAAAAACTACAAACACAACAACAACCAAAGCTTTCCAACTTTTTTCAAAAAATTCCAACGACTAAATTGACGGAAAATGGAAGAGGAGGAGAGAAAGGAAATTTAGAAGAACTATTTTCTTCTGATGAATTGTAAAAAGAATTAATTACAATTATATATTAACTGTTATGTTTTTAATATACTTAAGGGAATATTGAGGAATATATTTATGTATATAGTCAAATCTCACTATAAGGACACCCACTAAAATTAGATAATCTCAGTTTAGAATAAGTTTTTTTAATTTCACGGGGTAGGATGAGGACTACTTTATCTACTATACCGACTATTTATCTCATTATAAGATATAATTTTCACTGAGTTTATCTCATAATGAGTGGGTTTGATGTTGAAATTTGAAACTTCTGCTTAAAATCTTTTGTTCATATACATACTATACATATTCCCTTGTTATTCTAATCATATCAAAAAATATATTAAGGTAAATATCCAGCTCGAGGGACACATGTCCGCAAAAACCATTCTGCAAAAATGCATCTTTTTCTGCATTCAACATCTTTCCCTCTCTCTTTTAGTTTCCCTCAGGTAATCAAATGATAGGTTGACAGTTTGGCGCAAATAATAAAGGAAGTAAAAGAAATGATTGTCAGCTTATCATTTGATTACACGAGGAAAATTAAAGGAGAGAGGGAAAGATGTTGAATGCAGAAAAAGTTGCATTTTTATATAGTGGACCAGCTGGACATTTACCATATATTAATTATATTCTAATAATTGTTTAATATATTAATTCTTTTAGAATTAAAAAGATATTTTTAATTAATTCTCTATGTAGAATCAAAATAAAATGCCCAACCTGAAAAAAATATCAAATATAGACTGCGGCAACTTTTCCGCCCATTTTGTTTTTGGTATAACTTTTATTATCGATGAGAATTAGAGCCAGATCGACCCACCGCAGTTCTGAGCAGTTCATTAGAGCCTGCTTTGAATCCCGGCACGTTTTGGTGCGCCAAATCGGTTTACGCCACATTAGGCCGCGCCAGATGGTCATCTACCTGAAAAAAGAAAACTGATTTTTTTACAAAAAGCCTGTCAAAATTACATTTATATTTTTTAAATTCATTTTGGTTCTATCGAATTAAGCTATGCGTTCTGGACCACCAAACAGCTCTCAACATACTTTATTGACTAGAGCCCAATTAGAAGAACAGCAACAAGCTTTATTACTTCGAGAATTGGGATTAAATTGGCCAGTGCAATCTTTACTACAAAGTACTAGTCGTGGAAATTTCCAACAGCAACAGTCAGATTTTGTTAAACAATTTTTAAAGCCACAAGTTCCACAAACTTCTTTAACAAATATTCAACAGCAACAGGTTTCTTTTTTTATTTTACAAACTTTAGCCGCTTCTAGATTGGGTTATTTTAGTGGTTTTAATGGAGGTTTTGTTTGAATTTAGGCAGTTTTGACCTTTCACAAAATTTAAAAAGGTCCCAAACTTTATTTTTCGGGGTTTTTTTTTATTATTATCTGGCTATTTTATACATTTTTGGGTCAAAAATTTTATTTTAAATTCTTTGTTCATTATAAAAATTACCTTTTTTTATTGATAATTTAATAAAAAAAATTTTTTTCTAGCGTGAATTAACACCAAAAAGGCCTTCCTTAATTCAAGATTTTGGAAGTAATATGCCACAAAATTCTCGTTATTCTTTAATTCAACCTCATCTTCAACAAGCACAAATTCAATCTAACAAAATTGGAATTTCCCCATCTTCTGATACTTCGTATTTGACGGAAGAAGAGGAAAAATATAAACGTTTTTTATTTGATAAGCTTGAAAAAATTGATAAAGAAAAAACCCAGTCAGCTGCAATGCAGAAAAATGCTGAAAAAAAGGCAAAAGCTTGTGAAAAATTGTTGGCTAAAGCTTCTCAAGAACCTTCTTTTATGGCTGCAATGGATAATGATGAGAATGATGACAATTGTTTGTTTTTATTTTTCGTAAAATATTTTAAAAATTTTGGGGTTAAAATTTTTTCCCAAAGGCTAGGTTAGGGTCTGGTTTTATATTGTGAATTATTCTATTTGTTATATTCCTCCAACAATAAATTTTTAAACTTTAAAAAATAATTTACAAAAGTTTTATAATTTTTTAAAGATGAAAGTCGAGATGGGCAGTCTTCTACTGATGCTCTTATTAATCGAATTTATGCTGAAAATAGAAGAAAGGCGGCAGCGGCGAATCCAATTCCTCCATTAATTTCTGCAGAAGAAGTTTTTCTTTTTAGATTAGAAAATTTTTATTCTTTAAACTTCAGAATCGTCAATTAATGAAAGAGGACACAATTCGTTTAAAAGAGGAATATGAACGGGGACTTCAACTTTTGCCTGATTTAATTAAAGCAATGCGAATTCGAAGAGAAGAACGTCAAGATATTGTGGAACAGAAAAAGATAGTTTACGAGGAACAATTGACTATTTGGGAGAAGAAAGTGAATGCTCATGAGAAAAATAAAAAGAAATTGGTTAGGGACGGTAAACATCGAGAGGTTTTTAATTTTTGATATTTTATTTAAGGTTTATTTCATTTAATTAAGTAAGAATTATAACCTAATTATTCATTTTTGAGTTTATTTTAAACTTAAAATTAACATTTTTTATGAAAAGGGGTTGAATGATTTATCTGTTACCCCGTGAACCGATGTCTTTTTTGTTGTTAATATTACCGAGGGGGCATCCAACCTAGGAGTATACTATAAATAGTTAACATCTTGTTTTTGAAATTTGGTGAAATGCCCATTCGAGGGTAGATTCTAAACGGAAGATTTTAATCTTTTTTTTAAGATTTTTGAAAAGACGTTTGTTGAACTTCGAAAAATGCGTGAAGAAAAGGAACGAAGTAATCGCGGAGTTGAACGTATTCGATTTTCTTTGACTCAAGGAGGAATTGCAAATATTCCCCCATTAACTTCTCCATTGTTTGCTGAAGCACAAAATGTCACACAAATGGGGGAAGAGAAAATGGAGATTGATCAAGAAGAAGATAAACAAGAAGTTTAATTTTTGTTAATTTTTTTTGATTTTTAATTTTTAAGACATGTAGCAATAAACCATCAGAAATTGATGAAAAAGTGGTTGCTAGTTGTGTTGTGCCTCCAGTCTATACAAACCGTCCTGGACGATTTTTTGACAACAGGTTTGTTAATTTATAGTTTACAGATTTTTTATGATATCTGTGGGGTTCTAGATATATTTACATTAGAGAGATACTCTAGTCTCAAAGAAAACACGTACTGATGAAGTTGGGGGATTTTATCAAGATGTTAGTAAATGCTTTCTTCGTATTAAGTTAACCCTTTAAGATTAACCGTCTCGGTTTTTTGAATTTTTAAAGCGGAACTTATTAATTACGTTATTGGAGAATATTTGAAGTTTGCATTTATTATATTTAAAATTGTAGGAATGGAATTGTTGAAAATGCACTTTCTGACTCTCGTGCCCAATTAGAAGCTTTTCAAATTGCTTGGTCAGATTCTGAAAAGGCTGTTTTCAATGAAAAGATTGCTGTTTATGGGGTATTTTTTAAATAATTTTTTTAAATTACAAATTTTTTAGAAAAATTTTGCCGCAATATCAGCATTTTTGCCACTGAAGAGTGTAAAAGACTGCGTTTATTTTTATTATATGACTAAAAAACGAAATAATTATAAAGCAAAATTTGGTAGAAGACGAAAGAAATTGGGAAGACAAGGGTTGGAATTTTGGATTATATTTAATATTTTTAAAAACAGATATCGCCCTCCGGTTATGCCACGTTTTGGAGACACTAACGAGAACTTGGAAAATTGTTAGTTACTTTTTAGAATTTTGTTTGATTTTGTCATTGTGAGCGTTCTGTTGTAGTTTGAGTACTTTTGTTATGTTGAAAGTTTTGCTTTTTGTTTCTCTTTTAGATTTGTTAAGGGAATGAATGGAAAAATCTGGTTTTGTTTCGGTTCTTCGATTCAGTTATGTTAACATTTTCTGAAGATTAACATTATTTTTTTACTCAATCATAATTATATTTTTAAATTAAGATGGCCGAAGTTGTAGATTTGTTGAATGTCTCCTTTGTGATTCTCGAATTCTTGTATTGGAATCTCTAGCTCAAAGACACTCACATCAATTTGAAGAATTTTCTGCCAATATTTCTCAAGGCGCTACATTTGGAGGAAGTATGGGCAGCGAAGATCTTTTACTTCAGCAAGAAAAACATCATCAAGAAATGCCTATTTGTACAAAATGTCAGACTCAAGCCCAACGAAATAGAACACTTAACAGATGTCCTTTGATAAGTTGTGTCTGTGTTGGGGGCAAACGAAAGATGAAACCTTCAAGAAATATTCCTGATAAATTTGGAACACTCAATGCTAATCAAAAACGATTTCTTATTAACAGGTTTTTTTTATTTTTAATTATAAGGTGATACTTTGAGAGAAACGCTTCCTTTGTTAAGGATATGCTCTTTCAGTATTTTTTGTTTGAGTTTTCCTCTACTTTTTTTTCTGTTTTCCATATTATTTAAATTTATAATTTTTCTTTTAAGACTGAAAATGCCCCCAACTTCAAACAAATGTTGTACAAATTGCTTCAAAAGGATTTCTAAAGATATTGAAGATGTTTGTACTTTTTTTATTTATTTTGAATTTTTGTTTTAAGCTTTTACTTGGTGAACTTCAATCTGAATTTGGTGTTTTTCTAAAACGTTCAACAGTCGGAGAGGAAAGATTAGTGGAGGAAGAAGAATTATTAGGCGAACAAAAGGTGCCAGAGGGGATTGGAATTGATGAAGTTGTTTGGCCATTAGAGGGCCAACCACCTTTTAAAGAATTAAAATTAGATGAAGAAACAGAAATAGATGAGGAAACTAAAAGGTTTTTAAAAAAAATATTTTTGTAATTTTTGATTAACTTTTTAAAGTTTGATGAAACTCAAAAAGGAATTGGATGATCAAGAGGAACAAATTCAGAATGAACGTCCTCCACTTGGTTCTATTACAAAAGGTTTTTATTCTTTAATTTTTTTATAAATTTGCGAAAACATGGCAAAAATTTTTTTCGAGCTTTTGGTGTCAGTTTTTGCCATTCAAATTATTTTTGCGTTCGAAAAACAATTTTAGTTTTCATCCCCAACATTTTTTAAAATCAATTATTTATAAGGTACTCCTAACCGTTCGAGAAGTTTATTAATTGAAACTTCATTAGCTTCTTTAGCTCAATCTTCTTCTACTACTACTTTAACAACTGAAGCTACTAATATAAATTTGTTTGACACTTCAAAACAACAAACAATTCAAGGTTTTTACTCTTAATTATTTTATTTAAATTTATTTTTTAAAGATCTTTTGGCTAAATTTTCTATTGCAAATTCAAATAATGATACAGCTGCAGCAACGGAATTAGGGTTTCAAATAAATAAATTACTAGAAACTTTTCCAATTGAATTATTGTTTGATAATCTTCAACAACAACCACAAGTACAACAACAACAAAATTTTGAAGAAATTAAATTACCCGTTGAAATTGTTGAAGTTAAAGAAGAAAAAATTGTTAAACAGCCAGAAGAATTACCTTGTGTTAATTTGCAACAGCAACAGCAACAAATCCGTCCAAAGAAAGTTGTAGGAAATGATATTTTGAGGCGAAAATCTGGTAATTCTTTTATTATCTGAACCTCATTTTTAAAATTCTTTTAAAGTGAAAAATTGTACCTTTTTAACAGGGGCATTTCAGGGAGAGGCCAATGGGGATGTCGAAATTTTTTGGATACGCCCATTAAATTAGGGTATTAGGCAGCTTTCACTACCCTTCTTAAATTGATGTATAATAGCTAATTTTGTGAGCTAATTTTATAACTTCACAGAACTTGATTCAAAAATCCTTTAGAAAATATCCCAAAATTAAATTTATTGAGATATTTTTAATTTTTGAGGTCTGGCAAATGTTCTTCTTCCATCTCCTGTTGCTACCTCCTCCGAATCTTCAGTTACTTCAGCAAATATAAGAGGTATTTCTCATAGTTTTTCATCTTCAACAACACGTCTTTTACCAACTGGGGAGACTGAAAATCTACAGCAACAACAACAACCACCACAACAACCATTTACTGCATCCATTCCTTCTATTATTGAAAAACCAGTTTTGGAACAACAACAAACGACTAATTTAACAATAAAAACTTTAAACGAAATATCCTTTCCAAATATACCAAAGGCAGAATCTACACAAGACCATCTATCCTCTTGTTACGAGTCACTTTCTGATGATAGTGATGATGAACGAGAAAAAAAGCAAAATCAGAAACAACAGAAACAAGAACGACAACAGAAAAATAATGGAGATGATGGTATGGAAGGTAAAAAGTTTTTTAATATTAAATAATAGAGAGCGTGATTTTCAAAAAACCTTGATCCTTGACCTTGTTTTCGGTTGGGTACCTTGACCTTACTCCTAAACATTATTTGTTTTATTTTTTCCCACATTAGCACGATCTAAACATTTAAAATTGAATTTTCTCGAAACTTATGTATACGGAGCTTAAATCCCCCAATTTTCATTAGATATTTTTTAAATCTTTCTTATTGTTAGAATTATTTTTAAAAATACCACCTAATTTTCTTTTAGCTTCTAAAAATCCAATCAAAATCACAACACAACAAATTCAACAATTATCAACTACATCTACGGATAAACCTACACCAATTTCAACTCCTTTGCCTACTTTTATGTCGTTATTTGATCTTATGTACGAAGGAAATGAGAAAAAAGTAGAGGAAGATGAACAACAAATAGCTGGAACTTCTTGTAGCAATATTTCTCCTCAATCTACTACTACAATAATATCTCAACAACAACAACCAACAATTTCTAATTTCTTTCAAACAATTCCAGCAACTAAAATATCTGAAAATAAAACAAATGAAGGGGGAGGAGGAGAAGGATGTTTATATGAACCGCTTTCTTCAGATGATGAGACATAAATAAAGATTAAATATATTTAATTGAGATTAATCTTGTCATATAGGTAGTTAGAATATTTGTAAAAATTATTTGACTTATATTAAAAAACAAGTGTGGAAATTATTTTAATAAATTTAAAGATTTTTGATAATGTTAAAAACTAGATAAATGTTTTCATATAGAAATGTGAGGAAGTTGAATGGGCCAAATTCTGTTCGGCTTCATAAACAACGACAACAACTTCGTTCTCTACAATGGAAACTGTTCCATCAAGTGACATCACAACTCTCTGCTGTGATTCCATCCCCCAATTTTTCTCTTTTCATCATTTAAAAAATTTTAAACTTAACTAAATTTTTAATAAAATATCTTTAAAAAACATTCAAAATTTAGCAGCAAATTAATTTTTAATTTTCTACAAAAATTCTTTTTTAAAAAGAATTTATGTAAATAAAAACTTCCTTAACATAAACAAAGACATCATTTACAAATTTATATTTTTTTACTTATTAGGGGCTTCTAGTAAGAGTATTTTTATTTTATTTTTATTTGTAAGCTATTGAGTCAGATAAAGAAAAGGGAATATTTTTGTTTTCCTTTTCTTTTTTTTTTCTAATTAACTTTTTAAAGTTTTTCTGTAATGTTAAGAGTGAAAAAAGAAAATTTGATTTTTCTTTTTTTACTCAAATTACATTATATTTTTATTAAAAAGAAAAATTTATTTATTTAAAAATAATATTTTTATTACAAATATTGGCAAATATAGAGAAGCCTTTTTTATAGTAAAATAAAAAGAAAAAGAGGGGGAAGAAGAAGAAGAAACCTTTTATTTTTTTAAACTTCTTCCGGTTTTTAAGTTTTTATTTATTAACAGATTAAATAATTTTTATATGTTTATATTTTGTCCTTAAGAATATTTAAAATCTAAGAAAATAAATATTTTACAATTCCTTTTATAAATTTAAAGTTGTTATTTAGTGAAAACAATACTAATGTATTTGACAGTTTTTTCTCTTGGATTCACTAAATTAGGCTTCAACACCAAAATTAGCAAAAATCAAAAGGCTTTTTGGGATTTATTTTTTATTATTTTTAACTTAAATTCGGACCTAGATTGTAAATATACACCCAACACTTAATTAAAATATGTGGATGGGAGAAAACTACCCAAAGTATTTACCCTTAATTTTAGCTCTTAATATATTCAAACCCAAGATTGCGTCTTAATAATGAAGTCCTTTGTCATATATAAAAAGTTTATTCTGTTTTTTTCACCTGTTAAATAAAAAAACTAAAACAATTCACGCCTCTATAGTTAATTATTTTAATTTTAAAAGTAAAGCATTAAATACACATGCCTCTCCCACTGTTTTTATATTAAATACTAACTTATAAATATTTATTATTTTGGTCAATTCATCCATAAATATATATTTCCGGTCTTACATAATTTACATTTTTAAAAAATATTTTATTACGTACATATCTCTCTTTAATTAGGCATTTCTTTGATTTTTCGCCTTTTTTTACCTCAAAAATAATTAGAGATATGTCAATTTATATTTAAATAATCCTTCACTTTTCCTTCTATTTATGGCAAACGGGGAAATAATAATAAATGACAAAAAACTACTTTTTTAAAGACAAACCCCCCCCTTTTTTCTCAAAAAAATGTCAAATATAAAAGTTTAGAATATTCCCCTTATTTCCACCTGTCAAACAAAAATATTATTTTAATAAATTATTTTCTAAAAAATTTTTCAGCTCATTTTTGTCTGTAAATTACTCTCTTTAATAATAATGACGATTTTAAAAATATTTTTATTTTTTTCTTTAATAAAATATTTGTCTGCTGAATGTTCTGGTTTAATTGATGGAATAAGCTTAAATTTTGTAAATCCAAATGGAATTAGTCTATTAAAGTCAGAAAGTGCAAGATGTTTAAATATGTTGACTTGTGATGTTCTTAGTGCACCTTCTGAAGTAAGGGAGGGGGTGGAAGGAGGGGGGAAGAGGGAGGGGAAGGATTATTGTAGCTTAATCTAAAGTAGTCTCAACAACTAGGTATCGATGAGTTTATTTTTTATATTAGTGTTAGGTTAAGCTCGTCAATTGGTGGATTCCATATGGGGAGGGGGGGGGGGAGTAATACAAACGGAGGTGAAGTTGGTGGTCATTGGATAATGGGAAACTGTCTAAGTTTCCCCCCATACGGGAAACCCACTTTGAGGTACCCCTAATTATGAGATACGATTTTTCAATCCCAAATGTGTATATCTAAAGCTAAGGTTTGACTTTATCAATTTTAGACAATAATTGAATGGATTTATAACGGAAAAGTTGTTCGCTCAAACTCTGCAGAAGAAGAAGAATTTACCTCCTTCAACAAACAAAATAACAAAAAAGAATTAGGTTTAAGCGAAACAAGTCACCGAATTTGTTTTCACGATTTATTAAATTCAAATGGAGGAAATAAAAAGAAGAAAAGATCAATTTACGGAATAGGGGCAGATATTCGGTGTAAAGTTAGATTGGCCTGTAATCCTTTAATTTCAATTGAAAGTGGCCCTTTCGATTTGTTAGAATTATCTTCGCCTCCTCCACCGCCTCTACTTTCAAGAAAAATAATTGATTTGAAAGAAGGAAAAAGAAAAAGTCGCTCACTTCGGTCAGCCCCTTCAATATCTTTAATTACTTCTTCGAGAATGGAAATAGCTGGAGGAATAATTAAATTAATTTGTAAAGTTGAAGGTGAACCTGAACCAAAAATTGATTGGAATTTAATGGCTGTGGATGGAAATGAATTGTTAATACCTAAACAAATTGAGGAAATACCTTTTATTAAGGTAAAAGTTTTCAAAGGATGATTTTTTGAAAGGAGAGGATTTTTAAGTTGTTAATTAACTCTTGTTTTTCCCGATTCCATCGACAAAATTCAGAGAGAAAGAGGCTATAGAGTGATCTTCTGGTATCGGAAAAGCCTATTTTAAAGAAGGCTTCCTTCCGTTATTCCATTTACATAGACAAACTTTTTCCTTTACGAGTTTGAGGATTCATATATTTACTATAAACTATGTAGTAGTAGCCAAATCCGGATTTTTTTTCACAATCTCTGAATTTTTTCTGCCCAAATTAATTTTTTGACAATTAATGTTGGCGGTTCCTAGGAACCCGGATCTTGAACTGATATCCGAATAGAAAATTTGCTAATATCTGGACTTTTTTGGTTTTCTTCGGATATTCGAAACCGCCAACCAACCCCTATTGACAATTTCAATTTATTAAAAATAAAAATTATTTTTAAAAGGAATTAAATAATGGAGAAGAGCTTTTAGTTGATACAAAAATGACAGAACACGCTTCTTTTACTTTACAATGTAGAGCTTCGAATTGGTTAGATTTTTTAAATAAAATACATAATTTTTTTATTTTATTTTTCAAGTTTTGGTGATGATTCTGCAACATCAACAATAATTCTGTTAAGGGATTAAAATTAAAGAAAAAAATTTTTTTAATTTCTCTCACAAAAAATAAAACAAATTTACAACAAAATATTTGTTAAAGGCAAATATTGTTTAATTATTTCTTTATTAATTTGTTCAATAAATAAAGTATTTTTATATTTTTCTAAAAATTCGTGTGCAGAAGGCCTTTGTTCATAATCGTGTATAAGTGACTCGTTGACAAGTTCGTGCAAATCGGGAGAAAATTCTCGATTAGAAAGTTCTGAATTTTGAAAAAATAAACTTAGAAATCAGGATTGCTATAAGTAAGAGTTATGGGTGTTGTTTTAAGTTTTTTCATCCAATCAATGTAACCAAAAATATTTTTTATAAACTAATTAAATTTTCTTAATTAGCGGGACATATCGATTAGTACTAGGAATACCTACACCCGTTATTTTTAATCCTTGGTTACATTGATTGGATGCAACCAAAGATTTTTGAAAATTGACAAAGCTCTACCCAGCCCGGACAGCTATTTTGAATGATATTCTATATAATAAATTATATTTATGCCAAGCAAAAAAAGGTCAGGGAAACATAAAAAAAGGGGGGCGTCAGCCGAAGAATTACCGAAAGCTGCTTAAGAAAGCAATAGCCAGTTTTAGGTTACATTATAAGATAAACTTTTACAGCCCCTAGAATGTATTTTTAAGTGGAGGGTTTGTTTATCATAACCTTACCATTTTCTGAAGTTTGTGAATCCATCAAAAAGGGAGTAGTTCCTCGTAATTTTTCATATAAAATTCTCAAAGGTTCCATTTCAGCAAAAGGAGCAATTCCATTAGATAATTCACAAATAAAAATTCCAAAACTATAAATATCCGATTCAATTCCATATCCATTCAAATCTTGTCTCAAAACTTCTGGGGCCAACCAAACAAAAGAATCTTCAAGTCCGGCAAAGCTGTGGACTCTATTTAATTGACCAATCCATCTGGGGCAATCTGCGATTTTTATGGCATTTTGGGTTATTGCTAATCTTATTTCTCCTTCAGAGTCGAGTAGAATATTTTGGGCACAAACTCCCCTATAAACAAATTAATTTTTAGGATTTTATACAAATATAATTTTAATTGGACTGTGAATTGGTAGTCGACAAATAATTAAAATTATTTAGGGGAAGCAAACAAGTTTTTTTAGTTCCTTCCCCAAAATTACCAAAAGCCTTAAATTTAATTTTCCCGAATATTCAAAATTATGTTTAAACTTACACCTATCGACAAAATTTAAAAAAAAACTAAAAATAAATTTTAAGATAATTTTGGATAAAAGAAATAATTCCCCCAACCTAAAATATAAACAATTTTAATTCTCATTAATGTCCACTACTTTTAATACCTTTTAAGCCTCGCCTAGCTATATATTAAAATTTTCACAATAATTTTACCGATGTATTATTCCATTAGAGTGAAGAAACATTAATCCTTTCAAAACATTTTTAGCAATAATTTTGATAACAGGTTCAGGAAATCCTTCAATATATGTTGAATTTAAGAGATTTTTACACGTTCCCAAATCCATTTTTAACGTTGATGCCAGAAATATTTGACCATTTTGTTTGAAAATATTCGAAAATGTAATTATTGAATTGTGGTGGAAATTTGTAAAGGAATTCTTTAAAAAAATTTTGGAAAAATTAAGAAATCTTTTTATAGAAAATTTTAAAAAAACTTGTAAACACCCCCCCCCCTTTCTCTCTATTTAATATCAACCATAAAAACTCAGCTAGAATTTAATTTTAATATAAGGATGAATAGTGTAGATAGGAATTTGAAAACTTTAATTTCAAGTAATCGGGCCGGTAAAATCAAAATACCCCGAAAAACTCTGAAAAACAATCTTTAGATCATTATTCGGGCCAATCTCTATTTTTCAAAAAAATTTCCAAAAACAGAAAAAAGTAAATCTATTAAAAATAAAAATTTTAATAAAATCAAACCAATTTTCTCTGATCATCAACTTTTTCACATTTAATTGCCACTCTTCTCCTTTCATTTGAATCACAAAACCAAACAAAACACCCTATGGAAACTGAAAGAAAATATTTAGAAAAAGTAATTAAATTAATTAATTAACCTTCAATTGATATTTTTAAATTTTCTCCATTATTTGTAGATAAATTCATGTTGTCGTTATTTATTTTCACAAGAAGTTTAAGCTTTTTTTAGACAACAGCTAAAATATGTTTGAAAATATTAAAAAAAACAATTAAGAATCTAATTGTAATAAAAACAAATAAAAGATATTAGCAAGTGTACTTTTTACTTGCTTTGACAACGCTAATAAAACAACAGCCCACATTGCAACCTCCCACGTTCAACTGTCCTCACGCTCAATCAGCCACACTCAAATGACCGCAACCGTTTCAAATCGGAACGTCCCACTGGGTACAGCCCGACTTGTCGCGGGCCGACTTGTCGCGGCCGACTTGTCGCGACCGACTTGTCGCCGGCCGACTTGTCGCGGGGCCGACTTGTCGCCGGCCGATTTGTCGCCAAGCTTTTTAATTAAATATTCTGATTTATAATCAATTAGAATGGTCCCAACGACCATCAAATGGGATCATGCTGAAGTATAAAACAAAAATTTTACAAAAAAATTTTCAAAATTAAAAAACCCCTAACTACAGTTTCCGTACCAGACTCAAAATTGGGTAATTTATATGTCATTCGAAAGAGCTCGTCGAGCTGAGCTGAATGACACCAAAATCAGCTCGATTGGACGATTATGAACAAAGTTATGATCAACTGAATCTTCGCTGGAAAAACTGTTTTTGTGCTGCTACGGAGGGTAGGCCGGGCATGGTCTTCGCTACACGATGGCCGTGCTTCGCTGCGGTCGTGCTCGCTTCGCTCGCGGCGACCGTAGCGAAGCGGCGGCCGTCGTTCCGCTCGACATGCCAGGCTTCCTCCGCAGCGGCAAAAACTTTTTTCCGCGTAGACCTTGTGGAAGGGGGTGTTAATTAAAAAGCTTGGCGACAAGTCGGCCGGCGACAAGTTGGCCCCGCGACAAGTCGGCCGGCGACAAGTCGGTCGCGACAAGTCGGCCGCGACAAGTCGGCCCGCGGCAAGTCGGGCGTGTCCCCGTCCCACTTGTGTACCGGCCGTTTGTGTACCTGGCCATATTTTGGGCCATAACTTTTTTGATTCTTAACCGACTTAAATTATTATTATATCAATTGAGAGCCCTGGATGTGAGGATTATTTTCGCCAACAGGATTGATTTGATCAGATCATGTTTTAAAAAGTTATATCTCGATAAATGCGCTCAATCGTGATTTTGATCTTTATCTGTCTGTAACTTTTTGTATGATGATCTGATCAAATCAATCCTGTTGGCGAAAATAATCCTCACATCCAGGGCCTTCAATTGATATATTATTTATTTAAATCAATTAAGAATTGAAAAAGTTATGGCCCAAAATATGGCCAGGTACACAAACGGCCGGTACACAATGATCCCCCGCCCGTTTCAAATTTATTTTTCTCGTTTCTTTTCCAATTCTCTCTTTTTTCTTTTCTTCTCGTTCTACTCTATTTCAAAAAAGCTTATCTGCTTGTCACATGCTTATTTAGAGAACGGGAACCCGTTATGGCGCAGGGCACTATGGCGTAAGGCTAAATTTCACGAATTTTCTTTGTTTATTGTTAAGATTAGCAGAAATTTTAATCATTTATATTTTAATGTTTTCGACTATGTCATTGCCAACTAAATGCGGTAAATGTTTTATAAAAGATTTGCGCTATATTTTCGGCCATAACGATCGCGCAATTTACCGCATTTAGTTGGCAATGACGAAGAAAAAGAGAAGGCAATCCAGGAGAATTGTGGTCCCTGCGAAAAAAAAGTTTAAAAATAAGAAAAAGGGGTTTTCTAGGGTAAAAAAATATGCTGATCACGAATCTGAACTCAGATTTTGAAAAAGTCGAATCCCGGACCCGAACCAAATTTCGAACCCTGAATCCGAATTTCGAATATACAAATGATACCTCATTCGAAAGAGCTCGTCGAGCTGCATCGAATGATACCAAAATCAACGTGATTGGACAAGATTCGACAAAGTTATGACATAAAGTAAACCTATGGAAGTATTGTAGGAGTCGGCGAATTATGTCATAACTTTGACAAAACTTGATGAATTACTGTAATTTTAGTGTCATTCGACTCAGCACGACGAGCTCTATCGAATGAGGTATAATTTGCATAAGCTTTTTTTACTCCAAAAAATCACCCCTGTGGGTTTTTCAATATTCCGGGGTCTGTATCTCGGGTTAATCATGTCAGATTTCATCGATTTTGGTGTCATTCGATGCAACTCGATGAGTTCTACCTGCATATGAAAGACTGATCATTTTGTACAATGTCCGACAGAGTCCGGGGTCAAATTCCGAATTCGGGTCCGGGATTCGACTTTTTCAAAATCTGAGTTCAGATTCGTGATCAGCATATTTTTTTACCCTAGAAAACCCCTTTTTCTTATTTTTAAACTTTTTTTCGCAGGGACCACAATTCTCCTGGATTGCCAAAGAGAAAGAATATACACGCTTATTTTAGATTTAAAAGTTAATTTTTATTTAAATTCTTTTTAATTTCCAGTTTTTATTTAATTAAATGAATTCAAGTGAACGGAAAAAGCAAACTCATTTACGATGTGAAAGGTTAATTTTTATAAAAATAAACTTTTAATTTTTAATGTTTTTAGACAACGTCGTGAGGCTATTAATGTTTGTTTTTATTAATTAAATTTTTTGTTATTTTTTTTTAATTTAAGAGTGGATATAGTGAACTTAAAGATTTATTGCCGGCATCAGCTTCATTTACTGGATGTAAATTTTTATTTAAAAATGTTTTTTTATTATATATTTTTAGGTAAAACTACAAATGCAGCAATTCTTTTTAGGTTTATTTATTTGGATAATATTAAAAGTAAATTGAGGGTTGGAATAGTTTATATTGATTTTTGAGTAATGTAAAATTGGGTAGATGATGTTGTTGAAGTAGTCCAAAAAATGGACATATTGGCATCTATTTTTTGATTAAGAATTTTAGGGGATTTATATGTTTTTGGGGGAATATTATTAATTATTTGTAGATTAAAAAAATCTTTTTGGGGGCCTTTTTACTTTCCAAAACCTTCAAGTAATTACCTTAATTTATAGGGCAGCCGATTATGTAAAATCTTTGGATTCTTCAATTGAAAAAAATGAAGAAGAATTGTCTAAATTACAAACACAATTTGCTGCTTTAGAAATGATTTTACAGCAATACGAGAATTTTTCTTTTGATTCCCAAACAAGTTCTGTTATACAGTTAAAAATGGTTTGTTGTGTTTTAATTTTTAATTAACAAAATATTTTTTCTTAAAGTTACAAAATTTTTTGGATAAATGTTTTGAGTCTTTTCTTGCAAATGTTGATGTGTCTAATTATAAATCTTTGACAAATTCTTTACTTATGTGGATTGAACGAATTGATTTTCAGGTTAAAAATTAATTTAATTTTTTTGTAGTTTTTTTGCTTATTTCGAAGTGTTTTTTCCCTCTACTTATTAAAAATCATAGAGATTTTAGGAGTTAAGTAATTTTAGCTATTTCTATTATTGGAAGATTGGAACGATTAAAATTGTTTTTTCCGGGGTTATTTTCTAACAAATTAAATTTAAAAATGTTATCCTTTTTAAAATAATTATTGGGGTTGTCTGTTTCAATAAATATTTCTAATTTTATTTCAGAACATGTCTGATGCATTGCTCATGCCAGTTTACAAACAAATGAAATAAATTTTGATGTGTGATATTCTTTTGTATATATTTTTTATTTTTAAATTTTTAAAGATTCTCTTTTTAATTAAAAAAATTAAAAAATCTTAAATTCTAAAAATCTTCAAAAATTCATTCTGACTTTTTTTTCTAAATAATTTTAAATTAAAACAATTGTATAAATCATCAATTGCCTTCTATATTATTTAATTTTTCCCTCACTTTATATCCCCACAAAGAAAATATTTGACATTTTTTGAAAATAAATTTTAAATAATTATTTCTTATTTTTAAAGTATTTATTTTTTACTTTTTATTTATTTAACATTTTTTGCTGAACTTTTAAAGTTTATTTGTTGATTTGAAAGAAAAGTTGAAAGTGATTGATAGAGTGGTGTCACAGGGTTCGCTTAAAAGACAATTCACCGTAAAGGACGATTCACCGAAAATATATACAAGTAATTTACTTTTCTTTTTTTGATGATTATTTAAATTGACCTGAAAATTCCTTTTACAAATTAGTAGGGGGATAAGATGAATAATACTCGTTTTATAAAATATAAGTGTTAAAAAGTAAAACTGGTTGTGGGATTATTCTTTCGGTGAATTGTCTGTTTCGGTAAAATGTCCTAGGGTAAATTTAAAATGTTTTTTCTTTTTCAGTTCCATTTCATTTTCAAACAAATAAGATTATTGAATTTCCTTTGAATAGAAAAAGTTATTACGTAACAAAGTAGGGGGGGATAAGATGAATTGAGTGGGATGTTGTTATGAATTGAGAAAGGGAAAAAATATTTTCTCAAAAAATAAAATTTAATATTTTAATTGTTTGGACTTTCCCTCAGACAATTTTTGAATTATTTTTGATAAAAAAATAATTGAGGGGGGGGGGGGAGGGGAAAGTAAATTCTGAATTAAATTTAAGAGAATTTTGAACTTTGTCTATCGTACTTTTCTCCTCAATTATATTTGGGGGAGGAATTTTGGGGAGAAAATAAAAATTAGATACAAAAACTTCAAAATTCCCTTGAAATTATTTTTTTATTCAATTAATTTAATAAAATTACACAAAAAGCAACCTTATTTTTTTATTTCAATATTGCTTTCATTAAAGTGTAAACAAAAATATTTTTTTCAAAATCTTAAGCATTATTTTTCCAAGGAAAAATTTATGTTGTAATAATATTTATTCTTTATTTTTAATTTTTAAATGGACAAACTTAATCATTTTTTTTTATTTTTTAGATTCATATAAAAATGTTTTGGTGGATTTTATTAATTCTTTTATTAATTTTATTGACTACTTTGTATTTTCTTTTTATTTATAACAGTGGAATAAGTATATTTTTAAATTTAAATAAAAATAATTTTTTTTAAATTTTTTAGGTCGTTGTTCATCTTCTGAAGAAATTTTTGACGAAACTCAAGAAAATAATTTAAATAATTCAACAAAAAATAAAAGAGAAGGGAGGAATGTTTTTAAGGTTTTTTAAAATTTTTTTGAAATTATTTTTCTTTAATTTTTAAGTCAATTTATTCGAATATTATGGTCAAAAGGAGTGCAAGCCTGACATCTTTACCTTTACTTTTGAGAAGAAGACATTCAACTGTTGGGACTGGATTTCCAAAACAAGTTATCAGAGCAGCAAAAAAGTTGGGAATTTTTTTGGATAAATTGTCCGCAATCTGAAAAATTGCGCAAATAATTTTTTAAACAGATTTTCTTTTCTAAAATAATTTTTGTCAGAATAAGACTTTCCTCACCTACATACCATCTTTTCCATTTTAAATTATTTTTTGATGGACTAGACTGGGTGCTACAATCCAAAATCTTTATCGGATCTCGGAATTCATTTTTCATTAATTTTTATTTTTGCGGATTTGAATTTGCGGACAAAAACCTTTTAAAATTTTAATAACATTTTCTTTTCAGAATCATTCCAGACTTTCGACAAAAATTCTCTGTTAGTTCTCCTCGTGATGCTCTACCCAAACCTCCATCAGAATTTTTTGAACCTTTAGAGAATCCACAAGTTCCTGATCGCCAAAAACCTTTATTTTACCTTAAACAAAATACAAAGTTTTCTTTTTAATTTAATTAAAAATTAAAAAAATTATTTTTAAAGGCTTTTAGAATTTCCTTCATTTTGTAATATTAAAGAAGAAGATATTCAATTAATGGTTTTTGATACAAATGAATTTATTGTTAAACGGGGGGATGCTGGTAAATGATTTATTATTTTTTAGGTTCTAAGAAAAAATAAAATTGTCATATAGGAAGTTTTCGCCTTTTTTCTGAATTTTTCTTCATTTTTTCCCTTAATTTTTTGAAAAATAAATATAAGTTTTTTAAAAAACGGCAGATTCTACCTTGTCTTTTACTGGAAATTTTAAATAATTTTTTTTTAAATTTAGATGATTCAATTTATGTTGTTTTAGAAGGAAGCCTTGCTGTTTATATATCTGTAATTTCGAATTTATTTTAAATAAATCAGCGTTTTTTTAGCCAACACAAGGAAAGAAATCGATGGTTAGAAGAATAGGCCCTTCAGATTGTTTTTTTAGTCCTTTGTCTTTACTTGATATTTTTATGGTTTTTTCTTTAAATTTTAAAATTAAAAATTAAATTATTTTAAAGGGAAAACCTTCTCTACTTAAAACAGTTTCTTTAAAAGCAACATTAAAAACTCGTTTAGCAAAATATTCTTTAGTTAATTTTTATAATGTTTTTATTGAAAATCCTGATCAATCAGCTTGGATTAGAACGTTTAATTAATTTTAAAAATAAAAATTTTATTTTTTTTTTAATTGAAGAATTCAAATAATAGCAACAAGGTTGAGACATATTGTACTTACAACATTACATCAACATTTGGGTTTGAGTGAAGAACTTGTGAATAAGGTTATATCTCATTTTTAATAATTTGAAGTTGTTAAAGTTTACCTGGGGATAAGGGATGGGTTTAATTTAGAGAAAAGTGGATCGGGTTTCTTAGTTAAGGGTTAGTATTTTTTAGCAAATATATATTCGATTAATTTTGGTTCCCTTTAAAATAATTTTTCGAGTTTTGAATTTTGAATTTACAAATATTTCTGATACCGAAAACCCCCAAATAAATCAAATCTTTATTTTTTTAAAGCATTCTACTTCTTCCACTAAAAAACCTCTCAAACAAAGGGGCCTTTCTTTGCGTAATTATGGTGGTGGATTGAAACCAAAACTTCAGCGAATGTCAACAGAATTTGAAAATTCAAATGAAGAAATCAAAATTTCAGTTGCTTTAACTTATTTTTGTGAAGCTTTAAATATTTCTGAATCTGAGGGGAATATTCTGATTAAGCCGTATTTGAGGTTTTTGAAGTTAGAAGAGAATCAAACTCTTTATGAAGAGGGAAGTAATGACGGAGCTTCTATTGGCGTTGTTGTTTCTGGTTTATTAAAAATTACACAAGAATCTGCTTATTCGGATATGTCGACTTTTGGATATGAAGATAAAGATTCTTGGTGTGCTTATGTAAATACAAGGGAATTGGTTGGAGGATTACAGGTTTTCTTTTAATTGCTAATTTTTTATTAAAAATGTTGATTTGGGGTGATATGTAGCGTAAATCTCTTTGGATTTGGAAATTTATTGGGACTAGTTATTGGCCTTAAACTATAACAATTATTATCTATTGAGTTGACACTTTTAACCTTGAATATTAAAAAGCCGATGTAATGTAAAATTTCAGTTTCTTACCGACGAGCCTTCATTCTGTACACTTCGAGCAGCATGTCCAAGTATTGTTGCATTAATTGATAAAAAAGATGCTGATCTGCTTATTGAGAAAAAACCTTCTCTTGTTTTCCCAATTGCTTATTCAGTACTGCAAAGACTTTCTTCTTTTGTTAGAGCTATTGATTTTGCTTTAGGTTGGGTTTTGCTTGATTCTGGCGAGGCACTTTATAGGTTTTTCTAAATTATTTTAATTTATATTTTTTGTATTTTTAGAAAAAATGACTTTTCTGATTCTGTTTTTGTTGCATTAAGTGGTCGTTTACGTTCAGTTTCAGAAAAAATTGTGATTGAAGAATTTGGGAGAGGTGATGTTCTAGGGATTGTTGAAGTACTTCAACAAAACCCAAGAACTACTACAGGTTTTTATTTAAATTTAATTTTTAGATTTATTTTTCAAGTCCTCGCTGTTCGTTATTCCCAACTTTCAAAAATTCCCGAAGGCCTGCTCAATTTTGTTAAAATGCAATTTCCTCAAGTTGGCTTCCGACTTGTTCGTCTTTTGGGACGTTATTATTCTGGACGAGTTTCTTCTTCGTCTCCTTTAGCAATTCCTGATCCAATGACTCAACGGGTAATTTTTCTTTGAATTTATTTAAAAAATTTCCTTTTAGAATCTCCACACAATCGCTATTTTCCCAGCAACTTTTGACGTTCCTTTAGTAGCTTTTACTTGTGAATTATATCATGCATTGAGTGTTACAACAAAAATAATTCGTTTAAGTAGTAAATTTGTTGTTGAACGTTTGGGGGTTGAAGCTGTAATGCAAAGGTTTGCCGTCTAAAAAAATTTTTTTGAGGAGAATTTTTGTTGAAGGAAGGCAGATTTTCGTCTTATGCATTGGCTAAATTCCCAGGAAGATACTTATCAATTAGTTATTTATGAATGTGATTATACAGCAACTAATTGGACTAGACGTTGTTTAAGTCAAGCAGATGCAATTATTGTTGTTGCTTGTGGTGATCAAAAACCTCCAGAAAAACATTTTGTTTATCTTATTTTTAATTAAAAATTTAAATTAAAATTAGATTGATGAACATTTAAAAATGAATCAAGATGGAATTAGATCTAGAAAAGAATTGGTTTTGTTATGGCGTGGAGCTGATGCTGTACCTAAAGGTTTTTTCCATGAATAAAGAACTTGAATATTTTTTGTTCTTTAATATATTTCTAACATGAGAATTAGGCAAACGGGGCGGGCTTGCTGCTTTGGCCGATTTTGGTCTTTTTGGTGTTTCACTTTTGACTTACCCCCGAGAAGGCTTGACTCTAAGGAATTATTTTTTTCCATTTTCCAGCTCCTCTTGAAATTTTTTTTACTAATCTCCCACGTTTTTCATCCTACAATTTGGGGTTGGAATGAGAGATCGTCCTGGTTATCCTCTCTTATGTCTAGTACTATATGTTATTTTACACTTTTAAGGTACTTATGAATGGCTAAAAGGAAGTTGGTTTTCTGCTCATCATCATATTCATGCACCAGACAGAATGTTTAGTTGGGAAAGTAAAGTAGAGGTTTCAATTAAAAATTAATAAATAAATTATTTTTATTTTTTAAAGAAAAATGAGAATGAAATCCTTAATTTTTATGAACATCATGTATTCCCATTTACTATAGACGTTCACAGTGATTTTGCCCGTCTAGGACGTCTACTTTCTTCAAATGCTGTTGGATTGGTTTTGGGGGGAGGAGGGGCAAGGTTTTTTGAATTTTACATTAACAAAATATTTTTTGTTGTCTCCTAAAATATTTTTGGTTTATTTATCTTTAATTAAAAAGAATATTTCCACATGGGAATCGAACCTTTAACTAATAGTTACTTGAAAGTTAAATGTTTTCCCACTACTTTTAGGAACACAAAAAATTATAAATTTATTTTGAAGAGGTGCCGCACATGTTGGATTAATTAAAGCTTTACATGAAAAAGGAATTCCTGTTGATATTGTTGGTGGAACTTCTATTGGGTCATTAATTAGTGGTATTTTGGCTACAAATCCAAATAATATGCAAAATTTGGAAGAGAAAGCTTCTAAATGGTTTTTGGTATTTTTCTTTTTTAATTAAATTATTTATTTTAAATTAATTTTTTAAAGGGAATGTCTTCATTCTGGAATTTATTATTAGATATAACTTGGGCTTTTTCTGCTCGTTTAACTGGATATAATTTTAATAAACTTTTAAAAAATGTTTTTGGATTTAAAAGTATTGAAGATTTGTGGTTACCTTATTTTTGTGTTACTACAGATATTTCGTAAATATTTTTAAATAATTTTTTTTTAATTTAATTTCTTTTTAGAAATTCTGAAATGAGAGTGCATAGAAATGGTTAGTTTTCTTTAAATTTTTTAAATAAAATTGGGTTTCACGTTACTTTTAAATAATTTTTTTTCGAGAAAATCGAATCATTTATAGAGATTATTTTTCTCCTTTATACTCTTTTGGGTTCCCTCAAAGTTGCTAATCTTTTTAATAAAATTCTTTAAAATGAAAATTATTATTATTATAAGCGTGCTGTTCCCTTTTATTCTTTTCTATATAATATTTTTCCTAAAACTTCTTTAAAAAATTAATTTAAAAAATTTTTTTCTTTTTTAATCAACATTTTAGGACAATTATGGCGTTATGTTCGAGCTTCAATGACTTTAGCTGTTTATTTGCCGCCAATTTGTGATGATGAAGATGGTTATTTTTTTAATTTAAATTAAAATTTTTTTAAAAAAGGCCATTATTTATTGGATGGTGGTTATGTAAATAATTTACCTGCTGATGTAATGCGTACAATGGGGGCTAGAACAGTAATTGCTATAGATGTTAGTTCTGCTGATGAAAAAGATTTTCATAATTATGGGGACTATTTAAATGGATTTTATGCTCAATTTCATTCTTTGTTGAATTGGCAAAAAGATGCTATGAGGATTTTGACTGCACAAGAAATTCAGGTTTTTCTTAAAATTTTTCCTGTTAAGGGATTTTAGTGTATTTTAATTTGTTCATATCCCGCCTCCATTTCTAGTTGAGTATAAAATTAATTTTTTTGCTGTCAATCACTTTCCCTCAGACATAGAACACGCATTATACATAGAATGTATACACACATTATACATAGAAGTATAATGTGTGTATACATTTACCACACACATTATACATAGACACACATTACCACACACATTATACACACATTATACATTTACCCACACACATTATACATAGAAGGATCAAAATTAGAATATAGGCATGTAATCCACAATCCTTTCAAAATTACATCAAAATAATTTTGGGTTTTTATGTAATTTACATATATTTTTTTGCGGGTTAATAATCAAATCTTTTAGGTTATGCCAGTAATTATATTTTTAGTGTAAATTTGTTGATTTTAGGATCGTCTTTCTTTTGTGTCAAGTGTTCGTCAATTAGAATTAGTTAAAAAAGCTCCTTATTGTACTTATCTTAGACCACCAATTGATAGATTTAAAACACTTGATTTTCCAAAATTTAATATTATACAGGTTTTCTTCTATTTTAAAATTTCATTATTTAAAATTTCAAAAAAGAATGCTGGTTATCAGTATGGTTGTGAAACATTGCCAGAATTAATAACAAAGAATAATCATTTAAAAACATTAATTAATCATGGAAAGTTTTCTGTAATGAGATATTCGCCAAATACTTTTAGAAAAGGATCTTTTACTGATTTGGCTGCACAAATATCAAGAATTCCTTCACAACATTGTAAATCCCTTGATGATTTTAGTAAATATTTTGAAGATGAGGATAATGATGACGATGAAGAATATTTTGAACATGAAGAAGATGGTTAGTTTATAAGAAAATATTTGGGGAATTGGAAATGAAGGGGAATTAGGAGTCGGTTGACAATTTATATTTTTGATGGATCTTGTTTCCTTGTGCCAAAATTAACTTATTTACATTAGTAGTAGTAAGTGACATGGAGAATTACGTCTTCGTAGAAGGGGATTTTATGTTAAATTGCGTCTAGTTTTAGGGAAATAAACACAAAGTATTCGCTTTAATTCGGACCACTCAATACTTCTTCAGTTAATTTCCCTGTTTTTGACTTCATTTTTAGTTTCCGGTCTTTTTTGAAATTCCAATCATATAAAACATTTAAAAATTTTATTTTTCACAGATTCTGATAGAGGCTTAAGCAACGAGTTTATTCTTCCAGATGAAGATGCTATTTTAATAAATGCTACAATTAATGCCAGAATTATAACAAACAATGAGGAAGATTTTCAATAAAATTTATTTAGACTAAAAAAATATCTCACCACCAAGAAGAGCTTTTTTAATTTCCGGTGGATTCTCTCTACTATGTATTAATTTAAATAGATCTCTGCCCTTTATTATTATAATATAACAAGTATAATATCTTAAAATTAATTTCCCATATCTCATTTATTCTTTAATTAATATTCTACATTTACTAGACAAAAAAGCAATAAAATTCAAATTATATGTATTTAGTTTGTTTCCGAATGTGGAAATTTTGAATTTAAGATTATACTGCCAGATATGCCTGTATTTGATGCTTTTACCAATCAAGTTTTTGGAAAAATTCAACCAATATTTTTCATTTAGTTAGACATACTTCTAAAGAGCAGGCGAAAATTTTCGACTTCACAATCATTCAGACACCAATCTAATGACTCCCTCAAGGGTTTCCACGTTGGTGTAGTGGGTATTGGAGGGTTAAAGTTTTAACAATCTCACTTTTGATCAATCCCAATTAATTTTTTAATACAATGTCCAAATATTTTGATAGGAAAAATAGATATTTAATAGAAAACTACCAAAAAATTACAAAATTATCAAATTTAAAATCCAAAATTTAAAAAATTATTTTCTTATTCTTCATCAACTATTTGGAGTTGTCCATCATCAACTTGAGGAGAATTTCCAGCTTGTTGAGGTAAATTAACTTCATACCTCAAAACATTTGTTTTAGGGCGTCCTTGAGGGATTTGATTTGTTGGCCAATTTCTTTGTGAAGAAAATGTTAGTATCTGAGGATTTTGTTGTATGTGTGGTTGTTGCTGCTGATTTGTGTAAGATTGCCAATTTTGAGAAAAACCGGAATTAGGTATATCACGTTGTTGAGGAGTAGAAGAGTAATATTTTTGTTGTTGGGAAGGTTGCTGTTGTTGGGTTCTATTGATTGTAGGGCCAGAAGGAGGATGACCTCTTCTAAAGTTTTTGATTAAATATAGTCAGAAGATACACCCTTTCTATATGAGGCCTTAAACTCTATAATGAGGCCTTTAAAATAAGGGGTATCATTTAGGCTGCCCCAAATAACAGCCAATTAAAATTTAAAACAATTAATCTTAAACCAAGTTTTCTAATACATTTACCTTTCATTGTGCGGGTTTGGTGGTCCTCCAGTGAATTTTTTATTTCGATTAGAATCATTAACATTTGGATGTTTGCTAGGCTTTACTGGCCCTTTTTGTTGTCTAATATGTTGAGGTAAATAATTAGTTTGTTGTTGTGTTTTAGTATCCCAATTATTTACCGTTGTTGTTGTTCCTTTCTTTTCTCCATATTTTCTACTATTATAATCTCCTGCTCCCCCTCCATATGATGATGAAGAAGAAGGATTATTTGAGGAAGATTCTGTCGAATATTTATTTATTCTCCCCCCTCCTTCACCAGAATAATTTCTTTGATTTTGTTGTTGTTCTGTTTTTGGTTGTGAAAGGTTTTGTTGCTGTTGAGGAGGTGGTGGAGGAGGGGCTGGGTCTGTTTCTACTACTTTTGGTATCTAAAGAAAAAGATAATTCAGTAAAATTTAATAAGTAAATAGAAAATTCTATACAGAACATGCAAAAAATAGTAACTTATTTTCGCAATACTGTCTTATATTATATTTCAAATCAATCCTTAAAAAATCAAAAATAATCAAACTTACCTTAAAATTTTTTAAACTAGGAAAAGGAGTTGTCGCTATTTGTGGAAAAGCTTCTTTATTTTTATTATTTTCTTTTATATTTTTTATATTTGATTGTTGTTGTTGTTTTAATTGTTGTGTTGGGGAATTTTTTCCTTCTTTTTTACTTTTCTTTAATTTAACATTTTCAATAATTTCTTCAATTGCAGGTCTTTTAATTCCTCCACTTTTTTGTTGTTGTTTAAATTTTGATGGAGGGGCTCCACTACTTGAAAGTCTTGCTATTGGTTGTTGCTCCATTGCTTGTTGAAATGTTGTTGTTGCTGTTTGTGAAATATTTATTGATGTTGAAATTGAAGATGAAGATGAGGAAGAAGGGGAAGATGAAGAATTATTTGTATTTATTTTAGATTGTTGTTGTTGTATTCCTCCCCCTCCTCCCTCTCTTTGTGGCTTTATTTTTAAAACAATTTTTGCTTTTTTATTTATTAAATCTTCTGTTGATGATTGATTTGATAATTTTTTAGGTTCTTTTTCTTTTATTTTTGAATTTTTATTTTTTGTTTTTACTTCTGTTGCTGGCTTTATTGTTGTTACTGATGGTTGTCGTTGAATCTTATTTTTGTTTTCCTCTTCTTTTGATTCTGTTAGATATTCTTTCTAAAAATTAACTAAATAAGTCTTGTTTATTCAAAATTTTAAATACTCGAGAATTTCAAACGTTACAAAACCAAAAAAGGGAAAAGGGAACCTAGAAACTTGGCTAGATCCTAATATCATCCCTGGGCTTCTTTCCTTGAAATACCAAAAAAGGTGTTACATCCCTTCTGGTTTATTTTCGATGTATAAATTAGGCTGAAAAGATAGCGAGTTTTGACAAAAAATAAGACGTATGGACAGACTAGAAATATATTCTCAAAATTTTAAATTAAAAAAACCTTTATATTTTGCGTAGAAGAATCTTCAAAATAATATTCAGGAAAAGGGCTAAAACTTTTTGCAGAATTTATTTTAATTTCTTGTTTAATTTCTTTTAAATCTTCAATTTCTTTTAAAGAAGTTTTTGAAGTTTTTCTCGAATCTTTTGAAAAATCTCCACTAAGTTTATGTAAATTATTTAATTCTGATTGACGTTGCTGTGGCGGCGAAGAAGCAACAGAAGCAGAATTTGAAGAGGAAGAAGAGGTTGTTGAAGTTAATTGAGAATTAATTAAATGTTGTTTTTGCGTTTTTTCGTATGATTGATTATTTGATGAAGACGATGTTTGCTGTTTCTAAAATTTCGAAAAAATTTTTTTGACATCCAAAAATTATATTTTTTTTTGTAAATTCCCCTAATTGTAAAATCAAAAATCTCTAGGAATTAAGGAAAAAATTATTGTGATGTAATAAAAACGCATCAAAAATTTTTCCACCAATAAATAAAAATAAACCGAAAATTCTGCCAAAGAAAACTCTTCATTAATTTTTCGCTGACTGGTTTCATCCATTTGAGACTCGCAAGAGCCAGAATGTTTTGCTTTAACTTTTGTTTTTTCTCCTTGTTGATTGTCCTTTTCTGTTTCAGTTGATTCTCGATGCAAATTTCTTGGCGGGGGTGGAGGATCCATTTCTTCGTCAGAGGAAAATGATTCACAGGCAGCCATTTCATATTCTGTCATCATTCTTGAACGAACTTCCTCTTCGTTTGAAGCTTCAAAAAAAAATTTATTAAAATACTATACAAGAAAAATAAAAAAAGTTTCTTTTTAAGCTGTTTTTAACATGATGAGATCAAATATGAACCTAAATGAAAACCCAAACAAAGCTAAAGCAATCTAATAAACAAATAATTAAAAAATATTTCTTGATTATGCCAACTCCTTATATTAAAACTCAAAAATATGCTGATTAAGGAGTTTATTTCTTAAGAAAAAACTTACTTATTTTGTCTTTGCGGTTTAATTTAAAAGGGAATAAAATTAAATATTGCAAAACTTGAAATAAGAAACGAACAAAACAAATTGCAAATAATTTCTAAAAAATAATTTTTGTGCTTACAAATATTATAATTAAGATGACCAGACATAGAAACTTGTTGCTGAAGTACTGATTGTTGTCGTTGGTAAGGTGGAGTTTGGAAAGGAACCTGTTGATAAGAAAATGCCAATTTTTCATCAGAAGCCAAAGCAATTTCTCTTGTTCTTGACTTTCTTGGTTTTCTTTGTCCAGAAACGCCTAAAAAAATTTATTCAAAAATTTAAAAAATTTTAAAGACCTCGTTTTTTCCCGGGAAAATCTGAAGGAGAAGCAGGAGTACTTTCAGTTTCTAATGAAGAAAAAGAAAGTTGTCTATCCCCAACATTTCCACCACCACGTCTTCCTCTACCACGACAACGGCCACCTGGAGACTGATAAGATGGACTATTAATAGCTCCCGTAAAATTAGAAGAGTCGTCAAAATCAAAGACTTCTGGTCCAGATTGGGGCAAAATAGATTGATTTTGTTGCTAAAAAATAAAAACTGAAGCCTTAAAATTGAGTTAAATGGACGTTTTAAGGAGGAATTTTTTTGAAGAACCCCCAACAGTTTTTTCAATTTTGAAAGAGCAATTAAATTCAAAAATTTAAATATTTTACCATCATTCTATAAGAACTAACACCAGCTAAAAGTTTTTGTTGTTGCTGTCTATATGCCGACATTCGTTGTTGTTCTAAAGGCGAGAGTTGGAGTAAGGAATTTTGTTGCTGAATTCCACTAATTTGATTTATTCGACTCAATCTTTGGTCAAAATCTTTTGTTGACTGATTTACGGTCTGTGGTTGTTGCGTCATTATTTGGGGACAATCATTATTAAAATGTGGAAGGCAAGGAGTATTCTGCCCACTAATTTGTGACTGAGAATCTTGATCATCTGCACCAGCACCCATTTCAGCTATAGCATCCTAAAATTAAGAGAAATAATTTAGAAAATTTAAAAATAAAAAAACCAAATCAGAAAAAGCATTTGCAGTCATCGCAACGTCTGTATTTTGTTTTTGTCTCGGAAGACCAGTTGAATGAGGGTCAGAAGAAACACCCCCAACATTTATTCTTCCAGCAATTTGATTTCTTCTTATTTGTAATTGTCTATGATCTGATAAATATGTAGGCGGAGGAATTAATTCTTTATGTGTCACTACATTTTTCATAAATCCCAACAAAGATTCATCATCTTCATCACTTTCAACAACAAAGGAATATTCACGTTTAGGTGGTTGTGTTGATGAATTTTGTGCTGCACGTTGTTCCAAATAACGCCAAGCATATCCAACACAAGAAGTCATTATCCGTTATCCAATAAGGTCAAAAAAATATGAAAAAGTCGAACATGGAAATCGAGTCACAGAAATATTTGAAAATTAATAATTTGGCATTCTGTTTATATAAATTTGGCATTATGTTAATTTTTGTAAAAGTACGGTCTTCAAATAATTTAATAAGATTTAGGCTTATACATTTTTAAAAAGCTCGAGAGTATTTAAGCTTCACTCTTCTTAATTTAAACACATTTTTTATTACAAAACTGCTAACTTTTTTCTTATTTTTGCTCGTCAATTCTCAGGTATCGCTTATTTATATTTTCTATTTATTAACTCTTTCTCATTTACAGTATGGAGCATAAGTCTCGCTCTTCTCCAAAACATATTTTGGCACGAATCGGCTTCGAGTTCTCTGGTAATTACAAATTAGGCAGTGGTCGCTACAGCAAAGTCTACAAAGGTTACTATAGGGACGGGGAACGCTTTCTTGCAATTAAAGTCATTGATCTAGAGCAAATATCAGCTGAGTTTAGGCACAAGTTTTTGCCACGCGAGTTGAGTGTTTGGAAGCAACTGGATCACAAGAACCACGTGTACCTCTACAAGGATTTTGAAAGGGCTGGTTATCAGTTCTCTATTATGGAGTTAGCCACAGATGGGGATATGGTTACTTTTTGGGTTGTTTTGAAATATTTCCTTTCATTTTAGCTTTCGTATGTCCAAAGCAAAGGGCCAGTTTCTGAAGCTTCAAGCCGTGGATGGATGCTCCAGCTTATTGATGCTCTTGTCTACATCCACCAAAAAGAGATTGCTCATCGAGATCTCAAACTGGAAAACATTCTTCTCTTTGAGGGAGGCATTCTGAAAATTGCTGACTATGGATTTTGCAAACAAAGTATCGATCTAGCTTCCACATTCTGTGGCTCAAAATCTTATTCAGCGCCGGAAATTCTTCGTGGTGTCACTTATGACACGTTCAAGGCTGATATTTGGTTTTAGAAATTTTTTACGTTCTTCTAGTTTCTTATTTCATTTGTTAGGTCTTTGGGTGTTATTGGCTACATAATGCTTACCAATACAATGCCATTCCGTGAGGATGTTGACAACATGGATATTGTTGATGCTCAACGGCATCGACGCTATCGATATTCGTCCAAATTGGGTCTTAGTTTTGAATGCAAATCTGCCATTGACAAAATGATGACTTTTGACCCTAAACATCGACCGGTAAGTTAATTAGCTTAAGAAGACATTTAAAAGTAAGGCTTGGGGGTGATTTGCTATTACAGTCAGATCTCGCTTATAAATTGTCCAATATGGGCTATTATCATTTTAACAGTTATACCATTTTACTAGTATTACGATTTTTTGAAATTTAGTTGGTCTCTGGGTGGTAAGTAAGCAAACCTATAATTTAATGTACCCCTCATAATTTTTTACTTTTCGGACCCAAAGTTGAATCCAAAATTGAGTTTTGATTGTACTAGATTGTTTGAGCTAATCTTTCCTTGATTTTCAGAACATTTATCAATGTGCTTTGTTAGAGTGGTTCTCCCCGTCTTCTACTTCTAAAGGTAATACGAAGCGACGTCGCCCTTCTTTGTCAAACTATGCCTCTTATAATTCCAAAATTGGATAAGGAGAGATGTGTAAAATAAAAATATTAGGATTTCCCTTTTCTTTTTTCCTTAATGTGAATATTTTCTATTTATATATCTAACGAATCACCTAAACAAAAAAGATCTCTCTCTCTCACTATAACTATAATAATGCTAATTTTTAATATTTCCCGGTTATTTCACTTAATTTTATTTGTTCGAATGTTTTTTAATAGTGTACTATTTAATTGTTTGTATAAATAGGTATGGGTATATTTTGCTTTTTTTATATGAAAATTATGAAATGAGCCATATCTGAGGGTTTTTGCGGACATGTAGGCCGCAGGTGGATATTTACCAGCATAGTTAAATTCAGCCGTTCTTGGAACGATACCACTCATCGTTGGAATATTTTAAAGTTTAGCTTTACGTGTTTCAAGTTTTAATATTTATAGAGTTATGCAGTGTTTAAAAAATATATAGATTTATTCTCTAGAGTATTATTTTTATACATAATTAGAAAAGTAACAAATAATTCTTTAGAAAAATAAAAGAAACATGAGGAAATAATGAAATAAAAATTGAGAAAATTCAAAAAAATATTTTTTAATTAAAAACAATTTATTTTAATTTAACATTTTTATTTTTTTACATTTATCTAACCAAGTCCATCTACAATGACTTTTAAGTGCCTCAGTTTCTGTTTGCATACAACAAGCACAATCATTATGTACAGCCCCTTTACTGTTTAAAGTTTTGAATAATTCTTTCCATTTAGGAATTTCTTCTTCTAAAGGATTTAATTTTTGTTGAAGAAGTGCCCTATAAATTGGGGAAATCTTTAAAAATAAAAAGGAAAATAAAGTAAAAAGGTATGAATCGAAACAATTTATAGTAAAATTCAAACCCCCCAAAGAATCCCCTGCAATAAAATTGCTTTGATTTTTTGAGAGAATTCGTATTCGTAGTTCTAAAGCTACTATATTTACAAAAAATCTCTTTACGTCATTAACAGAAAAATATTTTCTTACCAACAAAGATCTTCAAATGCATCTTTTACTGAAATTTGTTTAATTGAAGGGCATTTTGTTGGTTCAAGACATTCAATTAAATGAATATAATTCTCTACCTAAATTTAAAAAATTCTATCAAATATTAAAAGAATTTTTTAAACGTTTATTTCAACAATATTTAAATAGGGATAAATAAGCCTTGTCGCTTTTAAAAATCGGAAGCGAAAGAAAAAAACTTAAAAAGCAAAGAGAAAAAACGAAAATTTTCCAACTTGAAAAATACTTGGTTATTCTTATTTTATTATTTCCTAAAGAATTGTTACTTAACTAATCCAAAAATTTTACTTAAAATCAGAAATTACCCCGAGAATATATTCAAATATATAATTGAACATTACACCTTTGGGGCTGAAAAATTAATTATTGGGGGAGTATCGCCCAAGTAATTCCCCCTCAATGACTAAAAAAATTTGTTTCATTTTTTCTTTAAAAAATACAAAAATCCAAAACAAACATTATATAAAAATCTAGCAAAACTGCTAGGTTTAGCAACTAAAAAAGCAGAAACAATAATTGGAAGTTTTGTAATTAATTGTGAAGAATTTAAAATTAATTTATTTATTTTCCCAGTATCATCAATTACTTCAATTGGGATTTGAATATTTTTTGTTGTTAAATTATTATTTAATTCAATATTTAAAATTGAAGAAAGAGGCAAAACTTTAATTCGAATTAATGGTGTTAAATAGATTTTAGAATTAAATAGGGAATCAAAAATATTTTCTGAAAAAAAAGAAAATTAATTAAAATAATTTTTTGGAAGATTAAATATTCCCCCCAAAACTCTTTTGGAGGGTATTAATAGATCTCTACAGATACCTAAATTAATTTCAAAAATACTTTAATTTATCATGTCCGAAGTCATGCAGAAAGAGAAAGAAGGGTAAAATAAAATACTATTAACAGTTGAGACAAGACTGAGAAGTCTCAAAAGATCGAGATTTTAATCGAGATTTTTGTTCGATATCTCGTTTCGATCCGGTCTATAATTAACATAAAGGGTGATAAAAGCTTCTAACTAAACTGTTAAAGGGCTTACATACACCAACAGAATTTCTTCATCTCCATATAGCAGATTTGCCTTCCCTCTCCCCCCATTTTTTTAACCTCTCATGTTGTCGTTTCCCGTTTCCCATTAAAATTTTTTAAGAAAAAGAGGGGACAAAATTAATTAATTAAATTGCCCACGCATTTGTTTATTTCCTCCACTTGCTTCAAAAAATAATTTGGAAAGATCAGAATTTGTTGTACATTTAAATACCCAAGAATATTTAGAAAAAAGTAAATTTAAAAATTTTGTAATAATTTCTCTGCCAAAAGTACTGTCCAAAGTATAAAGAGAAAATGCTGATCTTTCAATACATTGTTGTTGATTAATTGCTGGATTTGTTGACTTTAAATTTAATTTTTTAAAATTAAAAAAATTATTTTATAAAGAAAAGTAATGGGAATGTAAATAATTTAATTGTTATGTAAAGGGGCTGGCTAAGAAAAAGAAAAAAATTTTTTGGAAGTTTCTAAATTTCAGATTTTAACTCTCGAGAGTATTTCCTGTTTTTTCCTAGTCCCAGCTAAATTCACAAACTCAGGTGAAATTGCAAAAAAAATGTCAAAATTAGCCTTTCCTTACCCCAACAATTCCCGCTTCTCCTCCTCCCCCTCCAAATAATCGTCTTCTTGTTTCATCCACACGTCTAGAAAATACTTCGTTTTCATTTTCTGACAATTCCGAGGCCAATATCCACTCCAAAAACAAAGAAATTCCTTTTTGAGTACATTGATTACAAATAGATAATAAATTGGTAGTCCATTGTTGAACTATTTGGCCGACTAATAAATTATGTGTATATACAAATTTGGGGTATTCCATCTGTTTTTAAATAAATTATTTAAAAAAATTCTTGAATAATAAAGTATCAGGCAGGGATTGAATAATAGTCCAACTTGATAATTAGGAAAGTAGGGTTGATAACATTCGGTTAACCGAACCGAAAATCAGATGTACAGGTTAATAGTTAGTCGCCAACAACTTTAATACTCTATAATTATAAGTAGGGAGTATCTTTCTTTAAATTTCCCGTCAAAATTTCCTTTATTCAAAAATTAAATTTAAAGTAAATTTAACTTATTCCTTTTTAATTAACCAAAAATATAATAAATTTCCTTACCCAACTATCTCTAATTTGTACAAGTCCCAAACCTCCCATTCCATCATTTCCAGCACCCAATGGAGAAGAAACAATCTAAAAAAATTTAGAAAAATTTAGTTAAATTTAGATTTATCTTTAACCGTTAGCCTGGGTAATGGATATTCTGTGTTTGTTAATTCAGTCATTCGTTTCATTGTTCTTTGACTTTCTTCAATAGCCCATGTATAGTCTGTTGGCTAATTTTAAAAAATTAAATTGTGTTAAAGGAGAAAAGAGAGAACTCTCCAAAAATCTGAGGGAAATAGAAAGGGGGATAAGAAGTATACCTAAGTACTCTTTAAAGAATTTTTAACTTGCATGGAGGGGATAAAAACTTGAAAAGGGATCTACCAATTTTGTTTCATCTCTAGGAGGGTTTATGTAAAAAGACCTTAAAAACGGTTATTTACCTTTAAATGAGCACCAATAAATAATTCAATAAAAGTTTTGTTAAATTTTCCATTTTTAACATTTTCTGGAGGAGGGACTGATTGAAGATTTCGAAATAAAAGAAAAGTAAATTTAGATTGAGGTATTGGAGGGGTTTCTTTAAAACAAGTCTTTTGTTGTTTTAATATTCCTTTTGCTGATGAGCCAATATTTTCTACTATTGTATTGCTTCTGAAAAAAATATTTAAAAAATTGTTTTTTAAAATATTTTAATTATTTAAATATTAAAAAGAACAAAAAATAACTTTAAAAAATAAAAATCTGCCCAAAGGGATCGAACCCGCAACCCCTACAGCCTAACACCTTACCACTACACCAAAACCACTACAATAAATTTCAATTAAAACATACTCACTTACCTAACAAAAACATCTTGTGAATGAAATAAACACAAATGAAAAACAATTCGAATATTTTCTGAATCTTCAATTGACGGAAATAAATAAGAAGAAATATTGTTTTTATCAGAAAATAATTTATTTCCCAACATCCAAGCTCTTTCTCTTTCCCAAGGTGAGGGAATTTGGACTAAAAGTTTTTGGGAAGAAAGGGGAATTTTTAAATTAAAAAAATAAAATCGAAGAATTGTTTTGGATTCTAAATATTCTTTTAAATTAAAAATTAATTTTTGATTGTCTAGTTGTCTAATTATTGAATTAATACAGACAAAACGAGATTTTTGACAATTCCAAATACGCACCTAAATTTAAAATAAATTTTTGGAGGGAAGAAAAAAGGGATTATTTTTGGAGGAAAATCTGGAGAATTTGGAGGGTTGTTTTGGGGTGGAATGTTAGAATTGATTGTTATTCTTTAAATTAGTGGAAGTCTCTTCTTTAACAAATTTTATAAAACTTTCTTATATTTTCGAATTAATTTGACTCCGTTAATTAAAGGATTTTTGGTGAAAAATCTGACGGTAAATTGTCCCTTCAAAAATTAACGGAGATAGAGATTACTGTCAGAATTTTAATTAAAAAACAACCACACCAACTTCATTTTCATTAATTATTCCCATTTCTTTTCCATAATTTAAAAATAAAATATTGCTTTTTTGTTGTAATTCAGCTAGTAAATTTAATTGGAAATTTAAATTCTCGTTATTATTTGACAAGGAAATATTTAAAAAATATTCAAAAGGTTGAAGAATATCATTTTGATTTAAATAATCATTTTGTTGTGGGTTACTGTGAAAAATTAAAAAAATTAATTAGAAATGAGATGTAATTTGTTTGTAAATAATTTAATTTATTTTTCAGAATTATTCTTATTAGCATTTTTTCATGTTTTTTAAATATACACTGCGGTGCAAAAGTTTATCTACACCTACCGAAAATTTTTTTAGAACGATATATCTCTGGGAAATTTCGTTTTCATAAAATGATTTTTTCACAATTATTAAGCGGAAAGTGCTCTTTTTAATAAGCCCTTGTGTTAAAAATAAGCACCAGAACTTTTTATGATATGCTCCTTTTTCCCAAACTAATTCGTTTTTTGTCGGTGCAAAAGTTTATCTACAGTTTGCAAAAATTGGATTTTTAGAAAAATAAATGGCAGAAAAAATACCAAAAAAATTCTGAGGATATTTCCATTGATACTGAGTTAAAAATAAAAAAGAACGAAGTCCGTAACAGTTTTCATCATCGAGATCTCAAATCACAAAAATCAACGGGAAAACGGGGTACAGTACTTTAAAAATTATCTTAACCCCCCAGGGCTTATATAAAAATTTTCTTTTGAGCTCATTTGAAAGCCCATAAAATTTACTATAAGATAGCCCAGGCTCAATTTTTTCGATAAAAAATTCATGGAGATAAGGGTCGAGGAATTTAATAATTTACATTTTTAGTCTAAACCTCCCAAAATACCCCACATTTTTACTCATTTTTAATTTCACAGTAAGTAACCCACACGTAAATACTATACATATTTTTTTACAAATACGAGACCAATGGTATTTTGTAGCAAATTTTATGGGCTTTCTAATGAGCCCAAAAAGAATTTTTGATACAGGCCCTAGGGAGCTAAAATATTTTTTGAAGTACTGTAACCCCATTTCCCTTTGATTTTTGAGATTTGAGATCTCGATGAAAAAATTAGCTAGAAATATTGTTCTTTCTGATTTTATATTCAACATCAATCGAAATGTCCACAGAAATTTTTTTGTGTTTTTATTGCCATCTATCTATCTAAAAATTTAATTTTTGCAAAGTGTAGATAAACTTTTGCACCGAAAAAAATTGAAGTAGTTTTGGAAACTGGTGTATATTTTAATAAGTACTGGGGGTTATTTTTAAAACTATGGCTTATTAGAAAGGGCACTCTTTACTTAATAATAATAAAAATAATCCATGTCATCTAAACGAATTCTTCACGAGATATACTGTTTTAAATAAATTTTCAGTCAGTGTAGATAAACTTTTGCACCGCAGTGTATGTGACAGTAAAACTAAAAAATAATTAAAAAGGAGGAACTAAAAAGTAAAGAGAAATCGAAGAACTCCCTAACAAAGAATTCTCCTACTTCAAATTTCAATTAAAAATTTTATTTCGGTTTTTAGTTTTGTTTGTTATTCTCGATTGTTTTTAATAAAATTGTTATTTTTAAACAAAAATAAATTCTTTTCCTCCCTTACCTTTCCCCTCCTCCTTCGCATTCATTTATTTCATTAATTTCTTCAAGTGGTGGTTCAGGACATATAGGTATATGTTTTAATTGAGGTTTTTCGACAATTTCTTCCATAAAAGAAGAAGGGGATGTAGTGTCTGTTGTTTGTTGTTGTTGGAATTCTTCTGTTTTTAATAAATCTGTTATTGTTGTAGAATATGTTGAAGAATCTTGAATAAATTAATTTTTGGGAAAAATGGAAAAGATTCAAATCCCTCCATAATATCCTCATCAGTTGTAAATAACAAATAAAATTTACAGGCCACAATTATTTTAAAAGCTCTGCAACAAAAACTACCCTATCTGCAAGAATGCTAATCCTTTTAGAGATAAAAAGAAGAAAATCAACAATTCAGAAAAAGATTTCCCTCAACGCATCATAAATTTCAAATAATTCTATAGATAACTAGAGATCGGTCAGCTTCGAGGTAGAGATACTAGAGAAACTAGAGATCTGGTACCAGCCCAAAGATAAATATATATCAGGGCAGCCCTTTTGCCACATTTGGGAGGCATTTTCCCGCTTTTTGCGAGCCCATGTCCCCTTTTGGTGATTTGGAAAAGGCCACCCTGATATGCATATACTATATCTCAAGAACATTTTCAATTAAACGATCACTTTCATCCTCTAAAAATTACCTGTTAATTCAATACTTTCTTCTGTTGTAGTTTTTGTTGTTTCTTTTATTTGACTTGTTGTTGGATATATTTTCTTTAAATTTCCCCCCTCTTGTTTTTCTTTCAAAAATTTATTTTCAGAATTATTATTATTTTTTAACCAAATAAATAAACAGGCAATACAAATAAAAATAAAAGCAGCCAAAACAATTAACAAAACAGGTAAACGATTAGAACGTTTACGCATTTTGCCTTTAATTAAATAATAACTTTGCCCAATTTTTGTAGAAATTCTGAAAACAAAAAAATTAAATTTTAGCGACTTTTAATTTAATATTTTTAAATTTTAGTCTAATAGAAAGTATTTTAATTTAAAATAATGAGAGCTGCCTACCAGGTCTGGAGAATTTTGAATAAAAAAGCGGCAGACAGCAGACGGAAGGCGGAAGCGGATCCAGCCCTGCCGCCTACTACCCTTATTTAATGTACATATAAATTATCCCTTAAAAGATATCCTCTTAAAAGAGGATGAGAGATATAAATTATAATTCCTCATTCTCGGATATATAAAAGTAAGGTGTGATTTCTCTCTAAAATTTGTTCTGTCTGTTCTCTATTTGACTCTACTATAATAATGGAATACAGTTACAAGTTATTGAAATCTGGGGGAGGCTTTATTGTCTAATAATAGGGAACTTTAAAAATATACAAATCAAAATACAATTTATTTTTTGATCAAAAACTAATAATTTTGGATAAAAATATCAATAAGCAAAGAAAATAAAAAAGTTTGGATTTAAAAATCCTTCCTGAAATCGATCTAGCAAGTAATAAAGTGACGCGCCACAGGGTTTAAGAAAAGGGGGCAATCTATCTAAAAATATATTTTTGTTTTTAGAGGATGAGTTGACGATTTTAAGGGCGGAAATTGGACAAAGAATTAAAAGTTTTTGTTGTTGATGAGTGGAAAGAGTATGGAAAGGTGATATATTAGATAGATTACTTGGATTGTGTGTTGCATACGAGGAGGAACACACAAAAAGAATTATGAGTGATCACCTCTCTCTTTTCTTGGTGGGCCCTGTAAATCTTCTTCTCACTTTTAAAAACATAAATCTCTCTCTTTTTAAAAAAAATCCTGAGATGACAAAAATATTAAGCCCCAAGTTTGGCTTAATAATAAACATTCTTTCTCCTTTAAAAGTTACACTCCTGCTTTATTAGATCATTCATTGCCTTTCCTATATTGTTGTACTGGAATGCATTGACAAAAGTAAAAATTCTGAAGGTTACGGAAGCCTATTCTTTTATAGAAACATGAGATTCAGTTTTTAGAACCTTTAAACCTACAAACTTTTACCTGCAACTAAAATAATCGAATGTTGCTCAGAGTTTTGAATAATTTTGAATTACAGCAAATTTTTTATAGAAAATTTATTTTAAAAAATGAGTGCCCGAAAATATTTTTTCTGGCCCTAGAAAAAACATTTCTTCTTCTTTTTTGGCCCTCATCATAACTTGCTCAGATTATTCCCTAAAACCTCCAACAGAGAAATATCTCTTTTCTAAATTAAATCCTTACTTTTCACTATTTGTACTTCTGTTCACCCCTAAAAATAATAATAAAACCCCCCTTCTTTTCTCTCTCCATTAATTTTTATATCCCTCCCCTCCCCTCCCCTCCCCCCCCTCCCATTAGTCTTTTTCAATCCTTCTCTTCTCCCTTCTTTTTATTCAACTCTCGAGGAGGGCGTCAGAAAACTGATAGATATATAACCCCCTTTAGGAGGTTCAGAGGGCAGTAAACTGGCCATTGGCCATAAATCCAGAAAAAGAGCAACAGAAGGTTGTTTCCTTCCTTTCCCCCACATGTTGGCCATGATGGCTTGGATTTAAAGCCAAAAATTTTCCCCAAAAAGTAAAAAAGCACGCCGAAAATTTTTAGATTCTTCTTCTTCTTCTTTACTTTTTTTCTTTTTACCGACTTTATTTTTAAAAATTAAAAAAAAAGTTTAAAAAAAGAATTGATGACAAGTTTGTTGAAAAGGGAAGGGGAAGGAAGGGATTTGTTGGATAAAATTAAAAAAAATAATAAAAATATTTATAACTTAATTTAATATTAAATTCTTAAATTTCAACAAAAATTTAAAAGAAAAAGATGGATTAGGTTAATAAAAAATTTTTTTAATAATTTGTTTGTCTTAATTGAAAGGAAGGAAGAATTCTTTGTTTAAATTTAAAAAATAAAATTTAGGGATTTTTGTGTCTCAGAATTTTAAGTTTTCAATGCTCGAAAATTTTAAGCATTTAACCGGATTTTGTATATCCAAATAAATCCATTTTATCTAATAATATTTTAGTGACTTTAATTTTTGTGAAACGCCAAAATGTGTCAGATATTAAAAACTTTCGAATAATGTAAAGAAAGGTATATTTTGGTGGTAAACACAAACATTATTTCTCACCCTTAAAGTACAGTTATTATTACAAAACCGAAGAACAAAGGATTTTTCTGTCCCAGAACCGAAAAGTTTAGGGAGAGTGGCATTCCGGATATTTGGGAAAAATTTGGGTTAAACACACTTCTACATAAATTAAATTAAATATTTTAACAAAAAATATCTCCTAATTTTTTAAAAATAATATTCTACTAAATTAAATTTAAATATATTTTTATTTAAAAAAACAAAAAAAAGTTTAAAAAAATACCAAAAAAATAAATCATTTAAAATTGCCTTTAAATTTTCTCTCTTTTTCAAATAATAATTTCCAGTCATTTTTCAACAAAAATTGTTTATTCTTGTTTATAATTGGAAGAGTTAAAAAACTATGTACAAATTCCCCTTCTTTTCTTCTTTCCTTTTCTCTCCAATATTTCTCAAAAATTCCCCAAGGTACTTTTCGGCACCATCTGAGCTTTAAAAACAAAAAAGTTTATTTTTGTTTGTTAAAAATATAAATACATATATTCCTTCTTTATCTTTCTAAAAAATATTTACTATTTTTTATGTTTTTAATATTTTTTAATCTTTTAATATTGGTAAGTTTATTTATTTATTTATTTTTAAATAAATTTAAAAAAATAAAAAGATTTATTTGTCATCAACAAAATGTTCTTCCTTTTCTTCTTCTCATTTTTCTAATATTGTAATTGAAAAAGTTAAAATTATTGTTGATTCTGTTAAAGTTTTTATTGAGGTAAATAATTATTTAGTTTATTTAAAAAAAAGAAGAGTTTTGGATTTTTAAAAATCTTCAAAGTTTTTTGCTCTAAAAAAAGCCAAGAAATTTGTACTGTCTAAATCCCCTCAAACATTTTTTAAAAGGAAAATTATTTAAAAGAAAAATTTTTTTTAATCAAAAAATTAAAAAAAAATTTCCACACTTCTTCTTTACAAATTATTTTTCCTCTTTTTATTTAAAAAAAATTAATTATTTTAAAAAGGATGAAAGTTTAAAGAAAAATTTAACTAATAAACCAATATGTGTTTTAGTTTTACATAGAGGAGACTGTAGAGGACCAAAAATTAAACAAAATGATAAAATAAGTTGGCAGGTAATTAATTACTAAAATATTAAAAAACAAAAAATATATACATAACTAATAATAATCGTTTAAGGACAAAACACCGTCCACATAAGACACTATCTACATAGTTACAGTATAAGAATTATCCTAACCAGTTGTTGGAAGCTCGTACCAAAAGTCGTACTCGTACCTGTGTACGAGTACGACCAAATTTCAAAATTCCACTTACTGATCCTAACCTCTAAAAATTCTACACAAAAAATTATTCATTAAAAAATTTTTAATTTAAAAAAGGAACAAATTTGTTTTTTGTGGAGATGTATTAGAACAACAGATAAATTAATTATGAAAATATTTGATTGTTGGGCAGGTAGTGAGACAAGTCCTATAAAATTAATTGACAATAATGGATATACTAGAGAACAATCTTTGGTTAATTTTTTAAATTATTTGGATTTTATTACCTCGAAATACATACAGTACGGTGCATATGTTTACGGACAAAGGCATTGAAAACATTTAATCTAATTTAATTTGAAAAAAATGAATTTATAATGAAACCCGATTATATAATTTAGATAGTATTTCTTATGCACTATCTAATGAAACATCAATTGGATCAAATTCATTTATGATTTACAAAAAATTACTCAAATTAATTTTATAACTTAAATTTTTGTGGTGCATATGTTTACGGACAAATTAAATAACTTCGAATATTCCTACTTTAGTTGGTGCAAAAATTCTACAAAAATTTCTGTAGTCATTTCCACCGATACAGAGTAGAAAAGCAAAAAGGACGAAGTCTTTAACTTACTTCATCATCGAAATCTCGAATCTTAAAAATCAACGGGAAATGGAGGTACTGTACCCCAAATTTCCGTTGATTTTTGAGATTCGAGATCTCAACGAAGAAAGAAGTTACAGACTCCATTCTTTTTTATTTTCTACTCAATATCAATGAAAATGTCTACGGAGTAGCGATAAATTTTTTTTGGCATACTATTCTGAAATTATTAGGTTTATTTAATTTGTCCGTAAACATTTGCACCACAAAAGTTAAGGTTATAAATTTATTTGGGTAATTTTTTGGAAATAAACGAATATGTTTCAGCCGATACTTGTATCGATAGATAGAGCATAAAAAATGCTATAAAAATTACTTTATACATTTCGATAAGTAATTCAATTTTTCGAATAAATTGGGTTTAAATTTTTTAAAGCCTTTGTCCGTAAACATATGCACCGTACTGTATATTCCTCTACAATTTATTATTTCCATTTTTTTCGTATTTTCTTTTATGGAAAGGAAAGAGATTTAATTTTAAATAAAACAAAAAATTTTTAAATAATTTTTAATACATATCTCCAATCTGTACTTATTTTAGGAGTACTTACAAATAGACTTTTTTGGTTAAAAATTAAATTTAACCTTAAAATTCTATAAATTTTGCACTGAAAAAGACTCATTTGTGAAAAAAATATAAGAGCGACATAAACGAAAATAAAATTTTTAATTGTAATTTTTAGTGTACAAACCTATATTTTGAAAATTAAATCAAAATATCTTAAATATTTTTTAATTCAAAAATTATTTTAATTAAAAAACCACAGATATCTACCCCAATATACAAACATTTCAATCATTCAGCATATTCTTTGGGAAGATTAACTGTTAGACTACAAGATTTGGATTATATTAGATTGTCTTGTTCTATTAAATTTTGCTCTGTTTGTAATTTGGATTGTAGAATAAATAATGTAAATAATTAAATAAATAAATATAGTTTAACCTCGAATACACTCAAAATTAGATAAAATCAAATTAAGATATTGTCTTTTAAAATCTGTTTGACTATTAGTGAGGGGAAAATGCCTAAGCTGCACCCTCTATTCAAAAGATATATCCTCAATTATAATATTTTCAAGGGTGTGTATCAGGGGTGGCGTTAGTCTCGTATTTTGAGGGGCTAGCGCCACCCTGGTGTTTATCTTAATTTAAGGGTTTACATATATTTTCTCTTTTACTAAAAAATTAATTTTTTAGACGCCAAAATTAACTCAAAATATGTCATTAGAAAAAATAGAAGATTGGTGGACAGAACAAATAAAAGAAGAAAAAAAGAATTTTGAAGAAATTTGTGAAAATAATAATGAAAATAATGGTGGGGGTGGAGGAATTAATAAAATTAAAATTTTTAATTTTATTTTTAATTTTATTTTCTGTTTTAAATTTTATATAAATTAATTATTTTTAAAATTTCTTTTTAATTTTTATTATTTAAAAGTTAAAATCTTTTTCGTTCGCTTATATGTACATATAATTAAGACATTAATTAATCCTTTATTCAGTCACCCCTCTTAATATATTCCAAGTCAACATTTACAGACAAAAGTCACCATCGGACCTACAAAAGCTGCACTATAGTTAACCGTCCACGTTCAAATGACCCCAACACGAAATGGAAAAAGTTTTTTTTCTTCTAAAGACTGCTCTGATTTGGAAGATTAAAAATAATATTGACCAAAATTGCCTTTTTTTACACAAATTTCATTCTATAATTTAATAAACGTTGACATTTTTTATTTTAATTTAAAATTAAATTACTTTAAAATAATTCACTTGAAAAATTTTTTATAAAAATGATAACCAAAATTTTGGATTGTATTTTTATTGGAGATATATTCTCTACCGCTGAAATAAATATTGAGAAATTTAAAGTTTTTTCAAAGGATTATTTCTAATAAATAAATATTTATTTATTTAGATCCAAATAGTTTTAACCCTTTCATCTCAACCTTTGGCTTTAGAAAAAAGAATAATTGGTGTTGATTACCAATTTATTTATATGTTAGACGTTGAAAATCAAAATATTTTTAGTTCAAATATTTTACAAAAAACATTTAATTTATTACAAAAATGTTGGGAAAATAAACAGTCAATACTTGTACATTGGTAAAGTTTTTAAAAGAAATTAATTTTAAATTTTTTTATTAAAGTGAAAGTGGAATAAGTAGATCAGTCACAATTATTATTGCTTTTTTGATGAAAAAAAATAATTGGAGTTATCTAAATTCTTTTAATTTTTTGAAGGAAAAACATTCAATTGCGAGGTTTTTTCGTTAATTTTTAATTAAGAAATTTTGTGGGGGAATTTTTAATTTCTGACTTTGTTTTTTAACAAGGAACAGAAAGACTGAAAAATTCTGTACAGTTTTTAGTTTGTAATTTTTAAAAATATGTCGGCTGGTTTTTAGTGTTCGGCAAGGGTTTTTTTCAAATCTGCCGACTTGATATTTTTTGGGTATTTTTGATATTGAAAAAAATTTATTTGTCTCGAACACTAATTATTTTAAAGCTCTTCATCTTCTTCAAAAAATTTCTTTTTTAATTTAAAGCCCAAACAATTCATTTATTAAACAACTCGAATTATTTGAGAAAATTGGATTTATTACAGACCCAATTAATTTAAAAAAATCAGAAATATTTAGAGATTTTGTTGCTTCTAATGGATATTTATTTGAATTAAATGGTTTTTATTTTAAATGATTTTTAATTTTAATTTTAAATTTAGATAATACATCAAAATATAATTTGGAAGAATCTTATTTATTGTCTTCAAAAAAATTTTCTTGTAAAAAATGTAGAAAAATTCTCTTTTTTGATTTTAATGTTTTAAAACATTTTTCTGATAATAAAAATATTTTTTGTGAATTTGGATATTTAATTACTCCAATGGTTTGGATGGAGTTGGATGAATTAAAGGGAAAGGTTTTTTTTAATTATTAAATGCTTGGGAATTTTTGAAATTCTAAAAAAGAATATTTCCAACAGTGTTATCTTTTAATTGAAGGGATCACTTAAAAAAGTTTTCGTTACAAGATTTTGAATTTTTATAGACAAATGTCCAATAGATTTTTCAGAATCGCAGTCAAGTATTTATTTTTTGAGAGATTTTTCCCAAGTTTAGAGGCCAGATTTAGATCGGAGTTTCGAAAATTAGTCAGATCGGATTTCGGATATCCCGGCCCGTCCATAGTCTGAATAGAGGAAAACGAGGAGACAATTATTTATAAGGACATGTTTCCTAGTTTTGAAGAAAAACTGGTTAACTTTTAACAAGAAAATAGGAATTTAGAGGAACTAAAACTAAAAATTTATTTTAAAAAATTATTATTTTTAATTTTATTTTTTAAGATAAACTGCCCAGGATGTAACATAAAACTTGGTTTCTAATAATTTTATTTTCAATTAATTTCCCAAAAAAAATTTTTTAAAGGAACTTTTAATTGGGATGGCCAACATTGTGTTCAATTAACGGAAAGTCAAAAATGTGGAAAATTTAGTAAATTAATTTTTTTTATTTTAAAAATTAATTTTTTTTTTTAATTTTTATTTCAACCGTGGATACACATACAAAATTCAAAAATTGATGTTTTTAATATTAAATAATTATTTAATTTGAAGACAATTTTTCTTGAATACTCGAAAGTCTTGCAATTAACCCAGCCATTTGAAGTTTTGTTGACAAACCTTGAGCTACTATTGAATGACATTTTCCAATTTCCTTTAAAAAGTTTTGTTTTATTTAAAAATTCTTTAGTAATTCTTTTAAATTTTGATTTTTTTTCACCTTAACCGAACCGAAATAGCCGAAAAATTCGGTGGTTAAACCGACGAACCAATTGATTGGGTTTTTTAGGATTGAAATAAAAAATTCCAAAAAAAGACTAAAATAACAAAAATCAAAAGAATTACGATTATTTGTTTAATAAATTAAAATATTCAATTAAAAATTTTAAAATTTACCATAATAAATTCAATACGTAATGCTTCTGGAATGTCAGCAATTTTCTTTAAAAAAATTTTTTAAATTAAATAAATTAAAGTCGGAATTATGAGGGTATTTATAATGTTGATAAGGAAAATTTCCCTATAAAACTCCCCTCTCATAACCGACTAATAGATTCTCTTTCACTATTTACTAACAAGGAGAGTTTGCGAGGTGTCCGAGCTAAAAACGGTCGAGACCGGGCTCATTCGATAGAGAATGTGCCCTTTGTAGCAAGGACACACTCACCACTACACCACCGCGCCAACAAAATAAAAGCATTATTTAAAGTTTATATTTGAAGGGGGGAAAATATGCCAAATTTTGGGACTTTGGAAGGCCATATCTTGGCCAGATCAAAAAACGGGCAAAAACGGCAAAAAATCCTTGCTACAAAGGGCACATTCTCTATCGAATGAGCCCGGTCTCGACCGTTTTTAGCTCGGACACCTCGCAAACTCTCCTTGTAAGGAGAATCCCAACTAGAGATCGGACTTGGAGTGTCGTACGGGAATCGAGATCTCGTCTCAGTCAGGTCTCTAATTAAACTTTAACCAAAAAATTAAAAAAAAACAAACAAACCACATTTCTAAACAAAATTCCAACCAAATCTTCAATAGAATATCCAGAATTGTAAATATCTTCAATAATGTCAAAAGCTTCCTTTGTTTCTCCATCAACACAATGTTGAAATATTTCTTTTATACTACTTGGATTTGGCTCGTCACAAACTTTGTAAACAAATTCTTTTGTAATCTTTCCATAACTTGTTGCTGTACATTGTAAATTATTTAAAGCCTAAAAAACAGAAAATTTAATTGGAAAGTTTAAAAATTGGTTAGAAAAGTGTAAATTTCAATCAAAATTCAAACAAAAGGTATATGGATATGTGGATATAAACTAAAATTGTTTCCAGACTGGATAAGAGCCTAAGAAAGATTTTACAGAACAAGCACCATAAATATAAAATTTCCCAAATTTACGGTCGGGATACACAAGCCCTGAATTAATAAACAAATCAAAAATATAATCTAAATTCTCAACCAATTACTTTTACATATTAAAAATACATTTTAAAAAACCTGTCTCATATCTCCTTGTGATGTATGAATAATTGCTTGAATACCTTGTTCTACAAATTTAACATTTTCTTGTTTACAAATATAATGAATTCTTTCCAAAAGTTGTTCATCACTTAATTTTGTGAATCTTACAATTGCACAACGAGATTGTAGAGGTTCTGAAAATTTTTAAAAATTTTTATTTAAATAAAATTTTTGTCTAGAAAGAACTAAAATAAAAGAAGATATTAAATTATGATTTAATAACTCCAATGTAAAAATTTTTAATTAAATATTGTTTCTATAATTTTCTTTTGAGGAAAATTGTTGTATTTCTTGTTCAAGAACTTTATTTGACTATTTTGTAGGCTCCGAAATTTTTTAAGGAAATTTTTAGTTCAACAACAATCAAAAATTAATTCTCAGATAGGAAAATAAAATCAAAATTAATTAAATACCAATTATTTTGTCTGATTGATTACAGGCAAATGCAAATCTTGTAGTCGAACTGAAAATCTTTAAAAAAAGTTTACAAAAAAATAAAATTAAAAACCTCCATAATTCTACGTAATGCTTGTTGTGCTCCTTCAGTCATACTATCAGCTTCATCCAAAATAACAATTTTCTGAATATTATCAGGCAAAGTTACTTTTGTTGAAGCAAAACGTTTTATTCGTTCTCTAACTACATCAATACCTCTAAAAAAGAAAGAAAACTTTAAATATTAAAAAATTGGTGTAAATAATTTAGTGTGGGTATCGAAAAATAAATGGCAGAGAAATTTTAGAAATTTCATCCATTTAAATTTGGATAAGGATTTAAAAACAATAGCATTGATTCCAGTCAATTTTCAATAATTTCACAATCTTCTCCGGGAAATTTACCCAAAAAAACCCCAAAAATTTTGACTTATGATTTGTTTACAAAATAGATCACCAAAAATAATCAGAGACGAAAAATAAATTGAACTCTTAAGATATGAAAAAAGAAAGATTTCGCTAACATTAATTTGGCAGCAATAAGAAAAATACTCAAAAAATTCTTTAAAAAAAATTTTACCGTTCATCACTAGCATTTAATTCAAGACAAGCATCCTTTACTTTATCACCAAGCATATCTCTAGCCAACGCCCAAATACTTGTAGTTTTCCCACAACCGGGAGGTCCCTAAACAAATAAATTTAAAAATTATAATTTAAATTAAATACAAACCGAAATAATTAAATTGGGTATATTCCCAGTTTTTGAAAATTCTTTTAAACGTTTAATAATTTCTGGATTACCAACAACATCATCAAGAGTTTTTGGACGATATTTTTCAATCCTAGTAATTTAAAAATAAATAGGTATATAAAATATAGAAACATACCAAGGAGTATTCATAGAAGGCACAATAAGTTTTAAATTCAAACTTTGATAATCTTAAATATTTCATTTTTATCAAATTTCAGGGCCCAAAAAAATTCAAAAAAATTTCAAAAATTTTTTTTTTCAAATTCCAGGGCCCTGTGAAATTTAAAAAGCGTAAAAAGTGAAAGCGGAAATGTATAAATGACAAAAAATAAGTCGAACTTTCGGGGGTCGGGGTTTTCGGGGTTGGGAATGTCGGGGTCGGGGTTAGTCGGGGTCGGGGCGCAACCCTGATTAAAAAGAAAAATGATTAAAAAGCGGCGTATCAGTAAAAAAGATTCTTAAAAGATCGATGCGGGTAAAACGTGTCAAAATGTCGAATTCTTAAAAGATCGTTAAAAGATTATCTTACTTGTCAAAACATCGACTCGGCTAAAAGTGGTTAAAACGTCGATTGTTTACTTTAAATGCTTTTATAGGGGTACAGCCCGATTAGGCGCGGGCCGACTAGGCGCGACCGATTAGGCGCGACCGATTAGGCGCCGGCCGATTAGGCGCGCGGCCAATTAGGCGCCGGCCGATTAGGCGCCAAGCTTTATTTTATATATTCGATTATAATCAATTAGAATGGTCCCATCGATCATCAAATGGGACAATTCTGAATTATAAAACAAAAATTTTACAAAAAAATTTTCCAAAATTAAAAAACAGGCCTAACTAGTTTACGTACCAGACTCAAAATCAGCTCGATTGGATGATTCTGAACAAAGTTATGACCAACAGAATCTTCGCTGGTAAAACTGTTTTTGTGCTGCTACGGAGGGTAGGCCGGGCATGGTCTTCGCTACACGATGGCCGTGCTTCGCTGCGGTCGTGCTCGCTTCGCTCGCGGCGACCGTAGCGAAGCGGCGGCCGTCGTTCCGCTCGACATGCCCGGCTTCCTCCACAACGGCAAAAACTTTTTTCCGCAAAAGACTTATGTGAGGGTGGTGTATTTGCCGGGATTATCCGAATCTATCTATTTTCAGGATTTGGAGGAGCATTTTGTTCGATATTTAATTTAAAAGCTTGGCGCCTAATCGGCCGGCGCCTAATTGGCCGCGCGCCTAATCGGCCGGCGCCTAATCGGTCGCGCCTAATCGGTCGCGCCTAGTCGGCCCGCGCCTAATCGGGCGTGTCCCCTTTTATAGGCTTAATTTTTTCTCGACAAAATTTTATTTCTTCAACTTTATGTTATAAAATTTTATTTTGAAAAACAAAATTTTAATAAAATTTTATTGAGTATTAATTTTTTAATTTAAAGTATTAAACTCTTTTAATTGTTCTGCTAATTTTTTTAGACATATTTAGGTAGATGTTTTATCTTTTAAAACTTTATTTATTTCTTCTCCCATTTTTTGTTCACCATTGCTCAGCCGATGTAATTGGTTGTGAGGGTTTCGTGAAATCTACTTTTCAAATTAATTTATCTGATATAAAGGTTTATTTTTTTTAATTTTTTATTTAATAAAATTTTAAGGTAAAACTATTTACTTCCCAAGGAAATTTAAAATATGAGGCAGAATGTAATCCGCAAAATGGATATTTTCTAATTCCAATTTACAATAAAGGAAAATATTTGGTTAAAATTATTGCCCCTGATGGATATATTTTTGGTATTATTTTTAATTAATTTTTTTTTGAAATTTCATCTTTTAAAGAACCAAAATTTTATGAAATTGAAATTGGCAGCAACGGGGGATGTTCTGAGGAATTAAATTTTAATTTGGCTGGACTTAAAATTTCTGGCAGAATTTTAAATGGGGAAGATTCTTCTTTGGTTTTGGGTCTTTTTAAACAAGAAAATGGAGAATTAGTTGAGAAGACTATTGTCGATAAAGATGGAAATTATAATTTTGTTACTTGGCCAGGTATTATTTAAATATAAATTATCTTTAGTTTTTAGGGTCGAAATCTGCCTCTTACTAAAATTTTCTTAAATTAAGAATTATTCGATCTATAACCCTTGTTAAAAATATTTTTCACAGACGCACGGAGGGGTAAAAAATCTATTTCCCTTGAGTTCTAAGGAAATGAATTTTGTTTTTTGATAAGCTTGTATATTCGAATTTTTAAGGAAAATATGTTATTTCACCCTTCAGTGGTTCTACAAAATGTTTAAGCCAAGGCAGCATTAAAATTGAGGTTGGAACAACGCCATTTATAATAAAGCCTGACTTGCGAATTGAGGGTTATAGTTTAGAAGTTAATGTTGTGGACGAAAAAGGAGATCCATTTTTATCGACAAATGTTGTTTTACAATCAGACAATCAAATTAAGGTTTCTGTTTCGTTTTTATAAAAAATATTTTAAAAAATTTTTTTACTTTTTAGTTTGAAAATCTTCCTTTGAGTGCTGAACAACCGATTACCATTAATGAAGGTCAAAAATGGTTCTATAAATTTAATACCAATTCTTCCGGCTCTACTTTAATTAATTGTTTGCCTCCAGGAAAATACATTATTAATGCTGGACAAAAAGTCTTAAATTTTGGTGAAGCTAATTTCCAAGAGGAATCTGTTGAAATGAATTCTAAAACGACGAAGGTATTTTAATTTTGTAAATTAGTTTATTTCATTAAAATATAATTTCTGATGCAACAAACATTAGAATTTATATTTTAATATTTATTACATAGATGTAAATTCTGTTATTTCTGAATAGCCTGCTATACTTACAATTAATTAAATTAGAAATGTATATGATTTTTGTGGCGTCTTATTTTTCTTTCGATTTTCTTTTATATTTTATATTAGATGGAGACAAATCAAAATAATTTAGGTCACAATATCAGTTAAATCTTTTAACCTTAATGGTATTGTATTTACTGCCAAACAAGCACCTTTGCAAAATGTAACAATTAAATTGGATGGGGAATTTAATACAATATCTGACGAAAAAGGAAAATTTGTTTTGGCAAATGTTTCTCCTGGAAAGCATGTTTTGGCTGTGGAAAAAGAACATTTTGAATTTAATGAATTAAATTTTGATGTTTCTTCAAAAACAAAAAAATTAATTAAATTCTTTCCAAACAGGTTTTGATTTTAATAAATTAATTTAAAAAAAATTTGTAATTTAGAATAGCAGTTTGTGGACAAATTTTGTCTGCCGATGAACTAGAAAAAATTTCTTTTAAAGTTTATTCCCTCGATGAAAATATTTTTATTGATGGTGTTGTAACAAATTTTGAAGGGAAATTTTGTAAGATGCTTACACCAGGAAAATATACAATTACGGTTTTTATACATACAATTAAATTAATATTAAAAATTTTTTTAGCCAATTTCTAAATTGCTTCTTTCACCAAGTAAAGTGGAAATTGATTTAAAAGAAGAGCCGATTCTCGAATTAAAATTTACTCAACACAAATCAAAAATTAGTGGAACAATCAATTGTTTTAAAAAATGTGGAAAAATTTCAATAAAACTTTTTGATGAACAGGGAGAAATTGTGGATGAATTTGTTGATACAAAAGGGGAATATTATTTTAGTGACGTGCTACCATCAAAATATACAGGTTTTTAAATTTTATATTAGTTAGGCTTTGTGCTCAAACAGTTCAATTTTGTATTTGGGTGATCTTTAATTTTATATCTCCGCGAAACGCTGTTTCGAAATTTCTATCCTTGCGTTATTTTTCTTTACATTTCGAAGATTTTGGAAACACTTTCAAGTTCTATATTTTAACTCTCCAGTTTTGAAACATCTCCCATGCTTCCTCATCATTCCAAAATATCGAATAAAAATTAATATTTTTTTTAAAATTATCCCAATTTTCAGTAAAAATCTTTGACGAACAAAACTTTTTGTGGGTTGAAAGTGAAAAGAATATAATTGTTGAAGGTGATGATATTATAGGGTTAGACTTTATACAAAAAGGTTATTTCTTGGAAATTAAATCATCAAAATCAGCACTTTTGGTTTGTTTTGATAATTTTGTTTCGAATAATTTTCTTTAAAGAAATATTGGCCTGATACAAAAGAAAGCCCAAAAAATGAAGAATTTCAATTAAAAGAAGGGGAAAATAAAATTTATTTTAAAGAAGAAAATAAATATTATTTTTCAATTGAATCTTGCCATGAATTTAGAATTGAAGGGATTGATGAACAACAAAAATATTTTAATATTCCTTCAAATATTCCTTTAATATTAACTGCTGTAAGTTCTTCTGTTTCTACTTTTGTTCAAACTGATGTTGAAGATAATACTCTTGAAATGAATTTAAGGTTTCTTTTTGAATTTTATAAAGGAAGGTTTTTGTAGGGGTACCCTGTCCATCCGAAAGCTATAAATTTATTAAAAATAATATTGCAAGTTTTGTTTTTTTTTCGCATCTCGATGAGATGAATCGAACAATATAAGGATGTGCGAGATCACTGCGTCTAAATGAAGTTATTGTGGTGAGGTGGCCTGCTCCTTATTTGAATTTTTCTAACTAATTCTTTGACTTAATCTTAAATTTAAATTTTTTTCAGAGAGAAACCAACCAATGAAGAACAAAGTCTTCAAAAAGTTTATTCAACAAATAAAGGCAAAATGTTTCTCTTTTCATTAAATAATTCTAAAATTGGAAATAAATATCAATTTATGCCAAAATCTAATAAACTTTTGTTTATGCCAAAATTGGTGGATTTTGAATTTAATGGGGAATGTGAGGGTGTAGTAGCTTCATTTAATAGCCAAATTGGGAAATTTATTAAAGGAAAAGTGGAACCTTTAGTTGAAAATGCTTTTGTGAAAGCAATACATAAAACAGATGAAAGTGATGTGTTGACAACTAATACAGACAATAAAGGATTGTTTAGGTTGGGAATTTTAATTTTTAAATTTATTTTGTTGTAATAACTATATTTTTGAGAAATAATTTTATGTTTTATTTTTTAACTCCATGTTTTTAGTTCCTTGTTTAGGTACCAATATTTTGCCTTTTTTATACAAAATCTTAAAAATTAAAAAATTTCAGTATTGGACCTGTTTGGAAAGAAGAAGATTTTTCTATTGAAATAATCAAGGAAGGCTTTATTTTTGCTAAAATGCCTGACTATCCCAACAGCTTTACTTCAATTAAATTAACACAACTTCGAATACAATTTTTGGAAGAAAAGACAAATAAACCTCTTTCTGATATTTTAGTTTCGATTAGTGGAGGATCAAATTTTCGTTCAAATAATATTACAAACGAAACTGGACTTTTGAAATTTATTGGATTGGTTGGGGATTTTTTAAAATTAATTTTGAAAAAAATAATTCTTTTAAAGATGCCTGGATCTTATTTTATTCGTCCAATTTTACAAGAATATAAATTTAATTCGAGTTCTTTTTCTTTTCAAATAAATGAAGGAGAAGAAAAAGAATTAATTTTGGAAGCAAAAAGAATTGCTTACAGGTTTTTAAAATTTTAAATGAATTTTAATTACTCTTATTATAGTGCTTTTGGAAAAGTTTCAACAATTGGAAGTAGACAATTTAAATTTCCAATTCGTGTTGAGGCTATTTCTGTTGGATGTGAAAATCATCAGGTTTTTTTTAATTTTTGTTGATTTTTTCTTAAAATATGGCTAAAAGTCAGAGTATTGTTTTTTTGTATCTATTTGAGGCGGGCTGCCTAATAATAAGCTGACAATAAGCTTCATCTATTCAACTATTTCTTTCTTTTATTGTTTCTGAATTTCAATCATTCTTTTTCAATTTTATTTTTTTAAGGAAGAAGATTTGATAGATCAACGTTCTGGTGATTTTCGAATTAAAGGACTTAAACCTCAATGCAATTATCAAATTTCTTTAAAAAATTCTGAAGGAGGTGATAGTATTCCTGCCTTTCCTTCTTTCTTTAATTTCATTGTAATTTTTTAAAATTTTTATTAAAAAAAATTTATTTTTTAAAAATTTTTAGGTTGGAACAGAAAATAAAAATGATATAAATTTTTCAATTTTACCTTCTGACCGTCCATCTCCAATAGTTATTGGAGAAATTGAAATTGAGCAAACAAAAAATTCTAATGGATTTAGAGTTGTTTTATTAGAAGATAATAATGCAATTAATGAACAATTAATTAAAAGTCATTCTTCTTTATTTGTTTTTAATCTTCCTAATTATAAACGGGTATTTTTTTTAATTAATTTTTTTAAACTTTTTAAAGGAATATTCAATTATTGTTGATTTAATTGATTCAAAACAATCAAAAATGGATTCTGTTTCTGTCAATTTCTTTGCAAATTCCCAATTTAATTATGTTAGGTAACAATATTTAAAAAATTTTTTAAATTAAACAATAGGAAAAATTAGGTAATGTAGGTTTTTGTCCTTTTTTATTAATTTTATTTTCATCGGCTACACAATTTTGGGGAGTCTTAAAAATTTTTATTAAACAATCCTCAAAATTCGTTTTACTTGTGAAAATCAAATTTGATATTTGAAATGTTTAAATAGTTTAAATAATTATCATCGTTTCGGTAATTAGTTACTAACTCACATCAGTCGGTAGAATACCTGAATGTAATGAGAAATTCCTGACTGGTTGTGGCTTAACTTTTGTCCAAACTTTAAGATTATTAACAAGTCTTATAAAAAATCTAAAATTTTAATTTAGAATTTTACCACAATCTGAACATCGTAAAACTGACTCTGATGTTAAAGCAAATTATTTTGGATTAGCTTTTATTTTGCTTTTAACTTTGGCTTTTTTAAATCAATCAAAAGTATTTTCTTTTTAAAATATTTATTTTAATTAATTTTTAGGTGAAATTACTGTTTGAATATATTCTTTTAATTATACAAAATTTTGTGAATAATAGAGGAATGTCTTCAATTAATTATTTAATTGCTGATGATAAAAAAAGAAAAATTAAAAAATAGAAAAAGATTTTTAGTTGAATTTTTAATTATTTTTGTTTATTTTTCGGGTATTTTTTGAAGATAAAATTTGATTTTTAAAAATATTTTTTAAATAAATTAATATTTATTTTTTATATATTTATTTATATTTTAAAATATTTTAAAGAAAAAAAATTCCAGAAAATGTTCAACAGAAAGGATCGTCTTCAAATAACCAAAAAACTTAAAAACAAAAGAAATGGACATCAACAAGGAGGATATATTAATTGGCGTTTTTGTATGAATTTTTAATTATTTTTGTAAAAATTATTATTTAGTTGAGATTAAAAAAAATGAGTAAATTCTTTAGTGGTTTATTAATTACTGATAAAAATGATTGATTATTAACTAAAAATGTTTTGTTAATTTTTATCAATAATTCAAATAAAAATAAAAGTTTTTTTTTTCATTTTAGTACATAAAAAGAAACAACAAGAAAAGCAAGAGAAAACAATTGAAGAACTTGAACAAAAAATACAAATAAAAGAACAACAACCTAATTGTAGAAGAGCAAATCAAAGTATTAAGTTATTTAAATTAATTAATTTTGGGAGAGATTACTCGAAAATTAATTTTTAGAGACTTGGTATTCATTAAATGTAGCTTTGCCTGGTTCAATTTTAAATAATGTCCAAACAAAAGAATTAAGGGCTTATATTACTGGAGAGGTTTTTTTGTTTTTAATTTTAAATTTTAATTTTTAAAAATAGTTAGCCCGTAGTTTTGCTATATTTTGTGTTGATGAAATAATTATATTTGATGAGACAGCGAAAATAAAACAAAAACAAATTGATGAATATAAAGAAGGAAATTGGAGCGGACAAGACCCTATTAATTCAAATAATTGTGAATGTAAGTTGTTTTAATTCTCAAGCCTCTTATCCTCTGAATTTACAGGGGAGTAATGGAAAATATATTTTAGTTAAGATATCTTTTTGAGGGTTAACCATAAAACAAACTTTGTCAAAAAATCTCGTTCTTTTTAGCACAAAATAAAAACTTCTTAATAGAAGAGCAAACCTCGTTTTCTTTAAAAATTTTATTTTTTAATAGAAAAAGGAATATAATTTTCTTCATTTTTATTAAATTGTTTTATTTTAGGTAATTTATTTATGGCAAAAGTTTTTGAATATTTGGAATGCCCACAATATTTGAGAAAAAATTTTTTTCCGATTCACAATTCTTTACAATTTGCTGGTAAATTTTGTTTTAAATTTTAATCTTATTTTTACTTTTTAAAAGGTCTTTTAAATCCACTAGATTCAATGCATCATTTAAGAGCAACAGATATTGATTTACCTTATAGAGAAGGAATTGTTTTGGAAAAGAGTTCAAAAAAAGGACAAAAATGCTTTGTTGGACTTGAAAGGGTAAAAATTAGGAAGGGGAGGGGGAAGGATGATCTTGATTGTACATACACTATTGGGGACGTAAAACTGGGATGTACATAAAATTGAGGGCAACGCTCTAATGTTCACTCAATTTTAAAATACGTTAATGAGGAGTGTAGTGTACGTTACTTATTTTAACCGTTACTGTATTTTCGTTTTTGTTATTTTTTAATTGAATTTTAATGAGAAAATGGGAAGATTAAACTTGGTGGAGTATTATAAAACTTTTTTAAAATTAATTAAGGATGTTACTTTAATAAATTGTGAACAAAATCTAATACCTCCAAATACAAGAGTTACTTTAAAAATAGAAGAGCCAGAAGGGTCTAAAAAACTGAAAGGCTACCTAACTAGTCCAAAACAAATTCGAGAAGAAGCTGGAATTTATTGGGGGTATTCTGTTAGGTAATTATTACTAATTAATTTTTTAATTTCTCTTTTTTAAATTAAGAATAGCAAAATGTTTGTCTGAAGTTTTAAATTCTTCTTATGATTTTGTTATTGGAACATCTGAAAGAGGAACTCCAATTGAAGAAATTAATATTCCAAAAAAGGAAGGATGGTTAGTTTGTTTGATGGAGAAGAAAATTTGAAATATTTTTTTAAATTTTGCAATCAAATCTCTCATGTAAATACACCAGGGCTGTGCCGAAAGCGATTTTAAAAATCGAAAGAAAAGAGTCTAAAAAACGCGAAACTGGAACACTCCTGAAATACACCCAACATCGTTTAGCCTCAATTTAAGATTTTTAAATTTAGTTGACTTCTAATTGGTGAAAAGCCTTTTAAGTAAGCGTTATCCCTCCCCCATCCCCCCCCCATTTAAGCTAAGTCTCATTTTTAAATACTTTTTTTCAAGATTTTAATATTCCAATATTTTTTTGTTTTTAGTTTTTTAAATGTTAAATTTTTAGGGTGTATTTACGAGTGGAGCTTGATTATAATAATTTTTATATATTTTTTTAAAATTTTAGCAAAATTCTGATAGTTTTTGGTGGATTAAATGGATTAGAATCTGCAATAGAATCAGATCCAAATATTAATTTAAATAATCCAAAAGATTATTTTGAAAATTATATTAATTGGTTTTTTTAATTTTAAATTTTAAATTAATTTTTTTTAAAGTTTACCAGATCAAGGAAGTAGAATAATTAGAACAGAAGAGGCAATACCTATTTGCCTTACAGCTTTGAAATATAAATTAAATTGTTTAATTTAAAATTTTGTTGTTTTTGTTATTGTTATTTTTTAAATTTATATTTTAGTAGTAAATGTTTTTATTTGTATATTTTTTTGTTTAAAAAAGTAAAAAGAGTTGTTTAATCTTTTATTTATTTTTTATTTTTTCTGCTTATAATTTTTTTATCCAAAGAAAATAAGGGAAAATTTTCTGGCATTTTCCTGACTGACTCAGAATTTTTTTTCAAAATTTCTGAGTGATTGGGAAATTTTTGGGTAAAATTGTCGTTTATGTGACTCATTTTCATCTCTCCCAAAATGGTTCTATAATTGTCTCCGACATAAAATCAGCTTATACTTTCTTGACACACTATGTAGTAAGAAGGTGTCTATTGCGATAAATACTCTGTGTTTGGAAATTAGACATAGTATGATTGGCTTTGGGGGAGATAAAAACATGTTCAAATAAACGATAACAATTCTAATCATTTTTATTAATTATTTACAAATTTTAGATTTTTTAAATTTATTTTAAAAAAAATGAAAAAAACAACAACAACAATACTTTCAAATTTATTTTATCGTCAACAGTCTCCAATTTTTTTAGTAAATAAAAATTAATTTTTATTTAATTTAAATTTTTAAAGAGATTTTTATCAACAAAAATTCCGAGTAAAAATTCATTAATTAAATTACCAACAATTAAAAAAGTTTCTGGGGCTGTTGGGGCATTAACTTTATTATATTCTTTAAATATATTACCTGAATGGAGACAATTTAGAGATCCAAAACATTATTATTCTAATTTATCGGTAAGTTTGTATTTTTGGGGGGATATTCTACCGGATAGACAATTCACCGAAAAAGAATTTTTTGAAGAATAAAATCCTTTTAAACTTAAAACAAGCTATAAAAAAATATTTTTCATTAAAAAATCTTTTTAATTAACGAGTCAGTTATCGAGACCCCCCCCCCCAATATTCCATTCCCTTCATTAATTAATTTATTTATATTCCAGATTAGAATTCAATGTTCACCTTTAGTTTCATTTCTTTCTCCAAAGTAAAAATTAAATTATTTTTTATTAAATAAAGGGACTAATATGTAGCTAATACACTATTAGTTAATTTAGCGGGAATTCTTTGTAAATAAATATAAAAATCGAAAGGTTTTCGTTCCCCCAACGATTAAAAAAATTTTTGTCAAGTTTTTGCATTTAGAACCACCACACGAACAGAAAGGGGTCTTCCTTCTCTTATTTTTATTTAAATTTAAAAATTAAAACAAAAAATAATAACTTTTAGAGCAGGAATTCTTTGTAATTTAAAAGTCTCAACATTTTTGCGTGAATATATTTATGGTTTATATGTTTGGTTATATAACTGTAATATGGAAGAAGCTAAAGAACCTTCTTTATTAAATTATTCAACATTTTCTGAATTTTTTAATAGAGAATTAAAAGAGGGGATTAGGCCAATTACTTTATATTCTGATTTGGTTAATCTTTGAAAGGAAAAATTAATTTTTAATTTATTTTTTTAAAGGTTTCACCAGCAGATGGAACTGGTAAAAATAATTAAAAATTAATTTTATAAATTTTTTTGGGGTTTTTTAAATATTTAAATATTAATAATCAAACCTCATTATTAAAGAATTTATATTTTAAATTAAGTTTATCCAATATTATTTTGAGGGTATTGATTTAAATTTTAAAAATAAATTAATTTCTCTTTTTTTATAAAAAAGTTCTGCATTTTGGCAAAGTTATTGACGGACGTATTGAATGCGTAAAGGGGCAGGATTATGAAATAAATGAATTTCTTGGTCCATTTAATATAAATAAAATAAAGGAGAATAATTCCCTATATCAATTAATTATTTATTTGGCCCCCGGTGATTATCACGGTAATTTAATTTTTTTGAAAAAAAGATTTTTTTAAATTTTTTAAGCTTTTCATTCCCCAACAAAATGGTTAGTAAAAATAATTTTTTTAATTTTATAAAAATTTTTTTGAAGGAAAATTTTTGAAAAAACTCATTTTCCCGGTTTTTACCAATCTGTCAGGCCAACAAATTTATTAAAAAATCCAAAATTGTTTTGTCAAAATGAAAGAATTGTTTTGACTGGAGAATGGAAATTTGGGTATTTTTCGGTAAATTTATTAAAAGAAAATTAAAAAAAATTTTTTTAATTAAAAATAGATGACTCCTGTAGCAGCAATGTTTGTTGGAAATATTGTTATTTTTGATGTAAATTTTAGAGATTATTTCTCTTATCTCGTTATAGTCTAAAGTAAGCCTATAGGGTGAAAAACTAAAATGATTATAAATATATATGTGGGCGAGTGGATAGAGGGGTAAATTAAATGGGGGAGTGAATTAAACTAGAGATTAAATCTTTACATTAAATTCATTCTACATTTATTACTGAGAGAGGCAGAGTTTGACTGAAATTATTATTTCCGATTTCCGGCACCTTGTCATTTCCTATCTCTGCTAAGATGGTAAAGCTTTGGCAAACTTATTTCAATGGTTAACTAAATTAAAGAGTCAGGGAGGGGGGGGGGGGTATACTACTATTCTATAACGAGATTCGAGTTTAACAAAACAAAAAAATTTAAAATAATTTTTTAGGAACAAGAAAAGAACAGAAAATTAAAAGAAAATACAAAATTTGCAATAAAAGGATTGTCTGTAAATCCTGGAGAAAAAATTGGAGAATTTAGAATGGGGTCAGCAATTGTTTTGGTAATTAAATAAATTAAAGAATATTTCTCTCTAAAAGTAATTTTTTTAAAAAGATTTTTGAAGCTCCAAAAAATATTAATTTTTGTATAGAAGCTGGACAAAAACTTAAATATGGACAAAAATTGTTAATTTAAAAAAAGAATATTTAATTATGTTTTGTTTTGTTTATTTTAAAATTTTTTAGAAATTTTTTGTTAAAAATAAATTTAAATAATTTTTCTTTATATTGAAAATTTAGATACAAAAGGTTTATTGAACTCATAAAAACTAAATTAAAGCCTAGTTTTTGTATTATTTTTTAGACATTTTTGATTGTTTAAAAGAGCAAAATAAATATTTATTTTGTTTATTTAATTCTCTAATTTTTTGCAAATGTGTATATTAAATTACTTATTTAATAAAACTTTTAGATTTTATATTCATTTTTTAAATAAAATATAATTGAAAATTTATTATTCTTATTAAATTGGTTTTGAAACTTTAATTAAAAATTTTTTTAATTTTTAGTACAATTTCTAAATAACAATCAGAATACAATAAAGTTATTTTTCTTTCAAAGACTAAAAAAATTTTTTAAATAAAAGGTGTCTAATAACCTAATTCTTATAGCTGTCCGAGAGACTCAAGATTTTTCTCGGGTTTTTTTGGTCTTGGGTTTTTTTTTTGGGGGGGGGGGGGGGGGGGGGTCTTGGTCACGAGTCTTGGAAAATTTTCGATCTTGAGCATTCTACTAATTCTAGCACACTACAAAAGTTTATGCACTCTGGGTAAAATTTTTTTGTTTTATAAGTTTATTCTTTTTTCTTGGATGATAGATTAAAATATTTTCTTTCCAATAAATATAAATTTTTATTAGCATTTATGATAATTTGGCAATTTTTTAAAATTTATAAAAAATTCATTTTTAGGGTTTAAAAATGTTTACTAATTATTATTTAATCTTCTTTAATTATTTTCCCTTAATTATTTTATTTATTTATTCCCCAATAAATTCTCAAATTCAAACTTCTGAATTTTCAAATTTTCAAAATGAATTGCCTGAGGGTTTTTTATTTTTTTTAATTTAATTTTTATTTATTAAAAAAGAAATATCAAACAGAACATATGTACAGGAACAAACAAATTTACAAAAATATATTTTTAAAAAATATGACAGAAAAACTAGGCCTGTACAGAATCAGTCAATACCTACTACTGTCCTCTTCCATGCTTATTTAATGTAAATTTAAATATATTTCTTTACAATCCTCTCATTACCCTTTAGGGCTCGAGAATTATTTAGAATGCCCCTTTTCGATAAAAAGCAGTAAAAATACATATCTCGAACGTCAACTTTACCATAAAAACTAATCTAATAACACCTTTTCTATGTAGAGGTAGTGGGTAGGTGAAGACTACTTTAATATAGTTTTATGGTATTTGCGATGAAACTAAAATGCTAGAATTGTTTAATATAGCCGGGTTTGATTAGTGCAATCTTTTGGGATGAAAAAAAATATATATAAAATTGGAGAGGTAGCACTTAACCTCTTCCCTCTCTCCCTCAATAATCAATCACTAAACTCAAAAAATATTTTAGGCATTTTTCTGTTGATCAACTTCAACAAACAATGTTTTTAAATGGACATATTTAGTAAATTTAAATTTAAAAATATTTTTTTTCTTATTATTAAAAGTATGACTTGGAGTGATGATAAAGCTACTTGGGACCCTTCATTATTTAATAATGTTAGAACAACTATGGTTAAAACTTGGTTGTTAATAATTAAAATATTAAAATAGAACAATTTTTTTAAAGGGAAATTTGGCATCCAGAATTGCGAATAGCTAATAGGTAGTATAAATAAATAAATTTGAAGGGAGGGATTGCTACACAAATTTTAATGTTTCCCAAAAACTGAATTAAAAAATATTTTAGGGAATTATTATTTCTCGTTATAATTATCCGGACTCTCGACCCGAAACCCGACCTGATTTTTTTCTCAACCAGTGACATCTCTTTTGAACATTTATATTTCTTGCTTTTTTATGTCACAAACAAGAAAAAGTTTTTTTAAATTTATTATTAAATGAGAGATTTATTTTTTTAAATTTTTAAAAAATTGTTAAAAAATAAGAGAGAGAATATTTTTTATTTTTATTTTTTAGCGTTTCCGGTGTTAATCAATATTTTGAGGTTAAAAATAAAATTAAAAAATATTTTTTTAATTAAATAAAAAAGATATCTCGTCGATCACACGCAACATTAACATCAATAACTCCAAATAAAACAAAAGTATTAAAAAGAAAAGAATAATTAATTTTAAATCTAATTTTAGGTAGAAAGTTATCCAACATTTTCTGTCCGTGTTGGATGTAATTTTAATTTTAGGTTTTTTTACTATAAATTAATTAATTTTTTTAAATGTTAAATTAAAGAGATTATCCGAACGATGAACAAAATTGTGCTGGTAATTTTTAAATGAATTTAATTTAAAAATTTAAAATTTTTAAAATGTGCGCAAGAACGTTTAAAAACGCCTATTTAAATTTTTGGCGTTTTAACTCCCCATAAATTATATTTTTGCGCACAGTTTAAATATATTTATGTTTTTTAAATTTTAAAATCTTTTTAGCTCGTTTATACACAACAAATGTTATGAGTGAAGTTGAATTAGCAATGTTTTCTTTATTTTTTATGTATAATCTTTTAAAAATTTAAAAAGTTATTATAATTTGGAACCTTCTGTAATGCTTGGTTGGGGTAACCAATCAATCAAAAAAAATATACAAGAATGGGAATTATTGTCAGTTAATGCTAATTTAAGTTTTTATAAAAGTCACAGAAAATATTCTAATGAAAGGCCAAATAGTGCTTATGAGGCACAGAGTACTTGGTAATTTTTTTTAAAAAAAGGAGATTAAAAATACTCATTTATTTTCAAAGGACATTAATTATTTTAAATTTAAAATTTCGTCGAAATTCTCCACAATATTGGTTAGGGATTGGATTGCCCTGTTTTGTTTGTTTAATTATTATTTTACTTTCTTTTTTGTCAACAAAAATTGAATTATCTATTGGACTTTTATTGGCTAATTTTGTATTAGAATCTGTTTTGTTACGCGATGCTCTTCAAACTTTGCCTCCAGCGGCGGGGGAAAATCCAAAAATTGGTTGGAATTTTTGAAATTAATTATTTTAATTTCCTATCATTTCTTAGTGATCCCACTCCCAGCCTAGTCATCCATCCTTCACCCTAAATTCCAATTTTATATTGCACCAATCCCCCATAATTCCATCCTTATAACTACACCCTTCTTTCATAAAATAAAAATACTTTTCTATCCCCCTCCCTCTAAAAAACTTTTTCTCTTTCTTTTTTAGTAACATTTGCTCAATTTTTATTAATAACAACATTAGTATCTTTAATTATTCAAATATTCACAAAATGTTTAGTTCAAAAAGCAATTAAATATTCTTCTTTTCTCCAAAAACTTTTAATTATTTCAGAAACAAATAATTTATTTACTACAAAATTTAAAAAGAATTTAGAACCAGAATTAATATTTCGTTTATATTTTTTATTTATTTTATTTTTAATTTGTATTCCTTTTATTTTTATTTATTTATTTTAAAATTTTAACAAATAAATCAACAAAATGAAAATAGAAATAAATTTAAATATTTTCCATATTTCTAGTCATTATTAAATATTCAAGTGAGTGCAAATTTTGTGTTGACCTTAAAATTAACGAAGAAATTTAAAATAATTTTTTAAATAATTAGAAAGAAGGGATTTAAATTTAGGGCAAACCGGCAATTGAGAAACGTAATTTTAAAGTTTTCCACAATTAGGCTTAAGCCAAAGTTCAAGAAACTCTCTATTTTATATGAGTCTACTTTTTTTTATTATTTAGAAGGGTAAAATTGAAATAACAGCCTCCGTATGTTTATCTAAGTTCCCTAAAAATCTTGGAATTTTTGTGTGAGTTTCGATGACATTTGCCGTTACCTCCCTCAATTACCTCCTCGGTATGAAATTCCGGGCTCTACTCCTAACACCCCTTACCCTTTCCACAAAAAATAAATATTATTTTTCAAAAAAAATTAAATTAAAAACAAACATTCCAAGTAATAAATTGCTTTGACTTGTTAATAATTCCAGAATAGCAGTTAGTGAAGGATTATTTAAATCAATTAATAATTTAAATTCTTTACTATATTTATATAGCAATTCTTTAATTAAAATTAAATAAAAATGAAAATGTTTTGAAGGAATTGGCCCTCCAGTTTTGTTTGCTGCTAGCCAATAAAGTAATAATTCTGCTGAAGAAATACCCAAATTGTCAATAACAACACGTACTTTAAAAAAAATAAATTAAAAATTATTTTAAGCTTCAATCCAAAGTATTAAACAAGTTAGGCTACATTACTTAGAAAAAATAAATCTGTACAGTGAAATCTTTTATAAAAATTATTTCTCCAATAAGGTAAAGAAAATCTAGAAACAATGCTAAATTGACTTTTTAGTGCTCATTAAAAATTCCTAACTTTTTTCAATACGACTTCCCCTTACTAAATTTTTAGGAAACCTTTTCTCTAAATTTTTAACTGGGTTAAGATAATCTTCTCTCTATTCTCTTCTCTTATAGACACCATTCCTACACCTAAATTTTAACAAAGACACCCCAAAAATCATTTTTTACATTGTTCAACAGGTATTGCTTCAATTGTTCTTTCAACAATTTCTTTATCATTTAATCTCAAAGCTAGAGAAAGGGCATTTACATGTTCTCCATTAATTGTTGAATTAAGTATTTCTTTAGGTGTAACATTTGATTCAAGTTGTAAAGGATCAAATCTTCGGGGTTTTGTTAAGGAATAAATACAAACACCTTCAGTACAGGCTACGGCAAAATCCAAACCTAAAAATTTTTATTGGAATTATTATATCTATAGTAAGGTTGTCGGATCCGGACCCGAAAAAAGATCGGATAACCGGAAATTTTCGGTTCGGATCCGGATATTCGAAGATTTCCAACTATCCGACAACCTTAATCTTTAGCTCCTGTCTTTTGGATTCTCACAAAATAGTGTGAGAATCAACAAAGATTAGTAAATCTATTGATTAAAGATGGAAGTATTTAAATACCCACAACCCTAATTGAGAGTAATATTTGGAAATTAGTAGAAAATTATTTGGTAATGAGTTTTACCATTCGGAGAAAAAGCAATTTTAGACATAGAAATTGTTGGTCTAACGGCCCGTTCAGAGAGGTCGGTGTGTTTTGTTCCGGGCAATCTAATTCTCTTTTTTGGATTTGTTTCTTCTTCATCAGAATCTGTTAAATCAAATAAATCTAAATTTCCAAATTCTGTCATTTTTCGATAATTAATATCTAACTAAAAAAGGGAGAAATTTTAAATATTTTTTTTTATAAAATTCTCTCTTACATTAACTCCATCCAAACTGTAATTACTGCTTAATTTAAACGATCGAACTTTAATTCTATCAGCCACACTGTAAAGACAAAAAATATTTGATTGTCCACCAGCAAGTAGTAATTGACCGTTGGGTGAAAATGCAATACAAGTAAATGTTCTAAAAAAAGGAATTTAATTCTTAGATAAATCCCAATCCCTTCAAAAATTTCCAAAAATATCTCAATTTCCGTCTATCAAACCCCCTCCCTCCCATTAGACTTTACTTATTCTTTTCTGAAGTAGTCTTTTTAACTTTATCAATTCTTTGCCTTCCAGCATCAATATCTAATTTTGTTTCAATTATTCCAATTTGACTAGTATTTAAAGTATTAAATAAATTTATATTAGAATCATAACATAAAACAGCTAAAAGAGATCCATTTGGACTAAAAATAAAGTTTAAATATTTAATCTAATTAAAATTAATTTACCTATATTTAACATCCAACCCCTCATTTAATAAATTAACAGTCTCTAAACAATTTCCACCATCCACAATATTCCATATTTTCATTGTTTTATCCAAAGAAACAGTACATAAAGTATTTTCATAATAAGTTAATCCATTAATTAAATTAGAATGGCCTGTCAATACATCCAAAACTTCACTTGTTTCAAAAGACTAAAATAATGTTTACTTCTAAAGTTATCTTTTTTCTTTTTAAATAATCCCCTCCTATCTCCAAACATGAATTTTTTATTTTTAGATTAAATGACCCTCAATTTTTGGAAAAAAAATTTTCAAAAATATAATTTTAAATAAATTATTCACCCAAACATAAATTTCAAATAAATCTCTCGATGCAGCTGCAACAATATCACCAGAAAAATCAGCACAAAGTAAATGTAATTGTGTCTGTTTAGGTGCTACTAATGTTCGAAAATTACGATACCTTTTTAAATAAGATAATTAAAGATTTTTTTATTTTAAATTCACCTTTTCAAATCATGTGCCCTAATAGAACCTTCAAGAGAAGAAGACAATACAGCTTTTCCATTTTGAGTAAAACAAATATCTGTAACTCCAGTTTCGTGTTCAGTAAAAGTAACAGTACAAAACGAAGTTGCACAATTCCAAAGTTTCACCTAAGTTTAAAAGAATAACAGAAAGAAGGTAAAACGAGCTAAAGGAGAGAGAGAGACGTTCATACAATTGGAGGTTGTAATCACAATGGAAAACATAGGTAACTAGATTTATCTGATTGATGAAAAAAAAATAAAGAGAATAGATGGGCGGTGGAACTCAAGGGCAACTTTAATTTGTCAACTTCCAAACGAAAAGCTATAGAACTACAACAGTAAGTTTCGTTAAATTAAATAAAAATTTATATACATATACACCTAAGAACAAAAGGTAAGATAAACACTCAAACAATTATTTATTTACAAACAATATTTACAAAACATCACACTGGAAAATAGGTACAATAAGAATCACACAAAAAAATATGGGGACATTACATGATAGATATACAATTATGAGAGTGGTTTTCCTATTATTATCGCATTTTGGCGTCATCATCTTCCATCAACCGCTTACATGTTGTACTCGATTGGAAGGTTCTTGCGGCGCACCATACCGTCACCCTGGAACCACTCGCGGCGGAATTGCTTGGCTGCTCCTTCCGGTGTGTTGGTCCATTCGACGGTGACACGATCGTTGTTGGTCGCTTCCGCAGCCGGATCGAAGGCGTCACAAGAGATGGCGATGTTGATGGCCTCCTTCGGGTCGAGCACACCGTTGGGCGGGTCCATGTTCAGACGGCGAGGGTTGGTCGTCTTGAAGGCGAAGCCGATACGATGCCCACCAGAGTTGATGATCTGTAAAAGTGAAAAGGAAAATATTTATTAGAGGACAAATTGATAAAAAATGTTGAAAACTTTACCTTCATGTAGTAGGTGTGCTTGTCATCGAACGGCGCGTTGAAGATGACCTTCACGGCAGGAAGAGTCGTGATGTCGCCGGGTGGAACAGACGCCATTGTTGTTGAGAACGAAGTGTTGTAGCTGGAATTGAAGTTGAAGAGAAAGCAAGTTGGTGAAACTGGAGCATTATTACGGTTTTTATAGTTTCGATCACAAGCATACTGATTTTGAGCATAATAGTATAAAAGAAGCAGTAAAACACCAGTTTCACCAACTTGCTTTCTCTTCAACTTCAATTCCAGCTACAACACTTCGTTCTCAACAACAATGGCGTCTGTTCCACCCGGCGACATCACGACTCTTCCTGCCGTGAAGGTCATCTTCAACGCGCCGTTCGATGACAAGCACACCTACTACATGAAGGTGAAGTTTTCAACTTTTTTGTTAATCTAACCACTAATAAATATTTCTTTTCACTTTTACAGATCATCAACTCTGGTGGGCATCGTATCGGCTTCGCCTTCAAGACGACCAACCCTCGCCGTCTGAACATGGACCCGCCCAACGGTGTGCTCGACCCGAAGGAGGCCATCAACATCGCCATCTCTTGTGACGCCTTCGATCCGGCTGCGGAAGCGACCAACAACGATCGTGTCACCGTCGAATGGACCAACACACCGGAAGGAGCAGCCAAGCAATTCCGCCGCGAGTGGTTCCAGGGTGACGGTATGGTGCGCCGCAAGAACCTTCCAATCGAGTACAACATGTAAGCGGTTGATGGAAGATGATGACGCCAAAATGCGATAATAATAGGAAAACATTTCTCCCTCATAATTGTCCCCCATATTTCCTTGTGTGATTCTTATTGTTCCTACTTTCCTGTGTGATGTTTTGTAAATATTGTTTGTAAATAAATAATTGTTTGAGTGTTTGTTTTATCTTTTGTGTCTAATCCTTGTTTAAATTTGAGTGAAAATCAAAGCAATCAGAACCCCGAATTAGGATGGTTTTTAAACTTTTACAAAAATTTCTTTCTTACTTTTCCATCCTCTGCCCCAGTTGCCAAAATTGAACCATCAGGAGAATACGCTATAGCAGTAATTGTTTGACTATGTGATTGTTGTTTAAGTATATGAGATTCACTTTGCCATTCCCAAACAAGTAATTGTGCATCCATTCCCCTTCCACATCCTATAGCTAACCAATCACCCCGAGAATTGAAATTAATTGAATTTATTTGTTTATCACCAATACTTGAAAAAAAATAAATTAACATTAAGATAAATTCAAAAAATTTAGAGGCAGCTTTAAACAGCTTGTGTAAAAGTTTAACAAGTTATTTAAACAACAACATTCAATTCAATGTTGCAGATAAAATTTGTGGATTATTTGTATATTATGAATTTTTTAAGTTTAATTACTTAAAAAACCTAAAGTTTTGTAGTAAAGAAAGTCCAGGAATATCAAAAATACAAAAAGTTCCATTTGAAAATCCAGTAGCCAATAACTTTTTTTGTTTGTTAACGGAGGCGGATAAAAGCCCCAAATGTGTAGTAACGCCAATTAAAGAAGTTAAGCATTTGCTTAAAAAATTTTTGTTTTGAATTTTGATTAATTTTTAAAAAATAACCTAATTTTTCTTTCAAATATCAATTTTTCAGAATTATCTTCCAACTCAAAAATGCTACACATTCCACTTTTATCAACAGAAAGAAACTAAAAATTAAAAAATAAATTCTTTAAATTAAATTTACTTGATTATTTTCATTAAAAAACCAAACACCAACAACTGAAGCCCTTTCTCCAAAAGTAAAACCTCCAAGATTTTTAGAAGAATCAGGTACTGTTTTGAATATTTTAACAATTCTATTTCCAGCAACGGCGATTAAACTAGAAAATTTTAACAAAATTAAAATTCAAAAAAAATTCAAAAGATATTTATTTTCTAGAAAAATTAACTGGAAAATATTTTTAGAAGTTAATTTAGTGAAACATTTTTTAAGAATCGAATTTCATAAAAAGAAAATCACACGCACCTTTCAAGGCTCATTTAAGTCGGTAAAAGTTTGGGGGAAATAATTATTATCTTTAAAGTTTAAAAAAACCTTCCATCAAAAGACCATCCAATTGCATTAATCTTATTTTCAGAATGAATAAATCTATTTAACAAAGCCAAAGGTACAAATTGATTTGCAGATATATCAGCCACAGAAAAAATAAAAACTTTTCCTTGTGTCCCAATAGCAACAAAACTTTGAAAATAAAAAAATAATTTAAATAAAAAATAAAAAAAACTTTGAATCATTAGAAAAACTCAAAGCTCTGATTTTTTGTCGAAAATTCCTTCTATAGAGAATAACATCGCTACCCAAATGTATTAAAGTACAATTTCCACCTAAATTGTATAAAAATTAAATTAATGTAAATAAATGGTTTTAAATTCTTAAAAAGTGTATAGTTGGCAAGAGATTATTTGGGGAATATAGTTACTTTTAAAAAAGGAAGGAATTTCGACTCTTTACATTAGCCAATTGAAAATAAACGTCAGTTTTTTTATTCTTTCCTATCAAGAAAAACAAATTTTATCATTAACCCTCTCCTTAAACTTTTTTTCTGAAAATTCCCTTCGTTTGGAAAGGAAAATACGGGTATTTAATTTTGAAGAATTAATTTTTAATTTCAGAATAAAAAATAATTTTAACAAAACTAACGTTCATCCCCAACAATTGCATGTGTTCCAGTTGAGTTTATATCAAAAGCAACAATGTTACATTTTAATTGGATTTCTGATGTAAAGGAAGTATTCCTTTAAAAAAACAAAAATTTTAAATTAAAGTTAAAAAAAACCTTTTCAAATCAAAATATTTTAATCTATTTCCATTTGCACAAAGTAACGAAAAATTATCTGGTAAAAACCGAACAGGTCCATTTCTGTATGAAGAACCAATTAAATCAACAAACTTAAAATTAAAAAAATACAAATAATTATTAAATAATTACCTTGTATTTTATATCCATCAAGAAAACAAATTGACTATTATCGAATTTAAAAGCCTTGTTTTTTTAAAATATATATTATTTCCAAGTAATTTTTGTTTATTTAAAACACAAACTATACAATTTAAAATTATTTTTAATTTTATTTTTTAACAATTTTTTTCAAAGACCAAACAAATGTCAGCGAAGAAATTAACAAAATAACATCGAAAAAACAATTCCAAAAAACTTCTTTTCATTTAAATCTCCATAATTTATTCAGCCTTGGTCTTCTTCGCGCCTTTCGATTTTATTTTCTTTTGGGTTCGCAAAAGTTGTGATGCACGTCGCTGAGCTAATTTGGCGTGTGATGGTTTATAGGTGCGGATGAAACTTCCGACAGATTTGAGAACTTTGCGACTATCCTAAAAACAATTTTGAATTATTTAAAGTAAAATATTAAAATGGGACGGGAATTAAAAAACAAAAATTAAAAAATATAACCTTAGTAAAAATAGTAGTCGACTTTGCCTTAACCGGTTTATTGACAGCACGCTTCTTTTTAATAGTCAATTGAACCCCCTTTCCATCCTTTGGCAGACGAACATCCACAGCTTTTGCATTTATCAGCCCATTATGGCGAATACTATTTATACGAGCCATATTGAAAGGTTCAGTGCTGAAATGCTTGGGAATACCTCGCTGACGTTTCAAAAACGCGCTGTTCTTACGAATGATTTGCCACTGAATTAAAAAAAATTTCGTTTAATATTCCTAAATTTAATTACCTGAATGTAGCTAGAAGCATTGATAACCTCAACCATTATATATATTTTTGTAGACAATTAATTTACTAACACCTGTTTTTAGGATAAATTGTATTAAATTAATTAAATATAGAAATAATCATTGTATGTAGACAATTAGAAAAAATATTGCTAAATCTCAGATTAACATTAACCCAGAAGAATCACTTCTTGAAACAAAAAAGGGTCAGATGGATATCCTTATTTAAATTACATGTGACAAAACGAGCTAAAGATCTTCCTTCTATCAAATTAAACTAGGTTAATGTTAATACAAGATTCGATTATATAAAACTTAAAAAAATAAATTTATATTTTTTATAAAACAAATTCGAACTCCTTATTTAGATCAGAAAAATCATAATTTAAAAAAACTTGTTCTATAAAACAAAAATTATTTCTGTTCATGAATCCGATGATTAAGTAAGGCAGCTCTAAGTAAAACAGCATTGGCATGTTGGCTAATTCGTTTCCGCAAATTTAAAACCCTTTAAAATTTTTAAATTTTAATTAAAAAATAAAATAAATACCGTTCATATATTTCTGTTCGATTGTCAGAAAATTTTGCGTAAAGAACTTTCTTGTACGAATCAATCTTTGCTTTGAGCAAGCCCTTTTCAATTAATGAAATCAACTCGGATTCAAGCTTAAAGCAAACAAAATACTTTTTTCAAAAATTTATAAAAACCTCATCTACGGAAGTACGAAATTCAATAGCCATTTGACCAATTTCGGAGCTTAAATAAGTGTCAAAATATTGAATTAATGCACTCTGTCTGATTAGAGAATATAGAAAAGAAATATGTGGCGCTAAGTAGATGTTCAATAATAACTATAATAATTAAATGTAGCTCTCATATTAACTCTTAAATTAAAATCTAATACTAAAAGTATCCAAAAATCACTTAACCAAAAAATTTCCGAGACAAATTAAATTCCTTACAAGTATTACAACAAAACTTATAAAAATAATGTCAAAACATACTTGATCACGCAAATCATTAAGAATATCAAGACAAATACCAAATTGACTTTGACAAAATCTTTGTAATAATTCAATAAGTTTTGGCTCTGATTCCAGAGATTTTCGAAAAAGAGGAGAACCAAGTACTTTTTCTTTTAATTCAGTCCGACTGAATGTCGCAAGAGCGCAGATAAGTGCATAAATTGCAACATCACTAGGGGAAATAAGTTGTGGGTAATTGAGAACATCCAAGTCGATCTAAAAAATAAAATTGGGTTAAATTATCTATATGGACATGGGACCCCAATAACTAATCCAGAAATACAGACTCACCGTCATAAACTTCTCGGCCGCTGCCTTGTAATTTTTATTCTGCAGAAAAGCAAGTCCATAGACAGCCAAAATTTTCGCCTTTGAACTAAGAATCAAATCTTTTTGAATTTTAGATGTACGCGCTGGAATTTGCAGAGATTGGAGAGAAGAATATTGAGTTGTGCTAAAAGTATTGCTGGGTATTGAAGAAACATTTTCACGTTCAATAATCTCATTTATTGCGCGATCAGCTTGTGGAAGCAAAACAGAAAGTTTTTGCCATTGTTCAGCATAAATAGTAACATTAATCCAACTTATGAGCATCTAAAGGAAATTTTTTGGAAATATTTTTTGTCCCCGTCTTGCATAAATAAACCTGTATTATTTGATTTGGAGAAGTACAATATTCACGCATTCCTCGAGTATAAAGTTTGAGAGCATCTGGGAGATTTCCCATTTGCACATATTGATGGAAAACATCCTCTAATGAACGTCTAATTGATTCCTAAAAAACGATTGAGGATTGTCATAACGGGCAGTTTAATTACAAACCTTAACAGCTTCATCTTTCTGCCGTTTAAACTCAGCTAGAAGAGATTCCAATCGATTATTTGCTTTAACTGTGGTAATCTCAATCCAACTTTTATCAATATCAGGCACACTTTCAATTCCAGAAATATTACCAAAAGCTTTTGCAGATTCAACCCGTTGATAGGCAGCATTGAGCATGGGAATATTTTGAGTTTTCTTAAGGTTTAATTTAAATAAAGTTATTTAAAAAATATAAACCTTAATAACATAGTTGATAAGCATTTTTAATGCATCAGCCCTCAAAGGAGGGCAAACATCGGCAATAAAAAGAAGTCTGAAAATATAAAATTAGACAACAGTCAAAAGCAGTTATCAAAAAGTGATTAAATTTTTGGGGGTTTTAATCGAAAAACCAAAAGTTTACAATGTACTTTATGTGTACGCAGAAATTACAAAGAATAAAAATTCCCAAAAAAAAGCTTTAAAATATTAAAAACCTATTCATCAATGCATAATCTGTATATTCCTTCGAAAAAGTCTCAAGTTCAACACTAACAACGTTAACGGTAGAAGGCACCTGTACATCATCTAAAGATCTTTTTTTTTATTATTCATCGAGTGTTCAAAAAACCTTGAGAAACTGGGTCATCTAAAGTGAGAGGATCATTAACATTTGTAAAATCAAAATCAGCTGCCATCGGCTCTTCAACATATTCAATGTCATCTTCCTGTTCCATAAACTCATTTTCGTCCATAATTATATAAAGTAATTTAGAAGTCTGAAAAATGCAAGAGTAAAAATTTCGTGAAAGTCCAAGTAAAATTGCTAGATATGAAATCTATAACTAAATAAAGAAATCGAGAATTGTTACTATTCTATTTAAAAAACAAATTCTAAAAAAATGTTTATTAACAAATTAAAGCACAATCTTGCGAATAAATGGGATGAGGTTCTATTTACAGTATTAAGTTTAGATTTTTTTATTAATACATATTTTTTACAAAAAATGTGAATTAGGAATTTTTTAATACATACATTACACTAAAGAATAATTATAATACAATTAGAACTTGGTTATAAAGGTTTCCTAAGTCAAGAAATTCGAAAGATTCGACTAACATATTCTCTGAATGTACTCTTTTCTTCTCCAAAATACATCTTTTTTATCGTCTTGAATGTTGGCCGATTATCTGGTGAAGCACTCTGAGTCTTCAGCATTAGTTCTTGCATCTTTTTTGGCATTCCTTTTGGTGGTGTTAGTCGATATCTAAAAGAAAATTTAAAAAATATTTTTATTTTCTCTCAGTTACCCTTCAAGTATTTTCTTTCTTAGTTGTCGATTATTTTGAATTTCTTTGTATGGCTCCTCATGTGGTTTTGACCAGATTTCAAAGAGCGCAATACCATAACCCCAAACATCAGATTTGTGTGAGAAAAGTGCAGTTTTCAGTGTTTCGGGTGGCACATACCTTTTAAAAATAAAATTATTTTTGTAAAAATTTAACATTAAGGAAAACACCTTATCGGGGCACGAGCTCTGGGCAGAAGTACTTTTGTTATTCCTTGAAGCGAAAGGCCAAAATCGGTAATTTTCACAACGTTCCATTTCGAAAGCAAACAATTTCTGACTGTCAAATCCCGATGAATTACCTAAAGATTAGAAAGATTTCAATAAAAGAAAATCTTTATTACCTCCTTACTCTCTAAGTAAGCCATTCCAAAGCATATATCTCGACAAAAGTTCAGTCTTTCTTTATCAGTCGGCCTTTTTTCTACCAACCGATCGTGTAGACAACCACCTGAAAATAAAAAACACCTTCATACTTGGAGATGACAAACCAGGTGCGTATTCCGTCACAATCAATATTGGATCATTATACACGACCACGCCAAAAAGGCGAATAATGTTTCGATGTTGCAGGCGCATGTGTCTATTAAATTTTATGTAAAACTTTTTAAATTACGTTTTAATTCAATTTAACCTTTCCAAAATATTTTTTAATCTAAAATTACTCACATATTTGCTTCGCGCAGAAATCGAATCCTAAAAATAAGTAATCATTGAAGAGATTATAATTCCCTTAATTCTCTCACCTCTCATTTGGATCAATGCCTTTCTTGTCAGTAATCATTGTTTTGACAGCTACATCAATGCTCTGCATTCCAACTCTAAGTTTCCCTTTGCGCACTTCGCCAAACTCTCCATGACCTATCACACTAAGAATGGTAAGCTGTTCACGGTAGATGCTACAATGTTCAGAGTATTTCTATTTTTAACGGAGAAAACAAGTAACTTACGCATAATGACTTCTCTCCACGTAACTACGAAGGCAGGCACCAGATTCATCGTTGACAGGCTTCTGTGAGAATCGGTGGTATCGTATAAGGGCCGCAACTGTCTTTAAGTGAAAAATAGATTTATAAGAAAAGAGAATTCTTACTCGCTTTGGAATCCCATTCAAATGAAAAAAATTGCCGTGTCTTGTTTGAAAAATCCGATAGTGATGCTTTTTGCCTTTCCAATATACGCTTACAATGTAGATCTACAAGTTTACATCTACGTTAATTATAAAAGGAAACTACTTACAAAATGACCATTTTCTTCTATCAGGCGAACTAGGAAACGGCCATTGTCCTTCGTCAATAATGGTTCAGCCTCTGCTGCAGTTTGAAATCCGTGATAGAAAGGGGCATTAATGAGTTCGTCCTCCGCAGTTGTAATACAGGTGGCAGGCGCCATAATTTGACAGTGTTAACGTTGAATACAAGACGATATTCCATACCAGAAGGCTTTTATAGTACTATTTAATAATAAGTAGTCCTAAATAAAACATGACCGATGAAAAATTGAATTGAACTATAAACTGGAATTTCAGTAGCCGCTTTTTTGGAACCATTTTGTCCATCTATACCCGTAGGACCATTTTATCGCGTACCATTTTGTTTAGTGGAAGCACTTATTCTTCTATCTGTGCGCCGACATTTGCGCTGCGACTTTTGTGCTGCCCTGACTTATAAATAAAAATATCATTAAAATTTCCCTACAAATTGTTTCTCTCACTTAAGTGCTGTTTCCTTGAAAATTTTGGATAATTATTTTTTATTTTTAATTATTTATGGGCAACAAAGAAAGTCAATTTAATGGAAGAAGTGATGATATTAAAACTAGTCAAGTATTGGATTCTAATTTTGTAAAATCTTTTGTTGAATTGAGTGATGAAGATGATAATTTAGGTTGGGAAAAGTTTCAGGTTTTTTTTTAAATTTTTTCAAAAAAAATTTTTTTTCAACAGATTATTAGTATTTTAACAAATATTCGACAATATCGTTTACTTTCTGGTTTATATGACAAGGCTTTACGTATTTCAAAAAAAGATGATAATTTTTTTGGTCAACAACTTTCATTGTCTTTAATTTGTGATAATCGATATTCTAGAGCAACAAAAATGTTACAAAAATGTATTTTACAAAAAGAGGAAGAGGAAAACAACCAAAATAAATTTGATGAAAGTTTAATTACTGAATATTTACATTTGGCTCGTTTACAAATTGAACAACTTGGAGATTTGGAATTAGGTTTATTTTAAATTAATTTTAATTTTTTTAAGGTTTTTCAATAACGGGGATTGGTTGACTTTAAAAACTAAAAAATATGTGTTTTGTCTTATTTCCTAATTTTTCCTTCATTAACGGGTCTTAATCGAAACAACATTTTGCTCGAATTAGATAAACTAAATCTATCACATTTTTATTCACACGATTACATATTTTAGTTTTACCTCTGTTTTTTGTTTACTTTTTTTAAATTAATTAAATTTCAATTTAAAAATTGTTGATGTACTTCTCTAAAATTTTATATAATTTTTACATTTATTTTAAGCCGAATCAGCAACTTTAAAAGCAATAAATTTATCTTCTGGCACTTGGCTTTCTGGACGTTGTCATTTATTATTGGCTATGATTTTTGGGTTTATTTAAATAAATTTATTTTTTAAATTAATTTTTAAAGATTAAAAGCTCAATATGGAAATAGTTTATGTTCAAAAAAAGAATTAATTGCGGAAAGTATTAAATATTATGAAAAAGCTATTGAATTAGATCCACATGATGATACAGCACATCTTTATTGTGCTTTAGAATATGCTAATTGTAAGTAAGAAAATTTCTTAAGAAATTTTAGATGTTCTTAACACTTTATGTAGCAATAAAAATTAAATATTTGTCATTCCATATGTAAATTTTTGCCTAATTTTTTGAGGATTAGCTAATTTTTTCGACATCCCTAATATAAATTTAAATATTACCAAATTTCACAATTCCATTCATTCATTCCATTTTCTGAAATTCATTTATTAATTTTTTGCAATTTAATTCTCACTTCAGCCAGAGATTTTGAAAGAGCAAAAGAATATTGTCAAGCAGCCTTGAGTCTTAACACAGAAAATCCTTTTGCAATAATGTTACTTGCATTAATTTTTACTGCAAGAAAAGACTACAAAGGAGCGCTGGAACTTGTGTATGTTTATTTTCTATAAAAGAAAAAATATTTACATTTTTAGAATAAATGCTCTAAATGATTTCCCTTCGCATTATGGCCTTTTAGTTTTGAGGTTCTTTTTTAATTTTTATCTGAATTAGATTTTTAAATAAGATATTTTTTGTGAGGAAAAGGGGGGTTTGTTAAGTTGTCGGGGTAACAGAGAAATTAAGTTTCCTGGAATTTTTTATGTTAGGTAGCTGAACCTTTTAAATAGCATCTCATATATAATTTAAATTAGGAATTTAACTGTGGATGTGAAATGATTTTTGATTTATAAAACCTCCACCCGAATTTTCTTGTTGATTACTTTTAACTTTGCCTAAATTATTTTTATTTAAATAGGTTAAAATTAGAAGCAAGATATGGGCGAGTAGAAGAAGCTTTACAAACTTCACATAATTTAATTTGTTTTTGGAGAAAAAATAGATCAGCAACTGATCCTTGTGATGATGAACAAAATAGTAGATTAAATGGAGATATTAATAAAATGGTAAGAAAAGAGAAGAAAATAATTGATAAATTTAAAAAAATTTTTAGACGGCAAGCAAAGAAGCAATAGTTCCGTTAACACCTCTTTTAATCGCTCCATTAGGTATTACAGCAACACCGGGACCTTCTACACATTTAATTGCTTCGAATGTTGAAGGGACACCATATCCATCTATAGGTTTTTTAAATTCTTATTTTAAGGAATTTAAAAATTTAATATAAAACTATATTCCTTCCCGTTAATTTTGAAAATACTTTTGACTGACAAAAAATTCGAAAACGCCAAAAAGTTAGTCAATCTTCAATGTTTTTTACTAGATAATCTCTCAACAATCGGTCCTCCAACAAATACTTCTGACGGAGGTGGACCAGCATCAACAGACTCTTTGAGTGTATTATCTTCTTCTAGCAAGTCTTGGATTAATTTTTCTGTTTTTCGGTTGCAGGTTGAAATTAAGTTATTTTTTAATTCTTTATTTTTTAAGGCTGATATTTGGGTGGAATTGGCAGAATTTTTTATAGAAATTGAACGGATGAATGATGTTCAAGCTTGTGTTGAAGAAGCTTGTATGATTTATCCAAATTCTTATCAGGCGCTTTATTTAAAGGTTTTTTTTATTTGAAAGCTAAAATATTTAAAATTTAATTTTTAGGGGCATCTTTATTTTAAAAGAGCAGAGAAATGTGCCCAAACTGATCTAAATTTAAGCAAAAAATTAATGGCAGAGGCAAAGAATTTTGTTCTTGGAGCAATTTCTATATGTACGGAACATGTACTTTCAATAGCTTGTTTGGGAAGAATTTATCATTTTGAAGGATATTTAAAAATGGCTGAGAAAATGTTTAGGTTTATTTTATCTTCTTTTTTATTTTTTTTTCAATTTTTTAAAGAGATGCAACTTCAATTGAACCTTATGATGCTCGGAATTGGCACCAACTTGGATGTGTTTTATCTGAACTTGGAAGGAGTAATGAGGCATTAGAATGTTTTGAAACGGCTTCAAGTTTAGAAGTAAATACACCGCTTATTCCTTTTCAAGTAATTCCTAGGTTGTTAAGTTTCTTTTAAATAATTATACATATTATGTATGTATTTGTTTTTAGAATTTTATATAATAGTAACTACTTAGTATATAGTTTGTTTTTTAATAAAAAGATTTTTAATGCAAGGATAATTTTATTAAGGGTAGAACACCTTTTTAGGTTTAAGGAAGGTTTTAAGGAAAAAAGAGGTCCACCATAAATCCTGTCTCTATTTTTTGGCTCGAAAAGTTTTTCGGTCTGAATAGTCTTTTTACTCCGGTATTGAACAAAATATTTTGTATTTAAAAATAATTTACATATTTCAAAGGTTAAAAAAGACAAATATTGCTTTAAATTTAAAAATTTTAAATTGAATAATTAACGTCTTGATTAGCCGTTTGGAAGGCCTTTCTTAATTTGTCCGCTTGTGTTAACGGACGACCCGTTAACGGTTTTTGTTGTTTTTCTTTATTAATTATTGATAGTTGCGTTGGTTTTCTAGAAAGTAGTTTTCTCTAAAAATATATTTAAATTATTTACTAGTACATATAATAATTTATAAATTAGGTTAGTCATTAGGGAGATAATATAATTTTCTAATTATTTCTCCACTTTTTTCTCACGCCTACCATTCGCTTATATCACTATTATGGCTCTGGCCAATTTATCGTCCACTAAACCAGAGCCACTGTTATTAGAGGACATAGTTGGAGCTGTGTTGAATTGAAAAAATTGGGTTCCAGGTATTTAAGAATCTTGGCTCCGGCTCAGGAGCTAGTTCCTAGATAAGCACAGCATTTCTGAATTTTATTTTGCTCGGTTCTCCTATTTCTTAGGGATGGGGTTGGTCCTTATTTTTTGGATATTCCTTTATTCTTATCCTTAAAAGGTAAAGATTATCTTAGATAAAACAAACTTCTTTATTAGCCACAATATCCAAAGATTGTCTAGGTTCAGCAATTTGTGTTTCACACCGAAATCTATTAAACATTTTAAATTTAATAGTTAAATTAGCTATTTCATTTAAAAGTTCATTTGATTGAGTCAATTCTTTAAAAATAAAATTTTTTTTTAATTATTTGAACAAAAATATTTTATTTACCGACAGCTTCATTTGACGCCCTCTCCTTCTCTTTTGAAGGTAAATATTTTAATTTATTATGTTGCTGTGATCTTGAGAAAGGCACAGAAATTGTTGCACGGTAATTACGTCGTCCAAAAGATTCTAAACGTTCTTTTGGAGGAACAAAAATTGGAATCATTTTTCTATCAAAAACATTTTTCCAATTAATTCTTTCCATATAAACATGATTTTGAACATTTTCAAAATTTTCTACCCGCATAGTTTGATCAGGATTAATAATTGCTCTAAGGAAGGAAATGAGATCAGATGGCCATCTACTAGGCATTGTAACACTACGAGTATATATTATATTTAATGCCTAAAAAATTGAAGAAAATTTGTTGAGATTTGTGTAAAGTATAGCCTTCCCCCACTACTTTAGAGGACTGTTAAGAATTAAAGACAATCCCTCTCAAAATAATTTTTAATTTAAAATATGAGGAAAGGAATTACCCCAAAATTTAAGTTTTTTGGGTATAAAAAATCCTAAAGTAAGAACCTGAAGTGAAGAAAAAGTTGAGGGATATTCATATGGAGTACGTCCACGAAGCATTTCATAAAAACAAACACCTTTAATGATTTTTTAAAAGCTTTTTTTTTTGTTTAAAAAATATTTTTTATTACCAAGCGCCCACCAATCCACTCTCCAATCATACCCTCTAATATTGCCAGTAAAAGTGAGGTATATTTCTGGTGCCATATAAAGATGGGTGCCTAAAAAATAATTTTAATTGATTAAAAAATTAATTTACCAGAAAGTGTATTCGCTAATTCTCCTTTTAAAAGTCTTTTGGCTAAACTGAAAATTTAGAAAAAAAATATTTAAAATTAAAAATTTGTTCTAAACCTAAAATCACTTAAATGTGAATGTCCTTTCTCGTCTAATAAAATAATTGCTGGCTTTACATCAAAATGGCCAATTCTAAAAAATATTTTTTTAATTATAAAAGATTTTATTGCTACACAACCCTAAGAATATTTTTTAAGTAAAAGTTTAAGGTCCCATAAACAATTCTCTCTGGTACATACACAAATTACTGTATGAGAGAGAGAGAACTTTTACTGAAATACAGATTAGTCTCGAAGTTCCCCCCTGGGGTTTAAAAATAAGGTGTAAATTAAATAAAAGCATCTCTTAGACAGCTCCCCAATCTAATGGCCAAACAAATTTTAAAAAATCTAAAAGCGCTGTGTTCATAAATTTACTAGTATATAAATTTGAGACATGATTACATTTTAGATTTAGAATTCCTTCCTTTAATAAAATAAATGTTAACCTTTGTCTATGTAAATAATCAAGTGCTAATGCCAATTCACAAAATAATCTTTAATTTATTTTCTTTTTCAAAATTTAATTTAAAAAAAACAAACAATTTAGCTCTAGATTCGGAGAAACGGCCCTGATTTTTTAAATGATAGGCCAAATCCCCTCCAGGCAGTAAATCACTAATCATATAAATTTGGTCGGAGTCCTGTCAAAATATTTAATTTAAAATTTTTTAAATGATTCTAAAAAATCTTATATTAATTCCGAAAAACAAAGATTTTCTAAAGTAGTTAGTATTTTCTTGAAACCGATGTTTCATTTCTCAATACATGATTCTAGAAATGTCCAAAATCCTTAGTCTTGGGGTCCAGTATTGGTTCCGAATTTGGAAAATTTTTGGTTTTAGACAACTCTATGTGCTTCTAAGCAGAGAATTTGTCTTAAGAGAATCCCCGTCATTTTTAAATGAAAAATTAATTTTTTACCTGAAATGCATACCAAAGTGAACAAATAAAAGGATGAGTTAATCCTTGAAGTAAATTTAATTCACTTAAAATTATTTAAATTTTTTAAAAATAATTTTAAAAAACTTGAGGATATTTTCAACAAATTTATATTTACAAATTCTTCGTTTTTGCATTATTTTTAGAGCATATTCTTTTTTTAATCCTTTGTGATAAACAACATAAACCTTTTTTTAAAAAGAAGTTAAAATAAATTATTTAATTTATTGGACCACACTGATAAAAGGTAGGAGATCTCTCCTAATTACCAAAATTCCTCGATATTCTCTTAATTTCAAGCTTTTAATTCACCAAACTTAAATGTAAAGAATACCCGATCTACTACTTCCTCCAAGTCCACTGAATTATCACAAATAACCAGATAAACTACAAAAGTTTCCTCACATTTATTACACCTAGATAACTCTGTTAATCACCAAATCAATTCATAATTGATCCTAATCCCTCTATATCCTTCCATGGGGCCAACTTTTCAGCACCGCAGGCGGAAATTTTGAAAATAAGATTTTCGGACCCGGATATCCGAAGATTTCCAACTATCCCCAACCTTAGTAGCTATAAGTGAGGTTCAACTATAGCATAATTTCTAACCTTTCCAAAAGTTCCAATGCCAATAAATTTGGAAATTTGGAAGTCTAAAAAAAAGAAGATTTTAAATAATTATTAAAAGGTTTAAGGGGGAAATTAAACAAAAGGAGAACCTGTTAAATCGGTTTCTGATGGACATAACAATCCCTGATGACGAATGGAATTCCGATTGCCCATAAATTAAATAAATACATATTTTGTGTAGCTAATTTTTAATTTAATTTTATTTATTTATTTAAACATTTTAAGGCTGTCAAAATTTCTTTAAATAATTTGTGAAAAAAGAGAAGTTTTAAATAATTTAATTATCTCACAATTTTCTCACAAATTTTTTTATTAAATATTTTATTTTAAACAATTTATTTTTTAAAAAGGCATTTATATTTGTGTATAATTTACACAAAATTAGTGAGAAATTCCGTGGGAAATTTAAGTAAATATTTAGCGGAAAAAAAGGAGAAAATGGTTTTGGCATGGCAAAAAAAAGGGAGAAAAAGTCTAAAAAGGAAAGAAATAATAATAAAAAAAACATTTTTGCCTTATTTTCGCCCTCCCCCGCCATTTAAGAGAAGAAGGATATTTTTGCTTTTGCTTTCCCCTTTTTTGAAGTCGAGAAAGAGAGAAACACTAACTCTGACCATATTTGCTCGATATAATAAAGGAAAAGTAAGGGGAAAAGCTTTTGCAGCTGCCACTGTTTCACGTGTTAGGGCAACTCGCAGAAAAGACAATTCGAAAAAGACTGGAATACTTAAAAAAGAATTAAGGGAGAACATAAACAATTCGAAATTGGGATATAAAGAATAAAGAAATTTATTCGAAACTAGTCGATTATTGTTTCGAAGAAGGAAAATTAAATATTTTAAATTTTCAGGCGTAAATTCACTCCCTCAAAAACAATTTCCACTCTTTTTATTCCAAAATTGCCCCTGTCAGTTATCATTCTTCGAATTACCCCTTTCTACCATCATTTTCTAACAAAAAAAGTCGCTAATGTCAAATAGGAAAAATTATTAGACAAAAAAAGGAAAAATAAGAGAAAATTCAAAGGACTTTTCTTTTGTAAGCTAAACCAAAACAGCAGCTAACAAACAAACGCAGTTAAAGCGATAAATGTAAAAAATAAAAGAGAAAAGAAGAAACATACATATCTACTTATATTCGCTTTTCTTTAAATTTTTTTAAAATGAATGAGGGAAAACAAAAAAATTTCGCGCACCTTTCTTTTAAAAAAAGCCACTTAAAATTAACAAAAAAAAACTTCTTTTCTATTTATCAAAAATATATTTATTTTGTTCAATCCTCCTCTACTCATTTTACATTTAAAAGTCAATAAAAGAGGTGTTAATTTAAAAAAATAAATTTTTAAAAGAAAATTAATTTTATTTAATTAAATATACATTGTATAAAATTGAGAAAAATATTTTTTAAAAATATATGCGAATTTGTGTTAGTCTTTTTATCACAGAAAAAATATTAAAAAATCTGGCAAATCAATTTGATTCTTTATTGAATTTTATAGTCTCTACGTTCATTTGAGAATTTAATGCCTCCTTAAAAATAAAAATATTTTTAAGTTTTAAAGAAATCAAGTGTAAAAATTTTAGTTATCAGAGTTTATATTCCTCTCAATTTTCGGTAAAAATTAAAAAGGTCTATCTATCTATATTTAATTTAACACACACAATTTGTCCCTAATTTAAATTTAGTAGTTGACCATTTGTTGTGAGCTACCTAAAGCCTCGTTTAAATAAAAATCACACGCGCTTGCGATATAAAAAATATTAGAAAAAGAGGAAAGAAAAATTGCGCCCAGTTTATCTATCCTTCTTTTGAATAGTAACATCTATCACAAAAAAGCAACTTCTAACAGTAAGTAAATATAGAATTAGATTTACCTCTCACAATCAATAAAAAATTTTTAGCCCAAAAAGCGTATCTTATAATAAAGTTTATCAAATATTTAATTAAATACCCATTTCCAAAATAGCTTTGTCAGCATTTTCTTCCCAATTTCCTGGTAAAGGAACTTTAGCATTTCTCTCTGTTTGCATTTTTTGTCGACATTTTGTTTTGTTTTGGTCAGATAAAGCTTCAATTCCCGCACATCCCCAAACCTCAATTTGTTGGACATTATTGAAATCCCCATCAATTGAAAATTGAGAAAAATTGCCAAAATATAAACCAAGTTTGGATGTTCGGTGTTTGAAATTACCTAAAAAATAATTTATAAACTTTCTTGAGCAAAAAAAAGGGAGCGGGTACGAAGTTCAATTTAACCTAGATTTTTAGTAAAACCACCCCACTAAATTATACAAAAATATTCAAAAACAAAAATCAGAAAACTTTCATTCCCTATTCCCAAAGACTCCAAAAAAACAATTTAAATAACAAAAATTTCAAAAAAAAACTTGCAATATAAGGCAGGGGAAGGTAAATCAATCCTTCTAAATTCTGGAGAAAATTTAAAAAGTACACATTGAGGGCCCCCAAAAGACTTGCAGCTGTGCCTAAAAAATATATTTTTTCTTAAATAAAAATTGAAAAAAACCTCCATTCTTCATCTGCAGCAATTCCATAAAGTTGGTTATCAGTTAAGTTAAAAATAGCTACAGTCGGTCCTCGATAGTCAAAAACATTTGCTTCAAACCTAAAAATAAAAGAATTTAAGGAAGTAAAAAATAATTTTTAAAAAAAGTAGGGGAAAATTTAAAAGACAAATATAAATAAAAAGGCGTTACTTTTTGTCTATATAAGTCGCTTTTTGAGAGAATCTTTTCTCCTAAATTATTTTTAGTCGAAAGACTAATTTAAGTAAACGAGGTTTTAAAGATTTAAACAAAAAACTAAATTCGAATTTAGAATAAAATACCCCTAAAATATAAAAAATTCTTTTAAAAACTAACCTGTTTACAGAAAGTCCATTTTTTGTACTAGAATATAGCAAAGTCCAATCCTCCCGAGAATCAATTGATATAGGTTTAGGCCAAAAAATAGTTGTTGGTAAACTTTGTCGTAAAACAAAAAATTGAATTGGAGACAGAATTTCTGATTGTAAATTATTTAAAATTATCTAGAAAAAAAACAAAAATTATTTTTCTTTAAAAATAACCCCCACAAACATTTTGTTTTCCAAAGAAAATTTTATTAATTTTGTCAAAAACAGGCTCAACAAGTCTCGGACAATTTTCTTCTATCCACAAATTAGTTGAATTTATATCATCACCTTTTGATGTCTAAAAATAATTTTTAAAACAATTTCAACCATAATTCCCAACCATTTGTTTACAAAAAGAATTTACAAAAAATTCATCATTTTTGTTTATTTTTATATTTGCTAATTCAACACAAACTTCAAACTAAAATTTAAATTTTTTAAAAATATTAATTAAAAAAACCAAATTTTTTGGAGAAATTAAAATTTTAACAAGTCCAAAAGAGCTAATTTTATTCAATTTATTTGCAATATTCTCAAATTTTTGTTTATCCATTATGTCAGAATTTTGTTGAAAAAAATTCCAAAGAGAAGAACCAAGTCTTTCACCAAATTTTTCCTAAAAAAATATTTTTAAAATAATTTTTTAAATTAAAAAATACTTTAAATTGATTTAAATTAATAACTTCTCCATTATCAGAAATTAATTTAAAAGAATTTGAAATTTCTGTATTTGTTGTTGATTCTTCATGTTTTTGTGATCTTAATTGTGTGCTGCTTTGTTGATTACCCATAATTAAATTAAAAATTGAAGAATATTTTGTAAAAAAATTAAAAATAAAAATCTTTAGTAAACTTCAATTGATATGTGACAAAATGAACAATTTTGTACTTTGTGGCAAAATGTCTTTTTGTTGAAATGATTGTTTTACTTAGAGAAATTTCATATTATCAATTCAACTTTTCATATTTTTTTCTTAAAAAGATTTTTGTAAATTTAGATAAACAAAATTAAGATTAAATTATTTATTTATTTTTCCAAGTTTTTAGTTTAATTAACAAATTTAAAAATGTTTTTTGAGCCTGGAATGCCCCCGACAATGTCAGATGGAAGAGTTTCTGTTCAAGCAAGAAAGATGGCTTTGGAAGATTTTACAAAATTTTTAAGTTTTGGAGTTATTGTGGAAATTTGTAAGTTTTTATTTTTAAAAATATAAAATTTAATTTTATTTAATTTTTAGTTGTTTATGGAGCTAGATATTTTGGATTTGACTATTTTTTGAATTAATGTTTTGAAGAAAAGAATGAGGGTTTACAAGTGATTATTGAAGAGAAAATGTTGTTTTTCTTTTTTTGGTTATCAAAATTTTTTAAATAAAATTTTTTTTATTAATTTTTAAAATGTTTTTCCCTTTTATTTTCTTTTAAATTTTTCTCATTTTTTTAAATTTAAATTTTTTGATTTAAAAATTAGATGGAATCTCTAGATCCACAAACTGCTCGATTTATTCAAGAACTTCGGCAGGAAGGTGAAAGACAAAAATTTCACGAACAAGTTATATTTATTTAAAATGTTTTTAAAAAATTTTCCCCCTAAAAGGTTATGACGATTTGTTCAAAATGTTTTGATATTTGCGCTCCAGATGCTAGACCACCAAATAGAATGGATGCAAAGGTTTGGTGACTTTATAATAATTTTGAAAATACTTGAGTGGCCCTTATTAATTTTTGCAAAAGGTTTGGAGAATATAAAGGGTAAAGGTTAGGATTCGGTTTGGGCTTATTTTATGATGGTTCTATTAGTTTTCCATCCATTAAATTTTGTATAGCATGAATTTCTTTTTAAATTTATTTAAATTTCAAAGTCGCTTACCACGAATTGCTATTTAATGAAGCCTTTATCTTTTTTTGCTTAATTGATTATGATAAATAAATTATCTCTACTCTCCTTGATTATTTGCTAAAAATATTTTTTTTATTTTTTTAAATTTCTTTTCGCTTTATTCCCTCTCAACTTTTAATTTTTTAGTTAGAAAATTGTATGGTTAATTGTGTTAATCGAATGGCAGATGCTACTGAATATCTTGCAAAATGTTTGGAACAGAAAATACGTTCACATTCGTCTGGAAATGATGGCGGTTTTTCTTAGATTATTTAAAAAATAATTTTTGTTTTTTTGGATTTTAAAAAATAAATTGTTGAAATTTTTTAAATTTTCCGTCAATAAATATATTTCTCTGAATGTTTTGATTATTTAAATAAGCTTTTTTGTTTATATAAAAATATTCTTTTTGAATAATCAAAAAGTTTCTGTTTGATTTCCTCCGATAATTTTGGAAAAAACTTTGTTTGTCCAATAACTTTAAAAAAATTTTTTTTCCTCATATAAAATAATTTAAAAAAATATTTAAATTTATTTTTTTAGCCAAATTCAAATAAATTTAATTTTTAACATTATTTAAAAACAGTTATCCACATAGAACCTAAATTCTTTAATTTCAAATTTTTTAAATATTTTTTAGACTTTTTTTTGCGCGTATCATCATTTTGTATTGAATAAATAATCGTCAGGGAAATAATTTAGGGAAGGATTAACACAAATCTGTATGTAGAGCTTCTCTTCTCTCTTCTCCACAAATCCCCTCTCCTCTTTTCCTCTCTTTTTAAACAAAAATTTCCAATTTTCTCTTCAATATTTTTATGTTTTGGACTTTCTATTTTTATTCCCATGGGCGTTTTTGGGTCATTCTTTTAGTTATTTTTGCAAACAAAGTGTCCAAAAAAGGCAAAAATTGTTGGCACTTTATGGTTTTTAAAAGTATTTTTAAGCCATTTTTTGTCTTTTTTAACAATTTTAAAAATAACAGTTAATTCTCTTATTTTTAAAAATACTTAAATTGAATATCCCCAAAAAGTATTATCTAACAAGAATTCTTTTTTACCTTCGAAAATTACAGAATTTTAGAAAATTTAATTTTAATTTTTTGGAGTATTTTTAACCATCATAATTTCCTCTAAATATTTTAGCGAAATTTCATTTCTCAAAGTAAATATCTTATGATTATTTTATGGGGGCGACATAACGTCAATCTACTAATTTTTAAAGGATTTTAAGGATTAAAAAAACTTTTTAAAGAAAAAATCTTTTTCTCTCTCTCTCTTTTTACGCTTTTCCAAACCGTTATAATAACTTTTACCTTTTCTACTAAAATAATATGTATGTTTTTTCTTCTAACATAAAATAATTTATTATAAACAAGTCGCGCAAACACCTCTAAAAATTAAAAAAGAAGTTTAGACGTTAAGCTGTTTGGCGTTAGAAAAGTTACATTTATTTAATCATTCAAATTTTTTGCATGTAATTTATTATTTTTTAAATAAATGAGAGATCCTTCCTAATTTAATTGATTTATAAAAAAAGGTTATTCCTCTTTTGATTGATATCTTTTAAGAGTTTTTATTTCCCGAATCTGTTAAGGAATCTAGAGAATTTTGGAGTAAAGCATATGGGCTATATAACTATTTCTCTCCTTCAGCTAGTACAAAAGGTATTCGGCTGCCGGATTGATGTCTTATCCATTACACCACGCCGCCTACTGCACAGCCTTAGGAATTAAATAGCTAATATAGGCTTTACATTGGCATGATTCTAATATTAACTCAGTCAGAAATGTCTATAACATTGTTTGAGTGACAAGGCTGCTCCATAAAAAAACTTTTGGACTTAAATTATTCCAATTGTTGAAGAAAAGTTAGAATTCTGAACTAAATATAATCTTGTCTCCTTCTTTTTTTGCGCCCAAATATATCCCCTTTTATCAGCTTATAACACCTCTCAAGCTTTTATATATATTTTCTTTTTTTTCATTTAATTCCCCAATGCTTGCCCTTATTTCCTCCTCCTTCCTTCTATTTTCCTTTCATTTACTCTTATTATTAAATTAATGCTATACTGCGCGAGTTGGTAGGGGAAGGAATTGGCGTAAATATAAATAAATATATTTTGGTAGAAGGAGGGAGGGAAAGGAAAGGCAGTAAAGTCTTTTTATTTAATCCATCTATCCATTCAATTCTTCTTTTCTCTATTTAAGTGTTTGTGGTTTTAGTGGTAATAAAAACGAAATTGAAGGAAATGTATATACAAAATAGATCCAAGGACAACCAAAAATTTTGAAAAAAAGCAAATTTTCTTTTTAATTTTTTAAAAATTTCAATTGACTAGAAAAAAAAATAAAAAAAATTGTATTTATTTTTGTCTAATTTAATTTTTTTTCTTTTATTTGCTTTTTATTTATTGTTAAACTAGGCAAATATTTTTAATTAGTAATTTAGTTTTCTACAAAATTATTTTGTTTTGAGGGAAATTTTTAACAGATCACACTTTTAAGAATCTATTTTTGTGTTGTCTCCCTACTTAATTAATTATTGTCTCATTTTTAAAAAGTAATCTTAAGAAACTGAGAATGAGATTTGACATAAAAATGACCGGGAATACATATTATCTTTTAAAAATAATTTAAAAATTTTTACTAAAAATTTAATTGTTTTTTTCCTTCTTCAACGATCAACCAAACCTTTCGGACAAAAAAATTTAAAGAAAAAAAGTACTACTAAATATTTATTTATTTAATATTTCTGTGTGGTCCTTTTAAAAAATAATTTCTTCCATTTTTTTCAATTATTTTTGTACGTTTTTTAAAGAAATAATGAAAATGTAAAAATTAAATTTAAAGAAAATGTTAATTTCAATTTCTTCAAAATTTATTTTCACAATTTTAATTTCTTTTTTAAATTACTCAAATTCCCTCAAATGTAAATGTACACAAAGTTCACCGGTAAATTTTTAAATTTAAAATTTAATAATTTTTTTCTTTTATTTTCAGAAAGTCCCTTGTCAGGTATTTTTATTTTAATTGTTAAAAAAAGAAAATTCTCTGGAAAGTTTTTTTTATTTAAGCGGGAGGGAAAGACAAGGAAGGGGAAAGCACGTCGCTTTTCCCTCATAATCTGTTAAGTTGGATCCAGAAGGGGTTAGGGAGAGTTTCTATTGTATTTGGCACAAGAGATTTAAACCAAAGCTCGTACCTCGAAGTTTTAAACATCCGCAATTTAATTTTGGACTAAAAATCCTTATTTTATATCAAAAATCAGTTTTGGAAACCCTAATTAATAAACGGGAAGGTAAAGACTGCGGTAATCCTGCAGAATCTGGGATCCACTTTTAAAAACCTTAAAAATCATTGTTTTTTTCTGAAAATCATTTTATTTAGGTAATCGATCATGCTGAGTCCGAATCTGATATCAGATTTTGTCAAATATGACATTTTATCTATGATTTTTTATTATATGCTTGATTTTAGGTCGCTTTAGTATTTGCCCACAGTTTTTCCAGCGAAGATTCCGTTGGTCATAACTTAGTTCAGAATCACCCAATCAAGCTGATTTTGGTGTCATTCAACTCAGCTCGTCGAGCCCTTTCGAATGAGCTATCATTTGTATATTCGAATTTTTTGACCCCAAAAATTTTCTAAGTTCGGGGGTCTATAACTCGGCCCTATGGAGTCGGATCGCGATGATTTCGGTGGCATTCGACTCAGCTCGAAAGGTTGAGTCAGATTAGCCCTAAATTTTTAATTTCGAAATTTTACCCCTCTATTCGACTTGGTCGAATTCAGGTCCGGGGTTCAAAATAAACAAATTCTAAGCTCAGATTCGGACTCAGCATGATCGATTACCTAAATAAAATGATTTTCAGAAAAAAAACAATGATTTTTAAGGTTTTTAAAAGTGGATCCCAGATTCTGCAGGATTACCAAGACTGCACCACAAATTTTGCAACACGAAAAATGATTATTTTGTATTCCTCACATCTTAATTTAAATTTAAAGCACGGCGTTTGCGAAGTGCCAACAAAAATCTCCTCTTGTCTAATGCTTGGTAAGAAATATTTTTTAATTAAAAATAATTTATTACTATTTTTCTTCTTAAAAAAAGATCACCCAAAATCTGGACTTCATTATGCTTGCTCAACAAATGCTAATTTAGGTGAAGGGGAATGTGTGGAGAAAAAATCAAAAACAGGAGCTAATGTTAAAGTAAATTATTTAAAAGAATGAGAATATTTATTAATTTAAAATAATTTTTGAAAAAAAGACAAGAGAAAATCTATCTCGATTATCTAATATTTATTGTAAGGATGATTCACCTAGAACATTTAAAACGCTTAGGTGGGGGTTAGACGATCTAAAAGGATAAAAGAAAAAGCATTAGTCGTTGGCACGTAGCTCATTTGTCAGTGGTAGAGCTCCTATAAGCGGTGAGCGAAAGCGCCTAGCAATAACTGTCAGAAAGGTACAGGTTCGAATCCTGCCCGGTGGTTAAACTTTTGCTAAACATATTTTTGGGATTTTTGGCAAATAATTTAGCGAGTGTAGGAAAAGCGAAAAGAATTTCGTATGTATATTTAGGGGGAATTCTTAGTAAAATATTGGTTAGTAGTAAAAATTTACTAAAACCCCCCTCTAATATTTTTTTGAAGAAATTAAAATTTAAATTAACTAAAAAGGTCTGTTCTTGTTATTCTTCCGATTTTTGTAATTTCAAAATCTGGCCAGATGGACAGGAATTGGAAGAACAAAATAGTAAAAGTGAAGAAGAAGATGACGATGATGGGGAAAATTCAAAAGAGTATGAAGAAGAAAATAAAAAAGGAGAAATATTAAATACAAATAATTCAATTAATTTAAAATATTCTTTTTTAATTATTTTTATTTTAAATTTATTTTTTTATTTTATTTTAATTAAAAATTAAATTATTTATAAAATTTGGCACTTTTTTGTTACTAATTAAAATATGATATTTTTAAACTAATCAATTTTTTCCATCACAAATTATTCAAATTTCACACCCTAAAAATTAAAAAAAAATTTTTTAAATTATTTTTAAATTTTAACCTGAGCTAAAGGTAAATCCTTTCCAAAATTAATTGTGCAAGTAGATCTACGCATATAATTCTTAAAAAAATAATTTTAATTTTAAAAAATAATTTATTTATTTTTTACTTTCCAAGCATCAGAACCACTTTCTCTTCTAAAAATTTTAAAATTTAAAAATTAAAATTTACTCATCCCTACCCTCCCCCAGTTTCTTTTTCTCCACCAAAAGCACCCCCAATTTCCGCACCACTTGTACCAATATTTACATTTACAATTCCACAATCACTTCCAAATGGTCTTTTAAATTTATTTAAAATTTCTATTTATTCCCTCTAAATCTACCCAATCCATTTAAATAAACGTTCAACATTTTGTGTAAATAATGAAGAAGAAAGCCCTTGTCTAGTTTCATTATTAACTGAAATTGCTTCTTCAAAGCTATCTACTCTGAAAAATTATAATAATTTTGGTCATTAGAAGAAAAAAAGGGGTAAATTGGGGGGAATTTTCCTCTTTCCTTTTCTAGCACTGTAATATATGTAGATATAGTACACTTTAACCTAAAATATTTTCTTAAATTTAGTTAGCTAATGGGTGGAAAAATTGTTTAAGCGATACTCGATAATTAAGATACCCTTCATTATTAATCTCCGAGTATTTTAAAGTATAAGTTTTGATTGTTTCAGAAAAAAACCCTTTTTCTTCGAAATATTTGGTTATTTTACAAAATTAATTTAAAAAATTTACTTTAAAATATAGCAAATAGGTGCAAAAGTTTCTTTCAAAACCAAATCAGAATTATGTTTCAATCCACTAATTAAAGTAGGTAATACATAATTTCCTTTTAATTCCTCCAATATTTTACCTCCACATTCTACTTTACCTCCCTTTTTAAAAATAAATTAATTTTTTTTACATAATTTTTTAAATTCTCAAACATTAGCAATAGCCTCAGCAATTGCCGATTTATAAGCAAGAACAGAAGTTTTTGTATGTAATGGGCCAACCAAAGTATTTTCGTTTAACTAATTGAAAAGTAAAATTAACAAAGCAAAAACTCCTTCCCTCTCTCATTTAATTTTGGGACAAATAATGACTGACAAATAATAATTCCCCCTTGCGGGATCCTTTATCGCTCACTCGGGACAAACAAATTGATGTTATACCGTGAGAGAGGAATTAAGTGAACAAAAAAATTTTCTAAAAAATTTTAACCGGATCTCCAATTCTCGACTCAATTTGTTTAAAAGCATTTGTCAACCTTTCAATAAGAACATCATAAACTTGTTTATGTACAATTAAACGTCTAGTTGTTGTACATCTTTGACCTTTAAAATTAGTGTGTTTTTAATTTTAGATATTTAAAATTTTTTGTCTTTTCATCGAACACTTTATGGCTTTTTCAAATTTATTTTTTTAAAAGAATTTCCTTCCTTCCTTCTTTTCTCCCCATAAATATCTACTAATCAAATATATTCATTTGCCTGTAGTCCCAATACAAGAAAAAGTAACTGCAGGCACAACCAAATCTAAATTAGCATCTTCCATCACAATAACTCCATTATTCCCTCCAAGTTCAAGAAGTAACTATTTTAAAACACAAAAAATAATTATTCTAATTTAATTAAAAAAAACTTTTCCAAAGCGTGCTTGTACTTGTTGACCAACAATACGGCCAACTTCTGTAGAGCCCGTAAACGAAACTAAATCCACTTTTGGATCTTTTGTTAATAATCTACAAAAATATTTTTATTTTCACATTTTCTCTTCTTTTACTAAACAATTTTTGTAAATATTTACTAGTGACCGACAATGGATTTCACATTCATGCCGGACTGGATCCAGCCGGAAAACCCGGATTTGGGACCCGGACTCCGGAAAAATCCGGCCGGATCCGGTTCGGTTACTGATATTTACTATAAAAGAGCACATTAAATTATAATCTCCCTCAGAATCCTCAAGAATATATACAAATTGCTGCTCTATTATTCATCTGTTCGATCAACGACAACAAAAGGGAAACTGCTCTACAATGGTGCAAGGAAAGTTTGTGTCCTCCCTAATTGTTGTGTTCACTATTCTTCTTCTTCTTCAACTTGTCTCTGCCGATGACTGCGAGTTCCAAACGAAGCACTATGCCATCTCTGGATTTGTTGGGTTTGGAGCCGTGTTGGGAACGTGAGGAGTTTTAAATGTTTAAATAAAAGATTCTTTTTTTAAGCTTTCTCTTGATTGGAAGTATCTGCAATGTGTCTGCGTACTGTGCTGGCCCATCGTCGAAGAAGCCATAAACAAAAGAAGGCAGAAAGATGAAGATAGGAATATGTAGGAGATGATAAATAAATAAATATGTATTCTAAATAAATATATTGTTGTTTTGCTATTGTATCCCCTTCTAAATATATATTTTTGTTTGTTTGTTAACTGTCACTATCTTGTTTAATACATTTTCAATTAAACGAGTAACAGCAATGTAATGTTTGAGAGATAAAATAAAATCCTTGCTTCTTTTTTGGAATGTTCTTTTGTAGCAATTTCCCCTTTGTTGTCATCGTTGGAGAACTACGAGAAAGAGGGGGCAATAAACCATCTGAACATTAACTAACTAAACTAAAACATACAATCCAACATCACTCCCTCCACAAATTAAAGAACAAATAGATGGTGGAAGATTGTTGTCCTTTAATACATTTTCAATTAAACGAGTAACAGCAATTGCGGTTAAAGAAGTTGTTGGGGCTGGTTTCCAAATTAAACAATTGCCACAAGTCAAAGCTAAAGCAGCATTCCAACCTTTTGTTTAGGGAAATTTATTAACTGTCAGAAATTGAGGGGAGTGTTGGATGTGTATTTTAAACTAAAGTCTAAATTTAAGTTCAGTTCTTCCTTTCAAAATTCTGTATAAAAAACAAGGAGAAAAAATTATTTTTAAAGAAAAAACAAGCATCAACCCCCCCCCGTCTTTTCGGTGAACAGTCCCCCCAACAATTAAAATAAATTACCATAAACAGCTGCAGGGAAATTAAAAGCAGTAATTACCCCAACCTTTAAAAAATATTATTTTTTAATTTTAAAGTTTCTTTTTTAAAAACAATTCCGAGAGGATTCCACTGTTCCAACAAAACATGTTCTTTTCTTTCTGAAGGTATAATACTTCCACTAAACATTCTAGACAATCCTGTAGCAAAATCAGCAATATCAATAATTTCCTGTATTTCCCCCTTTCCTTCTGACAAAATTTTTCCCATTTCCAATGAAATCTTTGGATAAAAAGAAATTTCAAAAAACAATTTTTTTACAAAAACACCAATTTTCCAAGGTTTTCACATTGTTTTCTCAAAGAATCCCCAATTTGTCTGACAATTTCCCCTCTGGCGGGGGCTGGTAGATTTTGCCAAATTTTGATAGATTCTCGAGAATATTTTAAAGTACGTTGATAATCCTTTAGTAAAAATTCTTTTAATTAAAAACTATTTATTTTTTAATACTTCTTCAGAGGCTAATTGTACTTTAGCAATTGGTGTGTTTGTTGAAGGACATAAAATGTCAATAATCTATTTTTAATTTTAAATGAATTTAAGGTTTTTAAAGTTATAATTTTAAAACTCAAATAAATTGAGATTTTATTAAGGGAAGTAGTTTCAGAAAATAAGTCTTTTAACAACAAACAAAAAGTTCAATAAATATGTTATTGAAAATTTGTAAGGTCGTTAAATTAACCTTCCTAAAATAGTTGATTAAGCTAAAATAAAGAATAAAAGTTGACTATTGAGTAAAATATATAGACCCCTTGCTAGCTCAGAAGATTATCAGTCTCATTCAAGTTTTTACTTGTTTTTCTGAGATCCCCTTATCGGTCTTTTAATTATTCATTTTAATAAAGTTTCAATAAAAAGTAGAAAAATGGGGGAGAGCATAGGGGAAATATTTAGTAAATAAATATAATTTTTTAAATAAATTATTTAGAAACAATAACTTTTCCATTAGATATCCATTTATTTCCATCAAAAACACCAAAATTTAATTCAGAAATTCCCAATTCTTTTAAAAACAAATATTTATCAGAATTAATTAAATAAGTATTCATTTTAGCTATTTGTTGAATAAATAAATTTGTATTTTTTTTTAATTTTGTTTGTAATAAATAATTATTAATTTTAAATAACATTTTTTAATTAAAAATCATTCTATACTTTTTACTGATAAAAAAAGTAAATAAAAATATAATCAATTAATAAATATTTAAAAAAAATATTTAGTAGACACAGTCACGTTTACCTATTTACTTTTATTTAATTAATGGAAAAACAAAATTAAAAAAACCGATTAAAATTAATTAAATGCTGTAAATATAGAGAAATGAGATAATTTAATTAAAATAAAAATAAAAGAATTGACGGTAATTTTGAACTTCGTACCCCCCCTTCTTTTTTTTGTTTTAAAAGTATTAAAAATGGTCAGTCTTAAGATGAATATAGAACATAACGAGCTGTGTCGAACGACACCAAAATCAAAAAAATCCGACTTGATTTGACCGAGATACAGACCCCTGAAAATTGAACAACCATAGGGGCAAAAAACCAAAAGGACGAAAAAGTATACAAATGATAGCTCATTCGAAAGAGCTCGTCGAGCTGAGTCGAATGACACCAAAATCAACGTAGTGGGACGAGTTTTGACAAAGTTATGACATTGTTTAGACATACCGGAATCTGCAACTTTATGTCGTAACTTTGTCCAATCTTATCCAATCACGTCGATTTTGGTGTCATTCGACTCAGCTCGACGAGCTCTTTCGAATGAGCTATCATTTGTATACTTTTTCGTCCTTTTGGTTTTTTGCCCCTATGGTTGTTCAATTTTCAGGGGTCTGTATCTCGGTCAAATCAAGCCGGATTTTTTTGATTTTAGTGTCGTTCGACACAGCTCGTTATGTTCTATATTCATCTTAAGACTGACCATTTTTAATACTTTTAAAACAAAAAAAGAGGGGGGGGGGTACGAAGTTCAAAATTACCGAATTGACAATTATTCGAGGTGGTAATTATTTTTTGTAAAAAGGATTGTGAAAAAAGGATAATTAATTTTAAATTAAAAGATTATGATTTGTTGAGAAATTAAATAAAAATTAAGTTTTTTTAAAGTTTTTTTAAACAAATTTATTAAATTTTTGTTATTTTTTCTTATTCAAAATATTTATTTTTTATTTTATTTTTAACCTTCCTTTTTAACATTTTTAAAGGATTTTTATGGGCACGCACAAAAGGAAAGGAAAAGCAAAAGAAAAAGCACACAAAAAGCACACACAGACACAAAGCACGCACACACATAAAGCCGCAAATCCATAACTTGCTTCAAATTTTCCGAATCTTCCCAATTAAACGATTCCCTAATCAAAATAAAGAAATTGGTACCTAAATTTATAAGGGCCAGAAAATTTTTCAGCAAGTTATGGTTTTGGGCTTTTATGTCCCCTCTCCCCCCCCCTTTTTTTGGTAAATAGAAACTTATTTTAAAAAATATTTTGTATTAGAAAAAATACTTTTAAATGATCCCCCACCAACCAAATCAAGGTTTTAAAAGAGAAGCAAATGCCCAACACCAACAAACATTATCTACTTTACAAAAAGTTGTTAGATATGCAGAAAAAGGTTTTCTTTAAATAATTTTTAATTAAAAAATTAAATTAAAAGATGATTTTCTTCTTTATTTGACTGCTGCTTTTGGTTATTTTTGAAGAATTAAAAATAAAAAATATTTTTTTTAAAGGTATTATAATGCCTGGAATTATGTATTTTTTCTATCGTTATGTACATAATCGATATAAAGTTGAGGAGGGGAAGAGTATTTAAATAAAAAATAATTTTTATTTAATTTAGAATGCTCGAAAAAATAAGAAAAAAAGTAAAAATGAATTTAATAGAAGTACAACAATATTTTATTGTGGAGATTGTCCAGAAACTAAAGAAGTAATTAAATTTCTTTAGAAATTAACCAAATTTAAATCAAAGAATTAATTGGCATTTTTAACGGAAAATTAAATTGGTTATCCTCCCTTTTAAGGATCTTTTAAGGAATTTATCAGGGGCAATGAATGAGTGGAAAACTTAAACAATGGAGGATTCCTTGTTTTCTAAACATTTTTCTTTTTAATTTATGTTTAATTTTAGATAGCCTATAAATTAACAGAAAATTTACATTTTGATCCTTTTGTTGCCAAATTGAGTGCTTTAGAATTAGAAAAAGTCAAAAATTCCAAATCTTTACATATTTATATTTTAAACAAAAATGTTTTTAATCAAAATTCTTCTTCAATTATTACTCGATTTTCTGAATTTGTGGATTGGTTGGATGAATTAAAATATGAAAAAAGGGAAAGGTTTTTGCTTTAATTATATAAGAGAGAATCAAAATAAAATCCCGTTCAAAAATGTTTAATCCATTCTATAATATTTAAAAAAATTTAGGACTCCATTTTGTCGAATTTTTGTTTTTATCCCCAATTTCCTTCCATTTCTAAATAAATTAATTTATTCAATATTTTTATAAAATAAAAAAAAATTGGAATATACCTAACTCCGAAAATTGTAAAAAAGTCATAAAAGGAGAATTGGGGGAGAGGAAATAAAAATAGTTATTCTTAATTTTATTTTTTTAAATTTAATTTTTAAAGAAGCTATCTCCGACGTACACATTTTTTAATAATTTATATTAATGATGAAAAAGAAGAAGAGGAGGAAAATAATTTTAATAAGGTTTAAAATAAATTTAAATTAAAAAAAAATAAATTTGAAGGAATTAATTGATTCTTTTGAAAATAAATTAATTTCTCTTGAATCAAAACAATTAAATAAAACATTAATTATTGAAGGAAAGCAACAATTTACTCTTGAATTTTTTAATAAATTAAATGATTTGTTGAAACAATTTAATGTAAAATAAATTTGTTAAAATAATTAATTTATGGAGAGGGGGTTAAATCCTTTATTTACAAAAAATTATGTTGAAATTATCGATTCCAAAAAATTCTTTTTATACCCAAAAAAGTCCTTTCTATAAAATTAAAAATTATTTTTTAGTATGGAGAATTTGATTTATTAGATGCTGAAACTGATATTTACACGGAAAGTGAAAGGTTTAAAATTTTAAAAAACAAAATTTAAAATGAATAAAATTTTTAGTGAATGAAGAGGAGAGGAAATGTCAATAAACATTTTTATAATGAAACGATCTCGTAATCAACAAATTAATAACAATAAATAATCTACTTTGAAATATTTCTTAAATATCCATTAATTTGTGATTCAAAATTCAGTTTAAGTTTTTTTCTTCCAAAATTTTTTGATTTCTTCTTACATTTATTTTTTCCCAGCTAATCATTTTAATAATAAAATATACCTAATCAGCAAACCATTCATTTTTATTAGAATAAATAGAAAATCCTTTTATGGGAATGTCTTGTAAAATTAAAGTCATTTAAGCCTCATTTGTGATTTAAAATTCAGTTGGTCACTAGGTAGTTTACCACCAAAGGATTTACACCTACATATAAGTGAGGTCCACCTTTCTAATAAACAAATATAAAAAAATTTGTTTAGAAAACTTCTCTCAAAAAATTTTGTTTGTCGCTTAAGGACTAAAATCCTAAAATCATCAAAAAACAATACGTTCTGATGCGAGTCACGTTAAAGAAAAAAAAGTATTGTTTAGAAAATTCGCGCCAGTTGTTATAAATATTTTTTTAATTCTATTTTTTCATTAAGATAATTTTTTATAAATTTGCTTCATTTATTTTTATTTATCTTAGTTTAGTTTATTTTAAGTTATTTAGGTCTTTATAAATATTTTTTTAATTCTATTTTTTCATTAAGATAATTTTTTATAAATTTGCTTCATTTATTTTTATTTATCTTAGTTTAGTTTATTTTAAGTTATTTAGGTCTTTATAAATATTTTTTTAATTCTATTTTTTCATTAAGATAATTTTTTATAAATTTGCTTCATTTATTTTTATTTATCTTAGTTTAGTTTATTTTAAGTTATTTAGGTCTTTATAAATATTTTTTTAATTCTATTTTTTCATTAAGATAATTTTCTATAAATTTGCTTCATTTATTTTTATTTATCTTAGTTTAGTTTATTTTAAGTTATTTAGGTCTTTATAAATATTTTTTTAATTCTATTTTTTCATTAAGATAATTTTCTATAAATTTGCTTCATTTATTTTTATTTATCTTAGTTTAGTTTATTTTAAGTTATTTAGGTCTTTATAAATATTTTTTTAATTCTATTTTTTCATTAAGATAATTTTTTATAAATTTGCTTCATTTATTTTTATTTATCTTAGTTTAGTTTATTTTAAGTTATTTAGGTCTTTATAAATATTTTTTTAATTCTATTTTTTCATTAAGATAATTTTCTATAAATTTGCTTCATTTATTTTTATTTATCTTAGTTTAGTTTATTTTAAGTTATTTAGGTCTTTATAAATATTTTTTTAATTCTATTTTTTCATTAAGATAATTTTTTATAAATTTGCTTCATTTATTTTTATTTATCTTAGTTTAGTTTATTTTAAGTTATTTAGGTCTTTATAAATATTTTTTTAATTCTATTTTTTCATTAAGATAATTTTTTATAAATTTGCTTCATTTATTTTTATTTATCTTAGTTTAGTTTATTTTAAGTTATTTAGGTCTTTATAAATATTTTTTTAATTCTATTTTTTCATTAAGATAATTTTTTATAAATTTGCTTCATTTATTTTTATTTATCTTAGTTTAGTTTATTTTAAGTTATTTAGGTCTTTATAAATATTTTTTTAATTCTATTTTTTCATTAAGATAATTTTCTATAAATTTGCTTCATTTATTTTTATTTATCTTAGTTTAGTTTATTTTAAGTTATTTAGGTCTTTATAAATATTTTTTTAATTCTATTTTTTCATTAAGATAATTTTTTATAAATTTGCTTCATTTATTTTTATTTATCTTAGTTTAGTTTATTTTAAGTTATTTAGGTCTTTATAAATATTTTTTTAATTCTATTTTTTCATTAAGATAATTTTTTATAAATTTGCTTCATTTATTTTTATTTATCTTAGTTTAGTTTATTTTAAGTTATTTAGGTCTTTATAAATATTTTTTTAATTCTATTTTTTCATTAAGATAATTTTTTATAAATTTGCTTAAAACCCCGGAACGACGATTGATATGAGGCAATGAAGAAAGAGTGAGTTAAAAACCTCATTTTGAACTCGAGAGCGAGGTTCCCACGTGCTAGCTCGCTCGTCTTACTTCACTCGGAAGCAGATAACCCTTTTTGGAACGCACTGAACAGACTCCGACGTGGACTATCGATACGAAGACTGCTGCAATCATTCTGCTTCTGATTACTCTCAAGGAGCTACAACTGAGAACGCTGCCAATCGGAGTAACGGCAAAACTTCTCAGGTCGGGAATCCACTGACGAGGGATCAAAGAAGCTTGACCGCTAAAATAAGAAGTTGGGGTTAAGGGTGTTGATGAGGTGAATGTCTTAATCCCAAAGATTAAGACAGGGCAAACCAAACGAGGAGGCAAAGGGTTTTAGACGGCCAAGTTTAGACGTAGACGAAAGTTAGGCGAATATTCTCAAAAAATACCAAACAAAAGAATAAGAATATTTTAATAATATTTATTTAATTCAATACAATTTTACAATTATTTGTGTGTATGTGTTTGGAAAAGGGATTTGGTTGGTTGAATGGTTAAGTCAAAACTGATTATGTCAAAACATTATGGGGTATGAAAATGAATATGTCCAAACATTTATGTGTAAGTCAGAACTGTGTATGTCGAAACATTATGGGTATGTAAAAACATAAAGAGTGGGAAAAATGATTAGGTTTAAATAGGCCACAATCTATGTGTGTGGTATGGAATGTGGGCAATGGAAAAAATAAAAGACATTAAAAAATTATATGTTTGCGGTTAAAAGGTTGGGCGGAAGTGAAAATGGATGAAATTATTAAAAAGATTGGAATTTTAGATAAAAATGGATAATTTCATCCATTTATGGAAAAACGGAAAAAGAGCAAAAATAGGCGATAACGATCAAAAATGATGTCATACAAAAATGAAATTTATTAATTTAATAATTTTATCCTTCGACGAAAGTTTCGTCAGAAATTTTCGACATTGCCGCGGGCAGGCACATCAGTGGGTCCTTAGTTGTTAAGATTATGTTGATTAGTCGATTTAAAGTTTTAGTCGATATTCCATTTGTCGATTTTGCGTTTTATAAGTTTTGTTGTAAAGATTTGGTTTGAAGGTTTGCTTTTTATTTGATGAGGTTGAAATTTAAGATTATGATGTTTCACCACGTTCTTATTTAATTTAGTTTGTTTGGCTTCGCCAATAACATTAATTTGAAGATGCTTTTGATGATTACTTTTTAAATTTAAACTTGACGATTTTGTTGTGATTTTCTTTTGTTGAGTTTTGACGTTAAGGTTTAGACGGTTAAGGTTTGGGCGTTAAGGTTTAGACGTTAAAGTTTAGGCGTTAATGTTTAGACGTTAAGGTTAGACGTTTAGACGAAATGCTGTGACATTTGATGAGGACCCATTATTGATGAAATTTGAGTTGATGTTCATCCATTCCAAACGTTTGAAAAAATTACAAAAAAATGATTAAGAATTTGAGAGGGGCAGATACAAATATATGAATGAGGGAAAAGGATAAATAGAAAGATAAAATTTACAAAAAATTTCTTTACGGTTTCCTCCATTCCAATTCCATTGACCTCATTGGTTTCATCTGTGGGTGGTGGATCAAATGTAGATATCTATTTGTCGAAAATCTGTCCATTTGACGCAAATCTTTCCTTTTTCTGGAAGGAACATCCGGCCGGCCACGCAGAAAGTAAATTGAATGGAAGTCGTTGAATTGAATGGTAAAAATAGGCGCAGTTGTTTTGTTGTCGAAATGGTCGAAAGGGTTCAGGCGTATTAGTCGACGCATCCGCGATTCCAAATAAATTACATCCAAACGTATATTCTGGTGATATAGACGTAGACGAGATTGGGTTGGTTTTGTCGGTTGCTGTTTTGATTCCACTTGTCGATAAATTCGAAATGTTGGTGGTAGTTGCAAGAAAATGTATACAAATCCAGTTGACGTTTTGCCGATCATCCATATGCCATATCTGCCTGAGTGATGACATTTCATGATTGTTTCAGGTCCATTACAGAAATTAGCGCGGGGTTTTAAATATAAAAGTCCATCGCTGCTGATTAGTGCATGGTGTGATGTATCAACGTTGTTGGTTGGGTATGTTGCACAGTTTTCCAACAAGGAATATTGATCATGTCGTATACTCCAGATACATACTGTTTTGTCGTCTTGTTTGCTATAAGAATCGTGCATAGGTTGTTTGATATAAGCTTTAGACGTTTTGAATACATGTAGTTGACGTGGTCGTAGGCATTGGATAATCCCAATTACAACTCGAAGAATAAGGATTAAGCAAAACCATCCTGGATTGGTTGACGGATCTAGTTCGAATATTGTTTTGTCGATTTTGGCGTTGTCGATATTATCTTTTCCTGACGGGTGGTATTGGTCGGTTATTGAATCATGACAGGTTTTCCATTTGACGTTCTTCCGGTTTAACTGAATTTTGATCGGCGGTAATGTCGTTGGATTCTGAAGTATTGGTTGTGACGATTCTTTAGACGATCTATCAGGATTTACTGAGGTGTTGTCATTGTCGTTTTTGATTGTCATTTCGCTTGTTGTCACTTCATTACATTTTGCCAAAGTATGTATACGAATGTCTTCGGGCTGTTTTGACGGTTGAACACAATCAGTTAATTCTTCTTTCTGCAAAGGTATGTTGTCTAAAACCTCTTGTGATGCTTTTGATGGCTTTTCTTGAACAACTGGTTCTTTGACGGTATAACTGATCTGACTTCTTGACACAAGGCGAACAATAGTCAAAACACATTCACTACGAATTACTTTGCATGAAACTTCGATGTGTTTGGATATTAACTTCTCTTTGTCGTCGTAAGTTGATGAATCGAGAGTCGGTTTTGATTCTTCTTTCACTGCTTCAGGTTCCATTGTGTCCTGAGTTTCCATGACTGGGGCAGTCTCTTCTTTGACTTCTTTAACAGAAACCATTGACTCATGAAGCGAACACATTGCGGTCGTATCTCGTTGACTGTTGAACATCGTTGCATTTCCAACTGTTCCATCCGGGTTTGGTTCCTCATTTCGACGTGGTGATGTTTGGCGTTGGGACACATTTGAATTCGACGTTGGCGGTAATGTTGAAGACTGAACCCCAAACGATTGCACATCTAGACGTGGTGCAGGGTAACAAACTTGAGTTGTTGAATAGTCGATTGGATTCGGCGGTGGTGCGCAAATAAGGAAATGATGTTGACCACTTCCACACTTTCGGCAATTACTTAAACGTTGGCATTGCTCGGTTGTGTGATTTTGCTGCAAGCACTTCAAACATCGGCCTTGTTCCAATAGACGAACTTCACGTTGTTGAGGTGTTGAATATGTTGAACATTGGCTCGGTTTGTGACCAGGGTTACAACATAGCGAACAGAACGGTTCATTGTTTTCACGATAATTGTCGTTTTCGTTGCCTCCAGGAACTGCTATCGGTTGTTCCATTGGACGTGGTGTTGGTCGTGTTTCTTGTCGTACTTCAAATCTTTCCCTTCCATAAGCTTCATAATTATTTTGATCTCGATGTTGTTCTCTTCGTGGTTCATGTTGAAACGATGCTATACATTCTTCCGTCGCTTGTCGTATTTTGACGATATCCGCTAAGGCGTTCCGAAGATCCGTATCATCCCACCTTCTTCTCGAACGCAGCTCCTCTGTGATGAGCTGTTGCAAGACTTCTTGAGGAAGTTTTGATTTGATGATGTTGCAGATGAATCGTTGTTTTGGACCTCCTAAACGTTCAAGCTGCAAACAAATTCGTTCGACTTCCTTTTGAAATTGGGACAATTCTCGAAGGTTGTTTCGAATTGGCTGTAATTTTAAGAGTTGTGCTTCTAATTGGTCGCTGAGTTGATCGTCGTTACCATATTTATCCTTCAAAATTTCTTTGATGATTGGGTAATTGGTATCTGATGGTGGGTATCCAATGATAGCTTCACGAGCTGCCGATCCTTCTCTAAGATTTTGCAAGAGCAAGAGGTGTTTCTGGAAGAGAGGGTATGGTTGTCGATCGACGGCATGTTCGAATGCTGCCCAAAATGTACGCCACTCTCTAATATCGCCGCCGAACGTAGGTAGACGCACACTGTCGACTTTAAGAGCATTCAATGATGAAATGGTCGTTTGTGACGGTTCCTGACGAATTCTTAATTCTGGCTCGTAAGCATCTCTGTCGTTTTGTCGTACGTTTCGTCGCAGTCGTGTCCATTCTCTTTCTTCTTTTTCATCCGAATATAACTGACATCTTTCCTGGTTTGGCCAAATAATATGTGTACGTTGCGATTCGTTGAGGTTGATAGATCCTTGCGCACTTGGTGAATTATTACTGTTGCTATCTGTCATTTGACGCATGACTCGATAAGCCTTTAGATGGTTGATTGCCTCATTTGCCCGGTTGACCAAACTGGTGATTGGCCAATGATGTTGGATTTCATTTCGGTCTGATTTCTCGTCGTCAGTCAAGTAGTTGACTAAAAAATTCTCTTCCTCATCTTGCTTCGCTTCGCTTAAACCTTCCATATACTGATGATAGTGACGAATAACTGATTGGAGCTTCTCGGTCCTCTGAGATAGATGTACGAGTTCCATCTCAACTTCGATTAGGAGTTCCCGTTCCTCCTCTTCCGTGGGTGTCGATTTGATTTTGTCGATATACGAATCGGCATTCTTTAGACGTTCTACGAGTGACGTCACCGCTACACTGAGCTCTTGACGAAGTATTCGTGACATGTTGAAAGGTTAAGTGTTGTTAATACGTTGACGGAATTAACCAATATACGAATATAGAATTTAGACGAGTTGATTAGACGAAAGGGCTGCCAATAAAATAAATTCAAGGTGTACAGTTGGACGGCTTGAGGTCGCTGTACTGGTTCAACTATAGTCGTTTGTTCTGCTGGGAATGTTGGTCTTTGTCGACGGCTGATCCTTTCGGCGCAGACGAAATATAGTCGAATTGTTGTTTGAATTTGTGTTGACTGATGAATGTCGACGGCAGTCCCGGGTCGTGGCACCAATTTTAACGGCAAAACTTCTCAGGTCGGGAATCCACTGACGAGGGATCAAAGAAGCTTGACCGCTAAAATAAGAAGTTGGGGTTAAGGGTGTTGATGAGGTGAATGTCTTAATCCCAAAGATTAAGACAGGGCAAACCAAACGAGGAGGCAAAGGGTTTTAGACGGCCAAGTTTAGACGTAGACGAAAGTTAGGCGAATATTCTCAAAAAATACCAAACAAAAGAATAAGAATATTTTAATAATATTTATTTAATTCAATACAATTTTACAATTATTTGTGTGTATGTGTTTGGAAAAGGGATTTGGTTGGTTGAATGGTTAAGTCAAAACTGATTATGTCAAAACATTATGGGGTATGAAAATGAATATGTCCAAACATTTATGTGTAAGTCAGAACTGTGTATGTCGAAACATTATGGGTATGTAAAAACATAAAGAGTGGGAAAAATGATTAGGTTTAAATAGGCCACAATCTATGTGTGTGGTATGGAATGTGGGCAATGGAAAAAATAAAAGACATTAAAAAATTATATGTTTGCGGTTAAAAGGTTGGGCGGAAGTGAAAATGGATGAAATTATTAAAAAGATTGGAATTTTAGATAAAAATGGATAATTTCATCCATTTATGGAAAAACGGAAAAAGAGCAAAAATAGGCGATAACGATCAAAAATGATGTCATACAAAAATGAAATTTATTAATTTAATAATTTTATCCTTCGACGAAAGTTTCGTCAGAAATTTTCGACACGGAGACTTCTGGGAGAAAATCTTCCTGTCGATAGTTTAATGGAAGCGGACTTACGAGATGAAATGGAGAAGAGAGGAGAAAACAAAGTGGTAGTTCGGGCCCATCAGGGTAGTCGACTTTAGGTAAATCTCGGACAACCCTCGTTACAGTGCGGACGAGTAATTATTAAGTAGTGAGGCGAAGTGTAGTAAATTGATTGAGGCAATTATTGGAAGTGATTGTTTTAAATTGTGAGTGGACAGACGTCGTAAATTATTGATCGGTATGAGTGAAAATTAAATTGTTATTGCGTACTGGACCTATTAGTTAGTGACCAGAAAAGGACAGTGGTCTAAATTGAAGGCTGAATGCCTAAATTGAGGCTGAGATGCCTAATGGTCCCGAAGTGCGCGGAATTTAGCCGATTGAAAAAATTGTAAAAGTATTATTTGGCATTCAGAAGGATGTAAGTCCAAAAAAATTGCAAGTTAAAAATTGTGAGTGAATTGCATTGAATATAGTTGTCACGAAACACATGGAAAAGTGTAGGTGACATGCTTCTGGACAGCTCAATTTCCAGCTCAATCCCTTCGCCTACACATTGTTATTTCTCTACAGATAAATTGTTAATCTTGTGCACGTCGACTTTAGTTAAATCTCGGACTTCCCTCGGACATAATTAGTTCGAGCCCATTTTCTTTATCAAACGAGCCTTCTTTATCAAACTAGCTCGCTTCACCAAAAAATGGGCCCGATTAGTCAATTACTTAAAAATATTAAACTTTTTTCCTCCTTTTTTACTTGTTCGCCAAATTTGGCTCATTTTAGCCAGGACGGATCAAACTACGTCTTCCTTTAATTTGGCCCATTCCGTCAAGATGGGCCAAACTTCCGCCCAAATATTTCCAAGAAAGGGATAGTCAAAAACGAACTAACTCAATTAAGAAGAAAATGGGTTTAAATTAGTGAACGACAAATCAACGTTTTCGTTGATTCGCGGCGAATATCAACAATTATTCGCGAACAACTTTTTTTAAATACATAACGCCAGAACAACGTTAATATCAACGTTTTGCGCCAAACAACTGCGAATCAACGTTTTTGTATCCTTTTTTCTCTGCTCTGCCATTATATTTCTCTTCTTTTTTTCTGATAATTTTCGTTCGTGTAGTCTCTCCTTTGGAATTTGAAAGAATTTTACGAGTAGGAATTTTCTTTATTAAAATTGAAAAAATATATAAAACAACAAAATTTTATTCATCTTTAAATAATGATTGTAATGAAATAAGTGTGGAAATAGTATGCGGATCAAAACGATTTCGTTTATAATCATATACTAAAGGAGAAAAACGAGAATATGCGTTCACAAGAAGTAGAAGATGTTTTTCAATGATTTTGTACGTCTTCCCAGTTCTCGACTTTACTCATTTCTAATTTTTCTGAAACCTTTCCTAGACCTACTGATGTTGTAGCTGATGAATCAGCACTAGGCATACGGGTAGGTGTTTTGCGTCGAATGCCACTTGCATGAAGCATTGAACGGTACTTTTCTGTTTTGCCACACCCCACCCATATATTCGCAGGATATATTTTCGATTTTTCCTTAATTCGAACAGAAAGGTTAGTATTCTTTTTTCCTCAATTTCACTCAATTTTCCCCCTGGCGTGTTCAATGAGAGACACCAACAAAGAAAATATTAATTTTTCTTTCCAACGTCATCAAAATTGAAATCAACATTTGGGAAAATCAAGTGAGCACGGAAGATTGAGTCCACAGGGAAAATTAATTGAAATTGAGGAAGAAAGAAAACTGACCTTTCTGTACGAATTAAGGAAAAATAGAACATATATCCTGCGAATATATGGGTGGGGTGTGGCAAAACAGAAAAGTACCCATTGAACTTCTGGCACTAAATGGTAACGAAGGGATTTTGTTTACTCGTTGGACTGAAAAAAGTAGAGAATAAGAAAGGTAGAAAATATGATTTTATAATAAGAGGTATTTCGGGTAGGAGAATGTTTGGGTTTAAAAATTTCCTTCTTAAAATTCCGCAACCTTACTAGACAAAAAAATAAAGAGAGACTGGCTAAACTAATGTAAAATTAAGAGAATTATTCTTTTAAAATAACCAGAAGTAGTATACTCCATCATCCCCAACTGTTTCTTCCATTTCCATAATTGTTGTAGTATTTTCTTGTTGCTGACTTGAAAGGCTTTTCTTTGCATTCTTTTCATCCCCTCCTTCACCACTTCGAGTAGGCTGAATCCAACGAAGTTTTTCCAACGCTGCAGAGGAACTTAAACGTCGAGATTCTCTTGTACCAGTTCCAGAACTTCCCGAATCCGAATGAATTTCTCCGCCAATTGTTGGAGTGTGTGAACGGGAAATTTCTGATAAATTTTAAATATTTCCTCCCCTCTATTCAAAAAAATTATTTTTTACCTAAACTTCGATTAGAAAAATCTTCTCTCAATAAAATTAATTCTTTTCGAAGTATTTGTAATTGATAAAAAATATCAAAAGAAGAATAAAATAATTTATTAGAATATTGTGTTGAAATAATTAAGGAATCTTCTACTTTTAATTGTTTTTATGTGTCGGAATTGTTTAATGTCTTCGGACTTCCTAGATCTAATCCCTTAGGGATATCGGATTTCCGACGTTTCGATGACGGTGCCACAGGTTCTTCGGGATCGCCGCTTTCGAATGCTACTCTTAATTCATTTTCAAATTCATCCATCTAGTAAGAATATTTGTGGAAAATCCCTAAAAATTACAGAAAAGGGACTGAACATTTATAAAAATGAAAATTTCAAATTCCAAAGGAGAGACTACACGAACGAAAATTAACAGAAAAAAAGAAGAGAAATATAATGGCAGAGCAGAGAAAAAAAGATACAAAAACGTTGATTCGCAGTTGTTTGGCGCAAAACGTTGATATTAACGTTGTTCTGGCGTTATGTATTTAAAAAAAAGTTGTTCGCGAATAATTGTTGATATTATTAAATCAACTTTTTTTTCTTAAGTAGGATCAGATCGGACAATTAGTGGGTGGGAGTGGAGGAACAGCAGCAACATTACAGCAACATCACATTACACTCTGTCAGAAAATTATAAGCACCCCCTAGTTTTTGAATAAAACATAGTTAAAGTTAAAATATCATAGTTTTAAATATTTTTAGGATTTTCTGATGCATATTAAACAGACAAAACAATCATTGATAAACTAAATATGGATATAAACTAATTATGGAATTTCTTAATTTTTTTTCTTAAAGAAGTTAAGAAATCTAACAATGAAAATATTGTTAATTCAGCATATAATTTTACAATAAAATTAAATATTATAATAAAGGCACAAAAAATTGAGATCTAAAACGAGAAAACAAAATTACTATAGATTTGTTAATTTCTTTCAATCTTCTGTGTTTTGTTATTGTTGGGCGTCATTGATGATTAACTTCTTTCTTTCAACCTCAGCTCTTTCAAGTCTTTCCAACTAACAAAATATTTATTTTATTTAAAAATTTAAATTCTAAAACAAAATACCCTCGATCCAAAATCACGAACAGTTTGTATCATAAAAGGCATAGCACAATCAACAATTTTGTGTTTCCAAGCCAATTCTAATACAATATCAGGTTTCAAAAGATCATAACATTTATATAATAATGCAGAGAAACAATCATTTAGTCCTTCTTGTAAGAAAAATTTCATTAAACCTTCAACAACTTCTGGTTGACGACTCTCTGCCGCATAATCCATTGCATCCTTAAATTAAAAAAGTTCTTAATAAAAAAAATTAAAATAAACTGAGTAAAGTTTGTCTCTTTTGCAAATTTCTACAGATTGTTTCCATCGATTATTTCCCTTGTAGAGGTAAGCAGATATTCGACGAAATTCAACCAATGAGTGTTGTTCCAATTGCTGAGCCAAAGCAATATTGTCAAAATTATCATAAGTTTCAATACTAGCCTTTAATGATTCATAATCTTCGTCATCAATAAATAATTGATTGAGACACTCATTAAGTGCTTTGTTATTAAAATTTTGGACGTGGCGAAGATATGGCTGAACAAGCGAAAGGTCGCCAGCTGAAAAATAAAAATATTTACAAAATCTCAGACATTAATTTATATACATTTTTGGAAAAACATAACAGTCCGTGTTTGGTCAAGACGAGGCGACAAAACCATCAATAAATCAACTAACAACATTGGCTTGTAATCCAAATAAAATTGAATAGCCTTGTAATAGAGCTCAACATTTGCAACCTGTGAAATTCATTATAAATATAGTTTAAAATTAAAAAAGACCTTTGTAACAATTTCTTTAAAATGTTGTTCACGCCAAGCTTCTGTTGGATGTTGAATCATTGTATTCACAGCGTTATCATATTCCTCATATTTATCATACAAAAACACAAGTTCAGACCATAAATGAGCATGCTCCGCGGCACGAAGAACCTTAACACAAATAAATTTATAAATCCCTAAATTTGAAAAACCTTTGGTATATTAACACGCGACCAAAACAACTCCAGATGCTCACGCATTTTCTCAGATTTATATTTGCTATAAAGAATAGCCAACTCTGTAAACATTCCCATATGTGCTCGTTCTAATCCTAAAGCAGATTCCAATAGGGCAATGAGTTCTTCAAAGTGGCCGCGATTTTGGTAGTAATTTATCAGTTCTTCCAATTCATCAGCATGCACAACAATGTGGAGACCACAAATTTGCGCAAGACGAAACTCTTTATGATTTACACAAGCAAAACAAACCTAAAAAAAGTGTATCAAAAATAAAACTCTAAAAATTTTATTACAGGGTGCGGCAAATTAAGCGCGCGTTTTGTTTTTGCCATAACTTTCTTCAATTTCAATGAAAATTGATAATTCTTTTTTTATATCATTCCCAACACTCTAGGAAATTTTTTGGTACCGAAATATTCTAAAAAAATTTCAAATTAATTTGATTATTTTTTCCTAAAGTTTTGGCAAAATTTTTTGAACCAAAAGTCGTTTGATTTAAATGCCGTGTGCCTGATATGGGGATAGTTGATATCATTCGAATAAGCTCTTTTATCTGATTCGATTGACGTAAAAATTAGACGATTATCTTGTTCTTGAGCTGAGATATGGGCCTTTGAATGATAAATTAGGAACTAAATGCTAAATTTCACTTTTTTAGGTGAAATTTTCAAAAATTTAATTATAGACTATTTCGATGCTCCTCGTCGAGACAAGTCGATTGGTACCAAAATTAGTAAGATTGGGTGACTTTGAGCGAAGTTATGGCAAAGTAAACTTTGTCATAAAAAATATTTCATGATGCGATTTATAGACTATTTCGGGAATATCTTTATTATCTTTAAGCCAAATTTCTATTATTTTCTACCAAAAAATTTCCTAGAGTGTTGGGAATGATATAAAAAAAGAATTATCAATTTTCATTGAATTGAAGAGAGTTATGGCAAAAACAAAACGCGCGCTTAATTTGCCGCACCCTGTATTTACTTGTTTCCATGTTTTTGTAGAATTATCCTTTCGAGCATTTGGGCGTCATTGATCGGCGTAGAGTCAATAATGCTAAATTTAAAAAGTTAGTTGTATTTTTAAAAGGATTTTTATGTAAAAAACTTCTCGGTAATACCAAAGCTGGCCCCTCTTTTTTCCTTAGGAATGACATAATGGTCAGTAATTCATCCCAAATTTCACTCTATTTCCTTGCCGCGACAATGATTTCAATGCATGACTCGAATAGCTTAAAATTTATAAACAACGGACCTGCTATAAATGTGGCTGTCGAACAACTGAAAAACAGTTGATGTCTTTTTTGGAGAAGAAAGTCGGATTTGAATTTGGATCAGGGAAATAAAGTGAAATTGAGGAAGGACAAAAAGAATGACCACTATAACATTCATAGAGAAGAAAAAAGGGGGACAGCCTTCGTATTACCAACTAATAAACTTCTTTTTTATTGATTTTGTTTTTTCGTTAATTTCATTTATGAAGGGAGGGTATTTTTATGCATATTTCGGTATTTTTAAAAGATATTAAATTAATGCATAAAAATCCGGGATCTTGTAGGAAAAGGTCCGGGTTCTAGTCACAAGCTTATAACAGAAAAGTAAGTACTTACTTTTGAAGTTTTGTAGAATCGAGCTCTCCATGTTGAAACAAAAATTCGGCAACCTAAAACTTGTTATTTTAACTTATTATTTAGGAGTCAAAATAAACGCTTCGAATTTGCTTTTCATATTTTTTGATCGATTCCTTTGCCATATACCAAGCTTTTGTTGTTAAAGCATACGTTTCCTAATCTTGAAGTTGTTTAAGATCAAAGAAAATTAATGAATGCCCCCAGAACGACAGCAAAAATTGCCCTCTCCCTTCAAAACAAAAATTCTTACGGTATAATTTCGGAATACTAAACAGACTCCGATTGAGACAAATTATATGTCATTCGATTCAGCTCAACGAGCTGAGTCGAATGACATCAAAATATCTATTGGGACGTAACTATGGGCCGA